TCTTTTGATCCGTGGCCTCGCTGCCGTTTCCTCGGAACGGCAGCTTGCCGTGAACCTACATTCTAAAGAGAAAGAGGCACCCTGGCTTTCAGGGCGCATACCTACTTTTCGAAACATTTCCTCGTTGAACGATCCGACCTTCTGTTCGCAGTCCCTGCTGCCTGAAATGCATCTGGTACTTTCACCGAGTCACCGAGATTTCCACTCGAAATGCTATCGATACTATCTCTTCCACCCTTCGATAAAGGGGCTGGACTGGTGTTCCATCAGAAGCTTCATACAAGCATACGCGATAACAAGTGCCATCAGTCGACCACCGACGACCACAACCTAGACGCCGTTTCTGGCCCCTTACGGAACGACCTCCTTGCTATATCAATACCATTCTGTAGAGGGCACACGTAACTGCAATATCCACCCTTGTTTCAAAAAGCATTTATCACGACGAGCACATCTTGGTTGAATGGATCCTATTCAAGAAAGCTATGTGCTTACTGCAAATTTTTCATGATCTTTGACCCTAGACTACCCATCATCATAACTCCAAGAGCAGGAAATCAGAACGAGAATCCGACGAGAATCTCAGCGGGCAGCCTACACGGCGCTTCCAGTGACCCCTTTGCCATCGATACCTGCCTGGCATATGCATCACCAATCGGAACCAGAGACGAACTTGCGAGCAACGGACGATATTCGACAAAACCTTTTGCGGACGATACAAACGATATGCATACCTTCCTATTATTGCCTATCTAGCTAATTGCTCCATCAGTCTGTCAATGCCGCGCTGTGCTTGATCCCTAGCCGTCCGTGGATGATTCTGTGAAGACACATCACCCAGCAAAGCGTTGCACGAGACTCGGTACTTTGATGTACTCGCCACGATCCCTCCATGGGCAATCAATCGATATACCGCTAGAGATTGTGACGTTTGTCACCACAACGATCCGGCTGTGATTCCTGAAGGAAATCTTCAACTTGCCGCTCTGCGATAGGAGGCCGAGAGAGGGCTGATTTGGGTCCATACAGAACCCATGACCGAATACGCCGGGACGTAAATGTGCTTCGCTGATAGAGTCAGCTGTGCCTTGATATTAACACCTGCTTGGTATTCTTCGCACTCTCCTTCAGGCTAAGCGATCGCAAACGCGCAGAGTGTGGAGTAGTGTTGTCGATATTTTCTCCTGTTGAGCATGCCTTTCTATTCTACCTTTCGGTGTTTTTATTGTCGGTGATCCTATGTCCTTCGCGAAGGCAGGAAAGAATGATCGACATAGTCCAAATGAGTATTTCCAAAGCCTTCAAAAGGAGTATTGAGTCTCCCATGGTACACAATTCGCGCCTCGATCGTCAAACAGCCCATCGTTGGAAATTCTGTTCATTATGCTCCTTCTAACCTTAGCAGCCAGAATTTTCAGCAGGTTGTGAGGGTAAGGCAAGCCCTTGAACTGCTGTCAACTCTTTCCACCCTGTAAGTAAGACATGGGACCTCCCACCGATGCTTTTTCTTTAACTTGGCTCGTTAGGCTGTCGTGTGCTATTCGACGTGAACCATATCCCAAACGCCACAAAGTTCGATCTCTGGCAAGTTGCCCTTCCTTGAACCCTTGAACAAACCGGAACATTGCCCGAGGCGTTTGAGTCCGGTTGAAGTTGCAACCAACTGCTCACGCAGGGAACGAGTGCCCAGATTCAGGTTGTTGTAACCTCAAACATCGTTTATTCTAGGTCTGATTACATCTAGAGGCAACATAACCCACGAAAATCGACAAATATACGGGAACTTCGTCCTCAAACTCGTGTAGCGGCGAGCTTCGTCTTCTCTACCGCACAAATGTGATAGCGTTCTCCGAATTCCTCCCCTCCTCTCTTCGCAAACGAGCGCCGATAACACTGCCACCAACCCGCACAACTTCGATATAATCCTCATCCTCAACCTCCACCTTCACCTACCCGATCGGCAGCCACTAATTCAGCTCTGGCCAGACAACTGCCGTTGTTCGGGAGCACTCCGAGTTAGCCTATGCTGACACTCACGACGGGCTGGCAGACTGCAATCTCTGGCAACTTCTCCAAGACCCAGGCCGATCTCAAGCTGGTAAACATACAAGAAATGCCGATTGCTATCTGGCAGCTGTCATGACCTCGAGAACATTAGGAGCTTCCTGAGATCATGAAATGTGCATGTAGTCGATCTGGCTCTGGATAGCATTATCCACTATAGTAGGACAAGTAAGATTATCCAAAGACATAGAAGAAGATTCCAAGGCTGGCAGTAGGTTACTTCAGTGGAAAGAACACTCGGACGGATTTCCAGTGTATTTGAGTACGCTTTAGGTTGTTCTTCATTGAACTCTTTCAGTCTCAGCAGGGCACCGCCCTGCTAAAGATTATGACCAGAATTGACTATTATCACGCGAAACCATCGTGGCAGCGTCAAAACATGATAAGCTTGCGTATGACTTGCGTATAGTTCCATTCTCCTCTATGATTTTCAGTCGCTCTGGGCTAACTTTAAATTGAGACTGTTAAAACCGCCCTTTGCGTGTAGGATAGGCTAATCACCCGCTACTGCGGTGGGAAATCTGGAGTCCAATGCAGGGGAAAATTCAAACGACATTAGGAGCCTCTTGAGCTGTCCAGTAGACAAAAGGGTCCATCAAAGTAAATGAATCTTTCCCTGGAATGAGATGACCACTAAAGCCCATAGGTTTCCTTTCCATCTGACGGGTCCCGGACCAAGAAGCGCTGCGGTTCGGGAGCTTGCTTCGTATAGTCGGTGAATAACATTTGTCCTTCTTGACATTTCATTGGCTCATCAGTATGAGAATCAGACGAGAGCCATGGTAACAAGAGCAAGGCGAAGAACTTGGCAATGGCGATATTGGTGACGATGTATACCAACTCTATTTCCGTACGTCAAAATAAGATTTAATGTTACTTTCTGCCCGAAATCATCGCGCCTAGACAGGCCATAGAAGAACCGCGAACGAAACGAGGGGTAACCGGAAGTAACATTGCTGCTACCGGTAGTGCATACTCGGGGCCTGCTGCATCTATGGAAAGTTGAGGAGCGGCATGCAATCGCTGATATTGAAGATACTGTTGATAGGTCACTGTAACGGTGGTCGTCTTTGTGTAACACAAGGTAGTACAAAGACAGTTTTCAGCCTCCCATCTCGCTTGAGGAGCTAGCCGAACGTCAGAACAACGTGGACTCCCATGCCAAAGGTCCCGTGAGGAGTATGTTTCGGCAGTCGATGCCAACGGCTCTCCGCCTCCAAAAGCAGTGAAACAACGAGCTTGCGTGTTGCTTTCTTTCACCAACAACAGAATACCTTACCTGGGAGGCAACAGTGGAGGGGTCACGATGTCGCAGGGGCTGTGGGTTCACGGCTGTATATTTCCCCTTTGGCCTCGTTTCCACCAAACAAACTTTGTTCGGGAAAGGTTCAAGATATGTCCATCTGAATGGCATACGCAAGACCTTGACGCGTGTTCAGTTCGTTGGGGAAATCTAAGGAGATGACTTTGTGATGCGGGCGAGGCTAAACTATGTAGCTAGCTGCGCCATCGCCATGCACTGATTCTATTGACCGATTAGAGGAAAAGGGTTGTCTTTCAGTTGATTTCCAGCTAATTTCGTGGAAACGCCAAGCAATAGAATGGAAATATCGACACTGTTCCATGTGATTATTTCTTGGCCCCGGTGCATTTACTAGATCAGCCCCCCGGACTCGTAACTTAACACTGCCCACTTCGTAAATTATCTGTTGGGATATTGGGATGACTCGAAAGATTGACAGAGCTGTGGTCCGAGACAGCAATACCCGAAGAGAGATTTGCCTCTCGCCTGATATCGTGCCAGCGTGCCAGCGTGCCAGCTAGGTAACACTGCCGATCGGAGAGGAGCAGGTATGGACCATGGCACGGTGATGTAGTTGTCTCATTAATTCCATGGCCATTGAATGGCAAAAAGATGACGACACCCAGCAGTAAATGGCAGTAAACCCTGAGGAAGGAGAGAGATACGTATCTTGCACAGCGGTTTTAGAGCGGAGAATGGTGGGGCGCGCCAAAAACGCACATGGGTCTGTGTCAGTGCAGTGACAGCTGCCGTGAGGGACTCCAGGGACCTAAGAGGTGGTAGGAGCTTCTTCACCACACCACTGGCGCCAGTTTCTGGGGGCTGTGCAAGCAACTGGAGCTCAAGCAACCTAGGAAACCCCACCATCAAACACAACAGACACCGCCCGAGTCTAGAAATGCTTTGTCCGGCCCGGTGATTTGAGTGGAGGGGCAAAAGGGAAAAAGGGGAGGGGAGGGGGTTGTCCATCTAGCGTGGTCTCTCCCGTTTCTTAGGATGACTACAGCAGTTGAGCTTAAGTCAGTGGACTGGAACCGCGGACCGGGGCTGGGAAAGACCTGGGACGGTACCATATGCCGCACCCAATGACGTCGCTCGCCGCTGAGAGGCCTCTCGAAAGGGCCATTGTCCAACAGCTAAAGAAAGAAGCACCAGTATCAGCGCCAATAACCAGCGCCGGCTTAAGCGCCATGCAAGCTGTTTCAATACCATCCAATCCAACCAAAGTCGCCGTCACCACACCCCAATCCCAATAGTCGTCACAAGTCTCTCGATTTCGTGGGCGAATAGTAGTCGCGTCTACTCTTCCGTCACCTCTTTTTTTTTTTTTTTTTTTCTCTCTCATCGCTTACCTCGACCTACCAACAACCTGCATATCTACTTCTCTTTACTGGCACCCTTACCAAATCCTCCCGGCTTCACAAAAGGTCGACCCCAAACACCCCGCGCTCCCCCCTCTTGCTTTATCGATACCCATTCCGGCTCGACTCTTCGCGACAGCCTGCGCTAGTCGAATTCCAAGACACTTGTGCTTTGGTTTTCTACCGTCTTGTACGGTCCGACCTGAATTTGACCTGACTTGCAGCAGTCAAGTTTTGAGTAATCTGTATAGCTTTTGCGCAACACCATCGTCATGGCTTCGGGACACAATGTACGATTACGAAGACTTCAAGACAATCCCGACTGAACCATACTGACAATGGGTTGCAGGATCCAAAGCTCTTATACGCCATCAATGGCGTCAAGGCCTACCACATCGCAAACGGCAAAGAGGAGTCACTGACTCCTGCCGGCCCTCAGACATTGTCGTTGTTGATGGTGCCGACATCCTCACCATTCGCCGATACGAACGGAGAGACGCCTGCAGAGGACTTCTACCTCCACCTCCACCTACCTCCCGAGCTCGACCTTCCACTACCCGCTACCACCCAGATCTACCACCAGCCACCGACGAGCTATTTGATTCCCAGGTGGGATCTCGGCCCTGACAGCGGTGCTTTCACCCGCATCGAGTTCCCCGATGTCGGCAGTCGAAAGGGGCTGCAGGAAGACGTCGATACCTTCGAGACCATCCTTGCCCAGTGCACTGCCTTCCTCGAACGAGCACCCCCGCCCAAGGCCTCGTCCGTGTCGAAGGGCCCCCCTCCCGCCGCCGTACCCTCCGCTACCTCTTCTTCAAAGTCGAGAGCTGCCGCTGCAGATGGCCTCCCAGCATATAACCCCGCCGACTACGAACCTGGCCAGGCTTACGCCCAGGGCAGTCACAGCAACAACAATGGCGGCAGGATCGTGTTGATCGATGAGGAGGACGGTAGCGTCATCGGCGAGCTGACGGAGAACTACCAAGTCGTGGAGGACCTGGGTGTGAAGCCCGGCGCGAAAGGTAAGTCGGGCGGCTACTCGGCCGAGCTTGACTCACATGGCATGCCAGATCCGGTGGAGATCACGCTCCCTGCCGACAACAGCCAAGCCATTACCGTTCAGCCCGTGTCGCAGGAGTACCGCGAGATGCTCATGCATCCGTCGTACAAGAAATCGTTCCTGGTATCCAATGCATCCAAGGCCTCACGTCTAATCGTGACGTCGTCCGACTTGGTTGCCAAGGGCCTTCAATCATCGGCTGATAGCTTCACGACCAAGACCAAGCCGGTAAACACACCTATGACATTCACGCCAGCGGCGCACGACCGCATTCGCCGCATCAATCAGTTCACCAACACGGCTGCCGGACTATCGGCGTCGACGGTGGGCCATATCGGTAAAGTTGCACAGAACCTAGGTGCCACCCTTTCAAGGAAGAAGGACGGCAGCGGAAGAGGATATGATAAGGATGGCAACCCCATTGAGGGCTATAAGCCTGGCTTGCTGAACAGGAGTCTGATGGCGTTCAACACGGTCGCCGACGGCATCGACCAAGCTGGACGTAATCTGCTAACAGGTACTTCATCTAGCGTGTCTCAAATGGTTGAGCACCGCTGGGGTGCAGAGGCCGGTCAGGTGTCAAGGAACATTGGTGGCGGCTTCAAGAATGTCGGCCTGGTCTACATTGACGTCACTGGCGTCTCCCGAAGAGCCATTCTGAAGAGTGTTGCCAAGGGGATGGTTGTCGGAAAGGTAAAGGGCGGAGGTCAGATTGTTGTCGGTGGCGGAGACGGCGGTAACACCGTGGGCTTGCTTGAAGATGGAAAGCCTCTCGCTCGTAAGGACGACCAAAGTGATACGTCCAGCTTATACACAGCATATGATGGCAACGGCAAGGGGCCAGCTGGCAAGATGCGTTGAGTTAACGAGCGGAACAAAATGAGAATATTTCAGGATAGCGATAAGCAGAGGATGAGATGGTGCTGCCATAGGGTCTTTATACCTTTACACTATAATATCCACACAGAAGTGCTGAGGCTCCATGTTTTCCATGTTTGATCGAGTGCGAGTGCGATAACGAAACTACTGGTAGATGTTGAAGCTTAGCCAAATTTAGCAATGAAATGTGCAGGTCTACCTCCATCGCACCTGGGGTAGCCTGGAACAGAAGCTGTCAGACGGCACCGAACGGAAGAGTGTGCCCCACAATAACCCCCCGGTCACCGGATCTCGTCGGCCGAGTCCGTACTTACCTAAGCCAGCGTTGAGTCACGTGCACTTCGCGAATGGGGCCGGGGTTTCGGGCAGCCACTTTACACTGACAGTCGCGTCGAGTCGCGCCGTCCCCCAATGCCAATCTCATCAGTGCCGCTGCTGTGATTTGGAAGAAGTCAGGCCCTCCAGCATGGAGCCTCCTTGAAGCGGTTATTGATTCTGTTGTGTGGCTTGCTCGGACTATCTCTGTTTTTTCTTTTCTCTGTAAAACTGGGAAATAATTGTCTGGCTCGTGCGACTACAGCAATTTATGCACAAAACAACAAGGTATCTGCCAACCACCGCATCACCTGTTACCACAACCTCTATGAACCCAACTGCCCCGCATCGTACCCAACGAAGCCGTCCATTGTTCTCCCACCACCAAAAAAAGCGTCCTGTTGCTGCACCCGGGTAGACGAGTAAATGTGTCGCTTTGAGCTCCTCGGTACTTTTATCCTGCTTGTCCGCGACTTTGGCGAAAAATCAAAGTCCAAGTCCAAGAAGCGGCCTCAAACCCGCGAAATGTACCGTCCCTGTCTCCGCCTCTGTCTCCGTCCCCTCGGGCTCTTCTGAAGCTCTCCACTCCCTGGACCCATGTCGAGATCCTCAATCAGGGACCGGGACTAACACGAATCTTTCCACAGACACGGCAGTCGCAGCAACAACAGCAGCAGCAGCATCGGTCTTGGGAGCAGAAAAACATGCTCCACGAAATCCTCCTCGCCCTCTCCGGGCACCCCTCCCCTCTCCTCCGAACCGACGCTCCAGAAGCCGATGCGCTATCATCGTCAGCAATCTCGCCCCCGGAACGGGAGCTCCTAGCCACCGCCTCGCACCTGAGCGACCTGCACATCAAGCTCCAAAGCTACACTGGCCCCATCGCCGCCGAGCACCCGTCCACGATATGCCGCGCCGTCGCGACCGCGGTCCAGTCCGTCCACCTGGCGGCCTTCCAGCGCAAGGTGCTGGAGGTCGAGGAGACGATTCTCAAAAAAGATTCGAGTCTGGTGGGCGCGTATAACATTGTACCCCTGACGGCAGTTATGGGCGAATTTTCCGAGTGGACAAGGCGGATGGAGTGGTTGTGGGAGATTACCCAGTTCATGCTGCGCAAGCAGCAGGGGCAGACGTGCCGTGGTGCGCAGCTTATTGACCGTCTGCGCAGCGAGCTGCAAAGCGGTTATGTGGATATCGAGAGGACAGCAATGAGTCTTGTGTCGGTGGCAGAGACGGCGTGGCTGAAGCAGGTCTCTGCTTGGATCCTCTATGGACGGCTACCTACGTTTGGAGGCGGAGACTTTTTTATCCAAAAGTCTGATGGTAGCGACCACGTACGCCGACCCAAACCGTTTTGGCAATCCACTGAGCTGACGATGAACAGGAATACATCTCGGTGCCCTTGTTACTGCCCAACTTCGTGTCCCCCAAAACAGCGTCATCGATGCTCTTCATCGGCAGGTCTCTGAACCATGTCCGGGTCAAGAGCAGTATTGAGTCCGGCCTTCAGGGGCTGGATCATCTCTCGTCGCAGTTGAAAGAGCTTGCTGCGTTGACATTCCCGCTTGATACGGCTAGCTTCTCGCGGTCCATTACCGCCATCCGGCTCACACTCTCGCGCACGATCCTGCTAAAGTTGCTCCCGCTCACCAAAGTTGTGGAAGCGCTTCAGGTTCTGCGCGAATTTTTCCTCTTGGGCCGCGGCGAGTTCGCCATGGCGTTGACGCAGCAGGCGGACGAGAAACTTCGGAGCCGCTGGAAAAGGGCAGACAACCTTGCCTACGAAAAGCGCGAGGGCCTCGGCACCTTTGCTCTGAAGGAGGGCGAGGTTGCAGCCATCCTAGCCAAGACCTGGGGAGCGATGGGCTTGATGCAGGGGCAGCACGCGGACGAAGACGAGGGGCTAGAAATAGGACGAGAACTGTTACGGTTGAATCTGACGAAATCTAAGCCGGCGGCGCCGTTGAAGCTCGAAGCCAGCACTTCACAGCCGACGACCAAGACGCTGGCCACCACCCCTTTCCGCAACCTTTTGCTGTCTGTCCCCGTCGTCTTGACCATGCAGATTCCTTCGCCCCTGGACATGTTCCTCACATCATCCGACCTTCAAATCTACTCTACCATCAACTCCTACCTACTTTCCATCCGCAGGGCGCACATCCGCCTCACCGAACTATGGAAGATTACCTCCTTACGTCGGCATCACCCGGCACCTCCCGGTCCCCCGGCCGGTAGCATTCGGGTAGGTCGATCAAAAGTGGTGCTCCTGCGCCAGCGGCACACGACACGTTCGAATGCTCTCCGCAGCGCATGGGTCACTTGTAGTTCAGCAATTTTCTTCCTCTCAGAAACGGAGGCATATCTACAGACGGAGGTTGTCGCGGGCCTCTGGGATGGCTTCCAGTACTGGCTAACCCTGAGCGAGAAGAAGCCCGACCCCAAGGCCTCCTCTACCACATCGCCATCAAAGGCAACCCCCACACAGGCATCAGAAGATGAAGAGGACGACGAGGAGGAGGAGGAGGATGACGACGACATCTGGCTGGCTCAAAGCACGTCCAATTTGAACGTGGCTCCCAAGACACCTGACCCGACACAGACCCGCGACCCCCAAAGCCTCGCCACCGCCCACAGGGCCTACCTCCGCGCCCTCTCAACGCGCTTGCTCCTCACCTTCCCGTCATACACGGACCCGCTGTACAACCTACTCACACACACCGACCACCTCGTCGCCCTAACACAACGTCTTCACTCGGTGTGGACGTCAATGGACCTCGAAGCCGACGCCGGCGTCGTTGACGCCTTTGTCGACCTCGAAATCGAGGAGACGGACGTCCGCGCCGCGATCCGCGATGTGGAGAAGCATGTCAAGGACGGCATCCGCGAGGTCATTGCGGCGCTGAGGTCGCTCGAAGCAGACCCGGCCGCTTTCGCGGACGAAGAAGAGGGCGGCGAGGAGGGCGTGCTCAGGGAAGAGGGCGAGTACGTCCCACGTCGCGTTGGCGGCGTGGAGAGACTCCTGATGAAGCTTGACCTCGGGGGCTGGTTCGGCGAGAAAAAGGATGATTTGTTCGGCTTTAGCCAGTACTGAAGAATAAGAAGAAGCAGCAACGCATGTCGCTCAGCCACCACCGGAATCCGACGAGACCTGTGCGAGAGACACCCCCTCCCCGACACCCCTCCCCGCCAGCCACCGCAGAGGGGGAACAAGTTCAAGGTCCGAATAATGCTGTCATGCTCGACACGAACACCAAAGCCTGCGCGATTTCTCTCGTCGCCTTCTCTGATCGTGTCCTTGCGGAACCGAGCTCCACACGAGGGAAATATGTTGTAGCCCGTCCGTGGAGGGAGATAGGGCATATCTCACATCAGAGGCAAAAAAAAGAACTCTACGTGTTACAGAGACAGCGCGCGTTGGTAACGCGATGACAACCGGCGGGACGGACCGGTGGACGTCATGGGTCACGCCAGGCGGGGCGGGGGGGAGTGAGCGCCTTTTTTTTTTTTTTTTTTTAAAGAGTGTTGTCGTGGGTGGTTCTTGGCAATTAAATGTGTTCTTACGTTGTGTGACTAGGCGCGCGGGTGGCCCTTTAGGCGAAGCGTACACACACACGGCAGCAGCCCATCTTATGATGTGTGTCCGTCCGGGAGAGGGGGGGATGGTGGTACGACACTGACGGTGTTTCTTTGCGGCGACGGGTTTCCAGATCAGCGGGGTTTTCTTTAGTCCGGTTTTGTTTTTTCCTTCTTTTTTTCCCCTTTTTTTCCGTCTTCTGTTTCTTCCTGTAACGGACAGCGTTGAACGTTTTTGCATGTGTCGAATGCGGTTATTGATCATCATGAGGATTCTGAAAGCGGAGCATCACCACCCCAAAGGAAGGGAGGATGTGTATGTATGTGGGGGTGAGGATGGGGGGGGGGGGCGGGGCAAGAGAGGGGGGGAATCATCATGGTATTGCATGAGCAAGGCGTTCTTTTTTTCTGTATCGATCAAATTCAGGCATGATAACGATTATGATATGATGATGGGTAAATGTGTTTGCCAATTGGAACTTGTAAATGGTTCATGAGTCTCTCTGTTCGTTTCATACAATCGACTCCTCTGGTGAGAGAGAGATTCCGTAATGCTATTGTGCGCCCTGACGCCGCGCCTGCTTAATTGATACAGAAAGGTAAAAAGAAATGCACACACAAAGACAATGTACACACAATACAAAATTTCCCGAAACGCCGTCTTCCATTGCGCGCCCTACCCAATCGTTGGTTGGGTGGCGGCTATACCCTTGGTATTATCCTATTCCCCTTATCCGCTCTGTCTCCCTCCGTGTGTGTCTGCTTTTGTAAGTGCTGCTGTTGCTGCGCGCTTCGCTTGCTGTTGATGTGTAGCTTCTGTAGCTGTGTCCTAATTTCATTCCTTTCGCCCCTAAGTGATAAAATTCGTACTAAATAGTTGTATGGTTTTTTTTCCCCTTCAAAATATTTGAAATCCGAAGCATAAGCTTGCTCTTCGAAACGAATGTTGAAAATATGAAGTCATGACAATAGCGGTTGAGACGATGAAAGTCATAAATCGTCAAATGCTAAAGCCGGTCCGATTTTGGTTACAACCGGTGATGCAGGTTTGTCCATGCCAGAGGCATCTCCTTCCAATGAAACAGATAGAGGACGTTAAAACATTGGTTTGAAAAACGCCAAGTAACATCTCAGTATGTCGAGATGGGGCGATGCCGCAAGGGGCTGGACTGCTGGTCCGAGGCGCGGCGCTGGAAAAGGTGGTGCATAAAGGCGCGGGGTCCTTCGACGTCGACCGTTTTCGTGGTCAAAGGCACAGGGATGCGGTGGACCTTCTTGACTTGCCAGCGGTCCTTGATGCAGTCATCGACAAGAGCCATAAGGCCAGTCGCGACGATCACGTCGGCAACGTCAGTGACGGCCTCAATGACACTGCGGTCACTGAGCCACATGTGGCAGGGGGGCACCCAGCCGCCGGCCCTCTCGTCATCGTAGACTTGGTTGGGTGAGCGAGTCTCAGGAACGATATGAGCGACGGCGGCGTCTGCCGCATTGTTGCCGTCCTTGACGAGGTGGAAGGAAGTGACGCCGAGGTTCTTGTCGATGACACGCTTCCACTGATACTTGTGACCCCACCACTCGAACTCATAGCGTTTGTTGTTCTTGCCACCGCGGCGTGAGATGTCGACGCGGGCGTAGTTTGAGAACTCGAGCTTCATGGTGTTGCTGGGGATAGGACGGGTCTTGGCCTTGTTCTCGAAAGAAGCGGAACGCCTAAAGACGGAGGAGTCTCCGTCACCGGCGCGGGATGAGGCACGGGATGAGGCGCTGGATCCCGGGCGTTGGGCCTCTTTATCCTTTCCGGCGAGCGAGGAACCTCCCGAGTTAGTGCGCGAGAGAGGCTTCCGCGTGGAGAGCGTCCTAAAGGCACTAGAGAGAGACCGTTGCAGAGTGGGGCGCTCCTCGGTAGCGGGCTCGATGTACTTGCGCTTCGAGTTGCAGACCTCGCGGCCCGAGTCGCGGCAGTATCGTCTGAGGGAGAACTCGCGCTTGCTGAGGTCGTACATGCGCATGTGGAAGAGCTGCATGGTGAAGGGGCGACGGCCTGGGGTGACGGTGTCGACTCTTAGGTTCATGTTACCATCGGGGGTAAACTCGTCGTGGCGAATAGATAACCTGTTCATGGAGGGGAAGAGCTTCGCAAAATCCTGGGGGGTGGAGGGGCGAACATCGTCGACAACGTCGCGACAGTAGACTGGCAAAGGCGGGATCTCGTGGTGCTCGTCGAAACTGTCCATGTCGATGTCTCGCTGAAGCTCAAGGTCATCCTCGTCCTCGGAAGCTAAGCTCGAATCAAAAGTCTCGACAGATGCCCTCGGGCAGTTACTCGTTGACGGGGAGATGTCCTCCTCGTAAACGGGTTGAAACTTGCTGGAGACAGGCTTCGTCTCTTTGACTGAAGCCTCGGTGCTTGCGTAGTAGGAGGTGGGCGTTGTGCTTTGTGATTGATACGTCTCATAGGAATCGACCGAGTCACAGCTACCTCGAGAGTCCCGACTACACGTGGAACTCTTGGAGCTATGTTTTCGATATGATTGAGGCATTGTGGTGGAGATGAGGAAGGGTGGGGGGAGGGTTGAATATTGGTTGTTGAAGGTTCGGAGGGATGACAGTAGCTGCCTTGAGATGGATCAAGGGAGGAAAAGAGGCTTCATATATCTATCCAATCTGGCCAGGCGTGGTCAAGTGTCTCGATGTATTGGGCTCTGGCGTTGGCAAGAGTGGAGGGAGAGGCGAGATATATTGTGACAGTTGGTGAATGATTAGGCAATGACAAGTTTTGACTGGTGAGCCGGGGTCTTTTTTACTGTCATCAGGTTGAGATGCCGGGGCGAGGGGGACTGGTTGGATGAAGCAGGGGTGGTTGTATGGCTTCAAGGCTGTTCTCGGTGGATTGGAGGATGTTGGTTGGGAATGATTAAAAAGGATGTATGACAAACGGTTTATGAATATGGTACAGTTGTGAGAAATATGGCTTAGGCAGAGAACAGGCCGAGTTAAGAAGACGGGGAAAAAATGAAGTAAAAAGTCGGCATGATAGGAATGGTGATGGATCGGAGCGTAACGGGTGGCAGGTGGTTTGCTTCTTAACGGTGGGTGGGCAGCTTTCCAACGGGGAGCAGGGAACAGGTCGACGGGGATCGGAGATGTCAGAGGTAGCGACCGGCCTGAAGTGTTGCAACAGGACCACGACCAGAGAAAGGCCATAGTGGGATTGGAACAGCAAGGAGGGCTTGGGGACCCCTGCTTGGGGCGTGTTATGGTTTTGGGGTGCGCTAAGACGGCGGCATGTACCTCAGCTGCAAAGTCCGAATGGAGTCATACACGTACCCTCCCTGGCGGCAGGGAGGACGACAAAGATGGGACGAAGAGGGACGGAGAGGATGAGAGAGACGGTATCCGAATGGCTGGGCATTCAGGGGGGGGCGTGTACTAGAGCATACGTGTAGGAGGGGGGAGGAGGATGTGAGGAAGGCGAACGGACGATGCCACTTGGGGAATGTGGATGCGTGGGCGAAGTCGATATTCGTGGGCAAACTCGTGGGATGAAGAGTCATGGCCAAGTCACCGTCGCTGGTGAGTTTGCGTGACGGGTGACCCGGGTTTGGTGGAGGAGTGACATGGTCCAAGACTGGCCAGACCATTATGGCCACTATGGTTTAACCACGTCAGGGCGGTCAGGTTCGGCAGGCAGGAACAACTCCCATCCAAGCAAGCAAGGTACATGCGATAAGGCAGGCGTCAAGGCAGGCGTAACCGTACCTTTTCGCAGTACCACGCGGTGAAAAAGCGGCATCCGGTATCCGTACTTTTACAAACAGTAGGTTTTCAGTAGTGGCAGCAAGTTAAACACGGCGTGCACGGCATGTGTGGGGAGCGACGGGAAGAAAAGTTTCGCTGGGCTTGGCTTACAATGCAATGAAGTGAGGGAAACGGGGAGAACAGGAACGGTCGCCCGGCGGTGGGATGTTCCCTGTAACGAAACGGTACGAGCGGTAAATCTGTTTCTCAACAACCACTAGTACACTACGTAGTAGTAGTTGTGACCCTGGAAAACCCACGAATAAGCACCATGTCGCATTCCATTTTGTCTCTGCCCAGGCACACAAGGCCCCAAGGCTCCCAATGTACCGTACCTACATAGTATCCGTCTCCATCCGCAAACTTACCATCCGCAGCGTAATGGTTTTTTTGTGGCACCACCAGTCTGGCGGTAGACCTTCCGTGGCATGTTCTGCTAGTAAATCTATACAACATTAGTAAAGTTCGAAAGCTGGGTCCATCCCCCACTGTACTAGACTTTTAGTTCCATCAGGGTCTTTGGTGCACCAGTGTGCTGGAACACCCCCCCAAATCCTGTCAGGCAACTTCCTTTCCCATCACAACTTACAGAGTCGCTTTTTTTTTAATCACTTGTCTTTTTAGCTGTCCCTGCCCAACAGATCCCCCCCAGAAACCAACCCCCAAGTTGTTGGAAGACGCTAGCTAATGTCAAGGCTTAGCATGACTGACGAGGCAAGTCAGGCGTTCTGAACCACTAAACATGCCCCCAAAAATGCTCTTTCTGTCCTTGGCCGTGGCCTTCCCTTCTTCCCCCAGCCCCATTTGCTGTGGCTTGGGCGAAATCTGCCTGATTTGTGGTGTCAATTTGAGATCCACTCGTTGTTTCCCGTTGTTGCGAGCAGAAATTCTTAGCAATCAACCCCTATGCTATAACAAGGGCAGGGAAGGTGCTGGTCAATCTAGCATGCACTCCGTAACTTCCAATCGGCCTTACTAGTACCTGCCGTGTTCTGTTCGAATAGAGAAGGAACCTCCCCAAAATGACAAACAGTCGAAAGAGCCAGGCGCTGATCAGCTGTCTAAGGGGTGGTTGGTTCCGTCTTTCCCTCCGTATTGTTTCTCCTCTATTGCAGTCAAAAGCCTTTCCGCCTTTCCCTTCTGGTTTCGCTCCATCGAATCAATGATCGCCCTTCCTCAATCTTTCTGTCCCTAAACTGGAATTGACGCCGCTTACCACCCCCATCACAATCTTCCCTGTCAATCTGTCGACCAACTTCCCAAGGCTTCGAGGTGCATCTAGAACCTCCTCCCCCTCCGTTACCTCTGTTATTCGCTGGCACCTCCGTTATCCTTGCAATGACCTCCTATCAATCTACCAATCCTGCTTCCCCTAAGGGTGCCACTGTCGTCTGCTCCTCGTCTGTTCCTCGTGCTACCAGCGCAACACCCTCTAATTAATGCCTTCACACAATGAACAAATCTGCGCTACCGATACACTAACCTGCTCCCCCCGCCTATTCTACTCCAGCACATCAGCCTGCCATATCGTCATACCTACCATGCCACCCCCCAACCAGCACCCCCATTCAACTCCATCTCACCGTCTGGGATGGCCGTTGATAGCCACCACCCCTGTGCACAGTTGGTTACGCACCATGTCAATCACAGAAGCACACAGATGACACATCGTGCACAGCACTACAGGCAACACCACGTCCCTCGCGACCCTATCCGTCCTATACCCCACGATGCCCGCGCGGACGCCACACTACTGCCGCTGCGCTTACACAGCCCCTCAACCCCCCCGGCCGGCCTGTGCTCCTCCACCGATCTAACATCTGTGTGCTGCAGCTATCGTTGACATCGCCTCTTGATCAAAGTCAAATTTTAACGAATTAACTGTGTCTCTGTCTCCATCATGGAACGAAGCACAAGACACACCGCAGTCCAAGAACCGTGTCCGCTGAAGAGAGACATACAGTTTGCGGCAACGGCCCCGTCTGCCGTACCCTAATTTAGCTCCCACTCCAAATGTCAGCCACACCAGCCGCTCAACATGACGCCGTCATCCCCACGATGCCCTCCTCTTCAGCTGGCCTGGGATGACGTTGGCTCAGTGGGACATTTCACTCGGGGACTTCTCGTCTGTCTTGGCTGTCGGTTGCTGACTATGGAGACATACGGAATCGTCTTGCGCAACCATAATGAACTGTGCGACAAACCTTCCAAGGACCCGTGTGTTCCGTTTCGCTCACAATGGGGCCGCTCCCACCGTCGTTGTCTCGATATCCCATCTCCCACAAATCCATCACCGCCTCTTCTTGTCTCCTTCTCCTGCTGATGCCCAACCTCTTGAGCCAGCCCCACGATTCAATCCATCGAGAGACTGCAAGCCGCTCTTGGCTCATTGGCCGTTGCAGCCACGGCCAAAAGCCTCAGATCCCGCTCTCGCTTTGCTGTTCGCCCTCCGGGCAAATGTTCCTGTAATTCCAACTCGGCAGGCTGATTCCTTTTGGGATTTGGTCCCCGGTTCGGTCGGCTTGTCATGCCGCCTGAGTCCCAACCCAACTAGCGCCGCCCTTTACGCCGGAAAACCTCTTCACTTTCGTACCGACTCATCACCAACCAACCCATACGCAGCCCTATTGTAAGTTGGTAGTGCGCCTTTTTGGAAGAAATTATCAATTCGATTTCTCCAGCCTACGAGGCGTCATTGTTGAAGGCTGTGCGATGAGGCACTCATCTCAACTTGCGTCCCAGCCTGCCGATCCGTGTGACGCAACAAGCTCTTCCCGCCATCGATAATAGAATGCCTTCACTGGCCTACCCCTCTGCAAGGTCTTGAGACAGAGATGTCTCAAAACCTTGCAGCAAGAAAGCCGACCTGCGTCTGCTTAGCCAGGGAATAAGACCTTCTGCTGAATTCTCTGCACGTCCGTCCACACATGCGGGTTGCGTTCATCTTGGCTCTGGATTGCGACCGTGTGTCAGACCGTGATTCGCTGGATCGAAGGTATCACCATGCCCGATTGTCGGCCCCGGCCACGACAAACTTTGAGCGCCGAACACGTGCTGTCTCATGCCTGTGTCCTCGTATCTGACAGGGCTCTCTAAACGGCTCTGTGTTCCGTTAGACGGTCCGTCTTGCTGCTCCCAAACTGCCTCGACCCTTCAGGGTCTTCTGGCGGCCCAACACCCTCCCAGCGCACGACGATTTTTCAGGCATCCAGATCTTGGTCGAGTCTGAAAAGGCGGCCAGATAGTTATACGGGAGCCTTGGGGCGCTGCAGTTCAACCATACAATCCCTCGACTTCATCGACTTTGAACAATGCGGCCCAGATCATGCGGCACGGAATTAGATCCAAGCCCTATGTATGGGTCGTGCTGAACGGCCGCATGCGCCTCCCGTGCTTGGTGTATTGGTCGACGACGGATAGCTCCCTCATCGACTGCAAATCAATAGCCGAGGCGCTGATCAGGGCGGTATCAGTACATGTCTATTGCTCCTTTGCGTCCATTCACTGGTCGCGCTCCTTCCGGGTAAGCACCCGACGCTTGTCGAACGGCTGTTGTCGCCGCAATGGTCGATGACATGGAACATCACTGTGAGGCGAAGATGAATATCCTTATTGGGCAACATCTGCACACCCGACATACCTAATGGGACCATACAGTCATAGTACACCTTGAAGCACAAGCTCACGAAGCGGGTGCCTTGCTACTAGCCCGTTGACAGACCCTGATGATCAGGTCTGGAAGCAGTTATCGACTAGTAAGCAGCATGGCACCGGTGATCTCAAGCCCTCCAGGGTTATATGACCTCACTTTCTGGTCAACACCAACGATATGGCCGCAAAGTGCATGCAAGTATCTGAATTCGTGCTCAAACAAAACAGTGGAAGACCAACCACTACTCCGGCCGTTGACGCAACAGTATCTTTCCAAATACCCTTGGAAAACATTAACAGAGCGTCGAACAAGAAATTCCAACCCCTCCTCACCTACGTACCAAAGACCTGGTGATCCCCTCGATACACCTTCTCAGGTGGCATATCAACCTATTGAAGTACCGAGTAGGTATGGCCAAGTTGACACAAGCTCCAACGTTAATTATTGTGTACTATAAACCCGGCCAAGTTGATGGGAGAGATATAGTGAACTTGCCGCAGCTCAAACATTGTCACTCCTCAGTAACAGCCACGTAGTCGAATCTGCTTCGTTCACTCTATTTGCCACGGCGCATTCCCTTCCAACGCTATTGATGCCTTGGAGTCAGTCGGGAGTGTTGTCAGACCAGTTGGGCTGTCTGGTTAATGATCTGAAAAGTGATAGATGGAGAAACGTTTCGATCCAACAAAGCAGTGTTCTGGTGAGTGGGAAAATGGTCTCAAAACGACGCGAAAACTACCCTACCAAACAAGGGCCTGTCGTGTTTCCCGTTCCAATATCGATATTGGCTTGTCCTCGGGCTTCAACAGCGTTTCATCTCTTGTGCAAGTGCACCCAGTCTTATTACTTGGTTAATAATGGTTGAGGACCGGGATGGAAAGTATATCCGCGTTGAGTGTAACGTCGATATATTTACCTCTGCTCGACTAGTCCTGAAAACCATTCGCCTGGTCTCGGTACCAGCATTGTCGTTCTCGGGAAGGCTCTCGACTTTTGCTTTGCCATCTGCACCCTTGCCAACTCGCAATCCAAATGAGTCTCGAGAGGACATGCCCGACGAAGCGCAGGTATGGCGCCGATTCAAGCATCACCTGACCTGGGAGCCAGTTAGGTTTCTACAAAGGACATATTATGAAGCGATTGGTCTCGGATGGCCTCGTGATCTCACGACGTGCAGTGCGTCCATACATGGTTGCCAAATAAAGCCTCCCCCGCACCGGCTGCAGATATATGCGCTGACGGCCATGATTGAACATTGGCCCTTCCTCTGCCGGTGTTCAGGTTTATCTCCCATCGTTCAATACCCGGCTTTCAAAAAGATACCGGTTGCATGGTCAGGCTAGGTTAGAGCCGCCGGCAGCGGAGCGGCTTGTCCCTCGCCTCCTATCATGCCATGTTCGGTAGCTGCAGGCGGATAGATACTGCGTGTCTCACTCTGGGTCAACAACAGACAGGTCCCGGGCAGAACCAGCACTGGGGATCAAGAGCCCTGTCTCGATGGCAATGTTTGGAATAGCATGTCCTGAAATGAACATGCTCTATGATCTGCTACTGTAGATCCTGGCGAAGATCTCACGGGGTTGTTTGGGAAGCATGTTAGCTGACGTTCACAACCAGGAATATTATCAACTTGACTAATGATCAACTTGTGAACAAGCTTTCTCTGCTGCTGACAGAAAGAAAAAAAATTCATGTCAGAGTCCATCGAAACGTTTACCCCGGAGTCTTCACCCCCGCGTTTAGACGTTGCACGAGGATTTTCCGGGTTACGGGTCACCTATGCGGCTCCAGCCATTCATAGTGAGGCAGTGTATCTCACATTTTCTTTTCTTGCGAGGGCCGCCCATCGGAGCTAGCCGGCCGGCCCTCTTCAGCAAGAGTAGCCGATTCCTTCTGTAGGACACGGGGTTTCCGGCTGCCCGACACTCAGCTCGCTCTCGCCGCCTGTGTTTCTGTGAGTGCCTGCTACGGGATTGGCTGAAGAGATTTGGGGGTGCATGATTTGGGGGTTCGGATGGGGGAGTGGGTTAGCGCGGGATGACGGCGTGTGGGAGGACAGGCCACGGTCTCGCCATCTGAACCGGCTTTTTGGTTTTGGCGGATGACTTTTTTTCCGTAACCGACAAATATCGCATGGAGTTTGATTGAGGCTGTATGCTTGCGTAACGGCTGGTTGTTTAGGGAAGCTGTGGGTGTGGCGTGTTTCGCTCTACCTGTTTCCACGAGACTCTGGTGTGTTTTCGATCGCAAAGGCTATGAGTGCCATGGAACCTGTCCAAGGTGTAGATGGCACGGGAGTCGTTGGTCCTTTCTTCGATGAATGGCCCGTCTACCTGATCAGACGCTGTAAAGCTGATGGTAGACTTGTGAGCGTTGTCGTCAGCGCTGTATGTCTGCTGTCTTCCTTGGTCAGGTTTGTTGTATGAAGTCACCTGTCTCAGTCGTCGATGTAGGGTCAGCTGGAGCCGGCTGCGCCGCGTCGATTTTTTCCGTGACATCACCTTCAAGAGGCGTCCAGAGTGCGGTTCGTCCTTGTGATTGAGTTGGGCATTGGGGCATTCGTCTCCATGACGGGTGATCGATCAGTTTATTCTGTAAGGATGGGTATCTCGAGTTAAGCCCTGAGATAGGTGGAGGTCTTGTGGTTTCTTCAAGTTCAGTTCTATTGGTTGACCTGCTAATTCGTGTTCATAAAACGATGTTCTAAGCTTCGTAATGGAACACGTTTGGTCATATTTGATTTAGAACACATTAGTATTCTTGAACGTCATCATCAACTCGATGAGTTGCAGTCATGTAAAGCGGCATAGACTGCGTTACTTTAGGATGTGTCAACGTGTTCTCAAATTCCCATGGTCTCTGCATATGACGATTAGCAACCACACACGATATATCAAAGCTTCCAGCAGTGACATTCCACAATGTGAATCGACCAAGGAGAAACTGTCAATGTCTATTCATATAACGTGATGACGAGATTAAGCCGAACCTTAAAAAAAAAAAAAAAAAACCTACCACAAAATTTCGTCCTTCGTCTTCGGCCGTCGTTTGAACATCGTCATCTGATGTGGTGAAATCTGCCGAAGCATAACATTACAACATGGCCACCTTGAGGGCAGAGCGATTGCATCCGATGAGTTTGTCTGAAAAGTACCCGAAAGCTGAGCAGAGCACAAAATTCTCTGGACGTAGTTTATGTTTTTCCCTAAAAAGGCAGTTTCCTCATCCCCTCTCGTCCGGAGCGTGAGGAACCTAGCAGGTGGTTAGTTCATCGCTTCAGCATTAGGACGTATACGGCGTCTGACTTCCTTGAGATGATGTACACGCCTTATCTAATAATCACGAAACTTCCCCCCAGAGAATATTTGCCATCATAAGCATTCAACCCCCGATGACACGTTGGATGAGTCTGGCCTACACGACGGTTACACTGGGGGGCGCTAAGACGAACAGAAATGGGATATTCGCCAGAATAACTTTCCCGTTATGATTCAAGTCTAGTAGATTTAAACGGGAACTTTCTACCTGTGAAATTCAAACATGACTTACGCCGGTATTCCCTACACGCCATGCATCAAACAAGACCTGGACGCGACGCAAACTGCAAAAAAGGCAATCATCACAACGAACCAACGCAGACCACATCTCCTCAGGCCCCTTGACGACTCTCCAAATTCGACGAGAAATAGTCAATGACAAAGTTCAATAAGGTTCGTACAAGGTCGCGATTGTCAAAAAATAGTCTCCCCAAGACGTCCATCTTGACAGCGATATATCAGGTCAACATGTACATAGTCATAATCAAAGTATACGGACGGATATTAGCCTCCGATATACGATACTCAAATCACCATATCAAAGCGACACTCCCAAATAAGGCAGCAGAAACGACGGAATAAAAATGACTATCTACTAGACATCAAAACATCAGGGCCATTATGCGAAGAAAAAATATAAAAAAAAAAAACAAAAATAAGAAACAAGAGCGTCCCGCAGACGCCGCTCGAACAAAAAGTAGCCACAATAAATAAATAAGCTTGCTACTAGGTACCTAAAGCAAAGTTATGCTACGGGCAGGAGAGCGAATGATCCGTGGGGGAAAAAAAAGGAGGAAGACCAAAAAAAGAAAAAAACAAAAAGAGATCAGAAAGGTTTCTTTGCTTTCGTTGCCCGTTCTAATCTCTCTCTTCCTCTCCTTTTTTTAAAACGCGCGAGACAAATGCATCACACCGACCCGTCGAATCCGTGGCCCATCGTCAAATGCTGTCCCTTCTGCTTCCTCAACGAATTCTTTCTCCCCAAAAAGCACGAGCTCCTCGTCACCAGCCTCCCCAGCGGCGGCAGTTCCCAGCGTGTCCCCTAAGACGGGCTGTTCCATCCCACCCAGCTCCGGGGCATCACGCGCCAGATCTTGACCTCGCCACTGCGCAGGTCGTCGAGCTTGAAGCTCTCCACCTTGACCTTCTTGCTCTCGCGGCCCTGCTCCCAGGCGCGGACCTTCTTCTTGGTGCCGTCCCACTCGGACACGACGGCAACGTGGTCGGGTTTGCCGACCTCCATCGAGTACTTGGCATGCATCGGTCCGTGCTTGCCCTGGAAGCGAGCGTTGCGGATGGAGATGATGTCTCCAGCCCGGATCTGGTCGTTCTGTTGCGTCGACGCGTTGCCCATGTTTGAGTAAACAAGTGCGCCATAGGCCCTGGTGCCAATGGGAGCCAGTGCATCATTGAACGGCTTGAGCAGCTCATGAATGAGGCCCTGAGGCGTTCCGTCGCCGATAATGGTTTCCTTCTTAGAAGCAACCGCCTCAGCGATTGGCCGTCCGAATCGCTCATAAGACTGTTCCAGCTCATCTTGACGGAGAGCTCTAGGAGGCGCATCGTGCCTTTGATCAAGCAAGACGTCTGATGCGTTATTTTGGTCGTACTGCACCGTGATGATCGTCTGCGAGTAATCCTGGAAGAGAACGCGGATCGTACGAACAATGTGAGATTCCTCTGTCGACTCCTCCGTTTCGTAGTAGAGGTCCCGTCTTCCTTGGAACACAGGCGGCACAGTCTTATCCTGGCGCCACCATCCACTTTGCTTGGCCAGGTCAACGTCGTTGGCAATGAAACCAGACTCGACAGAAACAGATGGTCTGTGGGCATCCATGGATCGTCGCTGTGACATGGAAGCTCTAGAAATATCTAGGGACTGACGAGCTCGACCCGTAGGAGGTGCCGGCGGCGGGGCTCTCGAATGCGAAGGCGAGGGTAAGGCCTCTTGGGGGAAGTATCCTTCCTCCTCAATCTTGGGGGTTCGTTGATAAGGAACTCTTGGTGCAGAGTAGTTGTACGGGTCATATTCGTCGTCGTCCTGCGTGGGCACCGGCGACTCCTTGACAGGCGGCGGCGGCGGTGGAGCTCCTCGCGGCACGTCCACAGACCGTCGCTTGTCAGTTGGCGGAGGTGGGGGTTGAGAAGGAATGGGAGGCGGGACCGCCCGAGGAGCCGCGCCGGTTGGAATAGGAGGTGGCAACGTCGGCGGAGCATCTGACACTGGCGATCTGACTGAGTTGTTGTCGTCGAGACTAGAGTCTCGGGCGTGAGCCTTGAGAGCATCTTTGTGCGGAACTGATGAGGCAATATCGGTGTCGTAGTCACCCTCATATTCAGTCACCTCATCTTCATCCTCACCTTGCGGCGGGGGTCTGATTGGCGGTGAAATCGGTGACGCCACGTGCATGTCCTGTGTTGACTGACGGCTCAAAGCACCTCCAGGAGGGGGAGGGGGCGGCGGTCGTGTTTGAGCTGGGGGAACGGCAGGCGCTGACCCAGGAATTGGGGGTGGCAATCGGCTCATGCGTTTGTTTCCAGCACTGGTGGGTGATGTTGGCGACAATTCGTCGCCGGGCTGGGGAATAGGAGGCGGGGAGCGAGCCGAACCACCTGTTGCGACCGGCGGCAACGGAGGAGGCGCGCGCGCAGTCTCTTCAACCTTTGGTGTATCCTGGACACCACCACCAGAAAGCTCATCGTCAGACTCTGAGCCCTCACTCGGAGACTTGATTCCAGCTGTAGGAGGTCGAGCTGTCATTTTGTAAGTTGCTATTCCTGCTACTAGGGGATGATACGTACCTTCGGTTGGCACAGGAGGCGGCGCGGGCCGGGATCCAGGGACGGGAGGCGCACCAGCGGGCTCACGAGCGGGCACTGGGATTTTGGTTAGCAGCAGACTCCAACACCTCAACTGAAGACTCACAACTGGGAGCAGAGCCAACAATGGGCTCGTCATGTGTCTCCTCAACTGTTCGCGGAGGCGGAGGCGGCGCTCTCGGGGAGGTAGGACGCTCAGGCTCATTAGCCTCAACAGGCTCCTCCTGTCGTCTGGGTACGCCCATTCCGGGCAGCGCCATCATGCCCGGCACAGGGACGCGACCAACAGGTGAGGTCTCTTCGCGTTCTTCATCTGCGGGCGCCTCGACAGGCTTCTCAACCTTCTTTTTCTTCGGAGGGGCCGGCGCACCCATCGGAATTCCAAACATGCCGTGCATACCCATTCCGCCGCTCATCTTGGCCATTCTCGCCCGAAGCTCTTCCTTTCTACGAACCTCGGGGTCGACATCGTCTTCCTCCTCCTCTTCTTCCACGTCGTCCTCCTCTTTTTCGTCATCCTTGCGCGCCTCGGTAGGCGACGCCACTTGCGGCCGAGGAATAGGGCGTGGGGCAGCATCACTGTCATCGCGTTCAGTAAGATCCTCCAACCCTTCAGTGGTATCACCGGCTCCCGACATATCCGCCTCATTTCCGTCGTCAGCGGTGGGACCTCGGGAGGACTTGCGCCTGGGCGGGGGCGGCATTCGGGGAGAGTCCACAGAGCTCCGACCGGCACCTTCGTCGGTATCCAGGCCCTCCGGAGCGGCGGCCGCCGTTCCAGCTTCTTCAGTGGCCTCCTGGCTGTCGGTGCGCTTCTTAGGCGGGGGACGCTTAGCCTTCTCTTTCTTAGCAGCAGCATCTGCGTGGCGCTGTGCTTGTTCCATCTGCTGCCTCTGAAGAAGGGCAATGCGCTCCTTCAAACTTGTGGGCTTGGGAGCATCCTCGCCCTCTTCGCCTGTAGGGGCAGCCGCTATACCAGCCTTTTCGGCGGTCTCTTGGTTCTCTGCCTCGCGCTCTAATATCTCGGGGTCCTCGTCTCTCCGGTAGACCTTGGCTACCGGGGCCTGCTGAGGGGGAGGCACATATGCATTTCGGCTGGGAGGAGGCGCAACGAAGGGCTTCTTGATAAAATTAGATCCTCCAGCCAGACCGCTCGGCTTGAAGGGCGTAATTGGGGCAGCCGAGGCCTTATTGAAAGCTGCAATGCGGTCCTTGAAGGCATTGCTAGAGGGCTTCGGCGGCGGGCCGGGCTTCGAAGGAGCGGGGGCGGCCTTGGCGATGGGAGGCGACGTAGCCGCAGGAGATTCGGTACGCTTCGGGGCAGGAGCGGCGGGGGCGGGTTCAGGAACAGGCTCAGGCGCCTTCGCGGGGGCGGGCTCGGGAGCTGCGGGTGGTTCGGGAGAGGCGGGACGAGCAGCGGCAGCAGGGGCAGCGGGGTGTTCTTCCTCTTCCTGAGCTTCCTGGACGGGTTGAGGCTCTGGTTGGGCAGGAGGGTGAACTGGCGCGCTCGGCTCCGAGATGGGAGATGTGACCTCGGGCTCTTTCTTGGGACGAGTTCGCGTTGGACGAGGCGGGGCTTGGGGCTCGAACTTCTCGACGAAATTACGAGGGAAAATGCCTTCATGTTTGACACCGGAGTCGTCGACATATTCTCCGCCGTACCAATCGGCGTCCTCCTCGTCGGTCACGGTGATGATGACGCCGGCGGGGAATTGCAAATCATCTTCATGAGGAGAAGAGTATTCGTACAGGGCCTTGACCCTGAATGGGACGGTCGACATGGCCGGCAACAATCAAATCGTCGTGGAGGTGGGTTGTCGTCGTTAATGTTGGCTTGTAGTTGGAAGAGGAGTCGAGCAGGTCAGAGCGAGCTGTTGCTCTGGGGTGTGGGGCAACGGAATCGGAATCGTCGTCAGCAGCTTTGACCTTTGGGGCGTGGGCTGTTCGTTGCAGTAGCGGGCGGGAAGCGAGAAGTGAGGCGTTATTCGAGCAACGGCGATTAAGCGACTACAGCTCAAGCGCGCAAAAAAGCAGAGAAGGGGAGAAAAAAAAAAGGTTGACGGATAGATGGAGTTGTGGCCGAAAATGACGGTCTTCTCAAACGGATTGAGGGGAGGGGCGCGGAAGGGGGCGGTCGGAGAGAAAGAGGCTGTGACGAGGAGAGACGGGGGTGGTGGGATCTACAGTTGGCGTGTCGACGTCAGCGCATGAACTTGTAACTCTCTTAGTTCAATGTGTCGGGGCAATTGGGGGCCCTACCTGGGAGGGTCACCTATGCACACACAAGAGTCATGTGTGCAATCTGCGGCGCGACAAAGAGAAATGCTTTGCAGTATATTTCTGGACTGCGCGGTTGGCAAAATGGCCTCTCTGGCGATCTCCAAGCTTTTGGGGGTTGGCTGCGGTGCGTCGCTTGGGAAGGGAGCCGCACAATGCGGGTGGGATGCGTCGTTTTTGTCTGCCTGGCCGGCCCAGCAGCAGTAGGTACAGAGGGAATAAGTGACAGGCGGTGCTAAGAACAGGGGTTCATATAGCGGTCGTCCCAAGAGTGTGTGGGCAGAATGGACCAAAAGTCAACGTTCAATATCAATATATCTGTCTTGGTTGTTTTGTCTCCTGCATTCGGTTTGATGATTTCTTGTTGTCTTTTTTTTTCAGAAAAGAAAGAAAACTTGGAGCTTTCTCAAGCAATGACGGTTTCTGGACGCTATGATGCTTCACTATGACCCTCCGCCGTCATGGACGGGAGCAACGGCAGGACTAAGATAGACCAGGCGCAGAGAGAGGCACAGCCTGGCTGTACGGAGCTTCTGGTTGGTTAAGGGAGGTTTAGGTGGTGTACTATGTTAAGTAGATCGAAGTAGAGGAATAAGTGGCAGTAGTAGCAGCAGCCAGCTAGGCGGTAAGGTACGGATGGTTGGAGAGAAGTAGACAGAGGCAGCAGCAGCAGTAGGCAGTAAGGTAGCAGCAGCAATAGCAGCAGCAGGTAGGCAGCATGGGACGGGGTGTATGGTGGTGCGGGACATCCAGCCTTAGGCAATTTGGGGGAGGGGGGAAAAGGCAACGGAAGGTCACTCCCACTTGGACGCAGTACCTCGTGGCACAGGGCAACCCAGTCATACCAGTGTTGGAAGTGGGAGTGGGAAGAGGATACGCTACGTTTCTTCAGCCGCTTGGGCCAATAAGATGATTCCATGGCAATCCAAGCATGGAGACAATGGAGGGGGAAGGAGCGTGGTATTGCTTGCCGGCCAAGCCACCCGAGCACCCCGAGCCACATCTCTACATAGTGGTACATAGTACTTTCGTACCTTTGTTTGGCAAAAAGAGACCACCACGTAGCAGCTTAGCCCCTCATCGGGCACAGGTACGTACCTTGATCTACTTCCTTTTCGCTCAACCCATTGGGGGGGGGATCTAAGTGTGGGGTCGGAACTCTCAAAGCAGCCTCGAATCTTCTCCAATGCTTGCTTAACAATTTTCATCTTCAACTTCATTGCCGTCCTCACTCCAGTTGTGTGCCTCACTCACCCTGGGCCTTGTCTCACTTTCCTGGTATCCAAGGCAACACGACAAGAACACCCTCTCCACTTCATACTCACAACTCACTCATTTCCAACTTGTGGCATCATTTCGCCCAAGCCGCCGTACGCCCGAAAGGCCATCCATCGGACTCATCTACTGCACTCACCTCTCAGCCTCAGAAAGTCGCCTCACTCAACCCAAAATGGCCACCGATGCTCGGCCTCTGAAGGGCATCCTCAAGAAACCTGCTGCTGCCAGTCCAGATCCCAGAAAAGCAGACCCTCGTGAAATCGCCCTTCAGCACGCCCGCATCATCCAACAGCGCAAAGACCTTGAGCTCGAAATCCTTGAATCTCTGGCCCTGCTGTCAGAATACCCGACGGAGCGCGGTAGCACAAAGTACTCCTCGGTTAACCCCTCGCCACGCGACGTTGCCGATTTCAAGGCCAACATCCGCCTGTTTCAGCCCTCCGACTACGACGATCTCATCGAGGAGCGCAACGTCAACGGCCTATGTGGTTACACCCTATGCGGCCAGCCGAAGCCCAAGGCGTCAAAGGGTGGGGAATGGAGGCTTGTCAACTTCGGCAAAGCCAACTTTGACATTGTCAACCGCCGCGAGTCCGAAAAGTGGTGTTCCAAGGACTGTCAGCGCAGAGCACTTTACGTCAAGGTCCAGCTTAACGAGACTGCCGCGTGGGAGCGCATGGGCATTCCCGACATTGAAATTGAGCTCTTCGGAGAAGAAAGGCCCGCCGAGGATCCGGCTGCCAAGGCTGCCAGGGATCTCGCAAATCTTCAACTGGAGGAAGGCAGGAGAGCGGCGGACGAGTCTGCGACATTGGCTCTGGAACGAGGCGAAGTCGGCCAGGCCGGCCGCGGCAAGCAATTCAAATTGGCAATCCGGGAGAAGGAGGTCAAGGCCCCCGTCGACAACGGCGTTTTTACGGGAGGTCCAGACGACGCGCATGTCTTAGTCGAGGGTCACAGGCCCGGGGCTGGCAAGGCACAAGCACAGGCTGAAATGGCAGAAGCTGAACTATCATGATGTAGTAGTATAGGGACGAAAAAGGGAAACGTCAGGATTTTTGGATTTGGAGTATGGGATAGCCTCATCGGTGGCTGGCAGCAAGAAACAACTGGTCGCTCTATGTAGATTTGATACCCGAAAAAAGGCGAACCAGCATTTGAACATCACGCCCACGCATAGCAAGCCGAAAGTGATCATCGACGCCAGGTCGACATCGACGGCGTGTAAACGGACAAGCTTCACAGTTAGAGGAGCAGCGTCACAGTTTAAAGGGGGGTGGTATTGGCAATCAAGCGTCATCTCCGGAGTGCTCCAGGAGAATCGGCGACACCTTGTGTGGGAGAAGAACTTTTTTCCAGTTCCTAAAATGCACTCACTACCGTCCGTGAGACGCCTGTAGCAGCAATAGATCATAATATGCCGTTGCCGTAAGCCCGTAAAAACCACCCATTTTCCTTTCCTGAGCAAATTTAGTCGCGACGGGGGCGGTCGCCGAATCTGCGGCCACCACGCTCCTGAACCTGAGTCTGAGCAACGGGGATAACGTTGACGGGGATGGCCTCGAACTGTATAAAGCATTAGCGCGGTCGTTCCTCGAGAGTTGCGTCTGAGATTGTCGGGAAAACGTACGCCAAGGTGCTTGAGCAGGTCCTTGGTCTCGACGTCGACGTCGAGCTGGCCGCTCTCGGAGTTCTGGGTGAAGTCGAGAGCAGAGATCTCGGGAACATATTGATCCTTGCGCTCACGCTCCTCCTCCTGGAGCTTGAAGGAGATACCGCGGACGGGTCCACGCTGGATACGCTTCATCAAGTGCGTGGTGTAACCAGCAATCTGCAATTGAGTCCTCCGTCAGCATTCTCGTCCATTCCATATCCCATGGCTCGCTGCCAGTGTATCGAAACCACTCTCGTGGCTCCTCCGGGTGTGCTGACCTTGTTGCGCAGGCGCTTGGAAGCGATGATGGCGATCTCATCGCAGATGCGCTTGTTGGTCTCGAAGTCCAGGGTGAGCTTGGGGTAGTACCGCTCAATGATGACCTTGGCGGACTTCTTGACGGTCTTGGTACGAACGCGACCCATTTTGGCGGTATTGGCTCAGGTGTTACTGGGGGAGGTGGTCGGTTAGTGAGGCTGTCGAGTCGAGATGTCGTCAAGAAGTTTCCGCTGAAGGTGAAATTTTGATATGTGTGGCCGCGAAAAACTTTAGGGCAAGCGAGCCGAATGTGGGTCATGCCTCCTAAGCACGGACCTTGGGGCATGATTTGGATGGGCTCACGTGACAGAGTGACAGCGCCGCCCAGCGCCGTCAGGCCGGCCAGAGTGTCCGTGCACTCCGGTCAATGGGTCAAACGGAACACGGAGCCATCGGCCGTTCAAACAACTATGTCTAGCAAGTCGAACACCCGGCCTTATCCGAAAAATTGGCAACGCAGAGCAGAAGGTACAGAATGGCGTATGCATCGTCACTCAGAGCTAACGGTCTACATGTTCATGAAGATCCCATGCTTACTTTGACTTGCATTTTGACGGTCTTCTAATCATAGGACTTGAGAGGCCATATTTTGTTAGTTTGGGGCTGTATTCTTCTTATTTTACAATACCATACATAGTACACTCGGCATGCTGCCCATGTCATACAGGGAAGGCAACTTTATCTATCCTCCATTGTTCAGGCATCTCCTCCCCGGTTCTGTCTCAAAAGGTTTAAGACAAGTCAAGACCGTAGTTCTTAGAGCTTCCGAAAGTCTTGTTCTCGTTCTGGGGCTTCTTGGTAGTTCCCCAAGGTATAGACCTGACAAGCGGCCTCCGTGGCTCGGCCTCGGGCTCAGGCTCGGTTCTGTCGTTGTATATCTTGGACTTGCCAACCAACTCCTTGTAAATGAGCTGCGCCTCCTCATTGGCCTCACCGACAGTAATCTGTACAGAGCCCGAAGAGTCCACACGGGCAGAGGTGGGCTGCACGAAAGACTTGGCTCCGCCCTCGATATCGGGGTCAAACGATGCGATACCAGGAATCAAGCTCTTGCCGCCGCGGAAGGCTCTCTGGTTGAAGGCGGTATCGCCCTGAGGAACGTCGGTAATGAAACCACCAACACCGAGCTTGGCGCTGTTGGTGTCTCTTCTGGGAGAGACGATACGCGCCAGAACGGGGGTTTGGTGGGCCTGGGGTCCGTAGACAGGGTGGTTCTCGGCAAAGGCTGCGGAACGGAGGTACGAGATACCGCCCGAGGGATGGGACATCGGCGGTCCGTTCTCGGCGTACAGGCTGGGACGCTTCGCCTTCTCAGCCGCTTCGCTAAAGTTGACCAGAGTGCTTGGGGGCTGGAGAGGAGCCAGATCCAGGAACTCGCTGACCAGCGAGTACAGAGTAACACGGTCAGAACGCAGCTTGCGCTGGTACTCAATGAGCTGGTCTTCGGTGATATCCTGAGCCAGCACCTTCTTGGGCATCTCAGAGCCTCTGTCCAAAGACTTTTGGTGTTCGGCTGCAGTCAATTCGGTGGCAAGACGTTCCTTCAAGAAGCTGCGGAACTCTTCCCGCTTGTTGCGAACGTTCTTGCGTAGGAAACGGTCGAATTCGCCTTGGGTCAAGCCGGCCAGCCAAGGACCCTTGAACTTCCACCTCTTCTCCTCGGCACGGCCAGGCTCCATTGTTGTGAAATCGCCGTCGTCCTCAAAGACAGACTTGAAGCCATCATTGAGGCCACCCAGGCGGGATCGATTAGGGCCGGGTAGTGAGATGGGCAGGTTCATCTCGTGGAACTTTTGGAGAGTGATGGTGTGGTCGGCGGCAGATTGGTAGTCGGTGATTCTCTCGACGGAGTCGATCTGCTTAATGCGAACAACGGGGGTAGACGACTTGGTCGTTTTCTGCACGGGAAGAGAGCGCTTGAAGCCCCAGTCACCGATGGCCCTTGAGGACTCGGGGGTGGTGATGGACTGGTGTGTAGGATACGGCGCGGTCGCAGTCGGAGAGAGGTAGCGCGAGACGGATGCAGCTTCACCGCCAGGCTGTGGAAGTGGCTTCGGGACGGAGAACATCCGCGATGTTCGCAAGAGCGCCCCTCCGGGCGACAATCGGGCAGACATGGCGGCTGTCTGAGCTCTGTCGTGAGCTCAATCGTCAGTCGTATGTATCGCGAAATGGAGGCTGCTGCGATGTGTTGCGTGAGAAATTTCAATTGGAGCAACCCGGAAGATGCCGACATCATTTGATTGGACAACAGCTACCCCTGCAGGTTGATGCAGCATCGGAGGTCTCTGGGAGTCCAGGCGCGGGACGGGAAACCCAGTCAGGGATAGGTACCTTGGGCATGAGTGTGCCTGTTAGTGCTTGTTGTGTCCTAAAGTTGCTTCAAGGCTGTTCAAAGAGAAAAAACTGATCATCACGGGTTTAAAATTATTCTTTCATGGAATCGGTGATAGGGCATATATTTTTAATAATTCTTTTTTTATTTTATTTTTTTTAATTCCTTTAGTGCACAAGAACATCTCTGGAAGTCAGTTGAGGACTGAAAGCAAACAGTACAATAAGAAGGGCGCATACAGACAGGATTGGTCCCCCGCTAGCCTATGCAAACCCCACTACAAACTAATTAGGCACCTTGGATGGGAAAGGGCACCTTCTAGCGCATCGAATTTGGTGACTTACATTTTGAAGCCACACGCAACCTCTGATTTCCTTCCCTTGCTTGCACCAGCAGCCCTAGGACTGCACGATCGTCCATGTGGATAGCGAAAAGGATGGCGTCAACCACAGTCGGGTCCTCGCCCGCTCTCACATTCGAGCTTGTCGCTCGCTGCTCAGTAAGTATTCATGTGATTGTACAACCACCCACTACGAAAGACCTTGGCTGACAACTTAGGCTAGACAACAAGAGCTCGCGCATCCATCCTGACGCTTCCCCATGGTTCGGTCCAGCTTCCCATGTTCATGCCAGTCGCTACACAAGCCTCACTTAAGGGCCTGACTCCTGAGCAACTTGAAGAGACCGGCTGCAGACTGTGTCTAAACAACACCTACCACCTCGGCCTCAAACCTGGACAAGATGTCCTCGACGCTATCGGCGGCGCGCATAAGCTCCAGGGATGGAAGCACAATATCTTGACAGATAGTGGAGGGTAAGAAGGTCTACACACGTTCTTGCGCAAGAAAAAGGGACTGACGGGCCCTTAGTTTCCAGATGGTCAGTCTTCTCAAACTGGCCAAGATCACCGAAGAGGGTGTGCGTTTTCTCAGTCCTCACGACGGCTCCCCGATGCTTCTGACCCCCGAGCACTCCATGTCGTTGCAAAACTCCATCGGCAGTGATATCATGATGCAACTCGACGACGTCCTCGTTACGACCTCACCCGACGCCGCCCGCATGCGCGAGGCCATGGAGCGCAGCGTTCGCTGGCTCGATCGTTGCATTGCCGCTCACAAGAATCCCACCTCACAGAATCTCTTCTGCATCATCCAGGGAGGCCTAGACCTCGAAATGCGCCGCGAGTGCACCCGCGAAATGCTCGCCCGTGACACTCCTGGAATTGCCATCGGCGGGTTGAGCGGTGGTGAGGCCAAGGCAGATTACTGTCGTGTTGTCGAGACATGTACTGAACTGCTACCCGACTTGAAGCCGCGATACGTCATGGGTATTGGTTATCCTGAGGACTTGGTCGTGAGTGTTGCGTTAGGCGCGGATATGTTCGACTGCGTATGGCCCACAAGGACGGCCAGGTTTGGTAACGCAGTCACAAAGGAGGGGGTCTTGAACATCCGCAACTGGAAGTACGCGAACGATTACGGCCCGATTGAGGAGGGCTGCGGCTGCATATGCTGTCGAAAGGGCGAAGGCAGCCTAGGTGTTACTCGTGCGTTTATTAACCACAATGCGGGCAAGGAAACAGTGGCTGCTCATTTGCTGAGCATACACAATGTGTGGTATCAGCTGAACCTGATGAGGGAGGTCAGGCAGTCCATCATCGAGGACAGATTCCCTGCCTATATCAGGGAGTTCTTTGGTGGGCTGTACGACGACAAGTCAAAGTACCCCGAGTGGGCTGTAGGCGCCCTGAAAAGGGTAGGGGTCGACTTAATGAAAGATTAAACACGCTTTGCATTATTTGACGTGACACTGTCCGCGAGCATGACTTTATAAAATCAGCGAAACGAGACTCATGATGACACAAATAGATCCGTGAACTAAGCCTCTTGGAACCTTTTTTTTTTTTTTTCCAAGTACCGCAGATGAGAACGACCTACCCTAGACGATTTATTGTTTAGTAGCGGTGCCAGACTGATCAACAACTCTCTTCTTCACGTCATGTTCTCAAATGGTGAACCCCCCCCACTCCAAATGGAACTGCCTTCATCCAGTTTAAACTTGAACTTGAACGCCAGACGCCCACAGTTCTTCCCTCATCATGACCCGAAGAATCTCATTCAAAGCACACCCCAAAAACTTGTCGACCAAATGGTTTTCGACAAAGACGTTATTGATACGATCATAACTGGCTAAAACGTCCTATCGTCCGCCTTTAGCTAACCACCTCACCAAGAACTTCAGTGCCAATCGTTCACTCACATCACCAGGTGCGTATGGGTTCCTCTCAATCTCTTCAAGCTGTGCGGGCACAGTGCCGTGTCTGTCTGCGAGGCGAGGTATATCGTCGATCCACACCTCTCTGGTGCCCCGAGACTAGGGTCCCAAGAGGTCATTCGGCGCACGGTCGAGAGAACGTAGCATCTGCCTGGTATCTATAGGGGGCAGTCTCCTCATGCAGATGACGGTTCACTCTCGGACTTCGTTGGCGACGGTTCTGATTTGGGGTATAATCGCTCTGGTCTCCATGACCACAAAGAGGGGAACCTGGCGCATCTCTGGTGTCTACAAAGCCCCAGTGAGCATTTTCTGTCCTTGTGGTATTGTTTTGATGGAGAGATGGGAAATTTATACAAATATGGCCGCATCGCTTTCATCGCCATCCGGTCTGCAGGCCATGAATTCCAGAAATCGGATGGTGATGAGCTTGAGGTTGTCGATGATTCCCGGGACACCGGCAAGAGTGACTGTTTCTTCTGGCCTTCCTAGAGGCACGATGTATGGAGATTTTTCAGACATTTTGTGGCTTTCTGTGTGATGCTTAATGAATAGGTACTTGGGAACGTTCGTTCTGCTGTTGTATTTCCATGGGTTTCATATCGATCCTGGAAGCTTGTCACAGTCACTGACAGGGAATGTTGTGAGCAAAGTGCTTGCGCTTGAGATACTGACAAGAAGTCCATCAGTGCCGTGGAGCTCTAGCAACTTCCGTCGCATCATCGTTGGCAGACTGGCTCATCGTTAGTTTCCCATTAGATAACCACTGACTTGTCAAACAAATGACCCTGAGCCACAGACATCACATGTATTCTGTTTAGTTTTCCCATTGGCTTAACGGAAGGCTTCCTTCTCCAGCCAGCGATACTCAAGCTGGCTATTTCTGAGGCGTTGTTTTGGGATGAATGCGTAGAGGGTACGTTTGAGCTTACCCTTTGAGGAGAGTACAGCAGTGAACTCGGTTGCTTCAGATACCCAAACAGATATTGCTTATTATGATATACAGAATCACTTATTACTATGTCTATCAGCGTGAAAGACAATCAAGGTAAATTACCTGCTACTTAGGTTGCCGTCTGAGGCAAATCCCGGAGCTCACCATGCTACTAGCCTGCAATGGTTTTCGCAAAGTCACGAATGCCATCACAACGAGCTTCGACGAACACGCTCCTATATCATCATCTTTATAAAGTGTGAAAGAATATTACCCAAATTCCCATCACTTTCTCCTTATCATTCTAGCCAGCCTTGGGACGCATTGACGCTGTTGTGGTTTCTTCAGAAAGAGATACATGCGCAAGTAGCACGATAATAACAACCACAAACCAAGGATTTGGCCTTACAAAAGCATCGTACCGTCATCCATACTCATTGGGGCGACAACTATGGTGGAAGATGCCGGGTAAGAACCTGACAAGGTCTCGTTCGTTGTTACTGCCGAATAAGCCATCTCAATGGTTGTAAGCCATTCGGGTTTAGGTGGGTAAGGACCACAATAGCAAGGAGACATCGCGAAAATAGCCTATTGAAGTGGCAAGTTGGTGTATTTCACCTTAGGTTGTTAGGTGCTCCCGGGGTGAGAGAAGAAGGGAGAATTATTGAGTATGTAGTCTGGCTGGCTTGTCCAAGCCCTGGAGTGTAGTGTTGCAAATAAGACTTACGAAACGCACTGCTCCATCTAAGATAATTCGCTTACTGGTAACGTTATGCTCTGGGTCGCAGCGGAGCTGATGCAACCCATTATTTGTTCGCTCATGAATGCGCAAGTCGCGGACCTCAAGGTTTTTATCTGACACACTGGAAAAGGAGCACAACCTCTGGGGCTCAAAAGATAGATTACAGCCATCTGCCAAGACATGAGGAGATTCAGCATAAAAACGAGAGGCAGAAAAGAGGCTGGACTATAGGTATAGTATGTTTTTTTTCCCCTTTTTACCATCATTTCTGATTATTTGATGAATAACCGGCTAAAACAACCCAACGAAAATGAAAATGCACGCTGAGAAAGCTTTTTATCATTGGTGTATTGGGTCCAAGTCTTTTTTCTAGTAAGCAGCTTTCGAGCTCCTGCAAGATCCTTCAATGACGCCGGGCGTCAGAACAAACTGCTCAAGTTTTTTATTTTGGCGAAGACGAGGCGGGTGACCCAGTCGTTGCGGCACGCCCATAGCACATATAGGAGGGTGACTGAGAATAATCACCTACCTGAGCCTGGCTGAAAAGATATACTGGAGGTCCAAAAATGTGGTTAATGACAGTTGGTCAGCAAATATCCAATGCAGACGGGTTTAGGTAGAGATATCCGTAGTCGCAGAAACGGATGTGCTGAACAAAAGTTTACATAGAAGATCTAAAGAGCAACTCAAGGCAATGTCAACCGATTGCAAATTGTTGACTTGTGATAGTACCTCTCGAAAGTCATTTACCTGGGGCTAAGACTCAGCAGTAATACGATGTATTGGCTAACAGGTTCTTGGTAGTTAAGTGAATGCTATGTAGGATGCTTTATGAAGCTCGCTTCTAAACTGACTCTATCGCTTATATCGGCCCATAATAACAACCATAGATTCGAGTGCCTGCCTTGCCGGCAACCGAGACAGATGTTAGTTGATTGACCTCCCCCCCATGTGCGATGGGGCCCACATCAGCTCGTGGTCATGGCTTGGAAGATATTTTTTTATTTCCCTAAAAGGTTTGCGACTCGGGTCGGCCCTAGTTCGTGTCACAAATATGGGGGGCGCCATGCAGATTTCAGCAAGAAAAGACCGTGATGGTCTCACATGAGACAGTGTCGCAGAAGATATTTGATAAAGAGTCGAGCGTTGGATGGAGACACCCCAAAGAGAAGGAAATCAATCAAATCGCATTATCCCATCGACGATCGACCCCCACTTGGCGTAGTTGATGGTCCACTAAAAAACTTTAGTGGCCGTTTCCTTCCTACACTACACCTGTGGCCTGCTACGGTAGTACCGCCTTGCACTAGGTAGGAAAGAGACTCACTCTCTTTCAGCTCGAAAAGGGATATGGCGGGTGTGCCCCGCTTCCCCTTTCTGTCCTGTTTGTATTCACGTGATCGCAATTATGCCCCAGTCGCTTTATGACGCGTTATGTACTCTGTATACATACCAGACGCGATTTCTGACGATGTGCTGGCGGGCGGGTCATCAACAACTAATTAACACCCACTTGCCTGACGTATCCGCACTGGGACCCTGCCACCTTACCCTGTCAATACGGGAATGGAGAGTTGACAGAAGAAGCAAATAACACCGCCTTTCTGAATTTCTTCTTCAACACCGTGTTGCACATTCTTTTTTTTTTGTCCTTTCCTCTCTCCTCTTCCAGGGGTTGATTTCGCACATTTGAAGATTCTACAATCCATGGGACTCGTGCTGCAGTCATGGCCTCTCCATCCAACAGGGCGCCGTTGCGGCGCCAATCGACATTGAACACGCCAACTGATGCAGACAAGGACCTGTCGCATTCGCTGAAGCAGCTTTCTCTCTCGACTTCTCCCGCTGGCAGACCACCCCGCCCTCAAAGTGCGCTGTCGCCTTTGAGACCAGCCGTAAACAGATCGTCTCCCGCACCGAGCCCGCGAATGCCGTCCCGGAGCCCCTCCCTTGCGAGGGAGCTTTCCCGCTCACGATCCTCCACTCCGACGCTGCAGCGATCTGCAACACCGACCCTCCAACGAAAGACCTCCACGAGTTCCTTGCACTCAGTCACCGGCCCTTCAATCCGCACGCCCAGCAGGGCGCCGTCACGAAGGACGAGCATGGCACATGCCTCTTCGCCGGTAGCCAAGTCTCCTCTTCGAACGAGCCCCCCTGAATATATAAAGCCCCCACCCACAGCAAACGCCATTGCCCGCGACTACTTCAAGGCTGAGCTAGCCACACATCATTCTCCAACTTCGACCCTTGGGACGGAAACTGTCGTCATTTTACACGATGCTTGCTACGGACACCGTTTCTCCCGTCCAAAGACGTCGCGGGCCGCTCTCAGCACCATTGTTGAGAGACCAGAGAGAATCAAGGCCGGCGTGCTTGGTGTAGCCATGGCTTATGTCCGATTGGGTGAGAGACATTGCGATGGCGCCTATCCTCTTGGACCTAGTCTGGATCCCTCCTCCATCCCTAATATCCCGTTCCGTATCTACAAGACTGAACGAAGACTGCCGCTTACATCGCAAGCCGTGACCAACGTCCACGGCACCAAGTGGATGGAGGAGCTGAAGACCATGTGTGATGTGGCAGAAGCGAAACTGTCAATGGGAGGCAAGGAGCTTCAGCGGCCGGACATGAACCGGGGCTCGGACCAGACACCACCAGCAAAACTGCATGAGGGTGACCTATACCTCTGCTCGGAATCTCTGGAAGCGTTCGAGGGTGCGCTAGGCGCAGTGTGCGAGGCAGTAGACAGGGTATTTACGTCAGGCCCGCGGCGAGCATTCGTTGCGGTACGACCACCAGGACACCACTGCTCAGCTTCTTACCCCTCGGGCTTCTGCTGGGTCAACAATGTTCACGTTGGAATCATGCACGCCATTCTGGAGCACGGCTTGACGCACGCTGCCATCATTGACTTTGATCTTCATCATGGTGACGGCTCACAGGCCATTACATGGGCACACAATTCCCGTGGGGTTAACATGGCCAAGAACGCCGCTGCATGGAAGAAGGCATCTATTGGCTACTTCAGTCTGCACGATATCAACTCATACCCCTGTGAGATGGGAGACGAAGAGAAGGTCAAGAACGCCAGTTTATGCATCGACAACGCCCATGGCCAGAATATCTGGAACGTTCACTTGGGATCGTGGAACTCTGACAAAGAATTCTGGGACTTGTATGAGTCCAAATATTCGGTCATTCTTGAGAAGACACGCAGCTATTTGAAAACTCAATCAGCCCGTGTACGTGCTCTCAACCTGCCTCCGAAGGCGGCCATCTTTTTCTCGGCGGGCTTCGATGCCAGTGAGTGGGAGACCAAGGGCATGCAACGTCATAATGTGAACGTGCCAACCGAGTTCTATGCCCGCATTGCTCAAGACGTCGTCAAGCTTGCCGCAGAAGAGGGACTGAGTGTTGATGGTCGTGTCATCAGTGTTCTCGAGGGAGGCTACAGCGATCGTGCTCTGTACTCGGGTATTTTCAGTCACTTGAGCGGACTTTCAGGGGACCAGACGGTGGTTGAGGCGACCAGAGGTCGTTCATCTCTCGGATACGAGATGGGACAGAGAATAGGGGCTGTCCGTGAGGACCAGCCCATCACAGACAAGGATTACTCCTCGCCGTCGCTACATCCATATAACCCATCTTGGTGGTCAGCCGCAGAGCTGGACGAGCTGGAAGTGGCCATGGGAAATCGCCCAGCGAGTCCGAGAATGATACGACATGTGACACCGCCAACTTACTCGTCTCCTACGCAGGCTTCCATCGGTAAGGCCGTTGATCCTGCTAGGATGAGACGGATGGCATCGGGCCTGTCCAACGGGGTGTCGTATTCTCGGGCGCCAACACCACCTCCTCCCGACGTGCACTGGACTGTCGCAGCTCATGAACTAAGTCGTGTCCTTATCCCGTCGGATCGCCAGGTCGACAGCTGCAAGCCGGAGGACTTGAATGCAGAGGCAACGAGAGCGCGCCGGGACCGTCAGTCGATTCTCAACCCAGAGCTGGTGCCTCCCACGCCCCCTACACCTCCCCCCGTGGAGAGGCCTACTTCCCGTATGTCGTTGAGGGAACGCAAGGGTGCGAGACCTAATTATGCGGAAGAGGACGATAGTCAGTCCAAGAGCCGAAGGAGGACGCTGGCAGGGTCTGCGGCAATTTCTACGGAGAAGGTTAGTGGTTGATACGTTGAGATTGGATTCAAAACTGACATAATCGATAGGCTACAGCTCGAGGTATTCCGTCCGAGGCCAACGGAGCGGCCAAGCGACCTGGTCGACGCCTTAGTGCGGCATCTTCTGTGGTTTCTGCGGCTCCCACGGCACCATTCGAAAGCAACGGATTCCCTCCTCGACCCGACACGTCACTCACCATCCGTCCGGAATCCTCAATGAGTGTAAGGACCCAAGGTGGCACGTCTCTCAATGTAAAGAAGACTAGGGCCCCCGCCTCTAGGAAGGAGGCGCCTAAAACCACAAGAACTGTGAAAAAGCCAGCTGCACCGGCAAGGACTACTCCTCCACAACCCGTTCAACCTTCTCAACCACCGCAAACCAGGTCAAGTCCTGCGGCCGCTGCTTCAGAGGACGATATGGACAAGCTTACCGCTGGTATGAAAAAGATCAAGATCAACCTCATCACCAAGACGCAAAAGGAAGAGCGGGCTCGAGCTGCTCAGGCTGCTCAAGCTGCTCAAGCTGAGCAGGTTGCGCAAGCAGCGCAGGTCAAAATAGAGACACCACCGGCTGCTGAAGAGCCGAAGCCAAGTACCCCGATTCCAGCCGAGGACGTTGTCCCAGTGCCATCACCACCCGTTGTCACTCCCCCGAATCAGCCTGTGGCCACATCACCAATGGAGCCTGTGAATTTGGAGTATACATCCTCGCCAGACCCTCTGGCTCCGACACCTAGAGTGCCAAAATATGTCCCAGAGCAGATGCCAACGGCTCTTAGCCCAGATGTGCATCAGGCAGACCTGCCTGCCAGTTCGCCTATCACACCACCTACGGTAGAGGAGCCCTCAAGCGGAGATGTGTTCATCTCGTATCAACCAGAGGGCCCAGCACCTGTCGCCATCACCCCCCAAGAGCCACTCAAGTGGCTCCCGCCCAATGAAAATACACCCGTCAAGAACTCTCCGGCAAAGTCGCCATCGAAGGTATCGCCGTCCAAGAAGTCGCCGACAAAACCATCACCAGCCAGGCTTTCGTCACCTAGAGCGCTGTCGTCTTCCAAGCTGCCCCTAGCTAAGATGAATCGGGCGGACCTTCCCGTATTTACCTCGACGTCAGCCATTCCTTTCGCGCAGCCAAATATGAACAGCAAACCGAGCTCTAACGAAGAACCAGCTGTCAAGTCGGTTTGGGAAATACCCGAGACGCCGCAAAAGTAGCGCTGCTGTATTTCGGTTCCGCGAATTGCCACATTGGCGGGCTAGGGTCCGAACAAGGGTCGAAATTTGGGTTATCTCGCTCGCTCCCGCATTAAAAGACATTTTTGTTTTGTTTTATTCTTGTTTTCCTTGAGTTATTATAGAGCCTTGATTTTAAGGATCTGGCCTGCGAGCCGTAGGCTTGGAGTTCGCTGTCATGATACCCTCTCCCGTCCGAGTTTATTCTTTTTGTCTGTCTTGAAGCTACCATTCTTGTACGTTATTTGTAATTACCTCGTGCTCCCGCTAGTTTGAGGCAATTGACGTCTTCTCACCGATGCATCGACTAACGCTTACGTACTCAACCATGCTCACTATGAACCCCTATGCAATGCAGGCCTCCGAAGCTGCGCAGTCCATGTAATTCGTAACCCCACCAAGGGTGTCCTCGGATGCGCCAAGCTTGACATGCGGAGGGATGTGACGGTGGGAAATATGTACGTCAACGTGGACGGATCAGCATCAGCCATTTGCTGCACGGCGCGCGCGCCCGCCGGACCCGAAAAATTCTGAGGCGGCGGGGAGGGAGGGGGGAGTTTAGGGAAAATTCACTGCACCACAGCTGTTCGTTCGGCTTCGGCTTTGGAGGGGCAGAAGGGAGGGGCACCCGCCGTCACACTCCGCGACTCGTGGTGCTCTCTAAGAAGACAACAATCTGACCTCTCATCACTCACTGATTGGCGATACATGTGTGAGGGAATCTCGTTCGTCGGAATTTTTGAACATCCACTCTTCATTATCATAGACGTCTTTGGTTCGCATATACCTTGCCTTCCCTATAGATTCAGTCCATTTTGTTCCTTTTTTCTTTTCTTTTTTTTCTTCTTTTTCTGACGGCGCTACTAAGGTTTCCCACTCGCTGACACACCTGTACGGGGCGTCATAACCTCGACTCATCCTCCTCCTCCTCTGGTTCATCTCATCTCGCATCGACCTCACTTACACACACACCGCTGCTCAAAATGGCGTTCACGATGCACTCCCACTCGGGGCAGTTCTGCCCCGGCCACGCAAAGGACCAGCTCGAGGCCATTATCCAGCACGCCATCAGTATAGGCTACAAGACGATGGGTTTGACGGAGCACATGCCCCGCCTCGAGATTTCGGATCTTTACCCGGAAGAGGTACTTTTTTGCTCATTAACTTTTATACATAATCCATGTTTTTTTTTGTTTTTTTTATGAACCCGCAAACTTGTTACTATCCCGGGGTGTATGTGTAGCTTACGCGATGAACAGCTTGAAGAAGGCGACGCGGAAAAGTCGCTCTCCGTCCTCGCACCCCGCCACGAGGCCTACCTCCTCGAAGCCCAGCGCCTGCGCGAGAAGTACGCCTCCCAGATTGACCTACTCATCGGCTTCGAAGGCGAGTGGTACCGCCCTTCCTACGGACCGTTCATCAAGTCCCTCGCGGCACACCCGGCGGTGGACTACTTTATCGGCTCCCTGCACCACGTCAACGCCGTGCCCATCGACTACTCCCGGGAGATGTACATTGACGCCATGAACTCCGCCGGGGGCAACGAGGAAAAGATGTACGAGAGGTACTACGACCAGCAGCACGAGATGCTCACGGCGCTGGAGCCCAAGGTCGTGGGGCACTTTGACCTGGTGAGACTGATGAGCGAGGACGCCGGCCGGGACGTCAGGCAGTGGAAGGGCGTCTGGGAGAGAATCGTTCGGAATTTGGAGGTTGTGAGGCGGTACGGCGGATTGCTCGAGTGTAACAGCAGCGCTTTGAGGAAGGGCCTCGCGGAACCTTATCCCTGTCGGATTATTGCCGAGGTGAGTTTGTTCCCTTTTTTTTTTTTTTTTTGTCTCGTCTAGTGGATGAGACTGGATGAATCTTTGCGGTTGCGTGAGTTTGCACGGTTGCGCTGACTATCTCGTGTAGGCATGGCTTGAGATGGGAGGAAGGTTCACGTTTTCGGACGACAGCCACGGCATCGCTCAGGTCGCGACCAACTACAAGCGTAACCTGGACTACCTCGAGAGCCTGGGTGTCAAGGAGGTTTTCACCTTTGAGAGGGGTCCCGTGGAGGGCGTCAACGGGGATGCGAAGTCGGTGTTGCGAGAGAAGGCTGTGGCGTTGGGAGTGTTTCGTGAGAGTTTTTAGATGAAGATGGCCGGGGACGGTTGGGTTAGATGTTACTATAGAGTTTAAAGCCGGACTAAGACGTCGTATAGGCTACGAGAAACAATTGACTGCATGTATATTGATGGATATTTTTGTTGTCTTGGGATTATACTGTGTGCTGTGTTTTGAGTACCTATTTCTCTAATGTGACTGAGTGCAGACATGGAAGGTAAGTTCCCAGGGCGCCCTGATTCCCATCAAGGATGAAAGCTGAAAGCTTTGAGAGTGCAGATACACAGCATCTTGGTATTACGTTACAAGAAGTCATTCCATCTCGGGGTTCGAATACACATTTAGGGGTGGTATAAGAAGAGCATTGGAAGTTTTGTGGGTTTTTTTGAGCCTCTTGTAAGACGTGACAAAGTTGCGATGAGCGATGTTGATGCTACTACGGGGTATAACTCGTTTTATGGCACACAATATATACACTGGCTTGTCAGCTTTTCGAAGAGATTGGCATCTGTTCAAGAGAGACACAATGGCTCGCAGACAGTAATGCACTACAGTCGGACTTCGAGCCCTGAAGAGGACGACAAGGTGTTGCATCCACATGAAGCGGATCCTGGGCGATCACTTCTAGGCCCCGCTAACTTTCTAGCAGAACCAATGTCGTACAAAATAGGAAATACAAACTGAAGGCATCCAAGTTTTCCCTGTCTCTAGACATCGTCCTACGACCTCTTTACCAGACACGCTAAAACTGTGCGCTAAATCTATACGCAAGCATACCGCCATGCTCTGAATCAAAAAAGAACCTCTATAGAACCCAAACCAAGCAAAAGAAATGACCCCAACCCGATTTGAACGGATAACCTTTCGATCTGGAGTCGAACGCGCTACCGTTGCGCCATAGGGCCGCTTGCCGAGTTGAATGCTATCAACTGCGGAGTTGACATCCCGGAAGCACAACGTGTCCATGTAGCTGCACGATCTGCCTCATGTGGGGCAAACACTAATGAGAAGCGGATCTTGAAGGGTCCCTGATGCCTCTGGGGTAGCTTTGCCGCGTCCCGACTCGTACTTTCTTCCGGCGGACGTTGGGCCACGGAGCTTCAAGCCCCGGTGCTCGGGGTCGAGGGTTGAGAAACAACTCACTAGAATGACACCTCTACACTCCACTTCCTAGGTGATTTTATACAACGAGGCAACAATTCAAGCTCCTGTGGTGCAGCTGTATTATCTCCTCGGTTGATGACCTGCAAATCCGAGCAACTTTTTGCTAGTTGTTTGTTGAGCAAGCTTTATTTATCGTTTTAACGAATAGAACCTGATATGGTCCGAAATGATACCCTAGCCTGATGGATGTATACATCCCTTGTTGCGTCTTGTGAGAAGCAAAAAATATGTTGTGAAAAGACATATTCCGGTTACCTAGATGTAGCAACCTCGGCCTTGGTAATTGCTGCTCGTGATTGGTGGGCGCTAGCTACAGTCGCGCTGCTTTATATGGCCGCTACGTAAATTCACAACTGGTTACTTAAGCGTCAAGTTTAAAATGGCTCTTGAATCATGTAAGTCGGACTAAAATACCACATCTCAGCAGTGAAGAAGGCCGGTTGAGAGAGCAGCAAGGCTAGTGGTGTGAAAAAGATAGTTGTATGCACATATCCAGCGTGCGAATGTAAGACTCTCTAGGTACCTGTTCCGTTGCTTTTGACAACGTCGCCAGTCCAAGCTGAACATTCCATGTCACTAGTAGCTATCTATCAAAGCATCCTTAGAAAGGCAGAGCTCACAAGGTATTCAGTCTCTGCTTTCTTCGACAAATTAGCGTATCCAGGAACTCAAACATTGACTTTCTGACGTGCAGACCAAAGTTCTGGGTCTCGGAGAGATTTTCCCCTCAGCCGCCAACACGCGGTTGAGGAGGCGTCTCTAGCTACATCCGGCATTCATCCACGGTTTCATTGGGCTGGCGCATTTGGGTTTAGGCTTGGAGCTCGTGGCTAACAGGGACCAAGCTTCAGCCCCTCCAAATCCTGGCCTCGACAGTGTCGATCATCAACCGATGCAACCTTGGCATGAGTTCCGAGAAGCGCCCCAAAACGCCATGCTGTAGCGGCCCCTTGCCGCCTGGCCGGCTTCATCGACGACACAAGAAATTCCTCCGCAACTGGTTCAGCATCTCTCATATTCGTTTGAAGCTGTTCTAAGACACTGCAGGAGCTGAAAAGCAAACCATGCGGGGATAAAACCAACAGTCTCCCAGAGTTGATTGCTTGTCGAAGGAACCCGTTCAATCTTACCTTGATCTGTGATTCGACAGCTTGTAAAGCTCACATGCCATGCATTTTACACAGAGTCGGCGCATGCTTGCGGGTATCCTATTCAGCATAGGATTGGCCTCTGCTCTGGACGATTCTCAGGCTGACTTATACGCACCTGTACATGCAAAATGCCCAGACGACTTGCGAGTGCGACCTGCTTCAGAGGTACGACGAGCGCTATAATTTGGATGTTCTCCTAATTTCTGACCTATGCCAGGGGTTATCACGATCAGAGTCCTCATGGAAAGCAAGTCGCGGAGAGAAGGCCATCCCGGCGCTTAGCAGCTACCTCACACTGGCCAACATTGATGGCTTCAACGTTCAGGAGTATATCCAGCGTCTGAACTCGACAAGCTACCCTGTAGTTGGCCTCGCCATTTCGGGAGGTGGCACACAATCCGGTGTAGGAGGCCTAGGTATATGGCAAGCTTTTGATGCCCGCAACCCTGCGGCGGTACAAGCTCGTACGGGAGGACTCACACAGGTTCTCTCGTACCTCACCGGCCTCAGCGGCGGAGGTGCCCTCACTGTCAGCACACTGTAAGGCCGACCAGAGACTTTACAATCGTATCAATTACTCACATACAGGTTCCAGTGCTTCGAACGACTTCGTCACCGTCACGGATCTCAGGAAACAGATCAACTTCGCGACCGACTATACCAAAGGCAAAGACGGAAATCAGGACCAGTATCTCCAGACTATCTTCGATGACGTTGCCTCAAAGGCCGAGCAGGGCCTCCCCGTATCCGTCGCCGATGTTTTTGGATTCTTCTGGGCCACCTACCTTCCAGAGAAGAAGACTTACAACAATTTCTCGGACCTCGCCGCTCAGGGAACTGTCTTCTCCCGCGGCGAGGGTCCGATGCCAATCATCAGCCTCTCCGAGGTCATTCCCGGCCAGTCGCCCAACATTAACAATATTATGTGGCCTGGCCGCACCGATACCAACGGTTTCAATCTGACATCGTATGAGGTCACGCCTTTTGAGTTTGGCAGTTGGCGCGGTGGCAGGGTGCAGGCTTTCATGCCGACAACCTACCTCGGCACGTCAATGTCTAACGGCACATCTCAAAATAACAGCGAGTGCGTACGAGGCTTTGACAAGTTCACTTTCATTCAAGGTTCCACGGCAGATGCCTTCAATGCATGGTTCATCGATGAATGGTACAACATCCCGGTGTTTGCGAAGCGGAAGCTGGAGGATAGGCAAACGCCGTCAGCGAATATCACGGTTCCCCCCGAATTTGAGAAAGATGGGCGGGTTCAACTCGTCAGTGGCGTCGCCGATGAATTCAGGCAAACTTTCAATGAGTCTCTGTGGGCTAGGTATCCCAATCCCTTTCAGAACTTTAACCCAGCCATGAAGAATGTGGATGAGCTTCTCCTGGTATGTGATACCCCTACAGCACTGTATGTGTGTGACAGCGAACTTACAGCGCAGATCGACGGAAGTCTCTCGGGTGAAACCAACCCCATACGACCCCTTATCATTCCTGAGCGTCAAGTCGACCTCGTCATCGTCTACGAGGCCTCTTCGGATGCTGCGAACAACTGGGTCAATGGCACCAACCTGATCAGCAAGTACATCACCCCCTAGTCTCTAATCGAAACTAACCATCCAAAGACTCCGCTCAATCGGCGGCTCAAGGGAACATTCCATTCCCTCGCATACCCGATGTCGCGACCCTCGTGACGCAGAACATGACCAAGCAGCCTACATTCTTCGGTTGCAAAGACGCCGCACCCACGCCGCTAGTTCTATACCTACCCAACTCGCCTTGGTCGGGCTACATCAACTTCACCTACACCAAGTCCTCTTTTACCGACAATGAGTTTGACCTTACCGCTGACAACGCCTTCCAACTCGCCACCTACGGTAATGGTACGGTTGACGCTGCATGGCCTGCCTGCCTCGCGTGCGCCACCATCCGTGGCAGCCTCCTGCGGCTTGGGCTTCAACTGCCCCAGCAGTGCCAACAGTGCTTTGAGAAACACTGCTGGAACGGTGTGACGGCGACGAGAGCTGTGACGCCCGATGACTTTAATCCGAGTTTGAGGTTGAACTCAAGCTTCTCGTATCGTGAGTGGGATGAGACCTACTGGAAGAGCGCGACGAATAGGGGCGGTGGCAGTGGAGGAGCCACACCTCCGGGGGATCCCAACCCGAATGGGGCGTCTAGAACGTTGGAAATGGGAATGGTAGGGTTTACTTTCGCCGTGGCGTCAATTACCGCCTTAATCTCTTTGTTATAATGTAAAGGAATGATAGGAGTGGTATCTATGCTGTAGACATGCAGAGGGGTATCTACCTCACTAAGAAATGAAATCAAATGGACCATGTGGTGACTTCCAACAGTCCAAATATGATCAACGTAAAAAAATCTCGGTTGCTGGCTTTCTCTGAGCCGGTGATTCGCCGTACATGAGGCCCTGAGCAAAACACCAGCTGACGAGGATGTACTCGTTAAGCTCCTTCTCCTCCGGGGCTCTCGGGTCTCCGCTTCCTCCATGCGCAGGTCGTACAGATCGTAAAAGAATCGGGAGACGACATCCGGGGACGACGCAAAGCACTTCTCCAGGTTCTACGGCCTGTGGGACCATGCAAAGATACCCTTCCCGCGTCAGACAGGCTTTCCAATCGTCGATCCGTGGTCCGATGGTGCGCTGGAATCGATTGCCTTTGATATTCTGCAAATCCGCGTCTGACCTGCTCGAAAGCAGCCATTGAAGCCACTCGCCAAAGTACTCGCGATACTCCGGCCCTGCAGGTTGATCATCGATATCCAGACCCATGATCAGGCTCGTTGCCAAGACGCCGTTCCACTCGTTCTCTGAAATCACCTTCGGCAGCACATGCCTCAGCGCCAGGATATCTCGCATTGCCGCTTGTTGCTTCACCACCGAATTTGACGTAAACGGTGGGCAAGTTCTGACCACAACGTCGATGAGCTTGACACGGAGACGGAGGCATCCTGCTCCTTCCTTGGTTGGCATAACTTCCACAGGGCCTCCGGCGTCCCAGGAGGCTCTGTCGCAAGGGACCAAGGGTTCTTCTAGTCCTCGATTCCGAAGATCCGGAACCCAAGTCGGCAAGTCAGATGGGAGTATACGGCGGGCAACACCGCTGAGTGCTAAAAGATCGAGGGATTTCCCGTGACACAAAAGGGCCTCTGCTGTCCACCGATACACGTCTTCGAACGGGGCCGTGTAAGTTGGTTCAGGCACAGGCCTGGTATTGTCGGCGATCCCCAAAAAGCCAAACACCATATCTCGTGGGTCTGAGGCTTCGCAGTGATAGGCCGTCTCGACCAGTCTTTCGAACCGTATCTCGCCATGCTCCCAGAACTCCTCCCGAATATCTAGGAGTCGAGTCACATTCCACAACCCTCGTACGGCTAAATGGTCGTCGGCATAGTCTCCCAGAGCTTCGAAATACTTCCAGATGCCCCAAACGCACCTTTCAAAAGTGAAGAAGTGGACCGCATCGTTGCCGCACATTACCACAACGTCGTCACCAAGAACGACCTCCTGAATCACCCAAGTCCGTCGGAACCAGGGGCGTGCCAATAAGTGAAAAACTGTCTGTACTTGGGAGAGTGTTTCATGACTTTGTTGTTCCCAGCCATCCGGCCAAGAGTGGTCCTCCATGAAGGTCATGAACCGGAAAGCGGCTTGAGATTCAGCGTTGCTGGCACCGAGCCATAGCAAGACTTTTGTTGCCGTTGAGTACACTTCGTTCATCAGTTGCACCTGGGACTCCCGCTCTGATATGTCATGCTGGTTTATGCACAGCGCGTCTACCCACAAGGTGAACGGCCGACGAGGCAAGGCGAGTGTGTCGATCAAATCGCTCAATGTCTGGTTGAGTGAAAGTGACTTGCCACCGTCAAATTGCAGTATGCGAACTGGGGCGGGGTCTTCCCAAGCATATGACAGTGCGATGTATTCTTCGTCGCAGTCGCTGAGACAGACAACCTTGAAGTTGCAGATGAGCTCATCGCGCTCCCTTCGAACTTTCAAAAGTCTGATGAAGTTTCCTGGCGGCAAAGGACTGTATATGCCACCCATCGCAAGACTGCATTATGGACGAGGGTACGGCCACTTGAGGCAATTGTAGAGGTGAAGAGAAAGTTCAGATACCAGCAACAGTAGGAAGTGGACGTGGAACGTTTAGGTGTCATACCTATGGGAAGAAGCTGAAATGCCAAGTCTGACTGCATTATCATCCTTGAACGCGGGGGACAACAGGAATTATATACCACGGGCTTACTCCTCTCAGCTGGTTGGCTGACGCGAGCCATCACAAAAGGACCCCTGCCAAGCTATCGCACCTATTGGCTATCATGCGCACCTCTAGTTCTGTTCTCATATCACCTTGCATACGACCGGTATCCGACTTTGGATGTATGGTAGTTGTCGCGAACTCTAGTTAATATCGCAGATTATTTCGGCCTCATGGTATGGCATACCAGAAATATTGTTCTTGAAGATATCTGTTCATAGGCCCTTTAGGTTCCCGGTCCTTTGGCGATAGAATAAATTAACCACGTGCTGACTCTTCAATTCTTAGTTGCCAATTAGACGACTACATGGACAAGGACTATATGAGCTACATCGTCTACATAAGTTGCAACCGCGGAGTCTAATGAGAATAAAGATACTCTTAAGGAAGAAGAAATCAAGATAATACTAGTCATCTACATTCCGATATCGTTCTAAAAGTGATTTTTGAATTATAGCTCTAGAAAGTATCTAGTTTGCTCGCGGACCAAAGGAGAAGTTGTGGTTGTGCGGCTTCAAAATATCTGAAGCAAGCGGCCCATACCCCCCTTCTAGCTGTTCCGCGCTGAGAATGTCCGAAAATACGTCTCGTGCCTGGGCACACAGAACAGGGATGTTACTCAAGAGGCCTTGAGCCAGATGCGTCCAATCAGCAACACCTGAAAGTTTGAGGCGGAGAGTCTAGAAGACGATCAAGTTAACAGAATGAATTCACAAGAGGACATGCGATAACTTTACCTCAAGCTGCTCTTTCAGGTTCTCGTCTTCTTCCAAGGGCCTCGTGAGCCGGATGATTCGCTGCGTATGTACCGCATATTTGGCAATCTTGAAGAACTTGGAGCAGCCATCTAGCAGAGCACGAACATCGCAGCCTTCTTCTTGAAGTCCTGCTAGGTACTGCACGAACTGCCCGATAAGCCTCACATTCAGTTGGGCTTCTGGATCGGTAGGATCTTCCAAGGCAGACCATAGCAAGATCAGGCATGCTGATACAGGATAGTGCACCATGGCCCTTTCATCAATGTTAGCCGATATTTGAAAAATCACATCGCTGAGCGATGGAGATAGTGATGATGTACGTTGAAACAACACCATGGATGACTCGGCCTGAACTCCCCAGCAGCACCACGTTATGGCTCATACCGTGAGGAACTTGACTTACCAAAAATGCACAAAGGACTGTGGGGGCATCACCCTGAGAAGATCAATGGTAGCACGGGCGGCTGCTGTACATTTAGCGTACGCTTGTTGCACGTTAGGATAGTGTCCCTGGTTCGTCTCCCAGTTGGGATTCTGGCAAAGCGTCAGGCTGTAACTTGATACGCTCTTCAGACGCGCCAGATTTGTGTGAACCTTGATCAAGGCATTGAAGTAGATGAAATGCAGGATGACAACGTGCGCCTCGATCTCTCTTTCGCTCGATACGACGGTCAACTCGGGCCTCGAATCCTCAGGGAGAGTGTTTCTCCATTCGTCCAACTCAGAACTTAGTGCCAGAACAGCTGTTTGATGATCTGGACCGACTTGATGCTGCGCATTAATTGTTGAGAACATTTTTTGAATCTTGGACTGGATCTTGGATAGTTCTGCAAGTTTTCTGACGTAGCACAGCGGTTGTTGTCCTTCCGTATAGTTGGCAAATATGTTCACAACCGGAGATTCATCGTCTGGAAGCTCAGTAGACACGTGTTCCAAGCTGAATCCCGGCGGAATCCCGTACCTGACCGTCATTTCTGTGTCTATAATGTGCGTGACCCAGCAAACGCGCTTGTATCGCCTTGCTTGTTCACGATTAAGTTTGCTATAAGATTCGCGCCTGTGCAGGCCTACCATCTGCGCCGTCCGAATTGCTGAGGATGCCACATATAAGGTTGTTCTGGCATCCGCCGTCCCCAGAAAGAATGTGACGATTGTAAGCATCGCCTCGCAGGTCGAGATATCAGCGTTGGAGATGAGGAGCTCTGGGAAAACGGAGAAGGCATTTTTGAAGTAACCCCAGCCCATGGCGGACACTTTCTCAAATGAATCGTTAGTCGCCCTCCACCGAAAAGCAATCGAGAATAATGCATTTATGGTCACCCATCGAGCTGGGTTCGCGGCACAATTTTGCAGGCCATCGGCTCGTTGCTGGCTGATAAGTTCTGAAAACGACTTGCGAGAAATCGTTGGGCAGAATAATTGAACCTCTTCTATGACGGCTTGCTCCAGATCAATTATGTATTCTGCGGGAGGAAGCTGTGCGAATTCTCTTCTCTCGAAGGGTCTAGAATCGATATTTCCCGCAATAACATTCCTTATACTGTGGAGGGTGGCCATAACATCGCCTCCCGTAAAAAGATCCTTTAATGAGAGGGTGAGGCCATCGACGCCGCTTGGATTCTGAGCACATTGTGGCGGTTTGGTTGATGTATCCTGATGGCCAGCACTACATGCTTGATTTGCTCCATTCGAGTTTCTGACGATCGGTCCCTGGTTGCCTACACGAGAATCAGTATGACCCAGTAAATTATCAAATAGCCCTGTTACTATGACTGTGACAACCGTTGCTTTTCAGACCGTATCGGAATGAAACGAAAATGAATCAAGGGAAACAAGGGTAAGGGAGATCTCAACAACAATGACTGATAAGAAAACAGCGATAACAATGATGTCAAATGAGAACGATAGAGAAAGTGACAAAAGGGGCGTGATGGCAACGACTAGAATCGAAAGTAGGGGAACAGAAGAAAAGGTATATGTGATGGCGTTAGCCATGGTTGAATAGGTAAAATAATAGCCTGTTGAAGGAAAATCTAGGTAAAATGCCAACCTTGTGAGTCAATAGGTATCTCCTCAACTATCGTCTCCGGTTCAGCGACTGGAAGATATGGCATCCGTTTTAAAGAGGATTCGATAGCTTGCAGCTTCGGTTCTGTGTCCAAATTGGGCTTTTGCCTTCATGGTATGTCAGCGTCCACTTTCCTTTCCTTGTTTGTGTGAATCCGTTGACTGACTTCTTTCCTGGACCTCTTCGTCTTCGCTGGGTATAGACGCATGGCACGTTGAGTCTGGTGCAAAGCCCACATGACGGCTCACCACCATCGCAACGTCTTTTGCGCGATTGGCAGTGCAGGCATGCCTACGAGATCAAAGTTGGCGCTATTCTTTTACACCCGGTGAGACGACTTACACTGTAGATCCGCTTCTTTTGCGTCTCTTCAGGAACATCGCCGCCAAGGCCGGCGGCTCCAGCACTGTCAGCACTACTAGACATGTTCATGCGGAAACAGATTCAGGTGTAAGCATAAAGATTCCGTGGGAATCATCCGTGAATTCAGATTAGGAATTATCCGCCTCTGACGGTTGGCGGGGGTTTTGTCTTCGATGTAGAACCTGGCGGCGGATATAATTACTAAGTTGCGGATATTTCTCACGTCTTTTGTTTCCGCCGCGAAGCAAGACATTCCTTTGGGGGCGGGACTAATTAGTGTGTACTTCACTTGCGTTAGTGCTTGATATGACTCGTTAGAGAGGACAGTAACAGGATTCAGGTCATGTGGCCAGAGCGCACTACGCAAACGACCTTACAAGGCAAATCGCGGGGCAAGGTGGATGATGGCGGACTTTAATGTAGTGGGTCTAGGTATGGTATTCATCCACCCACAACATTTACATCCGCCTAACAGTCACGAAAGTAGTAGTTTTACTATTCGGGTACAGCATTGTATTGTAAGACCTTGTAGTAGCCAATGATGAGAATTGCGGAATTATCTACCATAAGTTACTAAGTAACAATTCTGTACATTTTGTCGGGCCGCTCTTTACTTCCGAGATGCCTCAGTGCGGACTCAAAGTCGAAGCATATAAAGATGCAATAATGAGCCTTCGCTTTTTGATCATCAACCACTTCGTAAAATCACTTCATTCCATAAAAGCCAATCCGTAACATTCATAACAACTGTACATCCTACTTACCAAAATGAGTGCCTTTCAGAACGTTGCCCTCCTTGGTGTAAGTCACTTGGTCCCAGGGCACTAGCCATTGTTGATAATAACCCCTCTCGCAGAAAGGTCTCCTTGGATCCGCAATCCTGAATGAGCTTGTAAATGCCGGCTTTACAGTCACCGTCTTTGGTCGTTCCGAGTCTTCTAAAGAAGGCCTGCCCTCTGGAGTAAAGTTTACGACGGTAGACTATGCTTCTATTGATAGTCTCACCTCGGCTCTCCAAGGTCAGGACGTCGTCGTCTCGACCGTCAGCAAGGGCGGCTTATTTAGCCAAAACTTAGTGATTGACGCCAGCATTAAAGCGGGAGTCAAGCGCTACATCCCGTCGGACTTTGGTGGCTTCACTACCGACCCCAAGGCGCACCGCGAGCTCGCCAACGTGCTCGCTCCCATGATCAGCACCCAGACCTACCTTGCAGAGAAGGCCCGCTCTGGCGAGATTGAGCATACAATCTTCTCCATTGGCGCTTTCCTCGACTTGATTGTCAAGTTTCCAATGGCTTTCGATTACTCCAACAAGTCTACTCGGCTTGTGGACGGTGGACGTCACCCCTGGAGCGCCACCAGCCTCGCCAGCATCGGCAAGGCTGTGGCTGGGTCTCTGAAGAACCCCGAGGCAACCAAAAACAAGAACCTTCATATTCACGAACTGGTTGTGACACAGGCGCAGCTTTACGCCCTGGCAAAAAAGTACTCCCCGCCAGGAACGGAATGGAAGGAGACATACCTAGACGGGGAGGCTGAGTTCTCAAAGGCCGTCCAGGCTGCTCAAGAGGACCTGAACGAGGGAACTTTACTGGGTACAATTGTAGCGGCCCTCCTAAGTGGAAGATATGCTGCTGAGTACAAGCAAGTTGATAACGAGCTTGTTGGCGTTCCCCTTCTTACTGAGGAGGACTTGGACGCGAGATTTGCGGCTCTATACAAGTCTTAGACTTATATCGGTCTTTTCTTGCTGAAATACCCTCAGTAGAATGAAAGAAATACGATACTTATGGCTTTGATAAATAGTTTCAGTTCCACACAGTCATGTAAGACGCTTCGGTCGGAACATAGACATTACTAGACAACATTTAACCAAGATATATGTAGTCTTTGGACGCCTGTTTCAGCTTAGTTCTATGAAACACTTATATATCTATGTCATGTTTTCCCATCTTAGTAAAAGGTTTAGAGTGCTTTCATGCGCCAAAGTCTCCAAATTCGAGGCACAGAAGTACTAGCCCAAGTAACCTATAAAACATTAGTACCACTCGTGTCATGCTTACTATCGTATAAAAGACGATCAGGTCTAAGATTTCAGCTCTCGGCTATTATGGAATTATTCCCGGTTGTTGCCTCGCGCTGCAAATGATATCGGTATGATCTTCGGTCTCAGATATCCAGATAGAAGTAGTCACTAACACGGGCATCGTTGTGTAAAGGAAAATACATCTTGTTGCCAGTCTATAAGCTTTCGCCAGGAATTTTTCAAGGTTTAACTTTTATCCCTTGATTTTTAGATTAGCCTCTATCGTTTAGGACTTTTCCTAGTCATCAACAGCTTTAGCAGACGATGACTGATCTACCTCCTGAAGATCGAGCCCTTCCCACCCCAATCAAGACTCTCATTACACAGTTAACGTACTATATACTCGAATACCTAAATTCGACCATGAAACTGAATCAATGATCCGGATATCTTAGGGAGACACGATTGGATAAGCTTGGGAACCTGCCCACATGGGTTGGTGCGCAGAGCTTTTGATGATCAACTTCATCAGTGGCGAAAATAGGTTCGCTACGCTGATGAGTATCATAAGTTCAGACCTTAGCGAGGGAGTGAGAACAGAAATGTAACGCTGATTAAAAATTATATTCAGCCAGAAAAGACTATCACATGCATTTCACATTTTCATATGTTGATAGAGTACCTTTCGTAACTACCGCAGAAGGCCAGTGACCAGGCCAACCCTTGGCGCTTGGTGTACATCGAAGCACATACTCGATGGCGTCTTTTCTTCCCTGATTAGGTTTACGCAAGGGAAATTGAGCCAATTCCAGGCTCTCGTCGAGTTTCGCCCTGCAAGATGTTGGCCAGCTATCTGAGTAGACTTTACCAGAATGCCACAAATCTCCGAAGCACAGCCGATTCATTTCCCATAACCCAGGGTGCCACCATGGGACTTGCATTTTACCCTGTCTCATTACCCGTGATAACCTCAAGAAACACGATAGAGGGATCGTATATCAACTGCCACCCTCGGAGCCGAAGCCTGCAGCTCCTCCCTCCGATGCCCGCTTTTCATCCTGTCCAGCGATGTACACGTCACCGGAGAAAGAGGAACGCCCTCGCCTAGGCCAATTCTGGCAACCATACGAACATCCAGCAAGGAAGAGTTGTCTCTAATGTTACCAATCTAGGTAACCATTTCACTAGTCAGGGGATGATATCCATGGGAAACAGACTATCGGCTTCTGAAAAGAGCTATAGTCCAAATTGGGTCGTGACACCACCTCAAAATGCCTAGGGTGTCGCAGCAAGAGGTAGCGAGCCAATCGTTGGCGCCGCGGTTACCCTTCTCGGCATTGCGCCGAACCAACCGGACCGGGGTTTGTCGGTCTAACGGCCTTCGGGAGGCGGACCATTGCGGGTCCGCGCCGGTCATCATCAACCGTTGCCTCCACGCCGTTGATATGTGCTTCTCCCCCTTTTTTTTCTTCTTCTTCTGCTTCTTTCTTCTCGCATCATTCCATACGGGACGACCCGCTACTATTGAGTTATCTAAATGCTGACCTTACATGACAGCCAAGCCGCTTCGGGGAAAAGCAAACTACCTGCATTCTCCGCAATCGGGATATCCGGTGCGGGGGTTCTCTTCATTGGACCGAGACCGGCTGCGGCTTAAGTAGTGTGACGGCTCCCAACACTTTCGTTGTCGCACGCTATCTTGGCTATCTCAGTCCCCATCTCCATAGCATTCTTGCGCTGTTGTTACCGGAGGCACGACTTGTATTTGCGCTCCCAAATGCAGCCAACAGCCCGGTCCAAACTCCCCTTTTGAAATAAACTTTGTAGCCAAATATTCTCCCCGGGCAGAAAAAATCGTTTTCCATTCGTCCAAGTGTGTCTCCAGTGCAAGTGATTTGACTATGATCATACCGCTTTGGACAAAGTCCAATACTCATCCGTCTCCAGTCGTTATGCAGGCTCATCCCTGCTACAGCACGTCCCCGGAAACTGGAGAAACATTGCCTTTGCAATAACCGCAACGACCGACGTCAACGTTGGGGCAAACTCTCCACCAACTTCACTCCGACATCCTCACTTCGTAAGAAACGACTTCATATCATTACTTCAACCTATTGCCTCTCATCAGCATCATCAGCGTTGTCGTCCATCCTCATTCCATCAAATTCAGAAACCCTCAGTCGCAAAAATGAAGATTAAATCGTTGGATTTCTACCCCATCAAAGCCCTTCGCCCAATCCCTCTCACCTCGGCAACCCTCACCCCGCAAGGCATTCTACACGACAGAACCTACATGCTCTTCAAGGTCAACCCGGACTCCACCTTGCGCAAGCTTCAGCTGTCCTCATTTCCCCAATGTGCTCTGTTTTCCCAAGAAATTATGTCTTCCTCCGGAGACAAGGGCGTCGAAAATGATCCCAGCAGCGACGACACTATCCTTGTCAAATACCACATCCCCTTACCACCCCTCATCGACCACCATCCGCTTCAGGACACGACCCTCTCGGTGCCTCTGGTCCCCGATGCCAGTAAGCTCGAGAAGGTCACTGTCGACCTCCATGGTAGCCCCACCGAAGCTCTCCGCATGGGCGACCCTTATGACGCCTTCTTCTCCGCCTGCCTCGGATTCCCCACAATCTTGGTCCACATCGGCTCCGGACGCCGCGCCGTCCTTGGCACTCTGGCCCCGGGCTCCTCTGCCACCACACAACAACCCTCCCTCCTCTCCTCCATAACATCCTACCTCCCCTTTACCTCCTCTACCCCAAAGCCGGATCACTGGTTAACATTCACTGACTGCGCACCGTACCTGATAACCTCCTCCTCTTCCCTGTCCTACCCTTCTCTAACCCCCTACTCCCCCGCGTCCCCAGACACTCCAAGCCCAATCATGCCCAAATTCCGTCCCAACATAGTGGTAGAAGACCCTTCCGAAGCCCCCTTTGCAGAAGACTTCTGGGGCGAGCTTTCCCTCCCAAAATCAGGTGCCAAACTTCTCCTGACCGCAAACTGCGGCCGCTGCTCCTCCTTGAACGTCGACTACGCTCTGGGCCGGCAAGCTCCCGGTCCAGAGGGAAAGCTGCTCAACACACTGATGAAGGACCGACGCGTCGACCCGGGACACAAATATGCTCCCATTTTCGGCCGGTACGCGTTCCTTTCCGTGGACGGCCCCGAAGGATCGGCCGAGGGCACTGAGCCCGATCAGGCCCGTGTCAAAGTCTCCGTCGGAGATGAAGTCACCATTACCCGCCGCAACGCCGAGCGTACCGTCTTCGACTGGCCTCTGAACGCAGCACCGCCTAACAAATCGGTGGCTGTCGCTTGAGACGACCTGTCTTTCACATGTGGCCAATATGAATGTATCGTCGATAAATGATAGGTAGATTTCGTGCTTATGGCAGGTAGCATCCTAGATGGAGACACGGCGGACTAGACGAAACAGAAAAGAAAGAAAAAGCATGTGAAAAAAATAAATAGAGAATGACACATCCGCTTGTGCGTGTTTGTTTGTGTAACGTGTCTAGGCCTATCGTGTCGTCTCCTGATTCTCCGGAGAAAGACGAGCCATCATGCCACAATGCGTGTGACAGAGTGAGCCCAAGATACCGTAGGAATCATCGCTACGGTTATCCTGCCCTTCTCAGTGCTGGGCTGGCGCCCAGTTTCGTTTCATGCTCGCATTGTCTTTCATGGCTGGATCTTGTTCTTCCCCGCCTTCTCTCGATCACCTTTCCCATCCCTTTCCAACGCCATCGCGGTTGAATACTCGGCAGTAACGATTAAGGGGCAAGAGCTGGCTGGTGGCTGTCTTCACGTCACGCTACTCTACATACCACGATCAGATAATATCTTCTCACGTGTGCCATACGTGGCTTGTATGATCGTAAGACCGTGGATTTTTCCCCCCTCCCGTTTCCCAACAAAAAAAAAAAAAAAGCAAAAATGAGGCTTTCATAGAAAATCGCTTGGACAGGACGCCTTCCACGTCGGCGGCGTGACGAGTCTCCCATGTTCCCTAGAGCCAAACAACGCTTCCACTCAGGCAGCCAGTGCATGTTGGGATCCTCATGCAACGGCCCGTCTGTAATTGCTTCCCCGAGACAACACCAACGCGGACGCCCGTCTCTCTCCGCCAAAAAGTCTAGCACGAGTCTGAAGCAGAACCCAACGGCTTGGACAAAAAATGTCCGATGTAAGCCCCATGTCAGCCCTCACTTTTCGCTTGCTCGCATTCCTTTGCCAGCTGCATAATCGGGGCGAATCTCGCAAATGCCGTGCCGGATCGCCGCGTCATTGTTGAACCACAGCCGCTCCTGCGGGATCTGACAGACAAACGTAATTAGAAAAGTAAAAGAATGCCGAGACAGGGCGCGTTTACATGGCAACTTTTTCATGTAGCTTCTCAACCCAGGAAACAGAAAGGGGAAAAGCAAAACCGGTTCCTTATCTGCTGCTGATCCTACTTGTCGGCCATGCTGTTGTGACACCCAAACCCTGACAGGTGTGCAACGGAACACCAGAAGAAGAGTCTATCAGCCTCATGCAACCCTCGCCTGTCTACTGCAATCGACTTCTCAGTCTGTCGACTTATCGACATTAGTTCCCGTTTTCGCAAAAGGGCCGAGGCTGCTGGTTTAGTCGCACGTGATATTCTTTCCGGACGGGATGGCAGTAGCGCCGAGGTCGCGAATAATGTCATTTGCGCAAATCGAAGCAGTGACGAGCATGTGTAGCAAGAATACTTGCGCTGGAGATTATCTGGTCCTTTGCGCTGTTTCATTTTGTACCGCTATTCCATGTACGCTTTACAATTCTACTAATTCTGGACCAACCAAACGCCATGCCACTCCGTAATCTGCTTCGCAACTGTGGACCTAAGACCCTACCAAGACGTGATCAAAAACATTTTGCCCCTTTTGCTGGTATATTTTGCCCAAGCAAATGGACCAAAGTCGGAAATGACCAAGGATCAATGCCATGCGGGGAACAGGAAGAATGCTGCAAGAATAACACAATGAGGGAGATGGAAAAAGAAAGCTCAAAATTGACAGGTAACCGCCCTTCCGGTACATCAGCCTTGCGTGCTGTTGTGCCCTGATCTAAAGCCCAATTTTTTTTTTCACCTTCTGGCAGCCATGCTCCGTGACCGTTTCCTGTAAGCCCAAAGTCTATTGTTAGAAAAGGAAACCCTTCACGCATCCACCCCACTCTTTACCGAACCTGGCCTTGCTCAACTCCTTGTATGCTCTTCTCGGCAAGGGGGAGAGCACGACTGCGTGTCGTAGCAAAAGAATATACGGTATTATTCTGTGGTCGAGAGAGAGGGAAGGGAGGGGGAAAACATAAAAAAGGAAAGAAAAAGTGAGAGAAAAAGGAAGAAAGGAAAAAGCCCCTCCGTTGCTTGCTGCTGAATGGAGATTAGGCTGGTTGTACATAATGACGCCGGTAATGATGAGAACCAAAAGAAAAGGCTGCAGGCGGACTCTCCCCTCCCTGCCGGCGTGTACCTGTCGGTCCCAGACTCCGTCCGGGAAAGGTGCCGTCGTATCGAAGGGCACATTGCGTGAAAATCTCGCGTTGAGCCAGGCGGTCCAGCAAGACAGAGCTTGAGGGCATCATGACACAGGGGGGTGTGGCATTGACACAACTGTCCTTGTGGGCTGGATGGGCCCCTCTCCCCACTGAAGTCCTGTGTCTGCAGCCAGCTGCAAAGGTGCCTGAGCCAGAGAGTCCCACGTGCGCCATGCAGCGCCGAAATTTGGCACCATTGCGCTAAACCAGGCCAGGGCTGAATATCCAGAATACCCTGCCAGGGGACGGGGCCAAGGGCGCAGGGGTGGCGGAGGCCTTCGGACGTCCAAGTTGATGGGAGCTTCCATAGACGGTCCGGGAAGGGTTGCAAACAGAGAGGTCGAGAAAAGTCAAAAGTCAAAAGAGGAAAGACTTGCATCATCTTGTAGCGGCTTTGTGGCCGCCCTGTCATGAAGGGGTAGGAACCTGAAATGAGCAGCCAGTGTCGTCCGATCCAAGCAATCTTGTAATTGCATGCCATCAACTGGCATCGATCGCCATCCAGGGCGATTCTTGATTGCACGCGAGCTGCTTTGCCCTGGCTGGCAGCACCACATTATCGTCATGAGAAAACGAGCGGTTTTATCAAAGGGGCCTGCTAGGCTGTGTTAGTAACTCGCGCCCGAGAATACTCCATGAGAGATTTTCGTCTACCGTTGCCGTCCTATTTGTTCCTTTGTCTGCTCGGTTTTGACAATGGGAATTGCTAGTGACGGGGGCAACGGAGATTTGAGAAGGAGGAGGAAAGGTCGGGAGTCAGAGGGGCAGGTAGCGGCAATGGTACGGCAATTTCAGTGGAAGATAGCCAGCCACCAGCGCGTCCCTGTTCACTGGGCAGATGGAGCTGGTGATCAGGATCGCGTAGGGCAAGACAGATCTTTGGTGCTTGGTAGTGATGAAAGGGAGTGTGCGTCATCAAAAAGGAGCCAAAATTTGGTCCATCTGAGACGCCGACGACTTGCTGAGTGAGGTGTCTCTCGAACATACCTAGAGTGCGCATAACCCCCACGTCGCCATGGTGCATCTCGCCCCCTCATGGTGAGCACCGTTCTGCTTTGGTGGAGTTTGGGGCTCGGTTCAGTAGTGGCGCCGGCAGTCGATGCACTGGCGAAGTGGTGTCTTCAAGCGCTTTGCGTACAGGCTCGACAGGTGTGGATTTTGCAGTAGCTGCACTCGAAGATCCACCAGTGCGGACCTGAGTGGCACAGGTTGCAAGTCCACTGAATCAAGGTGCTATCGGACTTGATCATCTTGAAAGAATGTGCGCACGAGCTAGCGACGGCCATGATGAATGGATTTCCTGAGGGTGAAGCAGGACAGATTAAGGAAGGTACTTGAGATTGCGGGTGTGTGGTGGGGCCCCTCGATGTTCGATGCTCGATGTGCCGGTGCCCTGTGCGGCTGGTGCTGGTGCTTGCGCGGCAGTAGGTTGTGTGTGTGGGAAAATGGGTTGGTGATGGGTGAGGTTGGCGTTACTGTCGAGCTGGTGTTCCCTCCGGATATTGCAGGTGCAGTTTCGAGCCCTTAGGCTACAAGAGCTCCAAATTCTTTGGTTGACAAGAATAGAGAGGGGAGGATGTGCGGTTCTCAGAGGTGTTGTGTTCTAGAAACGGAGTCAGCCCTGGTTCGAGAACCACTAATACAGTTCGTATTGTTATTATAGGTGCCTCCGGCGATATAAGCCTTTTGGACCTAGCAAGCCCAACTTACCGAGGTCGATGGTTCTAGAGACAAAGTGGTTGTCTGAAGAAGAGTGGCGAGTTAATTCCTCGGCTACAGTGAATTGTTGCAAAGATGATAAGGAGGGGAGGAGTATTAGGAAGAAGGAGGAGGAGGAGAAGGAGGAGAGGGGGGAGGGACGGCCCAAATCAGAGGTGGAAGCTGCAGTCCTTTGTATGTGACGAGGGCAAGGTGCATCGTGTGAAAAAGGCGACATGGGATCAAAATCAGACAAGCAGGAAGGTGCAAGTTGAGGTACCTGCCCACCTCGCCTTTCGAGGTAGGGTATCAGGAATGAAGGAAAGAGCTAATTTGTGCGTGGCCTAGAGGTAGACAGGTACGTGTGCAAGGAAGGAAGGGGCAAGGGAAGGTAAGATAGGCACGGGAAGGAAGGAGTTATGTTGGGCCTGGGCAAAAACCTACCTCAAATCAAATGTCTCCCAGTGTACTGAGGTCCAACTTCGAGGTCAACACCCCCCCAAAGACACATGTGAGTGTAATAGCGTATGCTGTTGCAGCAAAGCGAGATGTTTTCTTCTTCCCAGTAACCAATGCAAGGATAGACAAGTGCAGGAAGCTCTTGCGGATGCGGTGTGACAGGTAAGCCAACCAAGCTGTAAGAAATTGGTCGAGAGTCGTTCAGTGAGGTGAGCTGAGGCAAGGTGAGGTATGAATGACGATAAAAGATAGAAGAAGATGCACTGCAACACAGATGAAGGGCTGCCCCAGTGGCTGGTCCTGAAGCACCCTTTTATGGTCGACGAGAACAGACGTCCCTTAGTCCGTCTGATTGTACCGACAATCGAATCGCTGAAACTCTGAACGCTAGAATTGTCAGAATCCTGCTGCTCGTCCCAACCCGCTGAGAGCCACGGCAGAAATGTCGGGTTGCAAGGTTGTCGATTGCCAGTCTCTCCGTTTAGGGCTGTCAATCGTGTGTTGTTGTCCGTGACTTGTGACGGGACGAGGATCTGAGAGACCAAGGATTGCTCGGCTGAGCCGTATCTCTGTTCCGCAACAGAGCCCGACGGCACCGTACAAGACGAACGCTCCAGATTAGTCCAGGATCCTGCCGTCGACAGTTGCCAGGTAGTTCAAAGGACCCGTGAGGCAATCGGCAGTGGGTGGTACAAAGCCTCCCAGGTCCTGGAGGTACTGAACGCTAATCGAAAATGGGGTGAGGAACGTTTGGATCGTAGCTTGCACTGAGACCGGGACTCACATCGCATCTCCAACAGGGCGGCGCCATGCCGATATGTATGTACCTACTAGCCGACCCAACGAACCCGTCCTCTCGGCCCTTCCACTTCACGTCTTCCACTCGCCTCAAGAACTTGTGGCCCGTCATGGATGCCATGGCAAATGGCTACCATGTATGCCGTGACGGCCTGACCTATCTTTCTTCAGACACACACCATACACACGTCCCTAGCACGGTTCAAGGTACCCGTACCATGCCCATCCCATCCCATCCCATCCCATCCCAAACTGTTCTATTCCAATCCCCATCTTGCGGCATCCCGGGAGTGGGAGCCATCGAACAGGAGGTGCCCACTTCTGGCCACATGTCTTGGACGGCCCAGGGTGAACTCCGCTGTCTTACTCGCCCAGCACCCTGGGTAAGGTCTTGAACCGTAATGACGAAGATTGATCATGATGCCTGCTAGTGCAGAGGCGGCCGAATGCCGACGCCCCTCTCTTCCCATGCCATGCCATGCCGTGTCACGGCCCACGTACGGCGCGCCGGCAAGGAACTTGACAGGAAAACCGCCTGATAGCAGCGATAGGGCAGACCCATCCGCCTCTCCTGCATACGTGCTCGTGCTGGTTGAGGGTCTGTACTATGTATCATGCTACATTGGCCTCTCATGTTATAAGTAACCTCGCGAGTACATGCTCTCCTCCCCTGCGTCTCCTCTGTCAATCCCTGGCAAGGCTCTGGCTCCAGTTTGACATCAGCATAGAATGTGGAGTGATCGCAATATTCGCGGCAACTGCACCACCTTCGTCCCGTGTAATTACTTGGTCTCTCGCCCAACTCAGCATTACTCTGACTTCCCACTGTGTTGTTCTTCGGTTCTTTCCAAGGCCCAGGCCATCGGGCGCTTCTCTCCAAGCGGTAATTGATCTGGCGTGCCCCCCTCCCACTTTTGTCGTTCGATATCGATCTGCATCTAAGCCGCAAGTCCGACGAATCTTTGCAGCCTGTCATGGCTCGGCTACTGCAATGCCTTTCTTTGGGACCTGGGATTGAGGCCTGATTGCGTGCCCTTCAAGCTGTGACATGCGTTGTGCTGGGGTGCTGTGTCTCTGCTGCCCCGGAAGCTAGCCCGGCGGGCTATAATTGTCCATTCTTGGAGGGGTGGCCCATGGTTGGATTGTTTCTGTTTGACTTTCAAAGGGGAGCCGATCCGGCCGCAAGGTTGTGTGGCGCGGGCCACAGTTCTGACATGTAACAAGATGGTACAAAATGTACGTCTTTAGGCCATGGGGCTAGTCAAGGCTTTTAAAGCTCATCATTAACGATGTTGTTAAATTTTTATTTATTCTACCCTCCGAGAACATCTTGAACTTTTTGTTTTCATTTTTTGGAAGTTACCCAGGCTCTCCTTCAGACTATTCGAATAATTTCCCATGGTCGCGAGACCATGTAGGTCGGTCGACCTGGGGCTCTGGGGTCGCGAGTGGATCAGGAACAGCACGACCGGGCCTTCGGATGCACCGTCCCAGTGGCGGTAGGTACCAAGTCGTCTGCAGCACCTATCAGACCGCCTTGTCCAACGTGCGCAGAGAGCTCAGGGTTCAGAGAGCCCAGTTCTCACTGAGCCCATCCACTCGGAACTCTCGAAGGAACCTGGTTTTTCGCCTGCACAGGTGTCAGTGTAACGGTGTAACTTTCGACAGCGACTTTGTGATGTTTGATGCGGCTTATGATGCAACGTAAACAGCTAGTTGGCTAGGTAGGTGGGCAGAATATCTACAACATCGCAACCTTGGCATTGCGAGGGGACCTGGAAGACTTGATCACAGATTTCGGGCTGCTTTTGCGCCACGAGTTTCGCCATGCGATTAGAAAGCTCAATGTAAGGTGGAAGACAGGCAAGCTACGTGCAGGGAGCATCCCAGAATAGGACAGAGATGAGCGGGCGTCTAACGAGACAGCTTCAGGTGCCGGGCGACACGGTAGCTCTCAATTTTTGGCAAAACACGGTTTGAACATGCGTGTCTGTCCTGTCAAAGATGCCAGTTTGCTGTGTCTCCCACGTAATAGTGTCTTCTCTTCCAGAAAACACATGCCGGTGGCAAGCGAGAATCTTGCTTCAAGAGGTGGTACTTAATATCCTCAAGTTAAGGACATGAAAAGAGGTCGCGAGCACGGCCGTTGAGTCTTGACCGCATCGAGGTAAAGCTGCAGGCTCTTTGCAGGGGATACTGTGCCGTGTCCATTGCGTGGCAGATCCTCTTTTTTTCCTCTTTGGTTTTTTTCTTTTCTTTTCTTTCCTTGACCTCCCACCTCCGCTTGTTCGACCCAGGCCAGATTGCATGCAACATGCAGTATCCGTAGGTACTCTTGGCGGGGAAAGATACTGTGGTCTTTAATTAGGAGCTTCTAGGAGACAATTCGTTGTTCTCGACATGGGAACGCGAGGATGTTGTTTGAGGCGATGGTTCGATGGTACCATTGCGGTGGTTGCAGAGCTGTAACCCTGGTACAGTCGATGACCGGTAGACCGTTCATGAAGGCCACGGTCAAATGAGCCCGAATTCAAAAGTGCAGTAAAGCATGGGGAATGATGTCGTTGCTTTAGAGGACAGGGATTGCCTTGCCCTTCCGGTCGGCCGCGGGAGGACTGTGACAGTTGAAAAGATGATGCAACTGAGAGACAGACCGTACGAACAAAGCCTTCGGTACGGGAGCTGGTCAAACTCAAGTCGCTCTAGATAGATGTGTGTTGGGTGGCAAATAAGCTGGTCAATCAACAGTTGATCATGATGTCTTGTCAAATCTTTTGGATGTGGTCTTTTGCCGTTCCGATCTGAATTTCATGCTCTAGCTGTGCCCTTGCAGAAGGGTCCGGCGACAGGAGTAGGATGACGGGAAAGCGAGTCACAGTACAGTGATCAGTTCTTATTGGAACAGCTGTCATGGTAGCAAACCCCATCCGGCACTGACGCAGACAAATGGGTTGTCGTTCCGAGCTGGGGAGCCAGGGCCAGGGCGGCCGTTGGATGCCTGGCTTAGGCCTGTCCTGTCCCCTGGTCAAAGTCAGTTCATCGCGTCCCACTTGGAGCTTCTGGAAATGGGGACAGAAGTATCCGTAACAGCCCTAGCTCTTGTTCAAAATTAAGAGTAAAAAGAAAACAGAAACCAAAACCCGATTGCCCAGAAGATGTCTGCCTTTGGAGAGCGATTATGAAGATTTGGCGTCTGGGAGAGACAGACACAGGCTCAATTCTTGTTGTCTCCTTTTCGCCCCCAGGAGACAAGGAGCGAGTGTCTCAGTTGAACTAGCTTACCTCGGATGTCGAATTCAGAGGGAAAATGGCTTGACTTCCGCTCAGATCCAGCAGGGAATTTCAAGGACGGAGAGGGCCCTCGGTAAAACCAATAGCGAGGTCAAAGAAAGCCATGCGGGTTGAATTGATGTGGATGGCAGAGCCAGGGTTGCTGCAGGTAGTCAGAAACGGCTATGGTTAGCTCTGCTTACCTTAGAGTGAGGTAAAGCCCCAGACCCACCTGTTTTCCTGCGTGGCGCCTACTTGAACGTCAGAGCTTCTGGTGACAGGAACTCACTGGAGTCGATCTGCTGACCTTATGAGGGTGATGGTGGGGACATGGGCCTGGACCTGCAAATTGCCCTGAGCGGGAGATGGGAGTTGTATGGTTGGTTGCTGGTTCTGAGACTGAGTGCTTAATTTCCATGGTTATTGAGCAAACTTGGGCAACAAAATGTAGGGGCGGAAAGTGCCCGCTTATTCGTATCTACATACATTGCGCACATACATACATAGATACTTCGTGAGGTGTATCAGTACACACGCGGTTGTGCCGTCCTCGTGTAGAAAGCGCATGGGGCCGAATGGATAGAGCTGCAGGGCGATTCAAGATGAATGTGGGCCAAACCTACCTGCCGAATCTGCCAATAATTTTAGCGTCAACTACCTGACGACAACTCCATCCCTAGGTTCCGTAACAAAATTGGCAACCACAAAGCATAAAGCAACAGCAACAGCAGCAGCAGCAGCAGCAGCAGCCGTACCATGCGCGTGGCAGGTGCCACCCGCGTTACCCAACCGCCCTAATCCCGCTCTTTCCGCGGTGTCAACTAATTGGGCAGGGGCATTATCCCCTTCCTTACGACTGCCTTCCTCGACGTCTTGATTTGGGCTATCTTGCATAGAGGTTTACGGATGCGGCTTTCTCGCCTTCCTCGGTTCTTGGATTGTTCTCGCTTATAATCACATGACCAACGTGCCACGCTCCCAAGCACACCTTGCCACAAATCCCAGGCTTACAACGCGCCGAACTTGTAGCTGCATTTGGACTTGCAATTGCAGCTGGTTTGTTCAGCCGGAGCCAATCGAGTCTGCCGTCTCTTCTCGTTATAGGCTTTCATGCGTCTTGCAACATTCTCTTTTTCGCATTGGCCTTGCTGATACATGTCGAGGCAGCAACCTCAACTGTCTCCGTGAAAGTCGGTATCTCATACTCTCCAACAACGGCATTGTCTGCTTGGACAAAGTCCCTTAAACAGTTATGACGGTGGGCGTCATTTCACAGAGCGGCAGTCTGACTTGTACCACAACACCATCAAGTCTCTAACGTCAGCACCCAATTTTTTTTTCTAGCGACCATTGACCTTTAATCGTCTGAAAGAGACCAAGTAATCTACGTCTGCGTCTGATCTCTGCCCCATGCCCGGTACCGTCATGTACGGGTATCCAGTCACTCTCCAAATCTCACTTGCTTTGGTTCCCAAACCTTGAAAGGTGTACCCGTCTCTCAAGTTGGGCTGCTGTTCCAGGTCTCCAGAGACCCAGAACTAGCTAGCTAGTCCTCGCTTCTGCTGGCTACACGCAAACACCACCCATGTCACCCGCATAGTTGAATTCGTTTTGCATATGTCAAAGTTGCGTCTCCTGATACTCGGGGTTGGCTCCGTGGGCCCAACCTTCCTGCTTCAGGAATGCCACCAGTGGGAGACTTGGTCACAAATCACGACCATCTAGTCAACAACGAAATTACACTTCCTTCGCATTTCCAACAACACACATCTCCATAAAAGAACCCTGGTTACGCGTCTCTGAGCCTTGTCCGGTTTGGTCTGTGTGCACACGGGTGGTTAATTACGGCTCTAGGGTGCGCTGTGATGCGGTGTTTCCTATCTTCTTCCCGCCCTCCCTCTTTTCCCGACCACAACGAACATGGGGACCCCACCATGGTTCGATGGCGTCCCGGCAAGAGCCACACTCGGTGAAGTGATGGCGATTAGCTTCACACCATCTTGACCAAGCGAGAGCATTGCCGGTCAAATGCCAGAAGGCCTCGGTGCGTTACAAATCGGCTGGCCAACCAGCTCCTCTCAAATCTGAGGATGATATGACTTGCTGGCCGGGGTATAGACGCAGCTTCACCTTTTGATACTGACCCCAAATCTGCACGTCGCTACAAGGAGCATTCATCCGTCGCAGTCGAGCAACATCAAATTAAATGTATGGCAATCGCTGGAGAGAAATCTTCTCTCGTGCCCTCTCATCTGTAATACATCTACCAGCTGTTGCTCCAATGCGCACTACTTGGACGGCTTGTCTAGGCGCCATGTGACATTCTCATAGTTTTCAACTTACACGCCTGAATACATCACTCCAGGTTCCTAACCAATTGGGTTGTCAGTCGTCTCGCCCTGGCGGTGAGCACTCCTGTTCCATGCCAACCCTCCATGAGCTGCTCAAGGGGCTTTCTCGTTTCCTGCTCTGCTTGCCTCTAGCGAAGGAAACCACTTGTCATCAACTCTGCTAGTTGATAACCTCCACTGCAAACCGTCCTGATCAACGACCATTACTCTCCGGAAAATACCGCGTTGTATGCCACAGAGAGTCTCGAACTACAACACAGACATAGGCTACCGCGTGGTCTGACTGCGATATCCAAGTTCGCTTTTAGGCGCAATTCAAATCGAAGCAACAAGTTTATGCTCCGTTGACACCAGCTGTTTACCCCCATTTCCACAAAACACTCAAGACTAACTTCATCTGGGCTTGACCAATCACCACGGCCCTTTGCCGTTTATTTTTAATGAAATGCGTTCAACGCGACCATATCCATGGACTTTGGCAAATGGTCTAGCTACCTCGCCTACATTCGTTCACCTTCCATCGTTACATCATATATGACAAAACCCAAACCATCTATGGCAATAATGTGACCATCACCTGCATCATGTCTCGCTATTCTTGCGTAGACACCGGTCATTCTTTGTCGGCATGATGGCCGGAACTCTCCGAAATCATCTTTCACCTCCCGCTCTGCGTGTTCTAGCCGGCTTTGTAGGTCTTCGTTCCTGTCAGGCTCAAGACCACCACTACATCCTTAGCATTGCCCCTGGCGACCAACTTGACCTTGCCCATTACGATGCAGCCGATGCAGTGCCTCATTTGTTAGCCATGCTTTAAGCATGGCAAAGTCGATGACCTTAGCAGAGGTTTTGGTATCAACCTTAAGATGAGCACTGCGTCAACCGAGCCTTCGCTCTAACTAATGCAAGAGACTTCATGCTGGGTAGGTGACCTTGCTGGTGATCCTCGTCGAATATGGAGCCGCTATCAAGCCACACGGCTTCTGGCAAAGCCTGCCTCTTCCACCATAGCACACGAGGGCATCCCCGGGTTATAGGCTTCGAGAAGCTGCGAACACGCAAAGCAGGAAGGACTCTAAAGGCAAAGCCCTTGACATCCATGAACACGGTTCCTAAGCCTGCCCCTGCAAGGACACTATTCCGTAGTTGGGGAAGCGGCACACTCAACCCCCACCATCGGATTTCACACCCAATACCCTCAGAATAACGGCCGCCTGGTTGGGACAAGCCCAGGGGTCGGGAAGGCAACAAAGCGCACCTGAGAACTCGCTCCCTGAATGAGACGAGGGAAAGAATATCCTGTGTTTATACGGATACACACCATGACAGCACTCGCCGATCCACCCAGGTACCCCAGCAATTTCGTCTTTGCGGGTACCAGCTGTCCGTTTGTGGTTTTTTTTCGGGACGAGGCCCCCCTGTCAAGCTCTCACATCTCGCCATTGCCTGATCCGACACGGTTTTTTTCGGCATGACGAAGATCCACAGACGGTGAGGAAAGGAAAAACAGAAAGAAAAAAAAAGGACGGCCTAGAGCCTTGGGGGGGGGGCCTCCCTGGTAACTGCCGTGAATCTTCCTCCTCCTCCAAAGCCAAGGAATCCGCCACCCGCCTCCAGGATAGTAATTCTTCACACGGCTTGAACAAGGTGTGCGTGCCTTGCTCTCACACCCGCCCCGCGAAGCAGCAGCGCCGGCCTATATCCGCCCTCTCATCATGAAACCCTGCCGCCGCTTGCCCAGTTGGAAACAGGTCGGATACAGGCGACGCCCATAGTTGGCCGCCGCCGCCATCCAAACGCGCACTCTGTTCCCAAGAGGCAGCTCTTCCTCCCCTCGGAATTTTGCAAGACCCAAACAAGGATGCGGTTAGCACGGTGATTTACGAAGCTCCTACCCCATTTCAACCAAATTGCCAGGATTGGGCGCGTAATTGCGGTGTGCGAGGTCACTTACCTTACAGCAAGGAGCGATCAGTGATACCATGGGTTGCTCTTTTCCGGTTGGCCAACTTATGACGGCTCGGCGCGTCACATTCTGAGCACGATCAAATGAGAAACTGAGGCATTGCACCTCGAAATCGACTTGTTGTCTTCCCAAGTTCAATCAATAGCCAAGGAACTTTGACGGATGCACTGGTAGTATATCGGATTTGGTTGGTGCTACGAATATTTCTTCCGTGTCTACTCTATTGTTCTCATGCGTGTTGCTTTCTAATGTACTTCAAAGCCTTGACCCGGGGGGAGGTGCTTTCCCCGATTATTCCGTCTCTTGCGTAGTTGCGTCAGCTGTCACCTCAGCAGGCGGAGCATCATCAACCTTAGTTCTGGGGCTCACAGGCTCCTCCTGTTTCTTGGTAGGTGATGTAAGTAGGTCCCCAACCGAAACTAGCTCCTCGGACGACATGGCAGCCGGTTGGTTCGCGGCATCCCCCGCCTTGGGCTTTGGATGCAGAGGCTTCATTTCTAGCCCCTCATTGTCACTTTCGCGTTTCTCGTGATCTTCAAAGGAGAACAGATCTGATAGGTTGATAGCGAGGAACGTCTTTGGCAGTTTTACTCTGCATGGCTCGTTAGTAAAACAGGAGATAATCCAAAAAAACCCGGTCAGGCGGGTAACAGCCCGCCTCTACTTACTGGTTGAATTTGGCCCTCAGCGTACGGATCACCTGCATCCAGTCTGCGTGAGGGGTCAAACTACGACGCGGCGCGCAACTGATGCTGTGCTTGCTGTCCAATTGCACATCAAGGGGGTCGTAGACGTGGCAGCCGGGACTGATGGTAATTCTAATGCTGTATGCAAATGTCTGCTCCTCTCCCCCACCGGGCGAGTCAGTGGGCGTCTTAATCTCTGACTCGTACAACTCGAAGCAGATCTGCGAGAGATAATCAAGCTCTGGAATAGTGCTGCGCTTAATCTTCGTCTCGATGCCTCCTTCCAAGATGCAATTGAGGAGGGTATAAATATGGGACTCTTTCGTGAAGTAGAAGAAGGACTTTGCGTCGTTGGATGCCTGCATCTCCTCAAGATCCTGGACAATCTCCTTCAGTAGCGGTAGGGATGTCAAGAGGCCAATCTCAAGCTTTTCGCTGTCAGAAATACCGTACTCTTGAGGACAGATGAAATCGAACAGCACTTTGGCGAGCTGGTAAAGCTCACGTAGTGGCTCGAATCGGGCGTCGGTCTTGGCTTTGGTCTGAGTGTTGCCCTTGTAGAGATGGAAGTACTGCTCCGGCGCAGCAGGCTCTCCATTGTGTCGCAAGCCATTCAGGAACGACCGGCGACGGAAGATGCGCCTGACAGATGCAGAACTCTTGCTGGCCTCGCTCTTCTCTGGCTTGTCACTGGATCCCGATACGTCCCGCCTCTCCTCTTTCGACTCCTGAGACAGCTTCCCCTCATCCGTTGTTTTTTCCGCAGATTTGCCATCCTTGCCAGACTCTTTGCTTTCCCTGTCTCTGGCGCCATACTCCTCTTCCAGCATGACTTTAGGCGGTGTAAAGACCCATTCCAAGAACTGGCGGTTATGCAGAGCATCGAATTTCATCGTGTCGTAGAGCTCGGAGATCTTGCTGGGGTCAACCTTTTCTCCGTCGCAGAATTCTGCGAACAACTTTTCCCAACGTTCTCTGAATAGCTCCGCATCTTCACCACAACACCATCGAGTTTGTATGGTATTCACCGCGTTCGCCTGGGAAAGCGACGACGATGCGGAGCTTGTAGGTACCGACACCTCCCCGTTGTGGGACTTCTCCGAACCGGGGTTCACAATGTGGTTGTTCAAGGATGCAACGGCACTGCCGTTATGTAGCTTTGCGTAGTTGTGGTGCATCACACGACGATGAAAGTTCATCAGTTGAACGACGCGGGTCTGCACTTCTGACGGTTCTGGCATCTTCTCCGGCCAAGCAAATTGAGGGGGTCTTTCATTGCCTTTGCGCAGAAGGCCCTTCAACTTCTTCTTGACCTTGTCCATTTCGTCCTTGGCGGCGTTCGAGTCATCGAGAAGGTCTTTGCGAATGGTAATGAAGTCCTCCGGAAGATCTTTCCTGTCCAAAAATGAAGATGCCCAGATTTGGGCGCTAGTGGTAACCCGACGTTCGGAACTGCTAAACACGTGGACTTCGTCGAGAACGTCTCGGTTGAGAAGGTTGAAGTCGTTTCGCATGTTTTCGCCCAGTTCCTGGGCTTGGTAACGTGCTGAGTGAGTCGGCTCGCCACCCCATTTCACAATGAGCTGAAGTTTGTCAAGCACAAGACTCTCCTCTGCTGCAGTGATTCGGGACATGGTGACACCAGAGAGGGAGTCATGCCTCTTGGGTGGTTTTCGTGACGGGGAGGAGTTGTCCGTCTTTGTGGCACCATCCTCCGATTTCTCCGCAAAATCAGTCTCGACACCTTCCTTTAGGACCTGCGACAGCTCGTCGCCTGACGAAACAGCTACGTCTTCAGTTTTCTTTTTCCGGAACATGGGCTTGATCTGCACCTTGGTGCCTGCCCATCCGCCTTTCTTAACGAGGACGTTGCGGAGAGACTTGAGTTTCTGACGGTCCTCAACACCAGCCCTCAGCGCGACATCAACAGCCTGCAAAACACTAGCCAAGGCCGCTTCACCAATGAGCAGTACTTCCTCTTGGTGTCCCTTGAGCAGTTCAATAAAGGGCGCTGTGTGGAAAGTGAACTTGTACTTCTGCTTGGGGGTACGATCCGCATGGCGGATGACAGACACTATACCCTTCAGTTTCCATGAATGCTTCGGTGGAGGCGGCGCGGGTGCCTCTTCTTGCGGCGCTGTAACTTCACCTTGGAGTGATGGTGTTGCAGATGGCGTTGCTGACGCCGTTGTAGATGGAACACTCGCAACGGCCGGGTCCATGATCGGAGGTGGTGGTGGCAGTGTCGGACTGGTGCATGAACTAGTGACTGTTGATGCCAGCCCGCTCTCGGACTTCTGCGAAGGCACGTTCATGGGTGCGGTCTTGGGCTCTGGTTGTTGTTTGTCAGAAGCAGTCGACATGTTGGTCAAGGACTTGTTCTGAGATGGAGGCGCAGTAGTAGACTGAGAGTCTTTTTCCTTGCCTCGTAACGCCAATGGGTCCGTAATGTCAGAAGGCGCAGGAGATGGGGCAGGGGAGGTGACTCCGCCCCTTCTCAGTCTCTCTTTCACGAAAACTTCCTTGAGAATGTTGGCACAATGGTCGTAGTAGTCATCATTATCCTTGACGAAACTCCAGCCATTGACGTCAATCACGTAGCTTTTGCCACCAGCCCGCAAAAAGTCGAACCCGCAGACTCTCTGGCCGAAAGAAGTTGAGATCTTGCTCGCGATTTCCTTTTCCTCTGCGTTGAGACCCGTCACATATCTCAATTCCTTGCCATGCGTATTACGCCTGACAACACCATCGACCACTGGGGACTTTCTGGTCTCAGCGTGGCAGTAATTGGGCCCAACAGTGTACGCCTTGACATCTTCGGCGTTGTCGACCCGCATGAACTTTTCGTAGATGTAACTATTTTCGGGTTCGAGAATCGCACGGGGAGTGTTCAATTCGGGGTCATATTCGGAACTCTTGTTGCCAATCTTGCGGAAAAGTCTCCGGGCACCACCGCCTGTTGCCTTGGGAAAGTAGATGATAATGTTGTGGTCCTCGCCGCTGACTGGCTTCTCGACAAACGGCTTCTTGAGCAAAGCGCCATCTACGCTGAGAATGTCGCCGTCATCTAGCAATTCAACCTTTCGCGGTAGGCGGTTGTAACCCAACTCCTCTGGATCCATGGTAATGCCTGTTACGTCCTTAATGTGCTTGGCCGTGTCCGGGGTCAAAATCTTTGGGCCGCCATCGCGGTTAACCTCGATACGTTTGGGTGTCGGGACCCCTATACGGTCCAGAATGTTCAGGCAGAGACGGCGATCCCAAAGAATCTTTTGCATCGGGACATCGTTGACGCAAAACGGCTTCCGCGTCTTAACATAGGCGATGGCCTTGTCCAATGGAAAGCCATCGGAGTAAAAGGAGATCAGATAGTCACTGGTGATATTAGCAAAGGATTCCACAGAGGACGGTGCGAGGGCGATGGCAGCAAGCCAATCGCTCTTAACCAGACAGTTGCGACAGATTAATCAACCCAGGTGTGCTGTTGTCTGGATTGGAGCTATGCTCTTTTGGCTCACCGAGCCTGGTGAGGTAGAAGCAAAATGATGTAGACTTACCAAATCGGCCAGTTTTCAACCTCTGCAGAAGGGAAAAGAAAAAAACGTCAGCAAATTTTCTCAAATCATTTCCAGTTTCCCGTCAAAATGAAAGAGTTCTCCCCCTCCCTTCCTTTTTGCAACTTGCTCGCTGCACCTTTCATCACCCGTGTTCCCCGCTCTCCTCTCCTCTATATCTAATATTTTTTGGGGCGTTTGTCTCTTACCTTCGTCTAGGATGACCTTGTCACCGAATACAACCACGTCGAACTCACGGTTGGCGATGAGGCGATTCAGAATATTTCTGCTAGGTTTGCTACGAGCCTTGACGTCCAACGCGCACACTCCAATGACACCCCAAGGCGCTGGCTTGACTGCAGGTGCATTAGAGTTTGTCGGAACCCGTTGACGTGGCGCGCTTGTTTCTCTTGACTGACCCTCTTCTTTTTCTTTTCCACTGTGGTATGGACCCCGATCGCTGCTAGGGCTGTGGCTGCTGGCACCGGTGCTCCCGCTGAATCTGCGCTTGTTCCGGCTGCGGGATCTAGTTGGCTGGGAACGGTGGTTATCGCGATGAGGACGCTTGATCAAATCGTGGTGGGTGTGATTATGGTTGTCGCGCGGCGTAAGGTGATGAGCGCCAGATGCGGCGGCATTGCCATTCTGTGCGTTGGACGAGGTGGTGACGGTCACGTTGGAAACCTCGGCGCCTGGGTGGGAGGCATTCGCGATAGGCTTGCCGGACGACATGATTCCAGAAACCGAACGAGGAGGACCGCTGTCGGAACCGTTGGTGGAAGCTGCTGAAGAATGAACAGCAGCGGGTGCAGAAGTCGGGATGACGCCGCGGGCTGAGGCCAGTGAATATACGGACAAGGCGCTGGAGATTGAGGCGCGCTTGAGTTCCGACTCGGAGGAAAAAGAATTGCGGGTTGTGAGGGCGGGCTCGGGGAGGGGGCGATATGGGGCGGTGGGATCTTGCTGGTGGCCAGGTCCAGCCATGCGACGTGGGGTATCAGTTTCGTCGGCGTCGGCCAACTGTAGGCCAGAGTCGCTCCACGCCTCTAAGGAATTGTTTGATTCTCGACGACTGCGGCAGAAAGAGCTTCGAGGACTCTTCAAGGGGACGGAAGACGGCGGGGGCATGGACAAACTGGCAGCGGCAGAGTGGGCGTCGCTTGTTCCAGGCTCGGCCTGTCGGCTCTTCCTGCTGGCGGTAGACGAAAGGTTGAGCGAATGGGAGACAGAGCGGCCAGGTCTCGTCCGCGGAAGGATCTCAGTCGGTGCGGAAGTGTTGTTTGTCGATGTATGGGAAGGCGAGGCAGGAGGATGATTATTGAAGGGTGAGGTAGGCGCAGTAGCAAAAGCAGGAGAGGCAGGCGAGGCAGGAGCAGCAAACGAGCGAGCGCTATCTACAGAGCGCCGAGTGTTAAAATTTGGACGGTCCATCTTTCCAGATGCGACATTAAGACAGGACGGGGGACTTGTTGCTGACTCGAGGTTTCTCGATTGCTGGGCGCTAGAACCTTGCGAAATTTGCGTGTGCTTTGATGCTTTGTTCCGTATGGCTAGAAAGCCAGGAGTGACGCAAATCTAGTAACCCAGATAAAGATAGAGAGGGAGAGAAGGGAGAAAGAGGGTGTTGGAGATTCAAGGTTATGGCTAGAGAAAGGTTGAGGAAAGGGTCCACGTGGAGGGGATTTATTTGAAAGGGTATTTTTTTTTTTTTTTTGTCAAAGACTTCGACTACGAAACAAAGTTGGAGTTTGGAGAAGATGAGGTAAGTAGTTGGGGATGAGGAAGGGCACAGAGTTGCATCCAGTCGAAAAGGTTGCTGGAGGTGACGAGGCGAGCACGAAGCGACACCAAACACACACACACACATGGAATTACCTTCCCATTGGACAGGGGAGCTGCTTGGACAGAAGTGGTTGGGTCTTCGAAGAACAACAGGCCCTGCCTTGACCTTTTTTTTTGTCACAAGCTCAGCTCAGCTCAGCTCATGATTAATACCTTGCAAGAGTGTCTGTCTGGTCAGAGAGAAAGCTGCAACAATATCCGGACGCGAACATGACACAGCTAGTAAGACACTGTGTGGCAGAGGGGTAACACCTACCACGACAAAATGGCAGAAGGGCATTCTAGAACCCAGAGGAGGCCCAAGACAGGGCGTTTTGGGGGGGAAGGGGACTTGCGAGGAGCAGGGGCGATGAACCAAAAAAAAAATAAAAGTTCTAGATGTAGCGGAGCAAGGATGACGTTGATCTGGACGTGTGGGAGAGGTGGGGCAACCATGCTGGGCTACTACCTAGTACCAGTGGTAAGACACTTCCTGCAGCCAGCGCCTGACGACACGAACAGCTGCAATTTCCGGCGAATGACAGCGCTGAACGCAGCTTTTGACACCTGGAGCTCGATCGACGGCGTCATGTCGATAATTCGAAATTGTCTTAGTCACCCGCTGCACAATAAGGTTGCCCAAAGACTGGATGAAATGACACCATAACTTGTGGTCTACTGCATCCCGCTATCTGCCAAGGGGTGCGGGCAAGGTAGGTAAGGTCGTGTCAGTCTCATCTGAAGTATCATTTTTTTCTTTTTTTTTCTCTTTTCTTATGCCACATGCGCTGCAGAATTGAGCCCAGTGTCTGTGTTTTTATTATCAAACCAAATAATCGAATCCTTACCTTAGACTTGGTTGTGTTTTCCCTCACCGCCAATTAAGCTGGTTCAGTCATCCATTCCCCTTGAATGCGGCCCCAAATCAAGATACCAAGCTCGTCCTGACAGGGCTCTATGCCGAGTTCCTGGAACCAGATTACGTAGTGCTCTTGGAGGGGCATAACAAGGTCAGCCAGTGAGGTGTGCCCAATTCAGCATGAGCTGCCCCTCCAATTGCTGACCATATGTGTGTATTCTATCCGGCGATTAGCCGGAGACGGCTTAAGCCACATTCGGCACTCGTTCACGTGGCCAACTGTATGCAAAGAAAGCTTGAGCAAAACAGCTGTATGCTTTAATATTTGGAGATAGCAAGATTCTAAGGCATACATGAGTTATAAAGTAAAAATCGTTTAGTGCCTCAATGATGGGTGTAAACTGTAAACAAGTGAGGCTGCTGGGATAATCAAGTGGAAAGGTCGCTAGACTATCGAAACAGGCGCTGGCTCAGAACACTCGTCGGATTCTGGAGCCAACAAATATGATATTTTCAAGCTTCCTTTCTTCTTCTCATCCTCCGCTCACCCATCCGTCTTATCAGTGGTCCTCGGGGCTGCCGTTCCGGGTGATGTCCGCTATGTGTGAGCCGGGAGAAGTGGAGTCTACCGGCTGAAGCCCGGCAAAATTTCATCGGCGATAAGATAAGACTGGGAAAATGATCCTTGGCCGGCCTCGAGATTTTTTTTTTTCGACGGCTTCGTAGGCTCGCTCGACGAAACGCATCCTTGAGCAGGCATCGTACCAGTAGCCCACAAATGCTTGCTGCCACAATGCCTCACTCAGAGCAAGAAGGGCCTTTGGTCAAGCGACAGAAACTCAATGTCGCTTCCAAGCCCTCATCGGCCTTGCGCCAGTCGTCCCGCATCTTTGCGCCTTTCCGGGTATGTCGCTATACTTCATCGTTGTCCTATACGCTACAAATCTTGCTAACATGCTCGCCTTCTAGACGGTCGGCCTAGTATCGCCGACGAATACGCCCTTCACTTCGATTCCCATGGGAAAGACGACGTTTCAGATCACCACTTCCGTCGGTCGAGCCCTGCAGACTTACGACCTGAAGAGGGGTCTGAACCTGGTCTTCGTTACTCGCCCGCAAACCCCAGCCGACATAACCGCAACGCTCGCCTGGAAAGACAAGGTTTTCGCAGCCTGGGGTGATGGAGGAAAGGGAGAGAAGCAGGGTCTTTGGGCCTACAAGCGTGGAAAGAAGGTCGACGAGCTCGAGCTCCCCGCTGACCTCGACGAGCCTATTCAGCAGATCTTAATTTTTGGTTCATGGATCGTCGGGTGCGCCGTAACAAGGCTCGAGATCTGGAAATCAGCTACCTTTGAGCATTACACCACCCTCCACACTATGGCCGGCAAGAAGGGCGATAATGAGATCACCGGCGGCGTCACTAACATGCCTACCTATCTCAACAAGATCTTCGTTGGTCGTAAGGATGGTTGGGTCGAAATCTGGAATGTCAGCACCGGAAAGCTGATTTACACCGTTCTTCCCCCGACTCCCGATTGCGGCTCCGTCACTTGCCTGCAACCTTCTCCGGCACTGTCCCTGCTCGCAATTGCCTACGCTAATGGCACCCTTGTCATTCAGAACATCTTGACCGACAAGCCCGTTATTCAAGTAAAGGCCGGTCACGACGATGAGCCAGTCACCTCCATCTCCTTCAGAACCGACGGTATGGGAGCGGGCCACGATGGTAGGAAAGATGGCGTCATGGCTACTGCCACGACTGCAACTGGAGACGTTACTTTCTGGGACCTCAACAACGGTGGCCGTGTCATGGGTGTTCTGCGTAGCGCTCACAACCCTCCCTCAACCGGTGGCCCATTGGTCCGCGGAGGTGTCAGCAAGGTCGAGTTCCTGCCAGGACAACCCGTCGTTGTCACGAGTGGACGCGACAACGCTTTGAAGACTTGGATCTTTGACGAGACTCCATTCTCAGCCATTCCCCGTATTCTGCATGAGCGCAGTGGACACGCCGCTCCTGTCAAGTGCTTGCAGTTCTTGCCCTCCGACTTTGACGGAGCCGATGCCGGCAACAAGTGGCTTCTTAGCGGTGGTCAGGACCGCAGCCTTTGGGGCTGGAGTATGCGACGGGATGGCCAGAGCACCGAGCTCAGCCAGGGCAACATTAGGAAGAAGGCGAAAAAGAGCGGTATCCTGTCTGCCAAGGCTCTCGCACGAGGACCTACGACCACTCTGGAGGACCTCAAGGCTCCTGAGATTACGGCCATTGCCAGCTCCCTCAACCGTGATGGTGGCATGGGTGCCTTGCCCGGCAACCAGCCAATCTGGCAGAAGCGCAGGGACACCAAGAAGCAGCAGGATGCCGAGATCAGCGGAATGACCGGTTGGGAAAGTGTTGTGACGGCACACAAAGACGACGCTTACGCCCGTACGTGGTTCTGGGGTCGCAAGAGGGCTGGTCGCTGGGCTTTCCCGACAGGTGATGGTTCCAACGTTTCCACCATTGCCATGAGCCCTTGCGGTACCTTTGCACTGGTTGGTTCGGTCGAGGGAGGCCTCGACATGTACAACCTGCAATCCGGCCTTCACCGCCAACGATTCCCTTCCAAGCTCACCCCTGCGCAGGCCAGGCAGCTGAAGCTGCAGCAGTTGAAGCAGGCAGACAATGTCATTCAACTCCAGGCCGAGGCAGACACCGGCTTTGCCGCTGGCACGGGCAGGCATACCAAGGCGGTGACGGGTATCGTTGTCGACTCGATGAACAAGAACGTCATCTCATGCTCGCTGGACGGCAAGATCAAGTTCTGGGACTTCTTGACCGGCAAGCTGGTGCACCAGATCAACTGGGCGCCCATGGCCGCCATCACCGGCTGCAGATACCACGCAGCGAACGATCTCATGGTCTTCGCTTGCGACGACAACTCGATCCGCGTCGTCGACCTCGAGACCAAGCGCACCATCAGAGAATTCTGGGGCTGCCAGGGCGCCATCAACGACTTCTGCTTCTCCAACGACGGCCGCTGGATCATCGCTGCCTCCCAGGACTGTGTCGTGAGGATATGGGACCTGCCCACCAGCCATCTCATCGACGCCATCCGCCTTGAGAAGCCCTGCACCGCGCTCGCCATGTCCTCCACTGGCGAGTACCTCGCCGCCACGGTCGAGAACGAGCTCGGCGTCGCCATCTGGACCAACAAGTCCCTCTTCACCCACGTGCCCACGCGCCAGGTGTCGGACAAGGAGGCAGCACTGCTCACCGGCCCCACGACGTCCGGCGAGGGCGGCGAGGGTCTTCTGGAGGCGGCGTTCAACGAGGAAGACGCCGACGCCGAGGACGAGACCGTTGTCGCGCCGACCATCGACCAGCTCAGCGCGGAGCTCACAACGCTCAGTTTGGTTCCCAAGAGCCGCTGGCAGACGCTGCTCCACCTGGACCTCATCAAGCAGCGCAACAAGCCGACAGATGCGCCCAAGGCGCCGGAGAAGGCGCCATTCTTCCTCCCGTCTGTTGGCGCGGGCAAGCAACCATCGAACCTGATCGAGGCCGCCACCACCGAAGGCGATGCCGCGGCGACAGAGTCCAAATCCCGCATCACAAAGCTCGAGCGCGGCCGCATGCAAGAGGTTTTCACGAGCAAGCTTGCCGACGGCGCCGCTTCAGGCGACTGTAAGACACCTATCCCCCACATTTCAAAAAAAAAAAAAAAAAAAAAAAAGATTTGTACATTTGCTAACTACGACGCAGTCGATGACTTCATCACCCATCTCAAGTCCCTCTCCCCTTCAACCGCAGACCTCGAGCTTCGCTCTCTCAGCCCCGAAGACGGCGGTCTGCTGAACTTCATCCGCGCGCTCACCAGCCGCCTGACCGCTCGCCGCGACTACGAGCTGGTCCAGGCCTGGATGACGGTCTTCTTGAGGCTCCACTTCGACCTCGTCATGGCCGATCAGGAGCTGTTGGAGGCTCTCGGCGAGTGGAAGGCCCGACAGGAGCGCGAGGCTGGACGATTAGACGATCTCGTCGGTTACTGCAGCGGTGTTGTTTCCTTCCTCCGAAGTCCCCGGACGTAAGGTGGTGGTTGTGTGGACGTGTGTGTTCATTTTGTATTCACGGTGTTGTATGAGCTGGGGACGACGGACGTTGAGAAGAACAGCGGCCATGAAATACGTGGAGGATGACAGGCAGCGCGCGCGGCAGATGAGCTTGCTTACATTAATTCAATACCCAAAAGTTTCAAGGGCAACCAGTGCAGCACTTGTTTTTTTTATTTTGTGACCTTTCAGAACAGCCATGATGACAGAACATAGCATCAGGGGGCGTCACTGCGAGCCTGCAGGCAAGAGGTCTCAAAAGAATTGGGCAACCAGGTGATTCGTAGTCGAGCATTTGCTGTTAACAGGTCTAAGAGAGCGAGAGCGTTTATCTCAAAATGGATGTCAGTCCCAGGCGTAATACTACTCATTTTGCCATCATCAGCAGAGGCACACAAAGAGTTGCTAGTTTAATTTTGTAAAGGGTTCGATCAGATTTTCTAGTTGACATAGACACGTACGTGTGTTAAGCATATTATTAGAGCGCAAAGAATAGCAGAATAGTATCTAAGATTGTCTAGGCTTTTGGGTTACTGCAGGATTTACTTCGATCAGCGTGATCTAGGGGCGGGAAGTTTAAAGAATCGCGGGAGATCCGGGATGAACAACTCGGATAACATGAGGCAAACGATTTCGAGAACATGTTCAAAGGCTTGTAGTCTTTGTTGGTAGTGGTTAACACCAGCCTTGCGATGCTCTGGCGGGTGGTACCGTCCAACGCCTGTTCCGAAATGCCAACATTCTATTGCTGCTATAAACACTGTAGCCTCCCTTCCAAAGTTTGATGTTCTAGAGCAGGATCTTAAGGCTCTGGGGTAAGAGTAGCTAAAGCCATGCTTCTTTCGTCACAGCCTCTTCCCACGTGTTATATGGCACATCGGAGCCACAAATGATGCGGACATCACCTTTGCATTCACTCGACTGATGGCTTAGCGAGGTTTCCAGTCCATGCAAAGATACAAGGGCTAAAAAGGACATGCTTCACTTATACCAGTGACTTGGCCATTCGTTTCCCGCCCACCAGATGACCGAGATCAAGCAGACAGACACCCACCCTGCCCTGCACAACAAGTAGTAGTCAATAAATGTCTGGCCAAGAACACACAGCCCGCCGCAACCGCCCGCGTGACCACGCGCTCCACGATCTAGTCCCTTGGTATATATGCCCCATCGTCGTCCCTCTACCTCGCTCCTTGCCATCCCCCCGCGGCTTGGCAGCAATCTATCTACCGTATCACCCGTCGAGGACTCGTTCGGATAGGTTAGCCAGAGTTTACCGAGTGTGGAGGCGCAACTGCTATGCCCAGGCCTGCCCTTGCCCATATCGCCACTGCATTGTCTTCTAGTCAGAGCAAGTTGCAACGTCCTTAATCCCTGTTTAGCCAATTCTTCCTGAACCATTGCTCTGGGAGGGAGACCTCTGTGGTTTTACACTTCAAGTCACGCAGGGCATTATGTGCCTAGGCGGAGCCTAATACCCTTCTTTTCCCACTGCCTCGTGCAAGACATGGGAGGTACTAGTATACCAATGGGTCTATGTTTGCCGCAGGTGTAATCTGCATTCTCTCCCCTTCATCGCCTCTTTTCCACCGTTCGATTATTCATAAGCGTACTGATCCAAAGACCCCCCTCTGGAGAATCACAAGGACCATGACATCAAGCGGCATCTAACCGGCAACTCCACGCCACATTAGCCTACCTACGTACTCCATCCGCATCATCAAGTTCAGCACTAGCTGGGAAAAGCACTCATAGAACAATGCCCATGACTCCGGTTCACCCTCGCAGGACAAGGCCGTTTACCCTAGTCGCAATACGTGGGAAATTGTCCCGCACCGAGCACCCTCGATACTAAGTTACACCGACGTGACCACAGCACGCACAGAGACCCGTCACTAGTCCTCGGGCAACACGGTAACGCATTGCAACGTGGGTCTATTGGAAATTTGGTTCCTGAAAGTCAATTTTTCACCCCAGCAGCCCAGGCAAAAGGCCTCTCTAGCTCATGATCTGGGTGGTACCAATCCCGGTCGCTTCGGTGGCTTCGGTCCCTTCTGCGCCGAGACAGGGTGGCACTGGCATGCAGGTGGTCCGGGGTGTTCCTGGGGGGGGTTTTTCTGTGCCTGTGTGAGTCTTTGTGTTGTGTCTTTCGTGCGGAGAAATATCTACCTACCGCCTTTTTTTCTTTTCTTTTTTTTTACCCTTTCCCCAGTCTTGACTCTCCCCCGGACCTTCATCTCCAATGGAGGCGGGGACCCCGCTTGTTGTCGTCTACTCCAATTGGCGAATGGCTGCAAATGAATTCACCCACACCAATCCGGACCTCATTTCTCCACGCTGGCATGGCTGTCCCTGTCTTTTGCCCACCCATCACGAGCGGTAAACCAGACGAACTGCCTGTTTGTTCCCCGCATCTCATTCGTTTTCTCCCGGTCTTCCTTACCTCTTTCGTTCCCCAGGTTCGAAAGATGGCCTCGTGCGGGGGAGTTCCTGGGGTTCGCAAAATAACAAACGGACATGGGAGCTATCCGAGGTCCCCCATGATGGGATGAATGGAACCCTAAGAGACCGCCGTCCATATAAATAAGAGGCCTCATAACTCGTTTCCCTTCGTCCTCGAGTCTAGTTGCTGGTCAGGCACGCGACGAGTCCGGCGAGTCGAGCTGTCCCCCTTTCTCTTAGACCTCATCCGTTCCTGAAAGATCAAAAGTGAGCGAGATAAAAGTGAGTGAAATCACCACAAATCCTCACTATGCGCGTCTCTTCCCTCCGTCAGGCGGCCTTGGGCGCAGCCCTCGCTGCCGTCCCGGCTGCCGCGGTCCTCAACGCAACTGAGACCTCCAACCGCCTCATCATTGCCAACGACCGCCTCTATGCCGCCATCTCCAAGCCCGGTGGCTCCGTCGTCGAGCTCACCCTCGACGGCGTCAACCTCCTCGGTACGCCGTCCGGAAGCACCGGTAAGGGCCCTTACCTGGACTGCTACTGCACTCCCGAGGGCTTCTGGACTCCCGGAAACGTCGCCCCGACCTTCGAGCTCTACAAAGGTACCGACTCCTCGGGCACCCCCTACGGCGGTGTCAAGATGTCCGACACCTACGCCTCGACGGGCCAGGTTCTCGAGCAGTACTGGTTCCTCCGCGAGGGCGAGACCGGTCTGCACATGTTCAGCCGTGTCGCCTACCACAACGAGGAGAAGCCCTTCCTCCGCAACCTCCAGGAGCTGCGGACGCTCTTCCGTCCCAACGATCCCATGTGGACTCACCTCCTGACGAACCCCACGCAGTACGCGCCCCTGCCGTCCAAGGAAGCCGTCTCGAAGCAGGTCGTCGTCCAGGACGCCACCTGGTACCTCGGCAACACCCCCGAGGACGCCTACGTCAAGCAGGAGGCCGACTGGTTCACAAAGTACACTTTCCAGGACACCTGGCGCGACATTGACGCCTACGGCATGTTCGCCGACGGCTCCAAGACGGCCGATGGCTCTACCTTTGGCGCGTGGATGGTCTTCAACACCCGCGACACCTACTTCGGCGGCCCGCTGCACTCCGACCTGACGGTCGACGGCATCGTGTACAACTACATCTCTTCCAACCACCATGGCGACCAGACCCCCAACATCACCAACGGCTTCGACCGCACCTTCGGTCCTCAATACTACCACTTCAACCGCGCCCCTGCCGGCACTGACATCCTCGAGCTGCACGCCGACGCTGCCAAGCTGGCCAACCCCGAGTGGAACGCCGCCTTCTACGACGATATCGCCCACCTTGTGCCCAACTACGTGCCCTCTAGCAAGCGCACGACTTGGAAGCTTCACGTCGACCTTCCCCAGGGTGCCAAGAAGCCCATTGCCGTGCTCGCCCAGAACGGCGTCGACTTCCAGGACAACGTTTTCGACACCAAGGCCTACCAGTACTGGACTGACATTGATGCCGAGGGATACGCGACGATCCCCCGCGTCAAGGAGGGCACCTACCGCCTGACCATCTACGCCGATGGCATCTTTGGCCAGTACATCAAGGAAGACGTCCAGGTCGTCGCCGGCAAGGTGCAGACCACTCATGCGCGCTGGCGTGAGGAGACCGCTGGTAACGAGGTCTTCCGTATCGGCACGCCTGACAAGAGCTCTGGCGAGTACCGCCACGGATACGAGCGCGACGAGACCAAGCCCCTGAAGCCCGAGGAGTACCGCATCTACTGGGCGCGGTACGACTTCCCCAAGGAGTTCCCCGAAGGTGTGCACTTCAAGGTCGGCGAGAGCGACCCCGCCAAGGACCTCAACTACGTCCACTGGGCCGCCTTTGGTGGAAAGGGCAACTCTATCCGCCCCGAGATGTACCTCGGCGACGGCAACGTAAACAACTGGACGTTGACCTTCGACCTCGAGCAGTCCCAGGTTGAGTGGAAGCGTTACGCAACCTTCACGGTCCAGCTGGCCGGCGCGAAGACGGCCGCGGGTAACACGGACGTGTTCAACGCCAGCGAGCCGCACTCCAACCTGAAGTACACTGTCAACGTCAACGGCAAGGACCTGGAGCCGTGGGTGATCCCCTACCACCACAGCAGCTCCTGCGCCGTGCGTTCCGCCGTCATCTGCTACAACATCGCCAACAAGTTTGTCTTTGACTCCAAGCTGCTCAAGGCAGGCCAGAACGAGATTGTTTTGAGCTTGCCTTACGGGGGCAAGAACTACGAGAGCGCGGTTCTCCCTGAGCCCGTCTACGTGCAGTACGATGCGCTGAGACTGGAGATCAAGTAGAGGGTTTCAGTAGTACAGATTAGAGCACAGTAATTTAATAAAGTTCCGTCAAAGACACTTACTTTCTAGAAACTCTACATGTGAATTTTTTGGTTGCGTGAAGGAGTCGGACTCCGTTAACGGTTTGATGGGGAGAGGCTGAGTCCAACGGGGACGAGACGAAAAGTGTGGTCAGATCAAAAGCTGGTTTCACAACTGTTCTGGACAGAATATAATGCTCTGAGGCTGGGCCTGCATACGTCCGAACGAACAGCAAGACGTGTAGCAAGTCTCTCTTCTTTTTTTTTTTTTGTCTTCGCCAGAAGGGGTCCAGGGGCATGTTTGGACGTAGAATCTGGTTCAGACTTTGAGCGTCGCATAGAAGTGGAATTTCTGTATCTTGTGTCGATCGCGTACCCAGAAAAATAGTACTTCAGCTGCTCAAGGTCAACATCGAATTTCGGATCTCCGTGGCGGGAAAAATATTGGCAATAGTAAAAAATTGATGAGCGATATTTCACAAGCCGACGCATTAGCACGAGATCGAGATGTAGCGTAGCACCGCGTCCAAGACTTCCGAGTGGTCCCAAAGTTGGCTCTGTTTCGAAGCGTTTTGTTACCGTTGCAGTCATACAAATATTAGCTCTTAGTGGTCTGGGCCGGATAGCAAAAGCCGGCCTTGGTGAAAGTTACACTCGGAACCCGGCCGAGTCCTCGAAAGGCGATTGTTGCGTCAATAGAAACATCGATTCTGAGTCAAATGAAGGCTCCGTCATTCGACTTACCGCTTTCAAGAGCTGAGGCTTACGATCAGGAGATTTGTCTTGGCTGGGCGTAACGCGGCCACACATTTGCGGAGAATAACATAGCCCTCATGCATGCAAGTTTGTAGTGCGGGACAGTAGGCAGTCGTAGGATTCAGCATGCCGATGTTGTGCCGCCATATGCCGTGGATTGCTGAGCTGTTCGTGATTGCTGGCCATGCAGCCACCATGATGGGGAGAGAGTCAGCAGCAGCTAGGCCATTTGAGCAACAGATCGCCAGTATGTCGGTGTCTTGTGTGCCTAGAATGACAGCGGGCAAGGCTGCTTCATCTCCACTGCACGCTATTGGAGTTGTTCCTGACTCCGGCGTTCCCCAACGAGGGAGTGATCATCAGCGGCGACGGGTGAGGCTGGTGCGGCACATGGCTGTTGTTGTGCCTTGGACTTCAGTGCCAGGGCGCGAAATCAAGTCCGCAAAATCCTTCCTCCACAACGAGCATGCGGCCGGGAATAGTAACAGCAACAATCTCGTCATCGCGACGATAGGAAGAAGGTTGGGCAGCATCAATCAGTGCTGCCTAGATAAGGTTGAACGACAACGTGCCGAATGGGCACGCCTGTCTTGGGAAAGCCATTGAAGGATGGCGGATTTCAATCCCTTCTCATCTGGGGTAGCGTGAGTTTGCTGAGTCCGTCAGGTACAAAACTAAACAAGGCTTCATAGAGGCTGAACCGTGATGTGATGTCACATCGCCGTCGCTCTCTGCCTAGGTCACCAGGCTACTACCGCTGTAGCTGTGTCATGTCTAGCCAACGCAAGAATGAGTAGGAAGATGCCGGTGAATCTGAAAGGGAAAGAGTAGCTTGGATGCGACGATGATCAGAGGCTTTGGCAACTGAAATCAGGTCTGGACAATACCGCAGTCAACTTCACCCTGTGCTGAGTGCTGTCTGCAAGGGAATCCTGGCAGTGTCCCGCTGCCCGGTTTACATAATACTACGAGAAGGTAGTCCACCACCCCTCGGTACCGGGGTGGCACTGATTGCTCCGGTGGCCCTGCGGGCACCTTCTGGCGTTTTGCATGTCAAGGCAATTTTGATCTGGTCCTCGAAACAAAGCGAGCCCTGGCATTGTCTTGACCCTGCCTCTCAGGAGAAGAAGCGGAGGGGTAAAAGAAAAACTCTTTCGGAGTTCTCCACTGCATTAAGGATCTGCCTCTGCGCCGCTTCCATGGGAAATAAGCAGCTGTCAAGCGTTGAATCAAACGCATGAACACCAGGCCATGGTTATTGGGAATTCTGGGGATTCTTGGGGATGAGTCGACGTCTTGAGTTGGTTGTTTGCCGAGCTGAACAAAGTACTCCATGGTCTTTGTGTCAAAGTACTTTGGACGAGAGTCAGGCCAAGTCCAGCTTGTTGGGATGTCAACGTCATGCTTGATGTCGATACTAAATGCAGCCGGCATGTAGTTCGGTTATACGACCGATCATTGTTCGCAAGTATACAAGCTGATCCCATAAACGACGGTCCTACGTTGATGGCAACGAATTAGTCAATAGAGAATGTGCGCTGATGAGAATGCAGTAATGTTGTACGATGACGGACAAGATGACCATTGACGATACAAGGTGCTGGATGTTGAATGTTGTGCAACAACAACAACGAAAAAAAAAAAAAAAACAGAATGAATGCAAGGCTGAATCATGGAATAGTATCACGGCAGTTGGAGGTGGAGGTTAAGCTAGTGCTACTTCCATCTTTGGAACAACTTGTCGAGTACATCCCCTTTCACCCTTAGGGGAAGAGAGACCCAGACAGCAGGAGCCTCAGGTGCCTGGACAGGACGAAGGACGGACCCACACGTGGCTGTGCGCTGCCGGTTAGGGGGTGATGGGGTTCCCTGTTAGGGGAAGGTGGCACATTTTCAGCCCTTGAAGCCCTTGAAGGCCCATTGAGCCCCTGGTCATAGCACCCTTGGCTAAGGGCCGGATGCCGATCGACTGGTTCGTCACAAGTACCTTATCGCCCGATAAGAGGTACGTACCTGTCCCGTTTGGGTGTTGGCACCTGGAACTCATTGGCACCCATGGCAGCTTGGCTGGTCCAAACCTCTGCGTCCCGCCAACACAGCATAACGTACAATCTTGTCTGAAACACCATCTACCACCAGTCATCGTTTTTCGAAAGCTCAGCTTCTAAGCTCCTTTACCAGTAAACGACGGCGCTTACCAGAATCGTGCCCACGACCAGGACCAGCATTGGTTGCCGTGCTTTTTCCCCTCCCCTTTTTTTTATTTTTATTTCTTTGCTCTTGGACTCTCTGCTCTGACAGAGCAGCTAGAACACACAGAGAAGAAAGACCCAGAAAACCCTACTCGCGCTTTGCCCTTCTCGTCACCATCTCGTCTTAAGACCCATGGTCTAGAGACAACCACTTGAATACAACCCACCGAGGATTGACCCCTGACTGTGATCTTCTCCCTGGCTTCCCGGGCGGCCCCTGCCAGGGCGCAGCGGCTTGTGGTGCGCTGGCTCGACAAGAAAGCAACTCCTGATGTCGACTTCAGATGAAGCCTTGTTTTGTTTTGTGCTTGTTTCTAGGCTGCGAGAAAAGACGCTGGCAAAAAGGATCATGGCGCGGTCATCATGGCAGGATCCAGAGCCCGCCTGCTTTTGCATATCCTCCACCTCTCCCCATCTTCATGTCGCTGACACGTCTTCCTCTTCCTTCACTCGTGAAGTATCTTGTTCTCACCCCATCGTCACTGATACCTTGACATCCAGTTCCAAATTCAGCTCTAGCTTCCCACTTCTCCAGGTTCCTTGTGCCCAGCAGATTGGCGTCCAGGATCAGCGTCACCATCTCTCCTTTACGCCTTGTCCGTACCCGCTCTCGCACCCGCCGCACACTCGCCCTCTCCATTGTTGTCGTTGTGCTGGTCCACCTGTTCGGAGGAAGACTGGACAGGGGGCACATGGACCGGAACCCTCGTCCGCTCCTGGTATATTTAACATCCCGGTCGTTCTTTGCCGGTGGTGGCGCCTCGTTGCTCTGGCCATCGCAGCTAATACTTATATCCTCCTCCTCCACTCTCGCTCTTCCGACTTGAGAAGAGAAGGAGAAACACCAAAAAGTTTCGGCTCATTACTTGCCTCTATACACTTAATAATCATCAATATGGTCGCCAACCTCGGCAGTTTGGCTGCCCGCGCAGTCTTCCTCATGTCTACTCGCCCCATCACCCAAAGGGCAGACGCTGCGACTTACACCACCAATGCCATCGCCGCCATCAACACCCTCCAGAACACATGGTACAACATCGGAACCGGTCTCTGGGACGAAGCTTGGTGGAACAGCGCCAACGTCTTCACAACCCTTGCCGAGTTTGGAGACCTGAACCGCGACGCTGCCAACCAGCTCAACATCGGTGGCATTCTGAAGAACACTTTTGACCAGGCCCAGAAGACCACGGCATCGGTCTCCAAGTCTATGAACGCTGCCGGCCTTGTCACGTCTTCCTACGCCATCTTCAAACGCGACGTCCCCATGATCAAGGGCCGCCAGTTCAGCGCTCAGGGCTTTCCAAACTTCATCAACGAGTTTTACGACGATGAGGGCTGGTGGGCGCTCGGCCTCATCCGCGCGTACGACATTACTGGCGACAATGAGTACTTCGACATGGCCGTGCGCATTTTCGCCGATATGAAGACCGGCGGCAACACCAACTGCAACGGCGGTATTTACTGGAATAAGGATCGCAAGTATGTCAACGCTATTGCCAACGAGCTCTACCTCGCTGTCGCTGCCTCGCTGGCCAACCGAGACCCCAGCAACAAGGACTACCTGAACATTGCTACGTCTCAGTGGTCGTGGTTCAAGGCCAGCGGCATGATTAACAAAGACGGAACCATTAACGATGGCCTTGACGGCGATTGCAAGAACAACGGCGCCAACGTGTGGTCTTACAACCAGGGCGTCGTCCTTGGCGGCCTCGTCGAGCTCAGCCGTGCTACGGGCGATACGTCGGTTCTCACAGATGCTGCCAACATCGCCAAGGCTGCCATCAAGGCGCTCAGCGATGACAACGGGGTCCTGCATGACACCTGCGAGCCCAGCTGCGGTTCCGACGGTAACCAGTTCAAGGGCATCTTCGTGCGCAACCTGCGATACCTGCACGCGGTCGCGCCCCAGAGCGAATTCAAAAACTTCCTCATCAAGAACGCCGACAGCAACTGGTCCAAGAACCGCGACAGCCAAGGCAAGCTTGGCGTTGTTTGGTCGGGCCCCGTCCAAGGCGTCTCCGGCCCGAGCCACAGTTCTGCTTTGGATTCCATCGTTGCCGCCATTGCCGTCGCGTAAATTAGACACTCTCAGATCACGGATTATTGGGCAAGGAGTTGGAAATTGGCCATCTTCATTTTTTATTTTTTATTTAGGATTCAACGGATGGCCCATGGGACACATTCATTTTCATCGGCGCAGGACATTGGGAGCGGATTAGACTGGATCGAAGATGGGATACCCTCTGACATGGACGCTCCTTTGGTGCCTGAATCAAGCACACAGTCTGAGCAGAGCATGGGGGTTTTGTTTATTGTTAATGACGACTCTAATGAGTAATGATACCACAGGTCCTTTGAGTAGTCGTTAGATACAGCCGGAAATGGCATCTCAATGGTAGTTTTGAATACAAGATGATGAACCACAACCCCCAACAGTCACCCAACATTGATTGAGTCAAGTCTGTGGTGCCTACCTAATGTCGACCAAGCCCTAGCTCCCGCATACCCAGAACATCAGATATTCAGGAGCAGGAGGAACCACGGACGTCGGCGACGAGGGTTGCAAGCATAAGGGTAGCAATGGCTGGGCTACTACGTAGAAGTGAAAGCCTTTTGGGTTTTGGGGAGTTTAGCCAAAAGGAGATCTCCCGACCGATCAATTTGTCGGGGCTGTGAACCGGCCAACCTATTTCTGGCTCAATGCTGATCGCTTCCGCTTTAAATTGCCCGAGAAGATCATTAGGAGATTTCCATGTTATGCGGGGGAAATTGAAATTGGAGCCTCCATCGCGAAGTGTTTACATGGGGGGGGCTTCTTTTTTTTCTTTTTTTTTTTCCCCCTTTCTCTTTCAGTTTAGGGGGGGGAGGAGAAAGGGATGGCATGGCAGGATATATAATGTTAAGCGAATTTACCCAACTACCGCATATAATAAGGTTTTGACCACCGATACATTGGATTCATTCAAGCTTACCCCTTCATTGTGAATTCCAGCTACGTCCAAAAACACAATTCCTGTGAACCAATGTCAACCACCCAGCTGGGACAAGTAAAAAGATGGTCGTACACTAAAACGCAGTGAGACAGACCTTCAATGACTCCTCTATGTGGTGGTTACAATTACAGCATTCAGCTGAAGTCCATGACGTATACTTTACTCAACGCGTGCGGGCGTCTTCGGGCCCCTCGGGATGGAAATCCTCATGAAAGCGCGCAGGCGCGTCTTATTTTTTCTCGTTCCAACTGGCAGCCTTTTTCTTTCTGTGTGTGTTTTCCCGGGAACCAAGGCAACTGAGGGACCAATTCTTTTTCTTTCTCTTTGCCGCCCTTCCATCCCAAGTTTCCGTCCTCGACTGATCCCAGGCGGCCAATGCCCGCAATAGCTCCACCATCGTCGTCTCATCTTCAGCTTCAGTTGAACTATTCGAAATTACACCCGCTAGGTGGGACGCCGCAGGCTAGGCTGTGTTCGGCTTAAGCTTTTCTGTCCTTCTTCTCTTCTTCTTCTTCTTCTTCTAGTGCCATGACAGCCTCATCTCCCACGGACCCCTTCGGCCAGGTTCTCAAGGATCTGGCCCTCATCGCTCTGAGTCTCTTCTTATTGCCCCTCGATACGGCTCTTCTGGCTTTGTGCTATGCGTATCAGCGCCTGCGCCCGGACCGGAAGGTCTCCGGCCCCGTCGCCGTAGGCCAGCAACAGCGCCGAACGGTCCTCGTGACCGGTGTCGGCATGACAAAGGGCCTGACCTTGGCACGGCTGTTCCACCAGGCCGGGCACCGTGTTGTCGGTGCCGACTTCTCTCCATGGGCGTGCGGCAGTAAGTCGCGTGCAATCGTCTCCTATCACGTCCTCCAGAGGCCAAGCCGCGGCGGCTCTGACCCCTACCTCGACTCCATTCTCAAGGTGATTCGGGAGGAAAAGGTAGATCTTTGGGTGAGCTGCTCCGGTGTGGGCTCCGCCATTGAAGACGGTATCGTCAAGGAGGTCGTCGAAGCACGCACGAAATGTAAGGCGGTGCAATTCGACGTCGCCCGCACACGCACCCTGCACGAGAAGGACTCGTTCATGGACCACACGCGGGACGCCGGATTGCGGGTGCCGGAGTCGTACCTCGTCACGAACCGCAACGACATGCTTTCCGCACTAGAAAATGCGTCGGGGTTGTCGTACAACCCGCCAGATTCATCCTCATCTTCACCCTCGGCTGGGAAAAAGGGGCCCAAACTCCCCAAACGCTTCATCGCCAAGTCGGTAGGTATGAATGACAGGGGCCGCGGCGACATGACGCTCCTCCCGCTGCCGACGGAGAAACAAACCTACGACTTCATTTATCGCCTGGAGTGGCTTGGTATGTCGGACAAGGAACCGTGGCTGCTACAGGAGTTCATCGACGGACAGGAGTTCTGCACGCACTCGCTCGTCGTGCGCGGCGAGGTTAGGGCCTTTGTGGCGTGCCGCTCCGCTGAGCTTCTGATGCACTACGTCGCGCTCCCGCCGGAGTCTTCGCTGTCGCAGGCGATGCTGGAGTTCACCAGGAAGCAGGCCGCGTCTTTTGGGACAGATTTTACGGGTCACTTGAGCTTCGATTTCTTGGTCAGCGATACAGACGTCGCCATGGCAAAGGTGAGCAGGCCGGAACAGCTTAAGCTGTATCCCATCGAGTGCAACCCCCGCGCGCACACGGCTGTTGCGTTGTTCGCGGACACGCCGGAGCTGGTGGACCAATACCTCGCCGTGCTCGACGACGGGTCACTGGCCGCAGAGGTTGTCACGCCGAAGCAGCCCTCCAAGTATTACTGGATCGGCCATGACCTGGTCACCCTGTTCCTTCTTCCCACTCTGCGGTTGCTTCTCTTGCGTGAATCGGTAGAAGGATACGTGCTCTCGGTGCGGAAGTTCGTCGAGCACGTGCTGTTCTGGAAAGACGGCACGTTCGAGGTTTGGGATCCGTTGCCGGCGTGGTGGTTGTATCACGCCTACTGGCCGATGACGTTCTGGGACGCCATGGTGAACTGGAGGAGCTGGAGCCGGATCAACGTCAGCACGCTCAAGGTGTTTGAGTGCGACTGAAGTCCCTACGCCGGGGATCGACGGGCCGATGGTGTGAACATGGCTGGCGGCTGACGGCTAAGAAAGTAATGGGACTAGATAGTGATGATGTGACAGCTTACGAGAATCCAATTCAACGCTTGACAAATTATGAAAAGATATCAAAATCGCATGGGAAATTCTGAGTGACTGGGTAGACTAGTGAATAACAAATGTTCGCTCAGGTCAACAATAAACCAGCGCATCAGTATCCCTAAAGCTTGCAAGAGCCTAGCTCAATGGATTGCTACGTATCGACGACAGCCTCAAGGTACCGAAACAACGCCTCCGCTGCAATGTACTTTTGACGGCATCAAAGGGCGTGGAAACGCTCTTCATAGTGTCTAATCAAACCATGATCTGCGCCCTTTGTCTGCACATCCAGGGCTTCGTTGATGGAATGCTGGACACTACGCGGAAGAAACTGGTGTTTCCGAGTCCCCATTCCGTGCGTTCCGGAGGTGTTCCGAATGGACCCTACGCCACCCTGACGCCCTCTACCGCGCGGTAGCATACATCCTGCCCAACCGCCTACCTATGGCGAAGCTCATCTGATATCCACCCTCCGAATTTCGGGGGTTAAATGAGTAATGGGTGGGTGGGGAAGAACGTGCAGGAAGGAAGATGCAACTTGGCTGCAAGAGCTAGTCCCGGTAGAGAAGCCTTTTTTGGAGGGGTTAAATCAATTGACTTCATCTCGAGTGAGAAGCAGAGCCGGACTCTTACTCACGCACTTTTGCTGGCAGAACAAAACAAAGGGTGCCACAAATAAAGAAGTAAATGTATATATAGTCTCTGCTCACCCGCTTATTTTCAACTTCAAACTGCGGCACCCGAGGACTCCGTCTAATTCAAGAAAAATATCACACAACCGGCTGCTGAACTGCTCGACACAATGGACTCTTCCGAATTCCGTGCCGCGGCCCAAGAGGTCGTGGAAGACAGTGAGCCTTCATACCCCCCTCCCTTTGACTATCAGCTTCAGTCAAGTCAAGAAGCCCTCAATAACAGTACTAACCAACCCTCCCCAGTCACAAAATACTACGACACAATCGCCTCCCAGGAGAAAGTTCTCCCCTCCGTAACCCCGGGCTACCTCCGCCCCCTCCTCCCGCCCTCCGCCCCGGAGGCACCGGAGTCATGGGCCGACATCCACGCCGACCTGCAATCCCACATCGTCCCGGGCATCACCCATTGGCAATCCCCTTCATTCCACGCCTTCTTCCCCTGCTCCTCCTCCTACCCGGCCATGCTCGCCGAGCTCTACTCCAACGCCTTCAACGGCGCCCACTTCAACTGGATCTGCTCCCCCGCCGTCACTGAGCTGGAGACCATCGTCCTCGACTGGCTCGCCCAGCTCTTGGCCCTCCCCGCGTGCTACCTTTCCACCGCCCCGACCCGCGGAGGCGGCGTCCTCCACGGAACCGCCTCCGAGGCCATCCTGACCGTCATGGTCGCCGCCCGAGACAAGTTCCTCCGCGAAGCAACCGCCCACCTCCCCGCGGACTCGGAGGAGAAGGAGGAGGAGACCTGGCGCCTGCGCTCCAAGCTCGTCGCGCTCGGCTCCGAGGCAGCCCACTCGTCCACCAAGAAGGCCGCCCAAGTCCTCGGCGTGCGTTTCGCCACCGTCCCGGCCCCGGCCTCCGCCGGCTACGCCATGTCCGGCCCCGCACTGCAATCCACCGTCGCCGCCCTCCGCGCCAAGGGCCTCGAGCCCTTCTACCTCACCGCCACCCTCGGCACCACCGACACCTGCGCCATCGACGACTTCCCCGGCATCCGCGACGTGCTCTCCGCGGACGGCGACGGCGACGACAAGATCTGGGTACACGTCGACGCGGCCTACGCCGGCTCCGCCCTCATGCTCCCGGAGAACCAGCACCACACGGCATCCTTCGAGGCCTTCCACTCCTTCAACGTGAACCCGCACAAGTGGATGCTCACAAACTTCGACTGCTCCGCCCTCTGGGTCCGCGACCGCGCGTGGCTCGTCGAGTCGCTGAGCATCAAGCCCGCCTACCTGCGCAACCAGTTCTCCGAGGCCGGCCTCGTCACGGACTACCGAGACTGGCAGATCCCGCTCGGCAGGCGCTTCAGGAGTCTGAAGCTGTGGTTCGTGCTGCGCGCCTACGGCGCCAGCGGCATCCGCGCGCACCTGACGAGGGGCATCAAGCAAGGCGAGAACTTCGCCGAGATGCTCCAGGGCCGCCCCGACCTGTTTGAGATCATCACGGGGCCCAGGTTCGCGCTGGTGGTGTTCGAGTGCGTCGGCAAACAGGGCGCGAGCAGGGAGGAGCGGAACAAGATCACCGAGGCCGTCTTGGAGGAGATCAACGGCAAGGGCGAGATTTACCTCACGCCCACGGTGCTTCACGGCACGTACGGTATTCGGTTGTGCACAGGTAGCAGTCAGGTTATTGAGGAGGTGCATGTTAAGAAGGCGTTCGACATTCTGGTCGCGGCGACCGAAAGGCAACTTGCTGGACAACAATAGAGATAGACGATGCCCCAAAGTTTAACAGATTTAGATGAGATAGATGATTGTATGTGATATTGCATATACCAACTCTACATTGCAGAAATGATATAAAAATAAAAATAAAATCATAACCGATGCAGATGCGATGAATCCCAGGTGTCCTTGGGCTAATTCGATGCTAACATACCCCGCTCCCTCTTCACGTGAAAACCTTCCATCTTTCCCATGTCTTTCATAATCGTACAATTTCATAAAATGGCAAATTTTTATTCTGTGATGCCGCTGATGCTAGTCGTAATTCTGTTTTTGTTTTTGGTCATGATCTCATGTGGTTGGGCGTGTTGAGTGGTGGTACAACCCGAACAATGTTATAGCCGGGAATTGAGTATTGATGATGTCGTCTTGTTATGTCTTCACCAGTTTGAGTACTCCCTCGATCGCGAAGCAGGGTTGCTCCGGCTGCGTCTATGGTCGTCATACCGCCGGCCGTATCCATAATCCCGATCAAACTGGTCGGCGGCACGGGCATATTCGCGATCGTAGTCGCGATCATAGTCACGGCCGCCCCTGGGCTCCAGCCCGCTGATCGACTCGGGTGCGCGAGCAGGCTCGCGGCTGTAGTCCCTCGCAGCTCGAATAGCCTCTCTTTCTTCGCGACTCCGATCCCAATAATCTCGGTCATCGTCGTAGTAGTAATCCCTATCATCCCGGTCGTATCCACGACCTCTCGTAGAGGCCCTCGTGGAGCCAGCCACACTCTGGTTGCTCCACCCAACCCGAGATCGGGAGTCCCGAGTCCGCTGCCGGCGTCTGTCATCATGTTTGCCTTCATCCTCGTGCTTCTCTTCGCATTTCCTGAGAGACTTGTCGATACCAAAAACTACAGTGGCGCCGATAAAGCCAAGAGCGATTGCCTGGCCCCAGTCGAAGCCACCGTTCTCTTTCTCCACGTTCTTCCGTGCCTTGCGGCTCTCGGGATCTGCTGTCCATGGTCGAGGGTCAGGCGGGAGGAGCTTGCCGGGCTTGACCATTTTGTTCCCTGTAAATAAGCTTATTTGTGGTGGCTTTTTTGTGTGTACGCGTCTAACAAAGGTTGAAGCTCGACGGCGTCGGTAAAGGTCTTTTTAGTGTAAAGGGGGGAGGGGGGGTTGTTTTGCTGTGCCGTAGGATGATGTATGGTTGCAAGTGGCTTTCCCCTTGTTCAGGAACGGATAGACATACGGTATGCCAAGGTATAAATCTGATGGTGGTATTGGCACTTGGAGCTTTGTCATAACACTCAAAAAAAACTCCGATGTGGATGGATGGCACCAGAATTATATTTCTCAAAGTCGCCTTGACATCCTCACCGCCGCTATCCCCTCCCCGCATCAATACTGGAGTAATTGGCATCAGATATGGCGACCGCCGGGGGTTTGGGAGTTCCCCCATTGGGTCCTTAGTGGAAGCTTGTCGTCATGCTGCTACGTGATGTCATCCCCGGTATCAAAAGCCCGCACCACCCCATCGCCAAGCCATTGACGTCAGGACCTCGATCTGGTCAAAGCTCCCAGCAAATCAACGTCCGATCGTTAATGGCCCTTTGCGGCTTTAGAACCAACTGCCAAAACAAAAGTGAGACCACATGCCACCCAACATGTCCATTGGGAATGTCGCATGTCTTGGATGCGCAGGTGAAGCAAGGATTCCCCTCGATTTGCCTTGGACCCTTGGTTTGCCAGCTCTGTTTAATGGCCTGCAGCTGGTGAAATGGCGCTGATTGACACGTCCTCACGGATTTCACGGAATGCTGGGAAATATATGCAGACGCAAGAGTGGTATCATTTCATCATCTTCGTATCGACGTCTATCGTATACTTGTCTCATCTACTAAATGCTCGCTCTTCTGGGCGCCATCGTCCTCCGCATCGCCTTCTTGGCTTCTGTTTCCTCCATCAGAGGCAAAACACCGTCATCTCTAAGCTTCTGTAAAAAGTCTTGTCCATACTTGTATCCCATCTGGTACAGCTCGTCAAATTTGCCAAAGTCGAGCGTTCCATAATCATCAATGGGGGGCCGCATGTAAAAGCAGCCAGGCATCATCTTGGCTCTTTCCAGGGCATCGACGCTAGACACGTAGGCCAGTCTAGCCTGAATCTCCGCCAGCGTTGGGGGATTGGGTGTCGCCGAGAACGGGTTCCACCTGTTCCAGAATGCCCACACTCCGGACAGCGAATCACCGTATGCCTGAGGGGTATCGTCGTCGAGGGCACCAACGTCCACTGCAAAGATGGTGTCCACTCCAAGTCTCTTCATATGGGAGACCGTCAGGTTGTCAATGTAACCACCATCTAGAAGCATGCTGCCCTCGTCACACAAGGGCGGAAGCAAACCAGCCAATGACATTGAGGCTCTAATGTACCTCCATGCGTATCCACTGGTGTGGTACTCAATACGACTCTTGCTGATATTTGTAGTGTTGCAGTAATACTCGAGCCAGAAATCTTCGATTTGGGTCTTTCCAAACGTCTTAAAGATACCCCGATTGAACTCATGTCCAGTCGTGTACGATGCCGTGGGGTAAGTAAGGTCAAGAGCAAACCGCCACATACTGGCCATTCGGCCTGAGAACTTCTTGGCAAGACCAAAAATGGGAACGACGTCGGCATGACGAGCGTAGAGAGCACCAATGAACGATCCAATAGAAGTTCCACCAACGACATCGATAGGAATACCGGCCTCCTCCATGGCCTGAATGATGCCAATTTGCGTGATGCCTCGAGCGCCACCACCGCCTAGGACTAGACCGACAGACTTGCCACAAAGACGCCTAGCGAGACGATGGAAATCGCCCTTGAAGGGTGCCTCGGGCGAATAGAAGGGACTGTGTCGGACTTTCCTAGATGTATACTTCTGGATCTCTGCTTGAATGATCTGAACTCTTTGTTTCAGCGTTGTGCTCGTCCTCTTGGAAGGCGGATGCACAGGCATGATGTTGGCGCCGAGGGGCATTTGCACATGATAGTGTCCACCGTTGATCCACATCCGATTCCGTAGCCACGCCCGGGTGAGGCCCGAAGGAGAGTACCGCTCGCCATGAAGAAGGACGAGAAGCTTCCTTGCGGTCGACTTCATTCCCAGCATGAACCTCTCGTACTCGCCGATCTCAGGCGATCCTTCTGCAAGGCCAACAAGAAGAATGCAGTCAGCTTGCGTGATGCAAGTCTGGGTCCACGGAGAATTGACGTTCGTATCTGATCATCATGGTTAGCGTCGTGCCTACGTCGCTTATCCAACAGCATAAGAAGAAAATGTGTCCATGTCAGGAAAAAATTAGAGTTAATGTTTGGCCTTCAGCGGTCTTGCCTCGGGAAACAGGTTTGTTCATCATAAAAGGACGAGTGTAAAAGAAAAATTAGAAAAGGGTGAAGCGCCTACCTGCGACGTATACCACAAGGCCATATTTCTCCTCCAAGTCAGCCAAGTATTGGGAAAGCTTAAGCTTGCCCATCTTGTTGAAGGCATGCTTGCCAAGGTGGTTCAAGATGGCAGACTGGTTGAGAGACGTCGCCCCATTTGCAGGGCCGACTTGAGCCAAAGCATTCATCAACCGGTTACCAAACTCAACGACAGGAACACCCGAGGTGACTGGCAGCACGGCAACAGTCCTCAAGTTCAACGATGAAGAACCTTTAGTGATTGATGTGGCACCACCAGCCTCCTTAGACATCAGCTGGGAAGGATCGTCAACCAAGTTTCGCATACGCGATGCAATGATCTTGGAGATCTTGATCGTGATATTAGGGTGCTCCTGTGCAAGACTGTTGAAGAGCGTGCGAGGGAACTTGACAAGCTCGGTCTGGCGAATGGCATGTAATGTTCCGGGCCGTACAGACTCGGTCAGGACTTCTAATTCGCCCACACTTTCACCTTGGCCAAACTCTGCGCGAACAGAGACACCGCCATCCTTCTTTTCTTGAACGAGGCGAAGTCTGCCATTGAGGACAATATGAATTGCTTCACTTTCGTCGCCTTCATGAAAAAGAACCTGACCAGCATCAACTTGCTCCCAGTCTAGAGCGAAGTCAATATGCATTATGAGACGCGGTAGAAGGCTCGTGAGTCGCTTAGCCATTGTGAGTAGGACAATGGGATAGCGATCAACAATTCTCTCAAGTGCTGACCTTGGCAGGAAACCAACATAAACATCGGTCTTGGCAACGACATCGATAAAAGACCTGTAGGATGACACTGTGCCGACGTACCCAGCAAGTCCACCGGGCTTGATCAGAGATACACTTCGGCGGACAGGCTGCTTCTTCTTCCCATCTCCTTCTTTGCCAGTACCAAAGAGATTGACCGGAGTCTGTGCGGGAGATCCATTCATGGCCAAGTAGTCCGTATGCAGTGAGTTTCTGCTGGATGAGTGCAGGATGTCGGCAGAGCTGTCTTCGTTGGTTGTACAAATATCGAGGAAACCATCGATGACATAGTACAGCCCAGGATTGCGCTCGCCTTGTTCAACCAAAACAGATCCCTTGGGGAAGAACACGATTTCAACATCATCCTTCATATCATTGGCCAGCAGATGAGCGTTGGGCGGCGTGTTCAATGTAAACCCTCCAGAGGTCAACGACTCCGTATCACCATCCCCAGAGGACTCAAAGGGTCCCATGAGACCGAACGCATTGTTGCCAAGGACAGTCCTCTGACGGCGCTGGTCGTAAGAAAATAGTCTAGGAGAACCCTCGACTGATTCTGCCTCACGCGAAACACTCCCACTACTGCCAAGCCCGATCGACTTAAACATGCACTCAAGGATAGATTGACGGAAAAGGTTGTCTTCGTCAAGCGACTCGCGGCCGTCAATCGATATACGAGAGTGCTTCTGAGTTGCAAAGGGGTTGAAGGACCTCTGGGCAAGAGGGCTGGCGCCTTCGTGGCGAAGAGCGTCGGTAACGTGATCAATATGGATATTGCTTGTACTAGGCTGTCGCTGACCACCACTGCGGGCATATTGAATGTTTGCCAGCAAATCGCCAGGACTTGGAGTGTGTGTAGAAGAACGTTCCCTGGGTGGTGCAATAGTTGTCGCAACCTGCGAGAATGACCTCTCTTTGGTACTCATAGAGTGGATCATTGCATCTTTTCGAAGGGTTGATGTAGATTTTCGACGACGATGGGCATTGGCATTGTGCAGGGCAATGCCTTTGCTCTCAAGTTCGCCGCCAACACGCTCGCGTTCCCGGTTGAACTTTTCTTTCAAACGCTCAAGCGCGTCACCACGAAGCATGTTGGGTAGCTGACATGTGGTAAAAGCAAGCATGTTCTTCTCAGTCTGCAAGACCTCCCCTGTAAGCCCAAGGTAGTTGTACGCAGTCGCAAGTGTGACTCGCTGAAAGCGTGAGAGAATGACTTGGACAATATGCGACGTTGCCTTAGGGTAAACCTTCGTCAACCGGCGAAATGCACTGGCTGGAATGATGGCAATCGTTGTGTCCACCGTCGCCCTAGCAATAATGTCAGGGTGGGCTGAGCCAGACGTCGCTCGGCTTTGAAGCGGTGGACGCTTAGGCTGACGAGCGCTGCCAGGCGTATCCAGAGATATAGGCGGAATGCGTGCGTGGGCAGGAGTAGGTGTGACAGACCGCTTTGGCGGCTCCTCAATTTTAACACCTGGTTTCTCGTCGCCGCTGTCAGGGTATTGCGCAGTCATGTGGAATGGAGTGGCAGGATCCGACGGCATGCGACGAAACTCGGGGTTGTGCGGAAAGGGAGAGCCCCTCAGCCCGGCGCTGCCCGCAGTGGGCTCTGGAGTGTCATCCTCGGTTGACCAGAGGTTAACGTCTTCGGTAAACAAAGACATGATGGAGAACAGGGACGACATGGGAGCTCCATTGCGAACTTCGGTAAGCAGCTGGTATCTCTGCTGTCCAGCGGGTGGGATGTCATCCTCCTCTGCTGCGTAGCTAGACTCGCCTCCGAAGCTCTCACACGGGTCGGGTCCCAGGCCTCTGGCATTTCGGCCAGACTTGACAAAGATCTCCACAAGACCGTCAACGACAATGCAAAATCCCTTCTCCTCTTCCAGGTTGAAGGTCTCACCAGCGATGAGCTTTCGAGTTTGCATGCTACGGGTCAACTCGTGGAAAACCTGTCTTTCCAGGTAACCAAAGATCTTGATGGCACTGAGAAATTCGTCCAGGTAGCTGGACAGACCCGCCTTTTTTCCCTCCTCATGAGTGTCGGGGAACAGGTCAACATCTGGCTCCTTCCTCTGGGGCTCTGGGGGGAGTCGAGAGTACATGTTGAGGATGCGGTATCGCACCACCCAGCTAACGGCCGATATGATGGCAACCATGATAACCATTCTGGGCCAAGTCAGCAAAAACAGAATCGAATAATAATGGGTTCTGGGAGCGCGTACAATGTGGTAGCGTTCATCGTCACCGTCCAACTGGTCGAAAACAAAGTAAAGAGCAGTGTTGGGATGGTGATGGTGACGATGCGTATGGCCCAGTATAGGATGGAGGAGATCAGGGACAGGATGGCAAGAATCAACCGGCCAAAGAACCCCAACCAGCTGGACGAGCCCTGGGCGGCGACGACCTCCTGCGCCCGCGTAAAAGCAGATGGAAGCACCTCAGGGGAGGTGTTCATCGTGGCCGACACGCTCTCAGAGAGCGCGTGTGCGGCGCCCGAAATGTCTGACGACATGGCTGCTGAGTTTGCGGCTACTGCTGCTGCTGCTGCGATTTTGGATGGTACAACGAGTGTTGTTGCTGCAGCATAGTGCAAGCGAGAAAGACAGATCACATGGTTGAGCGCGTACCCGCGGCTAGCAGGGCGCGAGCAAGGGAGGAGAGGATTTAAACCGGTTGTGGTGGCTGAGACGAGACTCGAGCCAAAGAGGTGGTTGGAGAAAAATAGAAGAGAAGAGAAAAAAGAGCTTGTGGGGTGCGAGCTTTGAAGAAGCTTGGAAGGTCGAGGAACTCGGGTCGGGGACGGGCGGTCAAGCGATTGTGCCGCCCCACGCCGCTAAAAAGCCCAGCGCGACTTGGTGTGGCATGTGACGCTAAGCCTTCTGAAGTGCCTGCGCCCAGTGGATGTACCGGGCTGCTTGTGTAATACTGCATGGAGGGGCACAGGTAGTAGGCTGAGAAACTTCGCCTTCGAAAGATCACGTTCGACTGCCGCTGGTAATCCTCGGCACCCCAATTGTTCTCAATAGGTTTTGGAGTTTTAAACTGTTACCTACTTGGGTTGTCACCACTCAAAAATCCGCCAAAATGCCCTTCGCGCAGCTTGTCCTGGGCAGTCCGGGTGCTGGAAAGAGCACCTACTGTGATGGCAGTAAGCTATCCTTACTCCCAATGCATACTCTGTAGCCCTCGGGACTAATAGAACACGTATAGTGCACCAGTTCATGGGCGCAATCGGACGCGCATGCTCTGTAGTAAACCTAGATCCCGCAAACGACCATACCAACTATCCAAAGGCCCTTGACATTCGCGACCTGGTTAAGCTGGAAGATATTATGGCTAGTGACAGACTAGGACCTAATGGAGGCATTCTCTACGCCCTGGAGGAGCTCGAACACAATATGGAATGGTTCGAGGAGGGTCTCAAGGAACTGGGCGACGATTACATCCTGTTCGATTGCCCCGGCCAGGTCGAGCTCTACACACATCACAACTCGCTGAGAAACATCTTCTTTAAGCTGCAAAAGCTTGGATTCAGGGTCAGTACCACAGGATCAGAACTCCTAAAAAGTTCTCATGCTAATTCTGCCTTAGTTTGTCGTCGTACACCTGTCCGACTCCTTCTGCCTTACGCAGCCGTCGCTGTATATTTCCAACCTGCTCCTGGCCCTCCGTGCCATGCTCCAGATGGACATGCCACACATCAATGTCCTAACGAAAATCGACAAAGTCGCCACATACGATTCCTTGCCCTTCAACCTCGAATACTACACCGACGTCGATGATTTGTCATATCTTATGCCTTACTTGGAAGAAGAGTCGCCGGTGATGCGCAACGAGAAGTTTGGCCGACTGAATGAGGCCGTCGCAAACATGATTGAGAGTTACGGACTGGTCCGGTTCGAGGTGCTAGCAGTCGAGGATAAGAAGAGCATGATGCATCTTCTCCGAGTTATTGATCGAGCGGGTGGATACGTTTTTGGAGGCGCAGAGGGTGCCAACGATACCGTATGGCAGGTCGCTATGCGCAACGAGTCGTCGATGATGGATGTCCGAGACATCCAAGAGCGTTGGGTTGACCGCAAGGCCGAGTACGACGAGCTCGAGAGGAAAGAGTGGGAGGAGCAGGCCAAATTGCGAGAGGAGCAAGATCCCAACGCAGGCCAGCCGGATCAGGCCATGGAAGACTACGATCCAGACTTTGGTGATATGACGGTGCCGGCAGATAGTGGCGTTAAAGTAGTGCGCAAGAACAAATGATACCCCTTCAGCCGTCTTCTTCATCCATTTCTTCGTCGGAAACGTCTGATGCGTCGAACATTATAGCATCTTCGGCTTGGGTCTTGGCCTCCGAGAACATGGGTAAGGCACCACTAGCAACTGCAACAGAGTCTTTGGCAGCAAGGACCAGTTGTCTCGCTTGTCTAATAGCCTCTTCCTCTGCCTTCCGGATGGTACCGCTGACTCGAATAACTCTAAACATGCATGGTTTGCCGTCCCCATTCCGAAGGGGAACGCGGTCCATGAAAGTGAGGGCGGCCCAAACAAGGCGATAATGCGCTCTCTTCACTTTCAATATGAAAGTTGAGGTTGCTGGAGAAAGATATTTGACTATCCAATATCGTTAGCTGATTCAGAGTAAAAATCTTGAAGGTCTTGGACTCACCAGATAAGTTCCCTTCTATAGCTCCAGAGCCGTAATCGCCAAATAATGTAGCGACTTCACCTCGTATCGCCTTCAGTAGAGACTGAGGTGTGAGCTGCCCCGTAGTGGGTTGATGCATGACCACAAAGTCCGGAACATTAGTTGCCTGTTGTTTTGACGCGTCGGGTGGATATACTATATTTACAAGAATATACCTTTCTTTAATTCGGACCATCTTGACTGTGAAATGCCTGTTGTTCTCGTAAGATCGTGATTGACTGACCGCGGAAGTTGACTGAAAAAGTTCAAGTCGCGGTACGTACTCGCGCGGCATCCCCTGCACTAAGAGGGGCAGTTCAAAGGTGGGTCCAAACGGGATGGCGCTGACTAAGGTGGGGGAAGCTTCACCCAGAGCTCCTTGGGAAGCTCACGACGTCACCAGCTAGTTTGTCAGATAAGTTAATAACTCAAACATCTTAATAGTGTGATTGTGAATGATCTTAACACCTGGAAGAACAGTGTTTCTTTTATAAATCTTTAGAAAACCTCTCCGTGGCGCTAGGATCGCTCACCTTGTTCATCATGACTGATACCCCTCTCAAGGTAGCTATCCTTATCGTCTCGACGACGGCTTCGAAGGATCCTTCGACAGATAAGTCTGAGCTTGTCTTAAAAGACGTTATTGAACGGGAAGGGGGAGGCAACTGGATAGTATCCGACAGCAAGATTGTGCAAGATCATGTTCCGCAGATCCAGCGCCAGATCATGCTGTGGGCAGATGTTGGGCCAGAAGACGGAGTCAACTTGATCCTCACCACAGGCGGTACTGGCTTCGCTGTATCAGACAGCACTCCGGAGGTATGCTTAATGATCTTTTTTTTACATATGATATGCTAAGTTAGCTCAAAGGCTGTCGGCGCTCTCCTTCACAAACCTGCGCCTGGTCTTGTCCACGGGATGCTCGCCGCCTCGCTTGCAGTCACTCCATGTAAGAAAACAGCTCCTGGCCAAGGAACTCCGCTAACAGATATAGTTGCCATGATGTCCAGACCAGTAGCAGGCGTCAGAAACAACACAGTCATTGTTACATTGCCAGGCTCTCCCAAGGGAGCAAAGGAGAATCTTCAAGCCATTCTGAAGACGTTGCCTCATGCCTGCGTCCAAGCTGCCGGGGCTGACTCTAGAGCACTCCACCAAGGCGGCGTGAAGAAGCTTGAGTCCGACGCTGGCATCGGTGGTCAGGGTGCAACCTCGGCAGCTGCACCCAAGCCTCAGAAAGAACATCACCACTCCCACGCCCATGCCCACAGCCATGACCATAAGCATGGCCACGGCCACAGTCATGGACATGGACATGGAGGGCTTGTAAGACACACTAAGCCTGAAGACAACCCGTTGTCGAATGATCCGAGCTTGGGCCCCTCTCGCAGGTACAGAGAATCGCCTTACCCTATGCTGGAAGTAGATGATGCTCTGCGACTCATAAATGACTTTACCCCTGACGCTGAAATTGTCACATCAAAGGTCAACGTGAACGTTGTGAACTCAGTTCTAGCAGAGGATGTTACTGCCAGAGAAAGCGTACCCGCATTCCGCGCAAGCATAGTCGATGGATACGCCGTCGTCGTGCCAAAGGATGGCAACATGAAGGGCGTCTTCCCCGTCACCGCTGTATCTCACGCTGCTCCAGGTGAAGCCAAGACCTTGAAGGAAGGAGAGATCGCCAGAATTACAACTGGAGCTCCGCTACCCCCGGGAGCTACTTCCGTTATTATGGTGGAGGACACTATTCTCAAGTCCAAGACCGACGACGACAAAGAAGAGAAGGAAGTTGAAATCTTAGCTGAGGGTGTCAAGCCTGGCGAAAACATCAGGGAGGTTGGCAGCGACATACAAGAAGGTAGCGTCATCCTCAAGAAGGGCGAGCAAATCTCTGGTGTTGGCGGCGAGATTGGCCTTCTGGCAGCTGTTGGTGTCGCTGAGGTCAAGACCTACAAGCGGCCTGTCGTTGGCATACTCTCTACAGGCGACGAAATCATTGAGCCGGACAGGCCTGGCGGTCTGCGTCTGGGCGAAGTTAGAGACACTAACCGCATCACGCTCATGTCTGCCGCCCGGCAGTGGGGTTTCGAGGTCATCGACCTTGGTATTGCTCGCGACAAGCCGGGCTCTCTGGAGGAAAACCTGCGCGAAGGGCTGCGCCGTAGCGACCTGCTTATTACCACGGGCGGTGTCTCAATGGGTGAGCTTGACCTTCTCAAGCCTACCATCGAGCGCTCCCTAGGCGGGACGATCCACTTCGGCCGTGTGGCCATGAAGCCAGGCAAGCCGACTACCTTCGCCACCGTGCCAGTCAAGACGACGCTTGGCGACCGCGTCACTAAGACCGTCTTCTCCCTGCCAGGTAACCCGGCTTCGGCTTTGGTTACTTTCCACCTTTTCGTCCTACCAGCGCTCCACAAGCTCTCCGGAATTGTGCCAGCGGGTCTGCCCAAGGTCCCCGCGACGCTGGCTCATGATTTCTCCCTGGACAAGGTGCGGCCGGAATACCATCGTGCGATTGTGACGGTTGGTAAGGACGGCGTCCTGTCTGCCAGTAGCACCGGTGGCCAGAGAAGCTCCAAGGTCGGAAGTCTGCGGTCTGCTAATGCACTGCTTGCATTGCCAAAGGGACCAGAGCCCTTGAAGAAGGGAACCAAGGTCGAGGCTTTACTTATGGGTGACGTGCGGGTGGAGTACTAAGCAAGCCCGGTTACGAAGTTATGTGTAGTAAATGAGACAATTTGTGTAGCGATACATACAAAGAAGCCACTGCAACTAGCCTTGAAAATGCCTTACTCGCGCAGAAATCACTTCGATGAGGAGCTATAATACGTTGGTAGTATACAATACAAGATATCCTCGCCCTGCCTTTATGCCATTAACGCCAGCCCAAGTAGCCTTGGTGTAATGCAGTGCTCCACTGTACATCTTTCGAATTCGACATCCCTAATGTCATTTGTGGTTTCCCTCACCTCTTTTGCATCCCATATCGCTTGATGCGTAGGTCACTACTCCGTCTTGAAGCCATTTGTCTTGCCAGCCACCAGGAGACCGACAATGAGACCGAAAAGGCCAAGGACAGAGCTGAAAATCTCAACGACAAGAATCTTGACAAAGCTGTAAAAGTTAGTATGGCGATTCTTCTCTTCGTGAGCATAACCTGGTACTTACAGCGTGGGGTCAGCGGCATCGGCCAGCGCAGCTCCACTGCCGTTAATGCCGACAGCGACACCGCAAATCAGGTTGCACATTCCGACGGTGATACCAGACCAGAAGAGGGCGTATCCAGTGTAATAGCTGTTGGCGTCGTGTAGACCCTTGATATCGGTCGCCTCAAGCTGAGCAGAGAAAACGATAGCCATGATGACGCCGTAGATGGCGACAACCTCGCAGAAGATGATGGAAATCAGATTCTTGGTTCGCACGCGCGGCGCCTTGACGCCTGCGCCGAGAATGGAAGAGCCCGTGATGAAGATACCCCTGTATATCGTGTCTCGTTAGAAACCAGATGCCCGCCTAAAACACGATGGAACGTTGAAAGAGATGTGAGGGTGTATTGTTATCCCGTACCATGCCGCGCCTACAACGGAGAGACCGATGCATAGACCAATACCCATATCCGCCCATGCGTAAGGAGAGATGGACTCGAGGAACTCGCCGACATTGAAAGCCTCGCCTGAACCGGTAAAGAGCATGTCTGTTCGGAAGGTCAGTTAGCTGTGGTGTCCTATCGCGGGAATCGTCCAGTGCATCATCGCAAGGGTCTGGTCGTACAAGCTCCCACCACGGTAAGGGCGCCACCAATGCCTCCCAGGCCATACGTGAGACTCATCGTGCTCGTTTCGGCGTTTGCGTCGTTCGGGGGGTTGTTGTGGGTGTTGGTTTTGACGACGGAGGTCTGGGGATTGCAGCTACGTCGAGCTCTCTAGGCCAGGCGAATGAGGTATGGTAACTGAGGTAAGGCAAGGCAAGAGCCAGCGACCCAGATTTGGTAAGGTCACATGACGAGCGCATGCGTTTACTGGCCACTGGGCTCTGCTTAGATAATAAAATAGCAGGGAAAGGCATTTGATGACAACTTGGACGGCAGGCAGCAAGCGGTACGCCCCACTTACAGATAGCTGAGTCAGCAGTATCCAAGGATATCCTCAAACAAGGCCAGTATAAATACAACCTTGCCTCTTTCACACTCACACCCACCCAAAACGACGCCCGCCCCAGGAGATCAGGAAATAAATCTCCACGATGGCAGCCGCACCTCAATCTTTCTACGAGCTTTACCGCCGTAGCAGGTACATGCGCCATTTATTAGATTAGTATACTAGCCATTTCATGCTCCAGAGACTAACTTGCAATGCTTCCACAGCATCGGCCTTGCGCTGACGGACATGCTCGATGATCTGATCAGTGAAGAGCGCATCCACCCGCAGCTTGCGATGAAGATTCTGGCCAACTTTGACCAGGCGATCACTGAGGCTCTCCAGAAGAGCGTCAAGGCACGCCTGACCTTCAAGGTAAGCATAAACCCACCGCATCGGCGCATACTTTTGTAGCCCACGCAACTTCATGCGCCATGGAGTCAACCAGACTCTGGGTACATGGATAAAACTTGCAACGAGTTTTCATGATGCCGATGACTAACTCTATGCCATTTACAGGGGAGCCTTAGCACCTACCGCTTCTGCGACGAAGTCTGGACCTTCCTCATCAAGAACGTCCAATTTAAACTGGATAATGGTGGGCAAATCGTGACGGCAGACAAGGTTAAGATTGTTAGCTGCAACGCCAAGAAGCCGGGTGAGGGACCTTGAGGAACGAATGGCGGCGACAACGATTGCTCCGTTTTCGAAGGTATCCAAACGACATCGTACACTCTGCTTGAGGAAGTGACGGACAGCGCCCAGGGTGGCTGCATACAACGGCGTTCAGGGACTCATGATTCTTTCATCGCACAATGGATGGTATATGGATGGTGGACGAGGGCGTTCACCCAAATTGCGACATTTGATACCACTCAAGGTTTACACACATCAAAGAAGATGCTAGTTAGGCTTACCAATAGACTGGATGCCCGCATAATGATGCATGTATTATTTGTTGTAACTTCACCCCATCTTGCACCCGGTCATCTGAACGTCTCAGCCCTCAATGATCCGATAAGGATTTCAGTTACCTTTTGTTCATGGACTTGCTCTAATGTCGGTAGGTCATGTGATTGTAGAGGTCACTGAAGTCTCAAATACATGCTTAACTACACCTTCGAAAAATGTCCATAGTATGCCATTTTTTCTTCGAAGGCCTCTTGCACTAAAAGAATTGAGAGGGAATAGAATAGGAGAGGAGCTAAATTCCAGTCCCGGTTCATCTATTTAACAGAATAGGCTTGATAATACAGAGTGCGATCCTTATTAACAAATCGAGAAACGCCATGTCGCCGACGGGGTCCCATACGTCATAACGTCAATTGTGCACCCCACAGGCCAATTGGTAGGTTTTCCGCTTGATTGTAGCATACACTATCCGTACATGCCACATCCTTCAACAGCTAACTGTCAAATTCCACGTAAAAGCATTTGGAAAACACCAAACCATAAATCACAGCCCTGGGACTTTCCCTCTGGATAGATCATGTTTCATTCCCAGCCTCCTGAAAGAGGGGGGAGGCCGATGCCGGGTACCTGCAGAGCCGCGGGCCCACGGTGCTCCATCCGCCGGAAACGGGGAAAGCGCCTAATCTGTTCCCTCCCCAGTTCTTCATCAGTGATCAAGCAACAAAGAGCATCTGCATATGCCCCTATCATTGCCTCAACGGTCCCTGCTTTCAAGCGTTTGATTTGCCAATCCCGTCTTTGTCGTCGCAACTTTTGTCCATCGCAAAAGCCACTTTTCCCATCTTGACAAAATCAATATTTACGCCGAAAAAAATCAAGGAAATTTTGTCTCTTATTACTAGTCAAACTCAGACACTGGGCTATAGTCTTGTTCCTCTCTCCAACGTCAAGAGTCTCGTCACACACGTGCATCCTTGACACATGCACACTGGGATTCCCCTAGTCTTGAGACTGGGTTCTCCGAGAATTGTCAGGCACCACAACCAAATTCCCATCTGCCACCGTCATTGAGACAGAACGCGCCGCCTGTCAAGGACTTCCCAAGCGCCCGCTCATCCGCCAGCTCATCCCATCCTCCTCCACTGTCCCGGACCTTTTCACGTCCGCGCTCACTGTTCCTCACCCGTATAGGAGAGCAGTAGTGCGTCTGCAGACCTGTTACATTGATCTTAGCATAACCTGGCCTAAGGTGTCGGGTAGCTGTCCTTACCTCATCCTCTCCGGATCGCCAAGCGCACCACCACCACCACTACCCCCGGCAGTAGCAGGGGCACCAACACCCAAATCTCCCTCTTGCTTCTCTTCCACACTCCACATAATGCTCCGCCAGCGACAACCCGCCACTGCATCCGCCCCCGACCGTCCTCAAAAGGAACAGATACCCACCATGGCCGCCGCGAAGACGACAACCCTGGACAATGAGCGCCGACCGCTGCTTCCACGGCACGAGGACGACGAGCACAGTCAACCACTAACTGACGACGAAGACAGCGAAGGCAACGATAAGATCAAAATGGCATGGGCACGTCGTAACCAATGGATTGTCCTTGCTATCGCCAGCGGCGCCTGCGCTGCCTTTAATGGCGTCTTTGCAAAGCTGTGAGTTGTTCTCTCATTTCTGTCAGCCCGGCTCAACCGGACATCATCGCCAAGACTTCACAATATTTATTGTCTACTCACAAACCAGCAACAACCCTCTGATCCTGAGGATGAACTTATGATTCTATATTTTGATATCTAATGTTTTCTCATTTTCTTACTGCTTCGATTGTTGTTTGAGTGTTTCAAAGGCCTGGAACAACCTTTATTGAATGTCTCACTCACAATCATCCAGGACCACAACTGAGCTCACAACCACCATATCTCAAGCGATCTCCAACTTTCTTCATCTTTCCCATATTGAAGGCGCCTTTGAAGTCGTCTTGCGAGCCGTGAGCCCTCTACAATAGTCCTCCTTGTCATGCCGCTAACGGAGCCTCCAGGTCTTCTTCGGTCTGAACCTTGTCTTCAATGGCATCGTAAGATTACACTCACTAATTCACTCAGCCCATGAGACTAACACACTACAGATGTGGACGCTCTTTACCAAGGCCCTTGCAAAGGGAAGCTCCACTACACAGGTTTCCATCATGAACACATCCTCAAACTTCGTCATCACCGCCATCCTCGGCCTGGCCATCTTCTCCGAGTCCCTCCCACCGCTCTGGTGGCTCGGCGCCGCCCTTCTTGTTGCTGGTAACGTCATTATCGGTCGCAAGGATGAAACTGCCTCCGACAAGTCTGGCGACTACGCCCCCTTGCCACAGCAGCCCGGACTTGCCCCTGGGGATAGCGCGGAAGACGACAAGGACGAGTCAGAGGACGAAGACATCGTCGACCTAGGAGACCTCTCACCACAACAAACTCGGGCTTGAGGGGGATGCAGAGAGGCAGTATACAGAGGGGCAGGTTTGCTTATACTTGCTAACACATATAACCGGCCATTGTATAGAGGATACCCTTGAATATAGTACTCAATAATGCTCTTCCTTCGCCGAGGGTTGCAGCTTGCATGTTCGATGGCATTCCCCTAGTAACACCAGCACGACGACCATGCGACCTTAGGAGCAAACAGCAAATTCCCACACCTTGTTGGGTCCATCTGTCTCCGTCATTGAGCAGTAGTTGCCGTGTCTCTTGCACTATGGAAAAGTTAGAAGAAATATGTTGATTGTACCTAGAGGTTACATTTTTGTATTTCCAATAATTCAGGCTTAGAAATGGACGATAAAAGAGCGAGAGAGAAAATGCGACGTACCGGGAAATGATATCGATTACACTTGCGCGTGAAACCTTGTTCTGGGAGCACACACTCATTGGAGCTCATGACACATTTCTATCACGAACAAGACGCGGTCAGCAATCTATCTACGTGTAGATTTTCAAACCTGTGACTACAGCCCACGTGAGATGGAGGGGATGAAGAGGCTACTTACACCACGTAAAACGTTTACCCAGTTTGGGGGTGGTGGCACGCCTCCAACTGTTCCTGGACCTGCGGCGACGCCACAGGCCAGGAGGGAGACGGCGAGGATGGTCGAAATGAGTTGCATATTTGCTAAGCTTTGATATGTGATTTGGAGTGGAGTCCAGTGATTCCGGCAAGGGATTCAGTGGTCAATGTGAGAATGGATTTAGTTCCAGCGAGGATACGGAGCAAGTTGTAACGGAGGAATATTGTCTGTCGTGTGGGATATCCGAAGCTTCTTCTTTTCTTTAAGTTACCTATTGTTGCAGAGAAGCGATACTGCTATTGCAAGAGGTGATTGTAGTCCATGTCGAGAAGAGCCAGGAGGGAGAAGACCGACATGTTATTTCTCTACTTGTTTTCTCTTGTCTACCTTTCTCCGCTTCCTATTGCACAGTTACCTATTCATTGCAAATAGAAATATGCGCAGGAGTGGTATGGCCGAAAAAATTGCCAGTTCGATGTCTTCATTGGCGTATGAAAGAGGGAAATGAATTTCTAAGCTTCAGCTGAACCATGGTTCTCACCCAAAACCTCAATTAACAAAATTCTACCATATCTTGAGGTGACCCAAAGAATAAGTTAAACTGGTTCTAAAAGCCATAGAGGTATTGGGCGATGTGCTCAATCGGGTTCGAGTACACGACCTCCTAGTATGTTGTTACGTCGGAGCAGTCACAATACTATGACTTTCTGCCTGCTGTCTCTGCTTTACAAGTAGTGCTGCATGATGTTTTTAAGATAAATCGAAGCAGCAGGAGGAAAATAGAAAAAAAGACAAAAAAGTTCGGTTTCGAAGTCAGGTGCCCCCGTATCGAAACGTATGAAAACCCGGGCGTTTTCTACCAACTATTTAACCTGCTAGGCTATACAGGCCCCGGCCCTCCTCAGAGAAACCGGGGAATCGACAATGGAGAAGAAAGAGCTGTATATAAACCCTGAGTCTGGCAGGGGGCAGGAAGGCGCCTTGTGTAAGCGTGTTAGGGAAGTGGTTCGCTCCTTCCCAAAGACAGCCCGGTAATGGTACCTATTACTTATGATATTCCGATATCCTTTTAGGTTTCCCTGCATATGCCAAAGCATGAGAAAGACAATTAATACTTCGTCCTAGCTTCGCAAATGTATGAAACTCATATACCTTTCTCGCCGGGGGTGTCTCCTCCCGTTTTCAACCGCGGTGGTACACTTGCTTACTGAACAAATATACACGACCGCCCCTGAGTCGCCCTCTAAGCAATGTTTCGAAAAAACCAACACGTCCTACATATGTATTTAGAATCACGAGAGAAGTGGATGCCATATCTTATCAGAAGATGATGTAGACCTGGCAAGCGTGTTTAAGCAGATGTATGAATAATCAGTTGCATTTGCAGCAGCCCGCCGTAATCTATATATTCTGTCTCATGACCCAAAACCAAAGCCGGTAGAATAATACTCAAATCCGCCAACGCAACACGCGTTCAAACACCATAAGTCCCAAGTCATATGTAATCATTCACAAGCTCATCGGTTCTCAAGCTCTACAGCACCATCATCAGCGACATCCTCATCGCCATCAAGAATCTGCGCGCCAGGAGGCCGCACCCCAGGCGATCTCCGCTCATCGAACGACAACCGTATCCTCCCGCCGGATGCAGTGGATACCTTATCCGATACCCAGCCAGCGGCGCGGCGCATGGCACTCCATATCTTTTCCTGGCTCTCGGCGAAAGAGTCGTCACGGGGATTCTCGGCGTGCTCGGCTGTGAACTGGTACTTCAAGCAGTCCTTAACCGTTACGAGACCCGACAATCGTCCGTGGTATTCAATAAGAACAACTCTCGGGCCGATCTTGCGGAAGAGTTCCATCACCGTCTCAAGCGGCAGGCGTGGATGCGCTGTCACAGGCGTGCTGTCGATATAGCGGCTAAAATCCACTGAGCTAGACGACATCGAATCAGAGAAGCTGGATACGGTTGGTGTGATAGGGCTGACGACACTGAGCGTCCGCGGTGGTGAGAAGCTGCATCTGGCGTCTGGGTTGATTGGTCTTTCGCGCTTCATGCGGTCGATGGCATATCGAAGTTCCGTACGGCCGATGTAGCCGACTAAAATCTTTGAGTTTTCGTCTTCCACGATAGGGAAGCCTTGATATTTGTCCTCCTTAAGCAGGTTCTCAAGCTGCGAGAATATCATGCCATTGACTGGCAAAGATGTGACCTCGGTACGCATGACCTCCGAGACGGGGACGCCAAAGTTGTGCTCCTCCTTGTTGTCTAAAAAGGGGAAGCCACTAAACCAAATCATCCTGTCCGCGATACCGCCCTTGCCGAACAGTTCGCTAACGATCTTTGTGACTCCAACAACGATCATGGTTGGGAGAATATATGTTAAGGCGCCAGTGAGTTCGAACATGATGACAACCACGGAAACAGTGATGTGCATGATACCACTTAGTGCAGCAGCGGCACCCAGGAAAGCGTACGTGCCTGGGGTAATGCAGGGCTCATCCGGCTTACAAGCCGCGAAAAAGGCGCTCGTTGGGTTGGCTTCGTGTATGGCCTGGACAATGATACCCACGGTACGTCCGAAAGACGCGCCAATGGCCATGGAAGGGACGAAAATACCAGCCGGCACTTTGCAGCCATACGAGATGATTACGAGAAGAATTCTCAAAATCGTGGCAATGACCAGCGATAGGACATTTTTGAGCTTTTGGTCGGGCTCGCATAGTCCGTGGTAGTCCTCAGCACCTTCGCACTCCAGAAACAAAATCTCCATGCTTTCCGTCATGTCGATTCTAAGGAAGACGTTTGGGTAACAAATAATGGCGGTTCCAGCAGCTAGGATCGTCGCCTCCGCAATAGCGTACTTGGACAAATACTTCTTTCTGAAAGCCTGAGCCCGCAAATTCCACTTGATGACAAAGGCACCGTAAAGGCCGCCAAAGATACCCAAGATGATGTAGAAAACCACTTCGAAGAAGTGCCATGACCGATCATAGTGTACCTGGAACATGACAAGCTGCCCAGTTCTGAAGGGGTTCATTGCGGCCAGTACAGCCGTCGCCACAAGAGCGCAGAAGTAACTTCGCCACAGTGTCTTGAGAGGGAAGTAACTCGACATCTCCTCCAAAGAGAAAAGCACTCCTCCAATGGGACTGCCGAAGGCGACAGCGACACCAGCCGCGGCACACGCACTCAAGATCTCCCGTGTCTTGGCGGCATTGCGGCGGTATTTGTCGAACAGCCGCGAAATGACGTTTCCTGTACACACGGCGTAATGGACACTTGGGCCCTCCTTTCCGACTGACAGCCCTGAGGCAATGGCAAGAGGCAGACAGACAGACTTGATCAAGAGCGTCCAGAAACCGAGGAACCCCTTCATAACGAACCCGGCGATGATGCATTTGATCTCGGAAATACCCGAGCCCGCAGCGTATGGCGCGAACGACTTGACGAGCGTTGCCGACGTAAAGGCGAAGAAGGTGCCGAACAGGATATAGAGCAGGTAATTGATGGGACCGAACCCCGTCCACTTATGCCACGCGGCGCAGCCGTTATCCTCGCCCCAACAGCAAAAGTTCTCGTTAAGGTAGAAAGCCGTCGTGCAATATCCCATCTTGATATCGGACAGCCACTCGGTGATAATATTCAAGAAGGCAGCGTTAAGGCCGATGGTGATTCCGATCAGGGTGACGACTAGCCAGCCCTGGGCTGCATCGTAGGACTCACGCAAACGGGATCTCCATCCGGCCTGGCCATTGTCGAGCATGCCCGCGCGCCGTCGCCGTCGCAGTTTCCGCCGCGCCTGCTCACGAGCGGCGTCCTGTACCCAATCTATGGTGGTGAAGTCCTCATAGCGCTTGATCTCGGCGATTTCCTCCTCAATCTGATGCTGCTGCCGCCTCTCAGTGGGGGCCGCGCTGTCGCCCCCTTCATTGCCGTCATCCTCATCTTCCTGCTCCGCGTTTGAGACAGCAAACGAGAGCCTCGAACTGATTGATGGGCGCCGAAACCGCTGGGGGCTGTGGGAGAAGGATGTGCTTCTGGAAGTCATTGTTGGCTCGGCGCTGTGCTCATGTTCGCGGCGCAAAGGTACTGGCGGGGTTTTTAGTGTGCGACTGGGCGCATTCGGAGTCGCTCGTATTCGGTCGTTCGTTCGACGGGAAACTGGCAAGGAATCGTCTGTATTCGATTGAAGTTATGTCCTCAGCTTGCTGACCTACGGAGTTCCAATGGCAGGTCATGGGCTTCGGGCGAGGCTGCTGGCTGGAAATCGGGGATGGGGGTTCAATGATGGCAGGCTGGGGTTGTTTGAGCTAATAGGACGCCGTGGCTTGCCTTAGTCTGCCGGGGGCTCCCCTGCAATTGGTGCTTAAGCTTTCCGACTCTGGCTGTGGGCAGTAGCAGTTCAATCCAGCGCGTTTTTAGTGGTCGCGTCTCACTGGCCTTTTTTGGCGCGATTACATGAAAGGAGAGCCTCCCCTTGGCGACTACACCCGTACGGATATCTCACACTACGACGACCCCGGCGACCTAACCACGTTCAAGTACTCACATGTCTTCCGACTGACACCGAATTTAATACACACATTATTTGTAGAGTCGAGAAGGACATATTCAGAGTCATCAATCACCTGTTGCCACGCCCTCCTCGGCAGACCAAGAGACTAAGTCTTGAAAAGGTGGGCGACTTACCGTATTTCATTGAAATAGCAGTCCAGCATCCCCAAAGATACAGTTTCAAGTGAAATTTTGGAAGTTCAAAGGGTCGCTACAAAACAAAAGCGTCAGGAGTTCACTTACATGCGCTCAAATGAGACATCAAAGTGGGCACGAGTTCACTCCTATAGAGCTGTGTGGATTTATTCTGTTTACAAAGTCTGAAAAGGCAACCGCGATGAACCAAACAAGACCTCTCTAATTTCATGTATCGTCGCCGAAGCTCATGATGTGCCCTCACACACCACAAACCTATTCAAAGAGCATTCACTAACTTTCATCTAGACTCAACTGCCTCCTCTCACCTCCTGAAGTCCACGACCTCAACACCCATTCGCTAGGATGCCTTACAACACAAACGTCATTCCTCCCCGGAAGGAGGTAACAGGCCAACCGGCATTGCCCTGTAGGTTCTCATCTATCACTCATTAATACTCGCGTCTCAAGCTTCATGTCTGACATCAAACAGTGGCCCGCGTAAAGAAGATTATCGGCACAGACCCAGACATCGGGATCTGCTCAAATAACGCCGCCTTTGTCATCACCCTCGCGACCGTAAGTCGAAATCCATCCAACAACCTCTGGGAACAATCTCGTGCTCACAAACATCACAGGAGATGTTCATACAGTACCTCGCCAATGAGGGCCAGAACATGGCCAAGCTGGACCGCAAGCCTCGTCGCAACGTTCAATACAAAGACCTGGGTAAGCACGTCCTCCCATTCACCAATGGACGGAAAGGAAGGACTGACAAGAAACAGCAAACGCCGTCAACCACCATGACAACCTCGAGTTCCTCGAAGACGTCATCCCCAAGACTATCCCCTACAAGAAAATCAAGGACCAAGCCGCCATCTCCCGCACAGCGCCCAAAAAGTCTGACGCGGAGCCCAAGAAGCGCCAATCCACCAACGGCGTCAACGGCGCCGCCGCTTCCGCCGTCCACGAGGACGACCCCAGCGCGCAGCTCGAGGCCGAATCTCGCCAGGCGGTGGCCGCTGGCCATGACGGGGACGTCGACATGACGGGCTAGAATCAGTCTTCTTCGTCTTCTTTCCCTCCGGCCTCCATTGCTTCCCTTTTGAACTAAACAGGCTGGCCAGGTTTCGTTTCCATGATCATATAGGTATAGGGGTAGGAGAAACACACAAAGGATACCCGCCCGCCAATACCACAAAAAAAGTTAGCAAGAAACATTATTGACGAAGTGTATGAATAATAAGTCTTTTTTTAAATTTAAACTTGACTTGACTTTTCTTCTTTTGCGCAGGTCCAGTTCCATTAACGTTTAAAACCGACAATGAACCTCTTTTCTTTTTCATAATGTTAACGCCAATCCATGAAAACGTTCTCACACCACTTTTCAGATCCCCTCATTCTTAACCAGTGTTTTTGCAGACACCAAGAAAATTTAACCATCCATATTGGTATCCCCATCCAAATGCACGCCGGCCGGAATAGTGCCCTCGGTCAACATCTTCTCCAGACGGATAATCTCCTGCAAGCTGTCCGCCTTCTTGATCATCTCCTTCAAACGCTCCTTCTCCTTGTCCGTGAGCTTTATCCTCGAAAGCTTCGAGGGTGCCGGGCCGGTGCCGTTCGAGGCAGCAATGTCAAGTGTCTTAGACTTGATGCCCATGATCTGTTTTAAACTAGTCAGCCTCTGCTCTGGGTAAAACGGGGACCGGTGTATAAAAGAGGCGACCTACCTTGGATGCCGCAGCCGTGGGCTCTTCCGCTGTACCAAACAGCTCTCTCGCCTTTTCCCGCTCCGCCTCCTTGACTTTCTGGTAGTCGAGGAACCGCACCGTCGGACAGCGCCAGACGACCCAGTAACGGTAGTTCTGTTAACGCACAAACCCAGTCAGCACAACACCTTCTCTAGCGTCTCTGACGACGATGACTGCTCGGACATGACCGGAGGGAAACACACCTCTTTCTTCGTAACAGGGTTATCCACAAGCACCAAGTGCGTCAAGCTCTTGAACCCCGCGAGCACATCCAGATCCGCGAGCTCAGAGAGGTTGTTCGACGCCAGCACCAGCTGCTTCAGATTCGGGATCGCGTTGGGGAGGGACGCTTGTATGCTCGCTACTCGGTTTCGCGCCAGCAGCAGTGTCGAAATGCGCGGGGAGAGAGGGAAGTTTCCGAGGACTTGGATGTCATTGTCGGTAAAGTCGATAGAATCATGGGGCTATTTCCGCGCAAGACAAAGGCACCAAATTAGCAAAAAGTTCTAGAGATTTCTTCTGCGCTAGGATATGCACATGGGACAGCGCCCAAGGGAATAGGAGAAACACTCACGCCTGCAACACCCAAGTTCTCAATCGCCGGGATTCGGTGTCCTATTCAGCCTCACGGCCGTATGCGGCCCCGCTATCAATTCTGCTCTTGCTCAAAAAGTGTAGCATCTGCTCTTTTCAAAAAACGCACCTCGGAGATCCAGCTCCCGCTCCTTGAGCGGGTTCAGGTAGGAAAGCGAGTCCTTGATGAGCTCCGCCGTGAGCCTCATCTTGGGCTACTTTTGTGCTGGGTGTTACCTCGTTGTTTTGATATGTTGGGACGCGAATTGTCCTGCGTTCAAAGACAAAGTCCCGTCGCGTCGAAATGCTTTCGTCGGGATGCGCACTAGTCTGATTGCGCTGTTGCAATTTGTTGTCGCGTGGGTGTCGTGACGATTAGGCAAGGCTGAAAAGTTGACGGGTTGACAAGGCGGCGGTACAAAATTTCCGGTTGATAAGAGCTCCCTACCACCCCCCGCCAATGCATACAGTCACTTCCGAGCCCGCACACTGTGTAACTCATAACTCTTAACACCATCGATACAGTGTTAATTCAATGACATAGGGAGCACCACGCCGATGTTGAAATATCACAACGGGGAATTGAAAAGCCGTGTTATGCCTTATGCATTAGATATATTCAGTAGGTATCTATATGACGAGTTGCCAACCCAACGCCAGGTGCGCCGCTACGAAAACACAAACACTACTCCAGACCTGTCCACCGAGAGGGTCATGCTGTAAGGCACCTCCAGAAGAGCCACATCCATAATCTGGTCCAAGTGTGACCGAAGCAGCTGTTGTTGCTGAAGAGATATAACGGTGGACCGCGTCGGCCGTCCGCTGGCGGTCTTGCCCTTGGCTCCGACCGCAGCGTTTGGCGCCGTGGGACCCTGTCTAGGGATCCTTTCCGTATTCAGGGTCATGGATGTCGTGGGATGCGAAGCAGTAAACGTTGGCTTAGGATCGTCCACCTGTAGACCGCTGTAGACAGTTGAGCTTTCAATACGAGAAAGGTCCCAGAATCGGAGCTTCTTATCAGATCCACCGGTGACGATGAAGGCGTGCCGCACATCACGCGAGTCTTCGGTGGCTCCTGTTCCTGCAATCATGGCACGAACGCCCCGGTCCGCATTTCCTGTCCCGCTTGGCTCGATATTTGTGGCGAAACGGCCCAGCATACCTTCGGGCTTGTCTTCGTCCACCTCCCACGGCTCGTATCCCTTGGGGCCTTCCTTATTACCCCCAACACGGTAGATCTCCCTGCAAATTGTACGCTCAAGGTCCCATACTGTGACTTCACCTTGGCCCGTTCCGCCGGCAACGCATACCCATTTGCCTCGCCCCTTGCTGGGATGGATGCAAAGCCGGTAAATTGAGCTCTTACCAGGGACCCCCCATCCCTTGAGTCTCATACGGAACCTCAGGTCCCATAAGTCGATGACACCGTGAGTCGTTCCCACACAAAGCCAGTTTCGCTTGCGGTCTATGCAGAAGCACGTAGGAGTCCCGTGATGAACCGGATTCTCCAGGGTGTAGAGTAGAGACATGGTTCGGAGGTCGATGCCTAGTATTCGAGATCTGTTCGTTGCAAGAAGCAAGACCGATGTAGACTCGACCTTGAAGTGCTCACACCACACAGCATGTTCGTCTTGTGGCAGTTGATATTCCCGAAGAAGGCGAAGTTTTCCGTACCGTAGCACGCCACTGGCAGATACGGTCTCAACCTTGACAATGTGGACGCTTCCATCACTTGCACAGCTGATAAAAGAGTGCGTGTTTTCTATAAAGCATAAAGCAAGCACTCTGGCTCCTTCTGCGTGCTTGTGTGTTTGCCTTGAACGATGCGTAATGTTCTTCTCCAGTCGAGCGCTATCCCAAACCTTAACGTTTCCGTCATCACCACCTGTGATGAAAAAGACGTGGTCTGGCGATACCACAAGACGGTTGATCGCGCCGGTATGCTCGGCAAAGGTAGCAACCATTCGACCGGATGGTCGCCAAGGCTCCTCACCCGATTGACCAACAGAGCGGCTTGGCTTACGGCGAGTGATAGGGGTAACCATTGGTCCGAATTCGGCAATGTCATGAGGATAATTGTCCTGGTACATTGAATCGAGCATCTTGAGAATACTAGGATCCGAGCCTTCATATGAATGATTGGGCTTCAGCTTGGCCACAACGCTGGCGGAGCTTGTCCGGCGGTCTTGGAAGGCTGGTCTTGCAAGAGGTGCTTGGGCAAAGGGCCCTTCCACTTCACCAAATGCGTTTGTGCCGGACATGCCAGTTTCGGGCACGCTCTTATTGCCATCTTTACGGTCCAAGAGGCTCAACGCACTAGATTGATGGCGCATTGCCCTCCGGGAAGCATACGGCTGATCATGAACTGAAGCCCCGTCGTCTGTCGGGCTTCCGACGGTGAGCTTGCCTTGGCCAATAGATGTACGCCTGGATGGGTCGATCGACCTTACGCGAGAGACATCTCGTGATAGAGATCCTTGGTCTTCTACCACACGAGTGCGCAAGCTATTGAGAGCAGCAAACTTTCTTCTACCTGTTGAGTCGTCGATAGTCATGGACGCATCCAGAAGAGCATCCGCGATTGTATATGGAGCATCTGGGTCCGTGTCGGTGTGGAATGTTGATTGCTGCAACGGTTGTTCATCAAAGAAGACTGTCTGTGGTGTGATACCGAGACTCTTCAGGGAGATGACTTCATTGAGTTTAGGCGGCTCTTGGTCAAGACCGTCTCTCGATTTCATCTTGCTGACACGCCAAATGAACTCCCTCAGCGCAAGAAGTTTGAACTCATCATCTGGTCCAAGCCCGAGAGTTTGCAGCCGCCCAAGCCACAGCTCATCTTCCTCATTTCTTGAGACCTTGCTGAGCGTGTCTTTCGATGCGCGGTTGGTGACTGCCTTTGGCAATGATCCATAGGAGAAGGATCGAAGCTGCTGTGACATTTTCCAAAATAGCCCCTTGTCAGTTTTAAGCGCCCATACCAAGGCCTGGTCAAATACAGCCCTTGACATAGGCCGCTTCAAGGCATCCAGCAGGCTGAGTTCGGAGAAATCGGGAACCATTCCTGTTTTTAGATACTGCTTTACCAAGGGGAAGACGATGCACCTGATGTCCGCTGGGGATAAGAAACATGTGGCCTCGGAGATGAATTCTGTCGCGGATTCTCGAATCCATAAGTTGGGGTGCATCGTGAAGCGTGAGACAACATCGATCAGCTCCCATAACTTTGTTTTTGAGAGCAGGCCCAATCGCGCCAACTGTGCCAAGGAATGAAGAGCTGCTTGCACAACAAATTCCTCAGGGTCGGTGAGAGCCTGGACCATGAGCGGGAGCATAAACTCCTCGAGGCTGACACTGCCAACCATGCTGGCTATGCTGACAATTGTTTCAAAGAAGGCGCATTTCAGCATCCAGTCGCGGTCATTCAAGTAGGTGTTGAGATGGGTTAGTAAAATGTCGTTTGCCTCTGCTGGGCCAAAGAAAAGACATAAGTTGGGCACTGAAGTCAAGAATGCCCGACGGACAGAGACATCGGGATCCTCCACTAGCGCTTTTGTATGAAGCTCAAACATTTCATACAGCTCTCGCTGAGCATCGTCAAAGAGTCCGTCGAACGCTGCCTCAGCTTCAATTCCTGGCTCGAGCTCGGGGTCAGCCACAGTCAGGGTACCGTCTGCTTTCAGCGTCGCCGCGAGTTCTAGAAACCGAGCAGCAGTGGTTGCAAGGCTTCCCAGGCATGATGCATACGTAGCTCTAACCAGAGGGCTTGGGGTGTTTGCGTTTGCAATCAAGGCGCTTTGGAATCGAGGAAGAATGTACTCCACAAAGATGTGTGAGTTGACGGGAGAGACGACCCGTACGAGATGCAAAAGCTGGGTAATTGAACGTAGTGCGGCGATAACCACAAGGTCCGACTTGTCGTTAAGAAGCGTCATAAGGTATGGCAGCACTCGATCCAGCTTTGCCTCGTCAGTAATTCTTTCCGAGAATGCGAGTAGAACATCGCAAGCTCTGATCTTTGATGCCGCCCTGGCTGTATTACGGAGGGAAGAGACGATCAGCGTCAGAAAGATGAGAGTACCATCATCCTCAGGTGGGTCTGAAGCTCCCATGATGTAGTGTTCATGGTTTGGTATGTTCAAGCGGACAGGGAAATGTCCCAGTCCTAGCTTCCCGGCCAATGGCTCAATCTGGGACGAACGTTTGTCATTCTGGTAGCCAAGGAAATAGGATATCTTATCAAAGTCGAGAAAGACGCGGTCGATGCGGTCATCGGCTTCTCCCAAGTTCCTCGTCGCACCAGAAATAGGGTTGTTTCCAGACGATGGGTCGGTAATAAGCTCCATATATTGATGCAGAAAGTTGTAAAAGTATTCAGGGAATACCTTCTTCTTCCAGAAATCGAGATATTGCTCTGCAGAGTATCGACGCTCTGGGTCCAGCTGGATCATGTGTGATATCATGTCACGCAGGTCCTTGTCTGGAATGCGACTGATCTGAGAAATGACTGGGTCATACTCGCCTTTTCGATACTTGTACAGTTGGCTAAGCGTAAAAATCGGCGACTCCAGAAACATTTCGGCAATCACGCAGCCGGCGCTGAAGACATCCATAGCCCATGTAAGCTTTGCGTCTTTGCTGTTCACCTCATCGGCCGGGACAAATCGTTCGGGTGCCACGTAACAGGTTCGCCGGCCAGAAGTGTCGAAATAGTATGAGAAATCGCCCGGGTTGTCGTCAGGAAGCATAATCGGCTTAAAGGGAGAGGAGAAGTCAGAGAGGTATAGCCAGTTCCAGGACGTCACCAGCGTGTTTTCCGTTTTGATGTCGCCATGGTAGATGTCTCTGGCGTGGCAGTCACGCAAGGCGCACAACAGCTGAAACGCCAGCCATTTCTTCTCGATATCCTCCAGAAATGGCCGCGTGCTCATTCGGTCGTAGAGGGAGTTGTAGAGGAACTGTCGAACCAGGTAGCCGTTCGTCTCAGTCTCGACGATGCGTTGGAAACCCAGTGCGTTGGGCACGTCGGCCAGGGCGCTGCGCTGCTCTGTGTTGGGTCAGCCACTTCGTTCTCCAGGCGTGAGGCATGCGATTAACTGACTCTCAATATCGCGCTTGTACCTGTCCAGCGGCATCGGGGTATAGGGCTTTACTAGGACCTTGACCAACGCTACTCCATCGTGATGCCTAGCACGGATGCTCTTCATGAACCGCGCATTTCCAATACTTTTCTCATACACGAGGTCGGAGAGCTCTGGAATATCGATGCCCGCCGAGCCCGCGGAGGGCGTCGCGAGAGAGAAGCCTTGACCCATCGTAGGCCAGCAATAGCTCGGTAGCTACGAAACCTATTCGACTGCTTGTTCGTCGTAATGGAGATTTGTCATGTTGGAGAAGCCAAAGGAATATATGTTGTCGTCATTTGCCTCGGGTGTCTGGTACAATTTTTAAGAGATTAGGTGAGCTATCTGTTTCGAGCAGCGTTGGAAGTTGCGCGGGAAAGATGCCTGGAAGACGGAAAGCGATCACGGGCGCGATTAGGTCACCATCTAAGGTTCACTGAGGTACCACACGGCGGGATGCAGGTAGGCCGTCCACTTAAGCAATCGGTGGGGAAGTCGGTGTCCCGCTGTTTATCCCCCGACAAGGGGGAGACATGGCGGGGACTGCTACGGGACCTGGCCCGTGCGTCATTCCGTCCTTTCGGATTGACCAGCCACTTGAGCTCAACTATGTTCTGTTCCTGTTCAATGTTTGGCAAGACCCATCATCTCTTATGATAATTCAGGCCAAATAATTCTCTCGCCTTTGTTTCAACTCCAAAAAGTGATTGTGCAAATGCGTAGATTGTCCTTACCTTTATCTTGTTGATTGTTCTCCATATCAACACAGGAAGATCAAAATTGTGTCATTATCCTACATTACCACTAGCCCTCGACTTACACTAGCTCGCCTTGCGGCAAGAAAACAATCAACTGAATTCAATTACGAGCATTCGAATGTGGCCAGAGTGAGTTTTGAGTGCAAAATCATGGTCTCATCATGTCCAAAGCAGTCCCACCATCAAGTCTATATCTTTCAAGCAGTACTCAAGGAACAGCCTTGGGTTACACTGCCTACGAAGGGGAGTGGAGATTGTAAACCTGAAAGAATATGTCAAGAAATTGGGCGAGATTTGGTTTCATTAGAAGCAAGTGCTCTGCGACCCACGACCACAAGTGACATACCAAGGTAGTAGGAAATACACAGAACACATGCTACCGTCACATCGCCGATGGAAGCAAGTACCTAAAACTAAGATGCACCTCAGCTGGAGTGTAAGCCAACATGCAAGGCACCCGTTATTGGATCTTAGTCACCAACTGATAATAATTAAACAATGGGTGGCACATGCCAAATCTCATGTGACAACCACCAACGATGGCCCAGCTGCCGACCACCATCCCAATCCCATGCTGAGGGGAAAAAGCGCAGAAAGTAAACCCCTAACTTCATCGGGAGAACACCATGCCGGCTAGGCGTTTTACCTAGGATGATCGACAGCCAGCCACAACCGCCCAAATGTGAGGAATGGTAACAAAACGGAGACTTCTAAAGAAGATGGTTTCGAAATAGGAAAAATAGCCCCGTCACAGTACCCCTTTTCACAGAGAAAATAAAATCGTTGTTTCTGCTTACTTATCTGTCGTCTAACTTGAGCATTGTGGGTTTCATTATTAGGAATGCCTGGCCTATGACTCAAGACGATTTATGATGGTTTACAATCTGAATGATTGTAGTTCGTCCGAAAGAACAAGCATCTCCCCCGCCCGCACCCGAAGCGACCAACATCAGACCTGAATGCCCAAAGTCATACTACAGCGCTTAACTCAACATGGGGCTTGCCATTGCACCTGCTCTGCTTGCAATTTTGCCATTAATCAAATACGTTATACGGGCTGGTTCAAGGACTCCCGAAACGGAGCAACGACTGAATGAAGCCGGCCACCGCTCGCGTGACCAGCCACACCGGTTTCAACCCCCAGAAGTAGATGAAACCAATCGAGGTAGGTAGTATTGGCGGCACAGACTTTGAAGGCCACGATCTTACTAACTTTTTTTTTTTTAAAAAAAAAACCCCCCATGGAGGAAGGAACGTAAAGGTATCAAAGAGAATCCTCTTAGGTATTTAAAGCTAAGTAAATGGACTGGCCGTCTGATAGGGCACAGGAGTAAGCCTATGTGATGTTGTGATGATAGTGTAGCAGGATAGGTATCGCGCCTTAAGGGCTGATGGTGAACATGTTAGTGGACTTTTTGAGATCTGCCTCACCCCTCTCTGTTCCATTGGCCCCTAATCCATCTACGCCTCCCTGAAGAGGTCAACATTAGATCGCAGAGGCCCTCCCCGACCCCTTTCTCCTCCCAAACCCCCATTTTCCGTCACCGCCCCCATGGGTATATACCTAAATGCGTAGTTGAAACGAAAGGGGAGAGCATGCATGATCGTCATAAGTAATTAGGTTCGCGGATATTCATCTCGTCGGAACTGCTCGCAGTAGATGCTGGGATCGATTCGCCAAGCTTCCATGCGGTTGTGGCCGTCTGATGTGATGCCGCGTCGAAAGGAAATAAGTCGCTCGTTTAAGAGTCAAAGACATTAGACGTGTCGTCGCAAAAAAAAAATGCAGTTTCTCGTGTCTATGTGCAATAGAGTCTCGGGGGGGAGCTTGACTGGACTGTTGCTCGTCATGTCGTGTGTTACGATTCATTAAGAGTTATAGATCGGCATCGCCCAAAGGTGTTACCGCTCTCTGCCATACTGAAGTCAATGCTAGAGGAGAGTCCGAACGCCGTAGCCAATGCTGAAAGACAGCTGTTGTGAAGATGTATACAAAACACATCGGGTATTACCCACAGCTCAGGAGAGTGTTGAGTGGGCTTGGTGAGCGCTGGAGCCTTCGGTCGAAACGTCGCCCTCAATGGTTTTCCTCCAGTGCTCCGGCAAGCAGACACACACGAGAGGGAATGCTTTGATCTCATCGCTGGTCGGTGATGAGTCGCGTCGAACAGATGTGTTGGAGACACCGCTGTCTCGCTGTGCTTTTCGTCGCGCTTCCCATTCGTCGACTCGTTCGCCCATCAAAATTCCAGTCGCCCAGCCATCATCCCATATACCAACTACCTTGAGCATATCGCCACGCTCGAGAGAAAACTCATCCGGGGCGCGAGGTTGGTAAGCCCAGAGAGTTGCGACCCTATCGCCAGGGTGAATATCGTCTTGAGAGTAGTAGTCTTTGAAAAATGGCAGTTGCTCCGACTGCTGGCTGGCCATGCCCTGCGGAGACGACATTCCAGCACTGGTCGGTGATTGAGGATCGTTGACACCAGTAAGTACAGAACTACTAGACAGAGATCCCGTTCTTCGAATATTAGTGGGAGGGGGTCGCAGGACCCCAGCTCTAATCCCTGATTCAGGACTATCCCCATACTCAGAGGAGGACGGATCGTCGCCCCTGCTTCTACCTGCCATATAAGCTGCACCGCCAGCAGCTGCGGCGGCGAGAGGTGCATGACTGCGACCCGTTGGAGGTGCTGGATCCGAAGCGCTTTCCAAGGCCGACATGCGCGCAATACGTCCTCCTGGCAGTACTTCATATCCGGTGGTGGTTTGTGATGGTGGAATCTTGACTGTGGCTGGCCCTTGCCTAGAGGGAGACGGTTGGTTGAAAATACTACCGCTCTGGCTTCCGTGTCTCCTCCTCTTGGCGAGCAAGATACAAGCGTATATGAGTCCTGCAAGCAATAGTGCTCCGGCTATACTGCCGATAACGATGCCGGCAATGGCGCCGCCAGACAAACCGCCGGCAGCTGCGGCTGGAGTGCTCGTAGAGGATGGGGTCGCAGTCGCAGTCGGAGGGGCAAAAGTCATGGTGGGAAAGATGGACGGGAGTGTAACGCCTTTGCATCGCTCATCGATATTCGAATTGTAGCAGCATGTGTCAGTCGAGTTAATACCGCCAGATGCGCAGTAGGAACATAATCCCACGGTGCTGTTGCCGTAGCCACAGTTGTCCCTCTCATTGCTGATGCCTTGGATGCAGTTAGAAGAAGACAGAGAATCGGCGGGAAGCGCGCAGTTGGTAAAGTCGGCACGGATCTGATTGACGAGGTTGTTACCCGGGTTGCCACAAAGACTGCTATCCGAAGTAAGAAGTGCTTCACTCTGCGCAAATTGGGCCTGTATCATTATTAGCCTTTGTGGTTACGGTCAGGGCCAGGCTACCAACGCATGTGTCGGCGCAAACAGGTTTAGAGTTCGATGCAGTAAGGTTGCAGGCGTCTATCGAATTTTGGACGATGGCGTTGCAAATAACTGTAGTCGTGAATCGAGCATACAGTTCATCCGGGTTTGTGAGATTAACGTTGCTGCAACCAAGTAATGTTTGATATCTGGTCAAACATAAGTAAGTGTCTCATCAAAACCAGTTGAACTATTTCCAAATCTCACTTTTCCCGTACGTATGATGTCTTGATATATGACAGCAGCTGCTGGTCAAATGAGTCCCGGTTGGAGACAAACTGCAGGAAAGGGCTATTTAAGCCAGTTAGCAACAATCGCAGCAATTGACACTTAATTAACCTACAAAATGCCAGCGACAAAGCCTGTCGTTGAAACTGAGGATGATTGGAAGGCAGGACAGGTTGTCGAGCCCTGTAGCGAGACACAGCTCGACTGCGCCGTGACGAGTGTTGACGTAGACAGCACTGACAACAGTGCCGCTCTCGCCGTCTGGCCCATAGTTCGTTCTCTCCTCCTCGAGCGAGTGGCCGACGAAGGCATAGTCGCTGTTAGATAGCCGCCGTGTCGAGAAGGCTTGCGCGGTAGTGGTAATTCGGAGAAGCACCTAGTTCATGACCGTCTTCCTGAATTCCCGTAGCTCGCGACCCATGCACTTGGGATATTGATGTCACGAAACAGCCGACAATGGAATTAAAGAGTGCTGCTTTGCTCCGAGGGATGCTTGACGAGCGATAGTCGTAACCAAAAAAGAGATCTTTGAGCGTTCAATTAAATCGGCGAAGGTGGTGGTTTGTGTTCGTGAGCTGTTGTCGAACGGAAACAGGGGACTCGAGTGGATGTGGATGATTATCTTCAATTGCTGGAGGTGGGACAGGCGGAGGTCGAGGAAGGAGAGTCTGTGGGCAGGTACAATGGCAACCGGGTCGCGATTAACGGATCGATTCGATGCTCGTATGAGAAGTTGTCGCTGTCGCTGTCGCTGTCAAACCCAAAGTGTGAAGGCAGGAGGGTTACGGCTGGGTTGAGGTATGGTCGAGATTTCTTTTCTTCTTTTCTTTTTTCTTTTCTCCTTCTCCTGGAAATAAGGTACTGGAAAACCCGCACCAATAGGTAGGCAGTAAATAGACTGAACGAGGGTAAGTGAATGAAAGATAAAAAACAATGAGGCTAAGGCAGGTGTCTACTATTAGGGGGATACAGTTAAGATCCAAGATAAGGTCATTCGACGTGTTACCGGACGAGCCCGTCGAGGCGAGTAGAGAAGGAAAAGGGCGATGATGATGCTTTGAGGCGAGCGACAACGACGACGCTCACAACATACACACTCACGCACAGAGGGAAAGGGAAGGGGACAAGAGAAGGAAAAAGGTTTGGTACGGAGTACGGGAGGTGCCTAGGAAAATAGGGAAAATTGGGCCAACGTGGGAGGACATGGGACATGGGCACAGCCTATCAGTGAGGTGAGGTACATACCCCCGGTACCCTGAACCTAGGCCTGGACCTGGATCTTAACCTGGCTGGGCCTGACTGGCGACGGCGCGCAGCGGGAATGTGCAACTAGAGGAGGGCGTGTGAACTTCTTGGGTTAGGATGGGGGAAAGGTTTCCTTCCTGGACATGACCCGAGGTGACTAGGGCCTGCCTTTTTTGGCCTGTTTCTGGGGGGGAAAGGAGGAGGGGAATACTAGTTGGAGGAAAGTACAAATGTAGGCCTGCAGGACCCAGAAACAGCAGCAGCAGCAGGATCAAACAAACAGAACGAGCACCCGCCTGCCAGCTGCATGCACTAGTATGTGTCTCTATCTCCTCAGCTGAGGGAGCGCGTACCAAGGTAAGTAATTACTTGCTTAAGTGCAATATGCAAAGCAAAGGATGTAAGATGGACTCCTTGCGCAACTTGTTCCCTTGGAATGGAGGAATTGCCATGGGCGCCCAGTCCGGTCCCACGTTTGCGTGGGCGTTTGTTCAGGCACTAAGAAAGAGTCTACACAACAAAAGTACGTACCAAGCTTCGTACCTGAAGATGTACCAGCTACCCCTGCTCTTACGAGCAGCAACGGCCACCGGAATTGTCAGAAATTGGCAAGGTGCCTCGACCAGCAAAATTGGCGGCAGGGGATAGTGGCAGGGGTCTAGGGTCCCTCACTGGCCATGAATCAAACACTTGCTGCCCTGGTCAACTCTGGAGGTTGGAAAGGCGCTTGGAGGGGCTACTCTATTCCCTGTACTCTCCTTCTCTCCGACTACGCCGCATTAATTCGTTTCGAGATTATCCGTACTGGCGGTTTTCTTTGTTATGGCATAAGTCAGGCCCACGGCTCATTCAGCATCAGCACGGTAGGGCTGTTAACCGTCGTTGTCATCTGCTACATCTAAGGTCCAGACTCTCTCTACTCTACCGTCCCGAGCGCCCTGGAATCAAAGCGCTGTGGCACCGGGGAGCCTTCGTCAGCTGCCGCGTTCCGTGTACTCCGTATTCTGAGTCTTCGCTTCTCAGTTGTTCATCTCCGATTCTATTTCCATCTCTGAACGGCATTTCCTCTTTCAAATGCCACCATGAATACAGTAGTTCTAGTGCCATGACCGAGAGGATGGATGCCACAGATGGATGACTGAATGATGAATATAATTTGCGTCTGCAGTCACTGCATTCCTCCGAGCCGGGAGTTTGCCTATCTATCACATTGATGGAATGATAAGGAATATTAGGTGCTGGGACAACAAGGCATGACGGACCGACAGATGTCCGCTTATGTTCTATATCCTACCACTGGTCAGAAGCAAACAGGTGCCTCTCGATTAATGCTTTTTATAAACTGATGGCGCGTTCCATCCGATCAACAATGCTCTTTGCAACTGCTACTGCACTAGTCTAAAACCCTCGCCAACCACCAACATCACAAAGCGTTGAACGCTGAGCTTCAACGCCCTCAACTTCCGCGGCAGCGTCTAGCGAAATTAGTGTCTCAAAAGGGAGCCGCCTCCCACATCCACATATCAATAGAATGTCTTACAGATGTCGTTGCCGGAAATAAATACCTGCAAGGTCAACCATCATAGTGATGCGCACAAATGCCGAACGCGGTCTCACGCTCATCTGTTCCTTTCGGCCACTCTTCGCAATTTCAGTCCATGCACCCGCATCCATTACTTGTTGATATTGGGGGTCGAGCGCGCCGATACCAGCAGCTCACGGACAGACGACATTTGTGCTCGTGAAGGTGGCCGACTGAGAGCCGGTGGGACAGGGAATCTCTTCCGTAGAAGAAACAAAATGGGGCCATTACGACATGCAGGAGCTCCTTTCTGCGCTTCTGACTGGCCACCTCAGCTTAAGAGAGTAACAACTTCGCTCTGAGCTTGCGCAGGTACAAGGAGAAATACTGCAGTTGCAGACGCAGTTACACAGAGAGAATATTTGCTGCAGTTGAGGTATCGCCATCAACCCCGGGAAAGGAGCAACAAAACCTGTCAAAACCACAGGATCCAGTAAAGAAACCTTCTGAGAAGTGCCGATAGGCTCGAGGGGTCCAGCTGAATACTTGGCAAAGAAAGCAATTGGCGAAATTACCACGACTTCTGGGCTGTCTCACACTGGCGACGATGAGCAGTGATTGGCGAAGCTCGTGGTCGCGCAAGGACGGTAACAAGGATTATGGCGGACTGGAGGAGCGAAGCTGCTCCTCCCTCCCAAAAAAAGAGAGAGAAAAAAAAACTAACCTGCACCGGCTACTTGATCAAAAAACGACAGCAGCGTTTGCGAGATGAAGGAAGGCCCCAGCGTAGTGTCCGCCCTGTATGGCACGGACAAGACATGACCAACGTATGCCCATTGCGTCGGAATTTCAACCATGGGTGAACACGCTGTTTGGATGACCCGCCCAATGACAGCTCGCGTCATTTTGTGGTCTGTCACATTTCACAAGGCCCCGTTTATCAGACAGGGTCACCGAGTCTTGCCGGTCGCGCCCGTTCTCGGCCTCGAATGCAACAGTACTGCCGCTCATCATCCGAGCCGGAGACCACTGGCATTCGTGTATCAACAGAGCCCGGCCGGACACAGATCAGCCGATCTCATGCTCTTCCATTGAAGCCGGAATGCTTGCAATCAGAGCAGGGGCAAGCAGTCGACGGTCAGAAACAGAACCGAGTGAAGGGGTAAAAGACAGGGAACAACCGGGTAGGAAACGGAACCTTTCTTCCAACTTCTTCTGTTCGGATTCCAATCCATTGGCTTGGTCACGGTTGAACTTCACAGGTGAATTCACAGCAGCTTTCGCAGTGTTGAAGATCTCTGGTTCAATCCATTCAAATCAGGATCGCATCAGTTAGAGCTGACCACAAAGCCCTTTTACCTAACAAGACGGCGTGCATATTGGTCTCAAACGGTAGCTTCCAATCGGCTGTACCTTAGAGGCTAATCTGTATGGGTTTTTTGAACTCTGTCATTACTTCGTTCAGTTGGGGAAGGACGGCCGATGTGTCCAAATGTGTGCCTATACCATCATGGGGGTGGCTGGTTGTGATCAGAAATCATTTGCTATCCACTAGCATTAAGGTGGGGGAGGTTGAAGCCGTTGCTTTCTTCTTGGACAACGTGGCAACCTTTGGCCGTTTTCCCTGATGCTCGTCTCTAAACGCCTCGTTCAGAAGTCGGGCCATTTACAGAAAAGAAACAACAAAGAACTCTGACACTTGAAACCGTTGCTCACCACACTACTGCAAACAACGGTCACCGAATGTGCTGACTGTACCTGGCAAGTACTCGATACTCGCCCCACCACCCTACGCTCATCTTTCAAATAACAAAATCCACCAGTAGACGGAGATAAGAAAGTGCTCCAGATGAAAGCAGCCTCGTTGTGGAATTACTTCAATGCGACACCGACTCGGTAGTGCGGCCCCAGCCTACGTTATGCTGAGAGCCTCACATAACATGCCCTAAAATTACTGGTCGACAATTTATGCCTATCGATAACACGCATGATTTCTGTCCAAATTGGCTAGAAAATGAAGAACGCGGCAATTGCCCTTGTATGGTGCAGTCTTCAAGGCTGCATCTAATTGGCCCTCCTTTTTTCTAAAGGGATTCCTTACGTTGCCCCTTTGACGCCGCATTTCACAATAACAACTTCAAGGCTAATGAATTAGTGTACTTATCAGGAAGAGGTTTGCGACGATAATTTCAGCCCCTTTCTCACGCTATTAGAGAATGACAGCCCGGCACCGTATGCGTAAATCCACTATAGTCGTATCATAGGGGATGTTCTCCGGGGCCCCAGTATTTCGAACAATGAGACTTACATGGAAATAACGCCAGTGTTGGTTTTCGAGGCATACCTTTCTCCAAATTCGTACCGTGGCAACCTGCGCTACCAAACTACCACCACTTGATATAATCAGCTTATTTCTAAGATATTTGGCCCATTCACATCATCTATATGCGCATCTGAAATGCGCAATAGGCAACACAAAGAGGAAACTGCATTATATCTTAGCAAATGCTAACGAAGACAATGTCGAAGATTTAAGAGAGCTTGTTGCCATACCCACCACCATATACCAGCTCAGAGCAAGGTTATTGATCCGAATTTGGCCACCAAGACTCGCTGTGGATACTCCTCAATCTGAAATTCGTCAACGGCACAGCAACAAGCTGCTGAAAGGCCGTTTGGAAGATACAGAATTGGTCACTAGGCTGAGGCGGATGCAACAGTCCAGATTCCGGGTTAGATAGCAAGCTTTCCGCACCACATCCTCATCACTTACGTATCACCATCGCAGGCTTCACCAGCTGAATTCTGTTTGTAGACTGGGATGGCTTGGCGGTGGTGACCCCTCAAGAAAGACTGTAAAGCTAGAGCAAGCGGCGTACTGACCCAGACTGGAGGCTAACATATCAGTAGCTTGACTAAGGCTACTAGCCTGTCGTTAAGTGTTCGTGCGAACCTAGTACGTGGCCCTTCACTGTCAAAGTGGCGGATTTAATGTAAGAGTTGGGGAAATCCATGTGATCAGCAGCGCACGACTGGGCTTATAGATCGGCACAAGGTATGCCGATTCGCGGTGAGATCCAGTACGGTTATGCCGTCTCGAAAGGCTGAAGTCTCGTGAGTTAAGTCAGGAGCATCTTTCGGACCCGAAAGAATCAAAGCTAGCAAGAGAGTCATCTGAGGAAGTAGTGCAAGCTGCCATGCTTCAACATAGCACGTTAATTCTGAAGGACAGTCATCTACTTCCTGTGTGAGGAATAATTCCAACATTCGACTTGTTCTCGGAAACCTGGAACAGTCTAAGAGGATTACCAACGGCTTTGTCTGCTTTAAGCTCGCGATGATTTCCTGATGCATCATTTGGGCAACTTTGATGCTGTTCGTTGATACTGTCTTGCGTCTTTGGTACTGACGAATGCTTGATTGTCAGCTTCAGCAGCTAGATATCCTGGATAACCTCCACCACACCGCCCTATCCTAGTCCACAGAACGGGCCTCTAGTTCTCCTCATAATGATTTCCATACAGTGAAGCTGTGTTCCCAACCACCGAGGTCCGTGAGTACGCACCCCGCCATCGACCTCTCTGCAAACTATCAGCGGCGCACGTCCAACAGACTCCAACCGCCCGACATCGACTGTCCCAGAATGAACTAAGCGAGAAAACAAGTCTGCTACAGCCCGCGCGGCTCATATGTGAAGTCATGCCTGTCAACTTAGAGCTATGCAAGTTGTGCTGTTCCTCCCCTAACCTTTGCCCCCCCTACCGGTTTGGGTGCGTCTCGCAACTATGAAGCGTGCGTCCCCGTCGAAGGGATCCGAGGCTACGGGAGCTCTTATGTCCGTCTGCGACCGTTACTAGTGATCATACCGTCTCAGGAAGATGCACCTGCCTCTAGGATTCTTCATGCGTCAACCCCCTCCACCAGTTCTGATATCCTGATGACGCACTTTTTATTCGAAAATTGAGGCTGAGCTTTCATGGGGATGATGAAAATTGCCAATACCATTACTGCCCATTGCTAGAAAGCTGCCATCCTGTCTGTCTTGCTGTGCCATTGTATTGTTAAGATGGACGATACCATCCATCGTCTAAAACCACTTTTCGAGAACAACCCAAAACGTGATCGCCCATCTGAAGAGACACAAGTTTACCTTTCTTCGCTTTCGTTACTCGCCACTGGCTAATATTCTTCCCTGATTTCCTCGCGTCTCTCATCCGCCTCGTCGCCCAGGTCGTGCCGAATTCCCAAAGCCAACACATCCAACCCCGACGCTAGTGCATCATAGTTCAGACGAACATCTGCACAAACACCCACCCTACAATGATAAGGGCCCGTCAATCCCTCCGCCGGCCTACCCCCGATATGCGGTCTTCTCTGGATCAAGGCTGCGCAGATGGCCAAGCTTGTCTACCTGCCACCTTTCCCCAGAGCGAGCACTGTCAGCCAAGCGCCAGTGCCGAGCCTTTCTCTCTACCTCTGTAGATTATAGATCGACTATAACACCGCGGCCATTCTTGTGAATAGAGATTCTCTCGCGAGTGGCTTCAACAAAGGATCCGACATCATGTCGGACGTCGATCCAATCCCAACGGTAAGTAAGAGAATCCCTCTTGGAATACTCATCAGTAACTGTACTCACTGACATCACCAGCTTCCACCCGTCGGCCCTCCATATCAACCCCAAGTCGCCATTCTCGGCCTCATTCCGACGGTACATGTAGACGTGCCCATCTGTATCGTCCTGATCGTCTTCTTCCTCACCGCAGCCGCCCTCAACCTCTTCGTCTTCATACGCAACAAAGCCGTTGGCCACAAGTTCCTCCCCTCGACGATCCTAGTCGGCTTCTGCACCACCCGTATCATCGCTCTCTCACTCCGCATTGCCTGGGCCACCCAACCCTGGAACGTCAAGCTCGTCATTGCCGCCACTATCTTCGCTGCCGCCGGCGTCGTCCTTCTTCTCATCCTCAACATTCTCTTCACCCACCGCCTTGTTCGTGCTCTCCACCCCACAATCGGCTGGAATCCTCTCGTTGGCTACTTCTTCCTTTTCCTCTACTTTTGGATCCTCGTCTGCCTCCTTTGCGCCATCGTCGCCAATGTCGTTTCCTACTACACCCTCGTATGGGACTACCTCAACAAGTGCCGCCTCGTCCAGCTCTTCACTTCCACCTCCCTCGCCTTTCTCGCCTTCGTCCCGATTCTGATCCTTCTCGGTGCACTCTTCTACCCGGGTGCCCGCCGCCCTGAGCCTTTCGGCTATGGCAGCATCAGCACCAAGGCACTAATAGTGCTCATGACCGCCTTCCTCCTGACCATCGGCGCCGCCTACCGCTGCGCAGTCAACTACGCCATTCGACCCGTCTGGGCGCCCGCGTGGTGGCACCACAAGGCGTGCTACTACGTCTTCAACTATGACCTCGAGCTTGTCGTGGTCTTCACCTACGCCCTCATGCGCTTCGACCAGCGCTTCCACGTCCCCGACGGCGCCTGCAAACCTGGCGACTACCGCAAGGGTCAGTACGCCTACCAGCGCGTCAGCAGCCTTGCCGCGACCCGCTACAGTCAGAGCATCAGCATCGAACGAGGAATCAGGTCGCGGCGGCGGCGCGGCGACCGGTCGGTGGTGATCAGCGGCCTGAGTGAGATGGGGGAAACTCGGAGTTCGTACCTCAGCGCGTACTTCCGTAGTTCCTACCGTAGTTCCTACGGGAGTAGCTCGTACGGTAGCAGCTCGTATGGTTCGGGCTCGCGCACGAGGAGTTCTGAAAGCGAGGAGATTAGCGCGGAGGGAGTACGGGTGCGGGAGCGGGATTCCCAGAAGAGGTCGAGAGCAGTATCAATAAGGCGGAGCCGGAGTAGGAGGCGGACCGGTCACCCTCATCACCACCACAACCAACACCATCATCATCATCATCATCATACCCGGCGCCGTAGTCGACCCCCAAGAAGTAGTCGACACCCATGAGGAACGAAGTCGGCGGGGCGCCTGCGTAGTGAGTTGAAACCTTCTCTGCACTTGGTAACCTCCCTTCCCTTCTATGTAACATGTTTTTTTCTTCTTCGATGCACTTATAGGCGTTGGCAATTTCCTATTGTACATTTAACGACAACATGAACATACCTCGGATAGGGGTACAATAGATAGTAGCATTACGGATTAGCATAAAATCACACAAAATTGGAACATCAAGCTTCATTAGCATCGACACCTTGTTGCCGGCGGTCTATAATGAGTATCTAACGCGTTGATAGAGGGAAAGGTCCAAGGCACACCTAAAAAAATGACTTGGAAAGAGGGGCTGCGCTCGCGCTGATCCTCATAGTATCCCTCTCTATCATAATGCTCAACGCAGAATCTCTCTTGGGAGTACATTGGTTCTTGGCTTTGTTTGTAACCTTACAAGATTAGACTCCTCCAAGCACCAATGCAAGTTGAGCATGCACACGCCCCGTCTCTTTCGAATCTCTCCCACGATAACACCCAGAAGCATACTCTGGGCGATGGGTAGTAAAGGGTATCGAACAGGTGATCAGAGGAAGTAGTCGGGTGTGCGTCTCGACACCATCGGCTCGCCGGCTCTCGGGCAAGGGTCGAATTGCAAGCTGTATACGATTAGTGGCTGCCGTTTCACACTTTGGGTTTTGGGCACTCACAATGTGTATTTCAGATGTTCGTCAATCTCCATGATCGCTGCCTGGTTACCGCATCTGTAGCAGTAATTGGGTGCTGCGCGCGTTAGCTGGGCTCGTAAGATGGGTCCAGGCCAAACTCACCAGAGAAGATGGTCACCACATTCCTGTCTTGCGACCAGTTATAGCCCTCCATCACAAGTTGATGGGCACGCGCAATCAGCGTCAGGCCGTTGTTGTGATTGAAAGCTTCGGAGATATCCTGGCCGAAGGTGTAGCCAGCACCACGAGGAGAGATACCCCAGCCGCATCGGTCATCCGGGTCGGACCAGAGCAGATCGCACATGGGGCCCTCGTGAGGCACCTCCTGAATTCTGTCCAGAGCCCTGATGTTGTCCAGGGTGTCAATACTGGGCGACAGGCCGCCGTGCAAGCAGAAGATCTGGTTGTCGATGAGTGCGGTAAGGGGGAGGTAGTCGAAGAGGTCGGTAAAGTACTTCCATACGTTGGCGTTGCCGTATTTCCGGAGGCACTCGTCGTAGAAGCCATAGACTTGGGTGATCTGGCGGGACTCGTGGTTACCGCGGAGGATGGTGATGCGCTGGGGGTATCTGATCTTGAGAGCGACGAGTAGAGTCACGGTCTCAACAGAGTAGTAGCCTCTATCGACGTAGTCACCTGAAGAGCCAGAATATGAGTATCTGCCCATGACATTGTAAGCATCGAAGGAATGCACGACATACCCATGAAAAGGTAGTTGGTGTCAGGGTTAGGACCGCCAATCTTAAACAACTCCATAAGATCGTGAAATTGGCCATGGATATCACCGCACACCGTCACTGGGCATTTCTGGCAGAAGAGGGGTTAGCTTCGTTCGTCGGTTCTGAGGCGACGGAGTGGACATACGACTGGTTGCACATTGGACTCGTCCTGCAAGACTTCCCGCGCCTGTAATGAATGTCAGAAACTTGTTCCCCCCTGGTCACGCGAGAGGGGCGATTTAGTGATGAGGGGAGGGCACAAAGGCTGCATCGAAGGCAGCTATGACGACAGCTGCCCAAGCATTGCGACCATCCGTCATCGATGGCAGAACATTACTGACCTTCTCGCAAAGTCTCTGAACGTCAGCCTCAACAAGCTGCTTGCAGTTCATAAGGCTCTCGATCCAGCCATCTAGGGTCGGGATCGTGGTAGGCTCGAGGTTCTGGGTGGAGGGCAGATCGGTGGGAACACGCCCGACATCCTCCATGTTCGTATCCATGCTGAAAAGTCGTCTAGGGTGTCGTAAATTTTGATTGAAAGGTAGATTCGTCGGTCGAAAGGAGCGGCAGAGGGTTTAGAGAAAGGGCAGGCGTGTCGTCGTCGTCGTGTCGAGGGGGAAGAATGACGTTGTTTTCAACAACCGGTCGCGGTCTTCAGATTAGCACAGCACCTCAATCCAGTAACGTGGGGCTGGCGGCGAATCGTCAAAGGCGGTCAGAGCTTCGTCTGAGGCCAGATAGGGACGCAATGGAGCGTTCGGCGCAGGGGAGCTAGACGAGGGATGCGTTCGCACAAGGCGGGGCGAAGCGGGATTATAATCTCTGATGCGGGAGTCTGAGGAGGGCGTTGATGTTGGGCGCTGGGGATTTTTGCAAGGTGGGAGATGGTGCAGGTGCAGGTGCGGCGGGTGTGGTGCGTGGGAGGTACGGATGGGATGTACTGCTTTGCTTAGTTTGCTTTGCTTTGCTGGTTGCAGCAGCAAGGCCAGACCGGGGCAGGAGGGGACGACACCACGGCAGGCAGGCAGATGGCGAAGAAATTACCTGGGACGTCCAGGTCCCAGTCTGGCCTCGCTTAATCCGATACTGAGGCAAGCCTCGTCTCCCTTTTTCAGCACACCCAGTTCCCTGTACCTCTGCCCATCTGAAAGTACCTACACTAGCAAAAGTACTGTGATCGGCTTCCAGCTCATGGCCATAGTCCAATTATTATTCACGCTGACTAAGAAAATTGTCCCGTTCTTCATTCTCACCATCCTTCTCATCGTCCTCAAGCTACTATATAGGCCAAGGCGCTCTCTTATACATACATATATACATCATGTCGGCGACAAACGCCGTCGCATGTAAACAGGCATTTGGGAGGGTGGATTCGAGTCAGCCTCAAGTGGCCCAAGGAACGAACCATGGCACATGCCAGTGACAGTGGCATCTCCGTCATTACAACTCCAATGTCTTGCTCTCATTTACATTGGCTCCACGACAAACATACACTAATACCAAATCTTCAGCGCATCAGTCATTCAATTTAACTCAACAATAAAAGGTAGAAACCGCTAGCCATGTCAACAACCTGGGTTTGAGGGTGTCACTTCAACTTTCGAGCATCCCAGTGCTTCCTGCCGTAAATCTATGTCAATCCGAGACCAATGGGACTAGCGGCCTCGGATGTGTTGTCCAAGTCCTTGCCGACAACATTACGGAAATCCAATTGCACGTCGTTGAGCATCTTGGCGTGTTCATGGGCCCGCTCCATGCAATCGTTCCAGACCTTGCCGCCACGTTCGGTGCCACTGAGTTGTCGGGCGAGGATGGCATTGAATACCTCGACTTCCTCTTTGGCCCATTTGACGCAGGCACTCATCATCGGTGGCGGGAAGCATGCCGTAAAGCAGCTTACAGTATTGCGTATGAGTGAGAAGTAGACAAATGAAATTTCCCAGATGTACTGGTGTAAATCTCCCTGAAAGATGCATTGCCTGGCAACTGGGTTAGAAAACACTCAGAATCCAGCAGTGGGATTGTCTTACCTAGATCGCTTCTGGATAATATCGTGCCTGGCCAGCAAGTAGGCCTCGCGGGCTCTGTCCTCGTATCCAAGCCTGGCTAACCAGCTGATGTTGCGCTTGTTCTTCGTCGGCGCGTTGTGCGTCGTCTCAAGTTCGCGGATAATCATGCCTGCTAGCTTAGCGCATCGCTCTTCGACCTTAAAGCTGATGAAATCCTGTGCCACTGTGTTGTTCTTCAACCCTCGGGCGAGGTTCTTGAGTTTCTCGACACGGCCCACAGCTGGTTCAAAGTTTTGAAGCGCAATGTCAATGTCCAGCTCGTCCATCTGGCTCTCCACCCAACGCAGATTTTGCTGCTTTCCGTCCACATCTATAAGCATATCCTTAATGTCGGACAGTGTTTCCAAGAGCTCTGTCTTCTGAAGCAAGCCGGGGTCTCGAGAGGCGAAGTAGTTGATCGTCTCCTTGGCTTTGTTGTTCGCTTCCAGTTCCGACTGACGCTCCTTCCGCAGCTCTTCCACTGCCTTACGAATGTTGAGTAGCAGACTGTTCTTCTCAGTATCTTCGGGCTTCTCCGTCCGGTAAATGACTGATTCCTGGCCAACGCCACGGACCATGATGGCGTCTGCCAGCTTGTTCCGAGTCGTCGAAGAATCGCTTGAACCCGCCATGTCCACCACTTCAACATCAAGCAGGGGCCAACATCTGTCGGCAACCAACTTCACGAGTGGTCCTGTCGCCTCCCGAGGAGGAACATCGGCCTTTCTCTTCTTGCGTGACGCAATCAGCAGGTGGTCGTTTAAAAGGAATATCTGCATGGCCCGGCGGGACTTGTAAGTGGCGTTGTCCAATTCAATCCATGCTCCGGCATTCTGGATTACATGGCGAGTAGCAGAATTGGGCAAGAACTTTTGCGATCCCTCAACATTCTTGTACAGCGCTTGCATTTGCGAGTTCCAAAGAGCGCTTCGGTCAGCGACCGAGCTGCGCTTATCTCTCTTGCTCATGCCCGTCGAGAGTTCTCCGCCGAGGCCAGAAGGCTCGTTGTTATTGTTGCTGGAAGCTTGACGCAGCGCCGTTGTGTTTACTTTGAGGTCCGTCATTAGATTCTTCAAAGCTCGCATCTCGCCCTTGAGCTTCTCGGCTTCTTTGCTGATCTTGATGAACTGAGTTCGATTCTGCATGACATTTTGTTGAAGGTCTGCGTTGGCTCGGCTTTTAAGGCCGCGTAAGTTGTCCTCGAATTCGCGAATCTGGTCCTCGGAGGCTTCGCTGAGCAAGCTGGCAACGTCTATGGTGTCCAAGTTAGCTGCATACAGGAGAGATCGAGGATTATTAGAACTGACATTGATCGGGGACTAAGTTGGGGTCCCGCAAAGCCTTGACATCTACGACAGGAGCGGGGGCTGCATCACTCCCTCGGCTGGGAGGCGGTCGCACTCTGCGTTGACGGGATTCGTACTTATCGAGGGATGGCATGGCAGGAACCGGCGGATTATTCACATCGAAGTCACTCGGCAGGTTATTAAACCGCGTCGAGTATCGTCGCTTTACCAAATCTGAAGTCTGCACATCATATAGTCAGCCTTTGGGTTTCATCTCGAGCTCCCGCTCATCTATCCATCCAGCCATCCTTGGAGAGCTTGAGGTTCTTGTTCACCTTGGATCCGCCTCCAGCCTGCGGCGGCGGACGAAGTCGAGGTTGCGCCTGAGGAGGTCCCGCATCGGCCATCGGCCTCGAGCCGGGAGGCCGTACCGGACCAGATCCATCTTGCAGAATGGGCTCCGAGATCTGACGTGGTGCACTAATCTGAGGGCGGCCTTTCCTCTTGCCGCTTCTCAGCGAGATCTTGCTCCTCTCCCGATCCTCCGACATGTTGGGCGACCGATTGCTGTATTAGAACTTGGATATCTGTCGTGTCCAGCAATGTAAATTGAGCGTCGAGAGATTGCACGCAGCAGACGACACGAGAACCACCCCTCGTGAGGACGTCGGCTGGGTTGATGTTGTTTCATGCACCCTTGGTGGAATGGGAAGCTGCCATGCCGGTGCTGTGGCCGTTTGGAAGGTGGGACCCCTGCACATTAGAATGGGCGGGCGGGACAGTGCACTGAAGCGCCCATCCCGCTACGTAACCTTTACAGCAGTGGACAGGACTCAGCCAGCACACAATTCCTTCAAAGATGGTACCTCTAGTGTAAACCACTAGACCACCACGCTGGTAGCAGCTGTCGAATCGATACGTAGTCCTGGCCCGTGCCCTGTCCCACCCGGCAGCGCTTGGCAAGGAACGCGACCTGGGAACGACACTGGATGGCGCAGAGGCTAAAAAAAATTGGTAGAGAGAGCTCCATCAATTCCCGATAGAGCTTCTCTCCTTCGATATTCACTCCGTCAACGAAGAAACCTCGCCAGTCTCTCCGGTCCCCCGAATCATCCAACCCTCAGCGCAGCATCAACAGTCGAGCGCCCTCTCGCCTAATTATCGTTCTTGATTCTACCTTTTGCTGCATAAAACAGCTTTCTCGTCCGCTTCAAAACAATTCAGTATGGCCCAACAGACATCGACGATAGTGACGGCATCAGTCGCCGCCGCCGTTACCGGCTTGTTTGGTGAGTTGCGTTGCCAACTTCATGCGCCAGTCAACTCGGAGCACTTGAATACATGAATTCATGATGGTGCACGGTAGGATTGGCGATAGGGGAAGCTTCATTGCTGATTACTGCTTAAACAGCCTACGCCGTTTACTTCGATTACCAGCGCCGCAACAAGGCTGAGTTCCGGAGAGAGCTGCGCCGGAACGAGCGCCGACAGCACAAGGCCGAGAAGGAGGAGGCCGCACAGGAGACTGTCCGTCAGCGACAAGCAATCAAGCAGGCCGTCGACGACGCCAAGGCCGAGGGCTTCCCCGAAGACGTCGAGTCCAGAGAGGCTTTCTTCCTGCAGCAGGTTTCCGAGGGAGAGACTCTTTCCTCAGACCGTTAGTCAACCCTTTATTGCATCTTTTCTTCCAAAAAGCGCACATTTCGTCCCCATTCTGGAAGTAGTCTTCTTTACTGACGTATGTTGGATTGCAGCCTTGCGCACCGTTGATGCTGCGTTGGCGTTCTACAAGGGCCTGAAGGTCTACCCTACCCCCGGTGACCTGATTGGCATTTACGACAAGACCGTCCCCAAGGTAAGCCGACGCACGACTTGTTCATGAACCCGCAAGAGCTAATCCCTATGCAGCCCGTCCTTGACGTCCTTGCCGAGATGATCGCCTACGACTCTACTCTCAACATCGGCCAGTACACCGGTGGTGTCAACGCCAACCTTGGTGACATGCCCACCGTTGGCCTGGACTAGAAGAACTTCGCCCGACCTCTGTGGCAACCCTATTGAATCCCCTCCACTCTCTCCCCCGACAACACCGACTGGCAATCTTTTTGATGAACCAAAAGAGACCAGCAACCATTCCACGAATGGCGTGATGCTGTTCAACACCCAATCTCACCCGTAATCCCCCTTACCACCACCATCATTCTGCGAAGAGAAAAAGAGGGTTCACGACTTTTTCAATGTACAATACTCTGGCCGGCTGGGCTGTTTTGATAGAAGGTTTTGTAAGAGGAAACCACGTGTATATTGACAATCCTGGCAGGAAGATTAGGCGAGAAGGTTCACGAAATCCCACAATTTCATAATCACTGTGCCTGTGCCAACAAGCATGCGTGTGCGGCTAGTTTTTTTTTTGGATTTGTTTTTCCCCATGTAGTCTTTGTTTCGTCCTTGCGGAACCGCTTAACCTTGGTTTATTACTACCCCTCAGCTAGCCTCGATTTTCCTGCCCTTCCTGTCGACTCTCTCGTCTCTGGGGTCGAAACCGCCATTGCCCCATTCCGCCCACTCAGGTGTTGCCTCGCCCATGTAATCTTCGGGCTTCCAATCTCCATCAGGCCCACGTTCTTCTAGCAATTCAAAGAACTTTTGGTAGTCGATTCGGGGATGCCATTTGCCATCGACATAGAACCGTTCGCTGGCAAGCAGGACGCAGCAGCTGTGAGCGTGCTCCGCCGCGATGCCGTACTTCAGGCCCTTCTCGTTAAGTCTCTTTTCGAGAGCCTTGACAAAGTCTGCAACTTCCCAGTAGAAGGGAACGTTGGACATGCTCAGACCGGCGTTGGACGCGGTAGATGTCCCGCAGTATGTGACACCCTTGATCTCAACGAAGCAGGGCAAGCCCTTCTCGACCAGCTGGGCGTAGCCCTCAACCTCGTCATCGACGTTGAAGCCCTTAACAAGTGTAAGACGAAAGACGGTACGATGCTTGAAACGCTTCTCCCTTAGGATATCCAGGCATCTCTGGAACCTCTCCCAGAAGTCTCGGTGCAGGGGTCGGTCAATTTTTCTTAACGATTCCTTATTTGATGCGTCGATGGAAACGTAGAGCTGCGTCACAGCCTTGAGAGCAGCAAGCTGATCAGGATGCTGGGCGTTGCAGACCAAGAAAGATGAAATACGCTCAGCATGGAGCATGCCGAGGAACTCGTTGATGTAGGGGTAAAAGATCGGCTCTCCCACAAGCGAGAGAGCGCAGTGACGGATGCGCATTGCCTCCGCAAATCTCTCAGCCCTGACGCCAGGAACGCCGCGAAGCATTTTGATCTTGTTGTAATGATTCGCCTTGACACCGTCAAAGATGAGCTCAGGAGGGTCGACAACCCAGCGCCAGGTAGTGCCGACGGGGTTTGTACCGTGGCGCCAGCAAAAGACACACTTGTTTGAACACGACAGCGAAGGGGTTGTTTCCATACACTGATGCGAATTGATGCCATAAAACGAATATTTGTAGCACGATCCGCGACCGCGGAGCGCGGACTTTGTCCATCGGCAGATCTTGACGCCCGAGTGCGAGCCAACGATGGAATAGCCCTGCTTTGTGAGCGAAGCGTAGGTAGGTGAGTTCTTGGGGACCATCTCCTTGGCGCCTTGCGTCGGCGTCTTCTTGGGTGCGGTGGAAGACTTTCCATAGGTTGTAAAATCAACAGCGATGGGCGTCGCGCGGGAGGATGTGTCGGTATCCGGGTTCGAGCTTTTCATGATGCGGCCTAGGTCCTCTACATCATCGATGTTTTTGCGACTCTTGAGCTTCTCAGGCTTTGCCTCCGAGTCTTCAATGAGGACCTCGTCATCATCTTCTGCCGCGGATTCGTCGTCGCTTTCCTCAGGTGCACCGCTTCCTGGGAGACCCTCGCCTAAGCTGCCAGTCTTAGCCAACATGCTGAGCACATCTACAACGCCCTCAGACCATTCGGACAATCTCTCGGCGTAATCCTTCTTCGTGTCACCCATACCGACCGGGAAAGCCCTCTTACGACCTGTGAGCTTGGCCATCCATTTATCAACTTCTTTGGCTTGGAAACAGAAACCTTCTTCCTCTGTCGGCCAGTTTTCCCTGTCTCCAAAACCGAAGACGGAATATCCAAGTAGTGGGGCCAGAGGTGCAGTATCGATGCGGAAGTCATGGTGCGTCTCTTGGAGATGCTCCAGAAAGGTATCGTTAATTGTATCGATGTTGTAGCTGGGCAGCAAGAAGAGATAGAAGAGCTCAACCGGCTCCTCGGACTTGGGCGGGGTGATGAAGTAGTCGTCAAAGTCAGTCTCAGCCAAATCCAGTACCTCGGGTGTCAGGAATGAGCATCCAGTGTCTGCAGCGATGGTCTGCAGTTCCTTATCCAAGCGCTCGGCGTAATCTTTTGCAATCTTGGGCGTGTTGGCAGTAATACTCGAAAAGAAAATCAAAGGCCGTATCTTCCGCGCAAGAGACTCCCCATTCTTGAGCTCTTCAGAGGGCCGTTTGACCAGGCCGCCCTTTATCCTCTTTGGACCATTCGGCTTGGGTGCCTTCGATTCGATAGCAGGGCTCAGTTTCGCTTCATTTTTCTCTTCGACCGGCTTGGGCTTCGATTTCAACGCAGGCTTCGACTCGGGCTTCTCGGTTTTATAAGCCTTAGGGAACGCCTTTAACTCTTCTTTAGTCTCCGTGCTGTGGAGGTAGAAACGAAGAATGAGCAGTCCAAAAGCCGTAAAAAGGATGACGGGAATTCGAATTTGCTGCCATGCATCGTGGGCGTCTACGTGCACAAAGGGAGTCAAATGTTAGCGCAAATACACACAGGTAACGGCGACGCGACAAGAGAAATTTCCCCTGCTTACCATTTAGCATAGACCTGAGGCCCAGGTGGTCAAAAGGGAGCGCCATCGTGACCCGAGGGACTAAAGTGCAGCAATGCTCAAGAACAAGCCTTCGAGCTGCTGTGTCACACTTCGGAGGAGGTGTGAAGGTTCGAATCGCATACGGTGGCGGGGTGTGGATTATCGAGGGACCATGCAGCCAGTGGGTGCGACTGGAATTGCAATTATTATTGAAAGTTTCCCAGCGCCTGGACTAGAACCGTGGTGGTGCCCCGCAAGAGAATTTTGGAGGGTGCTGCACCTCATCAACCCCGCCATTAGCGTCTTTTAGAGCCCCTGCCCAATCCGAATTTTGTCAGATATCCTGCGCCGCATCTCAAAGAACCATCGCCATCGCCAGCCGGTCTTTAGAGAGTCTTAGCCAGTTCTTCTGACTGTGAATCACATGGATTTGTAACTGTCTTATCTATATATGTACAGGGATTAAAATGCCTTTCTTCATGGTTTTCCGAATTATACTCTACGATCAGATCCAGCTTGCGCTTGCTTTTCTCTTATATCTTTCAAACAGGGAGCAAAGAAGATTTCCCCGGAAATAGCTTGATGAAGCGTTCTGATTGCTACTAGCAGCCACAAAAGGCAGACGGAAATAGAAAATATCTAGAATGCGGTGAGCATCTCCAAAGACTTGGGAGCAAAGCGATACGAACGTACCATTGTTGTGACTCTAAAGAAGGTGCTGTCAAGGTCCTGCGCAAGCATGCCTGTACATGTAGCCATCACACCAAGCGGAAACGTGAAGCCCCACCAGCCCATATTGAAAGGGAATTTTTGCATAGTCGCGATGCTGATGAGGGCGAAAGACAACCACACCAACGCGAATCCCCACATGATGAGGGCAAGAAAGATACCCAGGAAATAGAGCACCTCCCCACCATGAATGGCACCAGGCGCAATGGTGTTGAATGCTGACATCTGGGGTAGCAACTTTCGAGCTACTTTTCCAAGCTGTTGAATGCCAAAGCCGCCCTGACCCAAAGGACCGATAGGGAGAAATACCGAGACAATGGCCTCCTTTGATGGAAGGCTATGGATGGTAAGGCGATGGAAGTACAAGGCAAGAACCATGCCCGAAAAACAGATTCCAATACCCCAGAGTATGTAAGATGTGATGAGCGTAATGAAGGCGTGATCTGGGTTAGAGAGAGCCTCTGCGACGATACCACCTGTCGATGATGCAACAACAGTTGGAACAATTGGAAGAAGGCTGGCAGCAGTAACTGCTTGCAACCCTGGGCGGTGTTGGTGAATCCTTGATAGCTGCTGTTAGAATATAACACGACAGGTAAAATAGTCGACTTACATGACAAATGGCACTGTTATGCATGTTGCCAAGGACAGAGCAGCATCCAGCCACCAGAACCCCCAGGCCCAGAAAACAACCCAATCACCCCAAGCTGGAACGCAAACAAAAACCATCATGTTGATGATTGCTGTTAAAATTATCAACCCATCATATACCTGTATAAGCCTCAAAAACTGGCAACTTACTTGCAAACCCCATAGGAAAACATCCAAGAAACATTGACTGGGCAGGATGAATGACCATTGCCCTCCATATTTCCGGGTAAAGGGCGTAGCGTAGTAAAGTGATGACCGTAAAAACAGTGAACAAAGTGATGTTGAGAACAAAAAAGGCAATGGCTAAGCCGTGTGATATCCAGTTTGCGTTGTAAGGCAAGTTGTGGAGGAGGATTGACACTATTCCAGTTCCCATTGTGACTGCGAACCATCTGGGAGGGTAAGATGTCTATAACTAATAGAGGAGTTCTGTTTTTGACCTACGAAGGTGTGAAGTTTCTCACAATCTTTCTCCAACCAACATTCTCTTTACAGGGGGTACACGGTGGTGACTGAACTTTACTCAACTGTTCAAATGTCTCTGGGGTTGTTGCATGTACTTGCTGAGGCTCTGATTCGACAGTGCTGGTAGTGTTAGCAGTCGCCATAGCGCCGAGTCAGTTCTATTTCGCAAAAATAATTATATAAAACGTCAACTGCAATGAAAACAAATATCCAATAAATCTATGTTGCGGTCCTGGTCAAGCTACGAGAAATCAAGAAGAAAAAAAAATATTGGGCTTTGGTGGCGCATTTCTTTCCCGGTAGCTGAGGTGAGCCATCCTTTACTGTGAGTAATACAGACGAACCATTTCCGGAAGCACGCCCCACCATATCCGCTTATTTGACTTCCATGCGTTGCAGCTATCGGTCAGCACCTAGAAAACGGGAACAGCACGGTGAAATGAAGTCGGGTCATTGGAAGAAAAATGATGCAGTCGCACCCACACAAATCGCCATCAAGTTGAGAAGACCAGACGCCTGGTGACCGGACTTGCAGTTTTCAATTAAGTAGATCTTGACGCCGCGAAACTCTAACAAGACCTATCCTGTATTATGTGAGATCATCTGACCACTGGAGCGTCGGGGCCGCCCGCCGCCTATTGCCGGCTTTGCAAGGATCCCTCAACAAAGATTGATTGTTTATCTCGTCCAACCAGAAACCCCCCTTTTTTGGGGAACCATCCACCAACGACAATATGCTCGCCGACCAAAGTTTGCCCGCAGCGCCAGTAATGTATACGCACTCCCTGTCTCAGGCAAGATATGCGTCTGACGGGCGACCCACCGTCCGAGGTCGGAACAACCAGTAGTCCCGTGAGTCCCGCTTGTTTCCATCAGGTAATTCAAGTCTGTCCTTATGACCGACCGGGACAGAAATCGTATCATAGAGAATACTGGAACCCCGCACACTTGAGCATCCCAAGAACAATCAATCATTCCAAGCAGCGAAGAGTACCATAGAATCCTCATCCATAGCCATGGCCCTCGACATCCTGACGAAGATCACCTCTGCCTTCGGGCACGATCTCAAGAGCGATAGCAACCGATTTGACGAGCTCGTGTTGGCGTTAAAGGAGGCACTAGGTCCATCGTCGGGATTGGACTCGGCAGACGTTGATGTCAAGGAGTTGATGCGTTTGATGGAGGATTACAACTCTAGAGAGAGTGAATGGATCCAGTTTGCATTCTCGGAGAAGAGTATGGGATACACCAGGAATCTTGTCGATGAGGGCAACGGCAAGAGCAACCTTGTGAGTAGACACGCCACGACTTCATGGCTGACAACTCCAACGCTGACATCCGTCTAGCTTGTACTTGTCTGGTCGCCAGGCAAGGGCAGTCCTATTCACGACCACGGCAATGCCCACTGCTTGATGAAGATCCTCAAGGGTGACCTGACTGAAATCCGATATGAATTTCCCGAGGGTGAAGAAGAGCAGCCCATGAGAGTAATCTCTGAAAGAACACATAAAGAGAATGCGGTGGCATACATGGCGGACGAACTTGGCGTCCACCGAGTTTGCAACAGGGGCAGCGACTTCGCTGTATCCCTTCACCGTAGGTGTTGATTTAGGATCCTTGATGCGACAACTTTGCTGATCAAATCCGTAGTGTACACGCCGCCCAACGTCGCCAAGGGAGGGTGCAACATCTTCAACGAGAAGACGAGCAAGAGCAGCCATGTAGCTAAGTGTGGCTACTACTCAGCGTACGGCCGTCGACTACCGAAGCAGTGAGAGATAGGAACCGGGTGGTGTTCGATTTCGTTTTGAGCGTTTGCGTTTCCTATATTGCTTTTCAATGAGGGCTCAGACTTGGGTCATCCTGTTTGATATACCACCAACCATGCCGACAGCCGAGAAGCGCTTGTCGGCTGGCTGATGACTGATGAGAGTATGATGGCTCTATCCAACTCTTAGTGGATAGGGCCCGACGAGTAGCTCAACCTGCCGCATTTTAGTGAGATTTCGGGGTACCATAAGATAGCAAATTCAATAACAGATTGCCTGAGACGCAAAAATGAAGTTGAAAGAAGTTGTGGAAAGTGCAAGAGCCGCAAGACGTCGTCGTTGGCTAGAAACCACCCATACGGGCCTTCGAGACAGGTCACGTGAGATGTCGTGATTTTGCAACTGGTGGTGATTGGCTCGGTTGACTCTTCCCCACGATGGCGTGCTCGAGGATATGGGTCACAGGTTGGTTGATGTCTTCCGTGGCTCAAGTGCCCACCAGCCACATACTCAAGCCACAAAACCAAACCCCTGCTACCCAGATACAAGAGATACGCGAGACGCGTTGTCGCATCTGGACCTTCTGGATGAGGTTCCGTCTTGCTGGGAGACATCTGATTTGGGGATTTTCGGTACCGACCTATTAGTCTGGTCAATCTGACCACTTTCCCAATTTGTTTCATTATTACCCAAACCAATCCCAACTGGGTCGGTCACTAACACAAGGCCCAGACAGTGAAAGATGCCACCAAAGAAGCGTGCCCTTGATGTCATCGACCTCGTTAGTAGCGACGGCGAAGAGTCACCAGCGCCACGGCCTAACAAGAGGGTATCTGGAAACCGAACTGCACCTTTGGGGCAAACTAGTGCCCGTACTGCCGGGAGAACGCCATCTTTCACCCAGCGCTCGGCTAATTCGAGCGGAGCCGCAGCTGCCTCATCTCAAAGCGGAACATTCTATGATCGGGAGAATGATGATCATTTAATTGACCTTACTCAAGCCCCCGATGGCCCGCAAAGAGAGCTTTATGGAAACCTCGGTATGAAACTCGAGCCTGTTTTTCTTTACTTTCTTATCCTTAATATTGCATTAAGTTTACCCATGGCCTATCTAATTAAACGACTTAGATACGAAGATCGTGGGAGTGCGTTATTACGATGGCTACGCATCGCAGGGCGAGGTTGTAGTTTGTTTGCGGGAGCCCAGCAACCCGGTATAACAAAACACCCTCGTGTTGAACACTCAAATAATGCAAGTTCTAACATTTTACAGTATGATGGAAATGCTATTCGGGTTTGCAATGTTATGGGTGTCCAAATTGGCCACATACCGCGCAAAGTAGCTGAGAAGCTGGCGCCATACGTCGTAAGTGGTCAGCCTAGCTTTTCGAATTCCATATTTAGAATTCTTTAGGACAATGATGAGGTTGCCTTGGAAGGAACTCTTACCGGGGAAAAGGGCTTTTACGACTGTCCTGTCCGTCTGCATATCTTTGGGACAAGTAATCGTGTGGACCGGCTACAGCTGGAGGACAAGCTAAAGAAAGACAAACTGCTGAAGGCTACCGAGCTTAAAAAGACGCGGGCTGAGGCTGAAGCACAGAGAAAGATGCTTGGCATCAAGAACACGCAGTCGACAGTTGGTCTCAATGGAGCCGAGGCTGAGCCTGAAGTGTCTCTTGAGGACTTGGTGCGAGCCAGTCAAGCGACGCAGAATCACACCCGTGGAGACGCTGTCAAGTCGCTCGTTATGGACGAGGATGCATTGGCTGCCATGCCAATTGCAGAACAACCCGTCATGCTCGAGTCTTTGCTTCTGCCATATCAGCTGCAGGTGAGACTGCATTTCATCTGCGCCGGTATTTCGATTGTACTAATTTTAGCATAGGGCCTGGCCTGGATGATGTCCAAGGAGAATCCCCAGCCGCCACCGAAGGGTTCTTCGGAGAGCGTCCAGCTGTGGAGATGGCAACAGAACGGCCGTGGCATGTACAACATAGCAACCAATTTTCACGTGCAGAATCAACCGAAACTCCTTTCCGGCGGTATTTTGGCTGACGATATGGGTCTTGGCAAGACTCTTCAAGTCATCAGCCTTATCTTAACTGGTGGTCCCGGCACCACCCTCATTGTGGCTCCGTTGAGCGTTATGAGTAACTGGGACCAACAAATGGGCAGGCATGTCAAGAAGGAGCACCTTCCCGGCATATTCACGTATCACGGAAATAACAAAGCGAGCAAATCTCAGCTGGCAAAGTACCAGGTGGTCATCACCAGCTACAATACTCTTGCTACAGAGGCATTGAAAGAGGGACAGTCTGCTGCTTCGCCACTCATGACCATGAACTGGAGACGGGTTGTACTTGATGAAGGGCATACTATCCGAAATGCAAAAACAAAGGCCGCCCAGGCTGCCACTAAGCTTACAGCGCAATCCCGATGGGTTCTGACAGGAACTCCAATGTCAGTAGCTCCATTTGTCCAAAACATTGATCAGACAGCATCCCAGCTAACCCTGTACAGCATCAACAACATAAAAGATTTTCAGTCTTTGCTTCAATTCCTTGCGATCACCGGAGGTGTCGAGCAACCAGTCATCTTCAACACCGTCATTGCTCGTCCCCTTGCCCATGGTGACGAAACCGCTGAAGCTCTTTTGCAGCTGCTGATGCGAGACCTCTGCTTGCGACGCAAGAAGGACATGAAGTTCGTCGATCTAAAGCTGCCGCCGAAGAAGGAATATGTACACCGCATTCAATTTAGGCCAGACGAGAAGAGTAAATATGAGGCACTGCTGTGGGTGTTTCGGTCAAACCCTCATTGTGCTGGGCTAACTGTGCCTCTAGAAACGAAGCAAAAGGGGCCCTTGAGGATTATCAGAACAAGGCGAAAGGAGGCAAGGGACAATTTCAAAGCGTCTTGGAGCGGCTCCTTCGGCTACGACAAGTGTAAGATTGTCTCCATGTAAAGCAGACACGCATGCTTATATAAAACTAGGTGCAACCACTGGACACTTTGCCGTCAAAGGATTGATGACCTACTTAAAGTTCTCGAAGATCAATCGGTTGTCGTTCTCAACGCAAAGAACAAAGAGATCCTACAGGAGGCACTACGTCTCTACATTGAGACGCAGGAGGACTGCGCGGTCTGTCTCGACACTCTAAACAGCCCCGTGATCACACACTGCAAGCACGTTTTTTGCCGTGGCTGTATTTCCAAAGTTATCCAGACACAACACAAATGTCCCATGTGCCGCAACCAACTTGAGGAGGAGTCCCTCCTTGAACCGGCTCCCGAAGCTGGCGAAGAGGCAAACGAGGACTTCGACGCAGATGCGAAGAGCTCCAAGACGGAGGCCCTCGTGAAGATTGTCCAAGCGACAACAAGGGATCCCAAGTCCAAGATCATAATTTTTTCGCAATGGACATCATTTCTCAACATCATCCAGAACCAAATCGCTGAGGCGGGATTTAAATTCTGCCGCATCGACGGCTCCATGACTGCGACCAAACGTGACGCTGCTATAGAAGCCTTGGACCATGATCCTGACACGCGTGTCATGCTCGCTAGTCTAGCTGTGTGCAGTGTAGGTCTCAATCTTGTGTCGGCGGATACCGTCATACTTGCGGACAGCTGGTGGGCGCCGGCTATCGAGGATCAGGCAATCGACCGTGTGCACCGCCTGGGCCAAAAACGGCCGACAACCGTGTGGCGACTCGTCATGGAAGGGACGGTCGAGGAGCGCGTGCTTGACATCCAGGAAGAGAAGCGAACCCTTGTGGGTAAGGCGTTTCAGGAGAAGAACAAGGGGAAAAAGACGCAGGAGACCCGAATGGCAGATATTCAAAAGTTGCTTGCTTGACCAGCGTTAATGGGAAATGAGCAATGGAGTTCCGAGAGTGGTGTAAGGAAAAGTAATCGTTTAGCATGGATCGTTCTGGGGATGCCAAACTTGCAGCCACTATTAAGCATGCCCACAACCTGTAGATGACATTGCCCACAAAGGGACGCATATGGCCAGACGGCCCTGTATCAATATATCATACTTTACTATGGTCTGTCTCTGGAATCACTCAACAGATACCGTCCATCAAGGCAACAAATAGCCGGGAATAGGCACTTCAGATACTCAGGGATTATTGGCTCACATGCCACTCTTCACTTAATCTCTTCGTGTTTTGTTATATTCCATTTTGGATAATGTCCATGGTTGTAAAGACATAACGCTGCCCAAGAAGCCCATCGACGTCTTTATTCGCAGCAGGAAGGAGAATTCCTCTCCTTACAGAACAGCCTGATTGTATTATCAGGTCCGAATAACATGTGAGTGTGTGGCATTGCAGACAGGCAGACCTTGGTAGCCTAGCTTATCTTCGTCACCCACCAGCACGAAGACATCACGGAGGAGACGAATTACAATCAAAAACGAAAAGCAAAAACATACAACACCAGGTATTCGCTGGTCGTCACCGACCCAACTACTAATCCGGCCCTCATGAAGTCTTATCTATGAAAGCCTTGACATCCTGTTTTCGAGGACTTGCACTTCCATCATCGGAAGGCAAAGGTCCCTTCCCCACTTCGCAGCATCAAGTAAGTCCTTGCCAAAACGGTGTCCCTCCGTTTTCCCTATTCGGGTGTACAGCTCTCCACGGCCGGAAAATTCAAGCAATCTAATAGGCCAGAGGTGCAGAGAAAGGAAAGACGAGGTCCTGAGCCAACACCACCACTGGAGGTTAGACTGCCGCGGGAAAGCGGGAAAGCCGCCTCCATATATGTATCCTGCAACCTCTACGGACTCTCCGACCCTGGTTCTTCTATTAACACGCCTTACAGGAACCGTGTCCGCCACCATCTATAATTCCATCAACCGTCGTTCGTCTTGTATACCTTTGGCCGACCGCAAAACTATAAGAAGAAGAAATAAGCTCTTCCATGAGACTCACCATGTTCAACCCTACCACCGTCGCCCATCTTTCAGCTCTCACTCTCGCCCTCACCCAACACGCACCCACCAATACTCGAAACAGCCCTCGCGCCTCGTACAGGATCGCTCTATTCGACAGTCAGTGGCGTGAGACAGGCAATCCCAGCTCCAGCTTCGTGAAGTTGTATGCCTTCGCAAAGCATTTCCCATCAGCTTTGCTACTATGAGTCATGGATAATTATCGGAAGCTGAAGAAGGCCTGCACCCAAATGAAAATCTAGTAAGGAGAACTAGAAAGGTTTATTAGCTGCTATGCCCTTTTCTTCTGTCTAAACTTTGAACTTTTCCTCACCAATCAAAATTTACTAACTTTTTTCCTACCTTCCCCTCTTAATCACATTGCATACCAACGCATCGGAAAGACAGCAATATTGCGCGGGCGTGCAAAGGTTGTTTCTAGAAGCAAGAATATACCGTGGCCAATGACGATAACACCTGAAAAGGTCTGAGGCTGGAGTCGGTACACTATCCCAGAGGGTTAGCCAAGGGCTAAGTGGGCTGCTTCTCCCCTCAGACAAGACACTATCCTCATCGCCAAAGCTCGGAAAGTCGTAACGCCCGTAGGCAATCATCATTGGGGGTCCTCACCTATGGAACCGGGGCAAGATATCCTATGGCCAATGATGATGACACCTGGAGAGGTCTGAGGCCGGAGTCGGTATACTATCCCAGAGGGTTAGCCAAGGGCTAAGTGGGCTACGTCTCCCCTCAGACGAGATACTGTCCTCATCGCCGAAGCTCGGAAAAAGTCGTAACAGCCTAAAGGCAATCATCATTGGGGGTCCTCACCTATGGAACCGGGGCAAGATATCCTATGGCCAATGATGATGACACCTGGAAAGGTCTGAGGCCAGCGTTGGACTGAGAAAGGTTGTCGGGTATAGCGATCAAGGATGGCTTCTGTTGTGGCCAAGTACCGGATCCAAACAGCCGGAATCAGCTCGGCTTCACGAGGAGGGGCATATAGGAAGAGGGATCAACTTCAAGTAACGGAGAATAAGATCGATAACGAGGAGAAGACGATGGACGATGGACGATGGACGATGGACGATGGACGATGGACGATGGACGATGGACGATGGACGATGGACGATGGACGATGGACGATGGACGATGGACGATGGGATTGAAGTGGGAAGATGAAGATGTCAGGGAGAGGCAACAATCACAAGCACCAGATAAGAAGCAGTCTTACTTATTTCCTAGACTTCCTGAATACAACTTCCCTCACATTGAAATGAAAAGCACGTCGATGCGGAAGGCCACGGGTGCAGTTCGGAAGGCCCCCATATTCACAGGCGCACCTGGAATCCTTCTATCCTCACATGAGCAGGAAGCGAGTCCTGCGAGAACCAAGTTGTGGCAGGGAAACATCTACGTAGGCAAGGACACATTACAACCCGATGCCAAAACGTGCTCTAGCTAACAAGAGCAAAGCCCTACCACGATCCTGCAACTTGGAGATAGCGCAGGCTTTTCCACCTTGGTCGGACCGCAGGCACATACGCTCGACGATAGCAGAAAAATCCTTCAAGAACAATGAGCCCAACGTGCGGGCCACTTCCAGGTTGACAAGACGGTGAGCAGGTACGACTGATGCTGGCTTCCTTCCGGACATGTCACTTAAAGCATCTTCCATCCGTTCACACCTCCTCTGAGCGAAGTGTAACCCCGGGAAAGGAATCAAGGACAGAGAGGCCTTACGGGTTGTCACGCAAGGTTTATGATATTCCCGTTGGGCCCTGGAAAGCCCCTCAGGGCCGTTCCTATGCAGGCAGATAAAGCTTGTGGGTGTCCAGGAGGCTACCTACCTTCACGAGCTCATTTGCTATGGGTCTTTCACACACCCGATCCCCGGTCTATTTGAGCAGGTATGAGGCACCTTGGACCACAACCATGCATTTGGCGACGTTCTCCCGAACCCCGTATCATCGCTTACAAAGGACGCCCCGGTGTATAGTCTATACTAAATCGCGTGTAACGCTATGGCAGACGGCCCCCGGGCAAAGGTAATCGATAATCAACGACTCGCAGTTAAACCCGAGAAGCCGTCACGCTTCACGAGCCCAGCATCTGGAAAATCCGGATCGCCTTTTGCGCGAGATCGACTTTCTCGGTTGTGGATCCCCCCTCGCTTTGCCGCCGGCAAAGCGGGAACGCCGCATCACCCTTTCGATTTCCATCTTTGCGTCTTAGTTGTTGGGGGTTCAGGTCGACCACTTGCTTCAGCTTTTTCAAGCACAGGCTGAATTGTTCCATTCCGCAGCGTGCCTTAGCCTCCCGGAACAAGCCTTATCCCGAGTTTTCCAGTAGGTATGGTCGTATGTGGTAGTATCACAAGTTAGAGTTGCTTATAAACAATCACAGTCCACAACATCACTGATACACACGTCCAGTGAGAAAAAACCACCGACGATTAGGTCCCCGCCTGAAAAGCGGATGCAACAAGGTAATTCAAAGCGCCCCTGGAGCTTTGCATAAAAGATACAGGAGAAAAGAAGCTACCGGATGGCTATACATGGTACACAACGCCGCACTGGAGACCATGAAGACTTCCGGCATCAGAGTCCGGACTGAAGAACTGTTGAGTTCAAGGGGCTTCACCATCGCCTGCGAAGTGATAACTTGGTCGCCGGATACGCAAGGGGTTGTCATGACTTATGCCCATTCTAGGGATGACGCTGCCTGGTAAGCCTAGGGTATAAGTGTTCGATATCACGACCACCATGTCGAGACATCCTAGTATATGCTTCTTCTGAGAGGGCGAAGTCATGTAGGCGAATGTTACTGTATCAAAGCCGGAATAGAAGCATCACGTTGATAAAAAACAAGCGAATAACCCTTAGCGATTGGTGTGAATTGGTTTTCCATTTGACCATTCTAGTCTTCGTAAACACCTCTAGGAAAACACAACAATGATGAAATTTGACAGGATGATCAAGTAGAGTTTAGGGTATCAGTGTGACATGGAGGACTCGACCATCCTACTCCTTTATACCTTTAACCCATAATAAAAAGCAGAGCCCATGCCCCATGATACGCCGTTTGTGAGGGATATAATAGTCGAGAATACCCCCTGAACAGTCTAGACGATTTTTTTTTAAAAAACAAAACAACAAGTAACAGAGGGCGCGAGGCGCTCTTCTGTCTTTACAAAAGGAAACAACATCCCTTCTCAGGCGGGACAAAGCCATGTCCTTCTCGTCCTTCTACATTTCTTTCAACTCTTTCCTCCGCGATTAAGCCCACTAGGCTTCAACCATCAACTGTTCACCCTCCTCCAATAACTCGGTAACCTTCTTCAAGTTGCCAATAAGACTCTTTCCGAGACCAACAAGGAGCAGCTTCTCCGCGTTGGCTGGCAGGCCGAGGTAAGTAGGCGGCTCACGCTCGGGCAACTTGTGGATCCATGCCATGAAATCCTGTAGGGAGGTACCTGAAGGCACTTCGAGGCTGCTCTCCTGACCCTCAGCACCTTCGACGAGCTTGTGCCCGACGTCATAGGCCGAAGGCGTCAGGAAGGAATGGACTAGCTCATTGAGCTGTTTGAAGTCGCCCTCGTTGTCAATCTTGCCACCGTAGGTTTCTGTGACAAGGTAACGGATCATCTCCCAAGGAATGCTCTGAGGGGCGATGTTTGTGCGGTTGCCGGCGGCGTTCTCGATCCAGGTATCAATGATAAATGCAGAGCATTCGTACTGGAATATGTTAGCATTGCTTCTATACCGAAAATGGGGCAGAGAGAACTTACGTCACTATCATTAAACTCCCAGAAGCCCTTCCAGCCAAGGCTGGGGGCGTAGCGAAGACGTTCTTGGACAACAGCGTGCAGGAAAGCGAGCAGCAAATAGAGTCTCGTGCGCTCGACAGGAGCCTTGGTGGACCTTGTGGACAGCGAGGACATGGAGTCCTTCATGTTGGCGCGCACGCCAGCGGGCTGCTCATACATGAGTACTCTGGAAGCGCGGAGCAGATTGACGGGTATCTTGGGACTTGACTCCATTGACAGGAACAACCTGAAGTCGGAGTGAGGGTTGAGCGACTCCATGCGCTTCTCCAGACTTTGCAACCAAGTGGGGGCAAGATGGACGTTCTTGACCAGGACCCAATTGCCGAGCTGTGCGGCATTGCTGATGGCCTTGTCGGCGCTCGCGAGTCCTTCGTTGGAGCCCATAGCAATGTTGGTGCACTTGACGCGCATTCTCTCAACGAGGTTGTCCACCTTGTAACTGGCGTCGAAGCCAGGGCTGGAGACCAGAGAGATAGGTCGGGTTGCAGGTACCTGACTGACAGTTTCCTTGAGATCCTCGACAACGTCGAAGATGTCTGTGCCAAAGACGAGGGTAACAAACCGCTCAGCTGCCGGAACAAATCTGTCGAGACGGAACAACTTGACGAGGAGCAAAGACTGCAACGCCTGGTCGAAAGGCTCGGCATTATCGTCCCAGATCTTCGGGACAAAGTTCTCTGCAAGCTCTTCCGAGAAGAACTTTTCCCACTGTTCAGGAGTGATGTGGTCAAGCTTGTCCTTGAGCACGTTCATACGAGCAGCCCGGGCACACGCCTCTTCTCTGGCATCCTTGTCTGTAGAGAGGTCCTTGCCCTCTACGCGGTCGTCAAGGATGATATCAATCAGAGTCTTGTCCATCTTGTAAGGCGAAGCCTGGGCGAGCAGCATAGCTAGCGTGATACGGTCCTTTTGAAGCAGGCCAAGAGCAGTTCGCCTGAATGTAGTGACGAAAAGATCTTTGACGATGATGTCTCGTCGGATGTTGTGATTGGTTTCATTGGCGAGGTTCTTGTTGCCGTGAAGGACGGAGTGGAAAATGTCGAGGAAGTATTGGAGCGAGAACTGGTAGAAGTGGTTGAGGTAATGAAGTTGCTCCAGTACAGCGAAGACAGTACTACAGGAGCGGGCAATGATACTGTACTGCTGTGTAATCTCCTCGACCTCGGCCATGACGCCCTCGGTATTGCTCATCTTGTCTGAAATCTCGGCGGCTTCTGTCTTCAGAGTCTCCAAGGTCTCGATGACGTTGTCGTCGTCAAGAATGTTACCGCGAGACTCGTTGAGAGCCTGCAGAAGACGTTTCTCCAACTGTCTGAGATGGATCTTGAACTCTCCCTGAAGCTTGATGAGGTTGGATCGTCGCTCATCAACATCCGGCCTCTCTGACTTGAGCACATCGTTAAGTGACTGGGTCTGGAGACTGCTCTGGGTGACTGTGAAGTTGACAAAGGTAGTACGAGAGCAGATGTCGGGAGGGAACGTTGCAGACGGGTCACGAGTCGACAGGTAGATCTTGAAGGAAGGCGAAAAGTCAATCTGCTGCTTGCCAAGCTGAATGAGAACACGTCCACCAGTCTTTTGATATTCCTTGTTCAAGACCTGGTTGAGAATAGGGTCGAGATACTCCGCATCTTGGATGAGAATGGGGTTGCCAAATCGCAGCGAACTCTCCAATTGCTTGGTAAAGGAATCGTCGAGGAAACTGGTGACAGTCAAGCGGCGTTCCTTGCTCTCCTTCTGCAAAAATTCGGTGACTCGGCCGGAAGGATCGATGATGAGAGGGTAACGGTTGAATCGCTTAAGGATGATGGCGTTCTCTGTGCAGAGGTCGTCCACAGGCAGACTGTTCTCCTGCCAGCTCAGCCGCTCATCGGCGGTTGACAGGTACTCAGTGACTGGGTTGTGAGGCTTGAATTGGACCCCAGAGAGCTGGAGCTGGTGCAGCCAGTCGTCCATCATCGACTTTCTAAAAGTCTGGTCATAAAGACCGCTGTAAGCCAAAAATGCGGCGGCAACAAGGACGTCGCCAACGAGGGTGCTAATTTGGGTCTCGAAAGACTTGCTGCCCTCTTCCCAACGGACTCTCTCAGAGGACAGACTGTCAAGCAGCTTGACACTGCGGTCGACCTTGAACTGAACCTTGGACATCTCAGTCTTGATGGCCTGGGTTTCGCTGATAAGAGCAGCGTACTCCGTCTTGTATTGGGCAATGCTGGACTCGAGAGTGCTAATGGTGTTCTCAACAGCCTTGGCCTCCGCCTTCGTTTGCAGAGCTTGCTCCTCGAGCTGGCCGACCTCGTCTCTGAGAGGGCCGACCCGGTCCAGAATCTCTGAGTACGAGACCTGTGCTTCAACCCACTGCACCAGGGGACCACAGGCCTTACTGGCGCGGTTAACCTTGTCGAAAGTGAACTCGGGGTTCGACAAGAAGTCGTTGCGCATCTTGACACGCAGAGCCTTGGTCATATTCTTTTCGTTGTCGAAGTTGACAATGCTGGCAATGAAATCGTCGCGACGGATGATACCCTGGATCATTCTCCAGTCATTGACCTTGTGGCCAAGTAGGGCGCACACAGACTCGAGTGCCAATCTGACACCTTGGGGAGGGTTACCCATGGATCGGACTTCGGTGAGGTGCTGACGTTTGATGTTGCTAACACTGGCCTTTGCCTCCTCGACAGCGGGCTCGGCCTTCGCCAGATCCTCTAACACAATCTTCTTTCTCGATGCAACTTCGGCCTCTTGCTTTTCCAAAGCGGCCTGAATCTCCAAAGAGGTGTTCTTCCTCTGCTCAGCCTCTCTCTGGTCAGCAACCATGCGCTGGAGCTTCTCGTTGGCCTCGGCATCCTTCTTCTCGAGCTGCGTCTTCTTCTCAGCAAGGCTGACTCTGAGGTCGCGAACCTTGTCGACGGTGTCCCTGAGCTTCTCGAGACCAACGTTAAGATGGCGCTGTTGCTCCTCCAAGTCCTCACGCTTCTCATTGTACAATTTGACATACTGGGCGACGAAGTCCAAGAAATGTCTGGGCGTGAGGAAGGTGACTTTGCCTTGTTGCTTGAGGAGCTTGGCGTTAAACCGCTGGAGGGAGTAGTGGATGTAGACCATGGAGTTGACGATTGTCTCGCGGTGGGTAGGAGGCAAGCTGAGACCGCGGTAGGCCACGGGGATAGTGTCTGGCGCCTGGAAGTTGGGACGATCAAGATCCATGGAAGTGGTAAGTTCGTGGCCGACTTGGTAGAGGGCCTGATCAGACCAGTCACCAAACCAGTTGAGCACGCAACGGTTGAACAAGGCTGGACTGGTTGCGGCCTTGGATCCAAGACCGTCCTCGGGCGGGTTCATGGTGAACACCACGTGCAAGTTCTTGACGATTTGCTGAGTGAACCACTTGTAAAGCTCCTCAGGTGAGTCGAGGTGCAGGTTTTGTCGCTGAGCACCTTCTTTGCAGGCTGTCATGAGAGCGGCAAACTCGTCTCCCTCAAAGAGACCAGGAACCTCGGCGTTGGCAAGCAGAGTGTTCATTCTCTCCAGGAAACCGGAGTCGAGAACGTTGGATTCGTCCATAATGAAGCAAATCTTCTCGCCCTTGCAACCACAGCGCCGGAGAACATCTCTCAGATCGTCGTCAAAGTCTTCAGCAGAGTACTTGCCGTGCACCTTGATTTGGAAGACCTTGAGACCGTTCATCCATGCGACAAAACGAGACAACGTGGTTTTTCCACTACCACTGACACCGATAAGGATAAGATGGCCCTGCGGTTGTCTGAAGACACGATCGATGCGAAGGACGTGCTCCAGTACATCGTTGAATAGGATGAGTGGCACGTCGACCTCCTCCTCGCAGAAAGTCTTCAGTCTGGCCTTAACAAAGTCTCGAAGCTGCTCCCGGTCAACGGGAACATAGTTCTTCGAGAGCCAGTTGGAGAAGAGGATGGGACCACCCAAGGCCTTCTGGTCGTCAATAGTAGGGAAGAGCTCCAGAGCAATGCGCCGAACGGCATCCTCTGTCCACTGGCGCTCATCTTCGGCAACGAGACGATCCTGGAAGAGTCGCAAAGCTTCGTGTGCCCAGATGCGTACGAGGCCTTCGATAGATAGCGTCTCCAGAGGCCTAATGGCCTCATAGATACCTCGCACCCATCTCGTTAGCTCACGGGGACTGTACACGTAGTGAGGTTGGATCTTTGGCGTGAAACGTTGCTGCGACTCAAGATACAATTTAACCATTGCTTGCGTAAGCGGCTCAGAGTAGCCTCGGAGCGACGGGATGATCTTGAGAACGGCAGAGGTGAACGTGCCATAGATTTGAAGCAGGGAAAGCTCTCCAGGATAATCCACCATGATGAGAGGGGCATGTCGGAGGAACCTGGCACCCAAGGGTGTACGGCCTGCATCGGTGGGCGGGTTACAGGCACCAACGAACTGAATACGATCAAGAGTAACCCAGGACTTGTCCGAGGTTCTCCAGAATCCGTTATGCTCAACAAGCTGACGGAGGAAAGAAATGGCTCTTTGAGTTCCGTACTTGTCAGGGGCAGGCAAATTGATTTCATCGCAGAAGATGACGAGCCACCTGCCAATCTGGGTAGGCGAGAGCATGACCCCGTTCAATGTCTTCTTGTACTCGCAGTATTGCTCAAAGGTCTTGATAAGTAGATCAGGGGTAGTGGCGCTTGAGAAGTTGAGACCGACAACCTCCATGTTGGGAAGCTTGCGAAGAGCGCTGAAGAGCGTCATAGTCTTACCCGAACCGGGAGGACCGCAAAGGAGCAACGGCTTGTGTTCAGCCAGCCACGAGTAGAGAACGTCCTCATGGCGGACAGTATCAAGAGTCGGGATGACGACATCCGTCTGGGTAACGGAGTGAGTGTTAACCTCAATGGTGGGCACTTGGTTTTGCCAGGGGGCCCATTCGGCCTTGGGCAGGGTTACGTCGAAGTCAATAAGTGAGCTGGCACCGTCCAAAGGAGGGTTTCCGAAGCTAGCAAGGCCACCGACGACATCTCCAAAAGACTTCCTATCATTGAGCGGGCAGTCGCCAGTCAGGGCCCAAACCAAAGCAAGAAGAAGCTTCTTGGATATGAAGGCCTCCACCTGCTCAGGGTCCAAGGGGAAATCAGAATGCTGAGCATTGTACTCGATCATATCGCGCACAGCCTTGTTCAAAAGAGAGAACAGGGTGTTGAGAACACGAGCGACCGTGAAGTCCATAATGTGGTTGAAACCCTTGGCTTCGTTAAGAGCCTGGAGGAGGAAGTCCTCATCGGTGAGGTAGGCATTGAGCAGGTCGGCAACCTGTGACTGAACCGCCAGAGCCTTCGCAGGGCTTTGACCGGCCGCGACGCTGTCTTCGTCTAGGTCTTCGAACGGCTTGGAGCGGAGAGTCTCCAAGTAATGCTCGAGCATCATGTTAGGCGACACAGTGTCGTCACTGAACCAGACCATACCGCAACGACTAACGGTGGCTAGAGTCGCGTACTTCAGGGTCTCGACTTCAAACATGATGCGGACGTTGGAAGGCAAGTTGAGACGCTCACCATTGGGCAAGGTAAGGAGCTTGTTGTCGTCCAATACACTGTTCAAGTTCTCAACCCATTCGGGGTCGACATCACCATCAAAGACGATCCAGTGACGCTTGGAATCCTCGCCTCTGAGGTTATCGACGATCTTTCGAAGAATACTCGTAAATAGACCATCTGTCCACTCACGAGTGGTGGAGTCAAGGTTTCCGTACAGCGCCTCCTTGGACATGACCTTGGAGTCAATGACATGGTGTACACCCTCGACTCCTTCAACCTTCTGAAGAGCATCGAGCAGAAGGGTCCAAGCAGCGGATTTACCCGTGCCAGAGTCACCCACCATCATCACACCGTGGTGGATATTCTGAATCTGGTACAGTTGAAGCACCTTTGTCATCCAGGTCTCGTTGACAACCAGCTGTCTCTCGGCAGCAAGGGTTCTAATGGCCTCTTGTAGCTTCTCCAAGCTGGCGGGGACATACTGGACGCCGGGGAAGCACGCCTCCTCAACCTCGGAAAGAATCTCAACATCACTCTTGATAAGTTTGGGAGCGATGGTCTCCCGAATACTCTGCACAATGATTTCTGGCTCTACAACCTCTTCGGCACCGATGCTGCCGTCACTAGCAGCCAGTCGAGCACGCTTCAAGCCTCCAGAGCTGACGAGAACACTCTTCAGTGCACGAAGACCAAAGTCATAGTGAGCTTGCTTCGACAATCTAGCAGAGCATTGGTCGAAGAAGGGTACTGTTTGTTTGGACAGCTGCTTGGCTTGGTTGAAACCCTGAGAGTACAGCATAACTTCGGAGATGAGCTCCTTGTCTGGCTTGGACATGGCGACACTGCGAAAAAGCTTCTTCAAGTTGTCGGGCAGGTTGGAACGACCGGCATAGCCGGGGTTCATAGTGATGAAGATGCCGGTGTTGGCATTGACATGAAGCTGCCGCCCGACAAGCTCAATCTGGGCCTTATCGTCCTCCGCACCCTGTTTCAGACCAAGCTGAATATTTTGAATTTGCTGCGAAACAGCAGACAAAATTCTTTCTTCGAGACGGTTGAACTCGTCGAAACAACCCCATGCACCAACTTGGCAGATACCAAGGAAGATACGACCCATAGCTTGGAAATCGAAAGTGTCGTCACAACAGAAAACCAAAGTGAAGCGACCAAGCTGAAGACCGAGAGCCTTGACTGATTCTGTTTTACCGGTTCCGGCAGGGCCATATGGTGATCCACCCAACCGCTGGCACAGGGCTTGAGTAAGAGTAAGGAAGCATCGGTCTGTGAGAGGTGTTCTGACAAGGCGGTCAGGAACTCCGAGATACTCAAAGCCGTAGCTGAGCGTGGCGTTAGCCATCTTGATTTGCAGACGCTGAAGGAAGTCGCCCTCAGGAGCGTAGACATAGCGCATCTGAAGCAACCAGAAGTAGTGAGTCGGCGCTGTCGCGTTAAGGTTGATGAGCTTCTCGATGGCGTCCCGCTGGTGGACGCACTCGGTGATCAACTGCTCGCACTTCTTGCGTTGGATAATCTCAAGATCTCCGAGTACAGTGTCCGCGAGGAGCCGAAGGACCTGGACCTCGCGCTCGTAGAGTGATTGCAACGTCTTACCGCCCTCAGCAAGGGACTTCTCAACGACGGTCGTCCAGACAGCTTGGGTAGCAAGGACAACAATTTGACTGGGGAAGGCCTCCATGAACTCGTTCATCGCAGACATCTCAATCTTGTCAGACTCGAAGATGGGAGTGTAATGCTCTATAGCTTCCGCAAGGAGCTCTGCGAGGGTGTTCTTCATGCCACTCTCCAGAAGGGCAAGCCAGTCGTTGATCTTGGGTGTTTTGGCCAGAGAAATTTCCTTCTTTAGGCGTACGACTTCACCCTCCTTTGAAGTGAACCCCGAGATGATGGTTTCGTCTTCCATAACCAGTCCTGAGAGACCAGCAAACATTTTCTTGAAGTGCTTGGCAATACGCAGAGTATCATTGCTGTTACCAATCATCTCGAGAAGATCCTCATCACCAACGAAATAGAATCTAGGGAAGGAGACACGTTCTTTCTCGAGGTATTCTCCAAGAGCCTTTTGGATCTTGTTGAGTAGCTCGGCGAGTCTCTCAAGAGACTTCTGAACGTTGGGGATGGTGAGAACATCCAGGACGTATGGTTGCTTGTAGACCTTTTTCATGACAGCAGAGAACTCGCTGTTGATGTTCTGGAACCTGGAAGACTCCACCGGTAGCAGATGTTTGATATCGGCATTGCCAGTGAAGACGCCCTCCAGGTATACCCACTGTCTCTGAACGTCAATCCAGACATCGAAAAGAACGTGGACTCGGTTAAGCTTGTCTTCCCAAGAGTTGGCCTCCTCCTCGAACTCCTTGTAGTAGGGAGAATGCTTCATGGCCTGGAGCGAGTTCAAGTTTTCACTGCACTTGGCAAAAAGATCGTCCCAGCCACGAATGAGACGGCATTTGTTCTGATAATTGACAAGCTCGAGTCCATAGTTGGACCATGTCTCGCGAACTTGCTTGAGGAACTCCTCCAGAGCCATTTCGCCCTGAGCTTGAGCAATGATGTCCTTGACGATAACCTCGGTAGCAACAAGGTTGAGGTCCCAAACATCACCAAGAGTCATGGATACGGGAGAGTAACGCTTGCCAGGCTTGATCTGCTTGTAAATCTTGGTCCAGTGTCGATCGCGGATAGCCTCAGACTTGAGGTCTGAGAGTAGAGAGTTGACCTTCAGCAGACCGCGAAGGATGGTTTGCACGTGTTCAAAAGCAGCGTACTGACGCATACGACTGGGCATCTCTTTAGTGCTCTTGATGAGGTCATCAATCTTGGAACGAATCTTTCTGGGCTGAACGGCCGTCCACAAGATTTCTCTCGTCTCGTTAAGACTGGCCCAGATGGTAGACAGGTTTGACCAGACGGACTGAAAGTCCTGAACTTCTTCCAGAATAGTGCCCAGGGAGGTATCCGCGGTAGCGGGAATGTCAAGAGCCTCCTTGGCCTTTGCAACCATCTCAAAGTCGGATTGCAGCTTGGAGATTCTGCTCTCGAAGGAGCTCAGCGTAGCAGATGCAACGTCTGGCTGGATAGTACCAGAAACGGGCTTCTCGTCGTTCCACTGCACGGCAACCTCGGCGATCCTGTCATTCACAATCTTATCCTCTGCAATAATCTTCGACTTTAGCGCGTCAGTCTGATCTTGAACAATCTTGGACTTCTTCTCCAAGATCTCAGTCAACGACTCCCAAGAGCTGTCGATTTGCTCAATATGGAGCCAGTCGTTGGGGAACTGGTAGCGTTGTCGCACAAGAGTCGACTGTCCTTGCCTGAACATATCAATCTCGGGTGCCCAGAGCTTAACATTACGCCTACAAGCCTGCACAACGGTAATAAACTGGACTGCTTGGGCAGTGGAGGAGGCATCCAAGCCTTGGCTTTCAAGGTCTCGGCGGGCCTTTTCAATCTCGGCATGGACTTCGCGCATGCGGTTGCCGAGTCTGCTGGCGAATTTCATCAAGATTTCATGCTGCCATTGGTCATATTTAGCGTTGACCTTAGTCTGAACCTGATCGTAGTCAATCGTGATGTGGCCAAATTGTCTGCTGACTTCTTGCGTGTCGAATGTCTGGCGAGTCTTTCGAATCTCTTGGAGAAGCTGCAACCATCGGGCAAGCTGATCACCAAGAGCCTCGTACACCTGCTCTGACTGGAGATCCCAAAGTGATTGGAACTGGAGCCACTTGTCGACGTAGGTGCTGATTTCTTGAAGCTTCTTCTCAACGGATACATAGACGCGGCTGAGCAGATCTGTGCATTGGCCGGGTAAGTCGTTGAAACGGGGCTCGTCCAGCGTGGTAGTTGTCAAAGTCATCTGGTAACGTGTGGCCTTAATCTTCTTCAAGTTACAGACGATTCCCAACCAGTCGTGCAACTGCACAAACCAGCTCGAGCGAGCAAATTCCAGAGGAGGGTCCAGATAAATCACCTGGTTGCGCATGGACAATTCATGGATCAAGCGCTTGATTGTTGGTCCTTCGGGTATGGGCTCCTCGCCATTTTCAGTGACCTGCTTGCGGCGGCCATCATCAAGGTACTCATCCTCAAAAGCATGAATCCACGCAAGAATAGCGTCTTGAAGGCGAGTCAAAAGCACCTCCTTAAGCTTCTGGTTCATGTTTTCAACCCAGTAGGACAGGTTAACATATTGCTCCAAGTTGAGCTGGTCAACAGCGGTCTGTATGGTCTCCAAGCGCGAGGTGAAGGCACTTGCTTCATAAGGGCAGGTGTTGAGTTCCGAGAGAGCCTTCTCCACAATTGCATGAATCGACGCCAGAGAAGCAGTCTTCGCTTGCAACAGGGAAACGGCAGCAGCAAATTCACGAATGAAGAGGCTGTGTTTGCTCTCAGATGGCTTGGAGAGTCCAAATTCGGAAACAGACGGCAAAGCGGTGTTGTTCTTGGTGGAGAAGAAGATCTCGTGTGAATTGACGAAAGACTCCCATCTGAGGGGAACACCTCTAGACACCAGGGCATAGACATCGTTCCTGTACCCGTACACAAGGACTGCCTCCTCGCCCATCTCGGAGATTTGGCGCATTGTCTGTGAGAAAGTACGGACGCTCTCCATGAGACTGACCGCAAACGGATAAACGCGTTTGGCATCCTTGGAAACGTTGTTAATGGAGTGAGGTACGGCGTAGTTCTGCCATTTGAGGTTTCTTGTTTCCTTGAATAAAGTGATCACCTGAGGGTCGAAGTTGACCAGGAGCTCGTAGTTGCCACCCGTTGACCTCATACGCCGGATGTCAAAGAGGAAGCCAGAGATGGAAATTTGGCGGCGTTGGACGTCGTCAAGCCAGGCCTTGTATATTGTCTGTGTGTCCAGCTTCTTGCGGAATAGGTTGCTCTCGCTCTGAAGCTTCTGACCTTCTGCGTGGATGGCCCACTCGACACCAAGAACGTCCTCAACCTTCTTCATGTAGTTGTCGAGCTGATGTTCAATTTGTCGAGCCCAAATGATGGCACCAGAAACGGGTGGCAGGTCACGCAGCTGAGCCATGGCGTGAGCCTCGGAGTGACCGTACTGCTGCTTGAAGCGCTCATGTAAACCGTGAATGGCTTGCTTGACATGCTCCATGAGCTGGTTTTGGTACTCGGCAATGGCACCGCGGATCTTGGGTCGCACGAACAGTGCGTTGAACTTGGAAAAGACGCGGAACATCTCGTTGGCATTCTTCGCAGTGGCCAAACGGTCACGAAGTCGCGCAATGATGGAGTTCTCGACTCGAGATGTTCGTTCGTTGTACATGTTCTCCGCCTTGGCCCATCTTTCCGTGCCTTCAGCTGACACATCGAGGAGATCGACATTCTTCAATGCCTCCCATGCCTGCTTAACTTCTTCTACGGCATCCACATCGCCCATCTCTTCCACGACGACAACTCCATTGGTGCCGGTGGTTTCGGTCAGACCGCTTACGGTAGCCTTAGGGCCAAGGACGTTGACAATGGTACGCTGCAACTGCTCGTGGTTATCCCGGAAAGTGCTGACATACTTTAGCCGTCCCTGGAGTTCCCCATGCTTGGGGTTGACTTTGATAGGGATGAACTTTTCGTTTCTGCGACGCGTAACCTCACGGGCTACATTAGTGAACTCCTTAATGCTCTCATCCCAAGTTGTGAAGATGTCATCACAGGACTTCATAATGGCCTTAAATTCGGAGTAGTCAAGATTGACAAGCTCCATTCCCGGGAGGAGTCGGTGCAGAACTTCGTCTAAATCACCAGAGATGGCTTCCACCAGTGGCAGTGCCCTGCGGATAGGGTAGGGGCAGATTCTCAGCTTCCGGTTCAGGTGGCCAAAAATTTGCAAGATGGCGTCCTTGACCTTGGACAGGGACGTAGCAGAAAGAAGCTCATCAAGTGGGAAATCTCTCATGAGCTGGTTGTACTTTTGGACCTTTTCCATGGCCTCTTTCAAACCTGTATCGGCTGTGAAACTAACTGTCGCCTGGAAACGTTTCGCGTGCTTGAGAATCTCCAAGGTCAGCAGGACTCCCTCGCTGCGGAGCTGTCCCTCAATCCCCTCCAGGGCGGACTCCATAGAAAGCCAGAAATTGACCTCTTGGCTGGCAGTAAATTTGAAATCTTTGGCGCTGTCTGCAGGATCCCTCGTCATCCTCGTGATAACCTGAATGGACTTGATCCAGCTGTTCACGTTGTTCTGCAGGCTATTGAGGAAGGTACTGTCTGAGAGAACGGTGCCGGGGATAAGATCGAGGGTCGGTTTGGCGTGCCGCGACTCGGCCTCCTCCAACGCGTTCTGCACCATAGTATGGAACATGAGAGAGACCTCAGGGATCTCGACGTTTTGCTGCAGGTGAAGCAAGCTCAGCTCCAGGTCATTCCATCTCTTCTTGGTGACGGGAATGCCCGTCTTGGAATCCACATCCGCCCTTCCCCTGGCACCATTGCTGATTTGGCTCCGGGTGTTGGCATCGAAATACGGCGCCAGCGCATTATGAACATAAGAGTGCAGAATCTCAAAAGGCGAGGTCGAGGGGCCCTGCTCGCCAGCGGTGGCGTTCAAAGTGGCAGGACCCGGGAGATTAGTGAGAAGTATCTGGGAGGTGAGAGGGAGAGCAGGGTCGATGGGGCCAGGTCGCTGCTTGAGCAGGACGAGCGACGACACGGTCGTCGGAGACGAAGAGATCTCGGTGGTCAGAGAGTATGTATAGGACGGAGGCTCTGTGTAAACGTGGTTAGCAGTGTGCACCTTAGGAAGAAGCTCGCGGTGTGGGTCGAACGAACTTAGCTCCTCTCCATTCTGTATCGTAGATGCCGGGAGAATATCCTTCTGAATGTACAGTGTGTTCGGTGTATCGGTCGCGAAGCGGGTGCAGCGCTGGACGGTGTCGGAGTAGCGGTGCTTGTGAAGCAAGCTGCCGGGACTTTCGAGATCCTCATTCGTGGCGCCCAGAGCTATCTGGCACACCAGAGCTATATGGTCGAGCACGCGGACGGGATCGATCGAGGGGTCAGACGAGGGCGAGGCGACGCCGTTCGCGCCCGGGATCGAGGGGGAAGCCACCTCCATGACGGGTGACGTGTTTTCGGACAGGAGAGGATGGTATTTACAAAGTCCAGGTCGGCATCATTATAGGTACGACGGTCGGGCAAAGAAAGTGACGGTGGACAGCCAAATGTGTCTAGTCGAAGGCAACCTCAGGGGCGAGCGTTGCTGGCCGCAGGATCAACAAACGAGTCGAACGTGAGTAGGAAAACGGGATGAATAGGGAAGTAGAAAAGAAATAAGGATGGTATTGCCAAAGGAGCGTTTTTGGGGGGTTCTATGGATCCTTGTGGATTCCGGGGTATCGTCTAGTCGAGAAAGCTCTTTGTCGTTTTTTTTTTCTTGTGTGTGTGTGTAGTTTAGATAGAGATTATTCGCGGCCGGTTGATGTACAGCCAAAAGTGGTCGTTGGGAAGGTATTCTGCAGTGTTGACTTCCTAAACCACTGGAGCCCCAGAAAGTTGACTTGTCCACGACCCACTTTCTCGCGTTGCCTTATTCCACCTCAAAGTCGGGAGCATAAAAAGGTACGCCGTAATCCAAGTACCTTGAAGTGTTAGGTAGACCATAGTTAGGAAACGGACGGAAGGGTACCTTCCCTAATGTTTCTACCAGTTTTACGCGACCAAGCAGGACCCTTGTCGCGACAGCATGTGTCAGGAGGTGTTGGCCACTAAGGCAAAAGGGAGCGTGTTCCACTGAGGATTGCGGGGCTCATTTGATTGGCCGACTTGGGCACGGCAGGGGATCACGTCCCTTTCGTCTCACCAAATCAAAGCTCCGATATGGGCCTTTTTTTTTGTGCTGCGTGGAGGAGCTCAGACACGCTGTCCTTGAAGCCCCCCTCCCCCCCCCTCGTCAGGCAAGCATAATTCTGCATCAAGGTCACTAATGTGTTGACTATGCTGTTTTCTGCTTTGCCAGCTCAGAAGGCCCCATTGCTTCTTTGTGGGGGGCACGTCTTGGGTAGTAATCGACGACGACCTCCCTCACTCGATCTCTTACTCATCCGTCTCATCTGCTCAGCATCCCGTCTTCGGCTGCAAAAGTGCTAATATGCTTCAGGGCTCTTCTTCGCCCCGTTTCATCCGACATGCGGATATTGTCTGCTGCCGGTTCTCACGCCACCAGCGAAGCCCTGGTCGTTCAGATGCTGGAAATGAAAGGTGATCTAATCTGCCACCAACAACGCCCACTCCCGCTATCCTTGAGCCCCAAAATTACTATTAATTGTGTTTGTATTAGCAGCGGCCCCTGGTAGCTTGAGCTGCAGCATCCCGCAAGCCGGCGCGCTGTGCCCCACTGATGGGCCTGGGGCTGGGCCGAACGACTGCTGGAGGTCAGGACCACTATACTACTAAACTACTACCTTCCCTCACCTGACATCACCTCACTTCATGTAGCCTTCTCCCTTTAGCTGCGTGCGTCAACTGTCAAATGCTGCTTTGACTCGTGCACAGTCGGGTTAGAGAGCCTTTTTCCACCCCTTAGGCCCCCTTGGTCACTTGTCACTTAGAGCTACCATGCCAGCGGTTCACTCAAAAATAAAATAAAAGTTTAAATGCTTGCTTCAGTCATGTTCGCAATGTTTGCTGGTGTTTGAAATCCGCCCAATGCATCCCAATTTCCAGGGGAAAAAAATAAAGACATCAATAACAACAATACCTTGTGGCCCCAAACTCTAAGGGACCCCAAAAACGCGCAACCAAACGACTCCGTCCAAATCAAACACCAGATCCCGTCCTGCCTTGCTCACCGGACGATCAACGGTCATGCTTCCGCGACGCGACAATGAAAGCATCGTACAAGCCTTGCGCAATCCCAATACCCGTTCCCAACCCGCCATGCAAGGATACCAACTGAACTTCCCTTGACCAAACACCTTTTGACAGGTCCTAATTGCCATTGTTACCAGCTCCTGATGCTTCCGGCCCTCCCAGCCTCTCCCGTTGGACCATGACGCGTTGATTGCAAATGTCGATAAACATCTCGAACCTTCCGATGATCTGTTCCTTCTCTTCGAGCGTCTTCTTCAATTCATCAATCTCTTTTTGTTTCTCTTCCTTATATTTGTCAAATTCTTCGCGAGCTTTGGCTAGCTCTTTTCTCAGGTCTGCGCGGATACGCTCTTCGGCCGTTGGATGCGGCTTGCTGTAGATGGCCGGTCGATTTTCTGCCAAGCCGGTGGCTACTTTCTGAGGGTTTCTATTGATCGCTGCTCGAGCGTTGTAGATATCGCGAGGAAGTAAAGGAACGTGCGGGTTTTCGTTTTGCAGTATTTCCAATGTTTCGTTAACACTAACCCCTGTCGAAGAGTCAGCGACTGCTCTTTCGCGCTTTGTTGACTTCGCCGGCTCACCGTTCTCCTTGAGAGCCTTGACGGCGGCAACCATCTTGCTGTCCAGCTTGCGAGCGGCCGGGTGGAGGAGGGGGCTTTCGCTCGGCCCGTGATTATGCTGTAAGTGCTGGGGGTCTGGGCGGTATCGAATGGTCCATTGAGTTCGCTGCTCAATGGCAAAGAAGCCAAACTGACAATCGCATTTGCGGGACGAAGTCTTGCGCTTGCGGAACTCGGGGCTAACACGACTGGGAGGCTTGCCTGCCCTGTCGCATACGAACAACACTTTCTTGAGGCCAGGGACCGTCTTCTTCGAACGCCCAATGACGATGGCATAACCGACCGAGGTGCAATACGCAAGAACACTCTTGTGGACCGCCTCCAGGGTCGGGTAGCTACCTCCCTCGGGAGGAGCAGACATCATCTCGCCCATTGGCTGCCTGGGCACGAACGGCGTGCCATCAATCATTTTGGGCTCCAACGAGTCGCCATCTTCGGCAAGGTTTTCCACCTCCATACTGTCTCCATGGTGCTCGCTGGCCTGGGCGGGGGTATCCGGGCGAGGTTGGGCAGGCTGCTGAACCTGCTGGACCTGTTGCACCTGAGGAACCTGGGGCACCTGCTGAGCCTGCTGCACTTGTTGCGGAACCTGCTGTATTTGCTGGACTTGGGGGACCTGGGGGATCTGCTGCTGTGCAGGTTGTGGTGTCGATTGGGACAGGTTTTTCTGAGCCTGAGGGTGGGGCTGATGAGATAGGATTGGCTCGTTCTTGATCTGCTGTTGGTTGAGGTTTTGTTGTTGTTGGTTTAGGCTATGCTGTTGGCTCAGTTTTTGTTGCTGGTTCAGACTTTGCTGCTGTTGGTGCTGCTGCTGCGCCAGGCTTTGTTGCTGTTGTTGGCTCAGGGTCTGTTGCTGACTGAGACTCTGTTGGCCCAGGCCTTGCTGGCTCAGACTCTGTTGGCCAAGGTTCGGCTGCCCGAGGTTTTGCTGCTGCTGGTGCTGTTGCTGCTGCTGGTGATGCTGCTGGTGTTGCTGCTGATGTTGCTGCTGCTGGTGTTGCTGCTGATGTTGCTGCTGATGTTGCTGCTGCTGCTGATGCTGTTGGTGTTGCGGGTGCTGCTGCTGCTGATGCTGCTGATGCTGCTGGTGGTGCTGCTGTTGCTGCTGATGATGTTGTTGTTGCTGCGGGTGCTGCTGCTGCTGCTGTTGTTGTTGCTGCTGCTGCTGTTGCTGCTGACCAAGCCCTTGCTGCTGTCCCAGACCTTGTTGCTGTCCAAGACCAGGCTGTTGCCCAAGGCTTGGTTGTCCGAGGCCAGGCTGCTGCCCGAGGCCCTGTTGTTGGCCGAGTCCTTGTTGACCTCCGAGACCCTGCTGTTGACCCAAAACCTGTTGCTGGCTCAGGCTCTGTTGATGACCAAGGCTCTGTTGTTGTCCCAGTGGAAGGAACATGGAGGGCGCGCTCTGCTGAGGCATCTGCTGCCTCGAGGGAGGACCCCTCTGGCGTCCAAGGGCGGCGGCATTGGGGACATGGCTCGGGGGACGCGATGTGCCGTTGACATTACCATTGACGGGGGTCTGGGACTGGAAAAGATGATGAGGGTATTGGGCCTGGGTCGGCTGTTGAGGCGTGTAGGCTTGTTGTTGATAAGGAGACGCGTTGTGAGGGCCGGGCGATGGTTTGTTCGCAGGGTTCGCGTGTAGAGGCGGGAAACCTGGACCGCCGTGACTGCGTCGAATGCCGCCTGGCTGGGGAAAGGCGAGGCCGGGATGGCTATTAGGACCCGACTGCCCCAGGCTCGACATTCTGTCGAGAGGAGCGGCGAGGGCTCAAAAAGAGAGGAGTGGTGGTTTGGAGAAAAAGGAAGGAGGTGTTGTGGTGAGGGTGAAGATGAGGGCGAGGGCGAGGGGACCGAGTCGCCCACCGAGGCAGGGCAAACGGAGAGAATCACGGCTGGGTTGAATGGAGACTTCGCGTCGAGGCCCGGGTCGGTGTCGGCTTCGGGGTCGATTCTCGAAGTCGAAGAGCCTCCGCTATCATAACCCGAATCCTAGAGATGCGAGAAAGGATGCAACAAACGAACCCTTGAATGTGGTCTGGGGGTGTCGATAATGGGGGAGGGAGAGGCGTGGAGTGTGTGTGGGTTCTGGGAGGTGTGCACAGAAAAGAAGGGGGAGAGCAAACATGCGAGGTGATGGGTGGTGTGCGAGAAAGAGAGGGCGGCAGACATGGAAGAGACCTGGGCGGAGGGGGGAGGGGGACGTGGACGTGGACGTGTGTGAGAATGAAAGGGAAAGGGTCAGAGAGGCCAAAGCCAGAGCCAGAGGGGGGAAGGGGGGGAGAGACCTGAGAGCCAGCCGGGGAAGGGAGGTGTCAGAAGGGGGAAGGAAGCCTAAGGCTGCCTGTCACAAAGGCTAAAAGGGAGAAATTTTCTATGGCGTGGGCCCCTCTGGCACTTGGGGGGGAGCGGCAGGACACGCTCTTGTTCCTTTTGGGCGGGTGAAAGGGACCGGGGGGAAGGGACAAAAATGGTGGAAAGGTGGATTCGAGGGCACCCCCTTCAGCGAATAGCCTAGTCCAACCAGTAACGCCAGCTGACAAACTGAGATGACCACGTGATATTCTATGGAACAGTGACATCACTGTTCCAAGAGCGAGCGGACTTTTCCATTGTTGGCTGACGGGGCTTTTGTCAACTTTCTAACCGCGTTCCCGGCTGATGCCCAATAGAGTAGCGAAGAGAGCATTAGAGGGAAGGGATAAGAAGGGTAAAAAAAAAAAAAACCGCATACGCGCACAACAGGGCGAAGAAGCAACGTGGTTTGTTTACAGAGACACGAGCAGAAATTCTATCAGATGAAGGCATCTGATTACCCATGCAATTCAGGAAAGGGCGGTTGATATACAGTCATCATGAGGCTCAAATAGTAAACGTCGCGACTTTGACACCATGCCTATGATTGACAGCAGTCACTGATTGCTTGATGCATTGATGCATTGATTGATGTTCGTTCCGCCCACCTCCCGGACAGAGGCGTGTGGTTCGAAAAAATAAAAAAATAAAAAAAAACCCCCCGATTAGAAAATTTAATCACGCCTGAAGCCGACCAACATCGCTGCTCCAACAGGTAGGTGGTGCTGGTTCGAGTCGACACCTCGAGTTGCATGCCTTATTCTATCCGCACTCCTGGGCTCCAGCGCCCGCCCACGCTGTTGTGAGCTTAGGTTGCGCATGTACCACCTCTTGCAGGTACCAACCCCAGGGCTTCTTGGGGGGACACGCCCCCTCCAATACCTCCCGTCACCTTGTCGTCTGCTCAACTCTCAGGTCCCCTCAAACCCTGAACAGGAAAGCAAGAAAAATTAAGGGAAAAAAGAAAGAAAAAAAGGATGAAAAGGACGTGTCAACTCGTTAAAGATCCGATCGTATCTTCCCCCTTCTGCACCAAAGGTATGGCATTCCTCTCTAGCTAAATTTTGAGGAAAGATCTACGCCATTGTTCAAGTGTTTCCATCCAGCAGCCTAAACGGCTTGGGTTTTCTACAGCACCAAGCTCAACCCAGAAGCCCCAAATCAGCCCTACCTTCGCCCCTGGGCCCTGTAAAATGATAAGAGCTGGGTAGCCTGTCTGTGCTTTGCCGTGCTCTTTCTTTTGGTGGAGTAGCCAGCCCACTATTACAAGACCCCATCCCTGCCTGCACTATCGAGCCCCTCCCTTCACCTCGACAATTCACGTCGAGCGTCGTTGAAGCCGTGACTTGCAATAAGCCACCGCGGCAGCTGCTCGACACCTTGAATCTGAGATGTGACGAGCGCAGAAGTGTTATGCGTTGAATATTTCAGGAAGTTAACAAGTATTATTGATCAACCGTTTTACGTCAATGCGAACCTGGCATGTTTGAACCAACATATTTCACGGCTTTAAAAGCCCAGGAACCAAATCAACTCTAATTAAGTCATTTGCTGCTGCTGCTGCTGCTGCTGCTGCCTCACTAGAGCATGAATATCATCATGCTTGCCAGATATTATCATCAGTCATCCGTCTCGAGGGTATAATACAATGGGACCAGCTCTGTGGTCCAAACAAAACTCTGTCGTTTCCTAGAGGCTTTAAAAGTGTCTCTCCCCGTAACTGAAATGGTATCTTTGTACGCCAAACCCCAGAACCGTTATATATTAAAAAGATAGGAAACGCCGCAAATGTATCGAAATGTGTCGGGTATTTATTCTCTCTTCTTCCTCTTACTCGGCCTCCGCTCGTTCTCTCCGTCGACAAAATGACCTTTGTCCTGCTGATGCTGCTTTAAGTTATCGGGACGATTCTTATACTGGCTGGTACAGCCCGGGTAGGGACACCGGTAGATCTTGGGCGGCGCAGTAGAGTGCTGCAGTTTCTTGTGCTTCGCCATGCTGCCCTTGAACCACTGCGGGTCGCCCTTTGGCCGATATCCGCAGATCTCACAGCAATCATTTGCTTGAATCTCGACCTTTTGCCCACTGGTAACAGAACCTTGCGCAGAGTCAGCTGGGCTTTCGAAATGATTGTCGTCAATTATTAATGGTTGAAGAATATCAACGGTCGGATTCTCGCTGCTGTCGTAAAAGACCGTCATTGTATCGGGCAGGCCGGTGGTGTCCACAGAAACCTGGACATCAGATATTGGCTCCTTAAACGGTATCGAGTCGCCGGGTATTGCAAGAAGATCATCGAGTGTGCCGTCTAGGCCGTTCGTCATGGTTCTGAATAGCTCATCAAGATTCCCTTCTCCCGTTGAGTTGGATGAACCCTGCATAGCATCCTTGATAGCCTCCTTTTCGCAGATACCAGCAATGATGTTTTGCATGAGTTCAACACCGAACGTATGGTATACCATTCGTGAGACATAACCCGGTATCGGCTGCTGATAGAGTGCTCCGAAATGCTCTCTGACTTCGGGGACGTAGTTATCAAAGTAATCTTGCGGTGGCATGCAACCCTGCTAGCATTGTCAGTCATGCGTCCAAGAGTATATCAGCTCCTCTGAATAAGCCTAACCTTTCCGGCTTGGATGAGTTCCAACTCCGCCCTTCTTACGCTACGGATGCTTCCACCACTGATGCGCTTCTGGAAGCGCTTCACCTTCGAGGCCAAGCCACTTGCATGAGAAAAGTTCTGGCAAAGCATGCGAGCCACGGTATTGACAGTCATCGTGAACGCCGTGTTTATAGGCATCGTTTCATCTGCGTCATTGAAATGCTTGGTCCACAACTTCGATCCCAGCACTTCACTGGATTCTAAGACTTTACTCGGCAAGGCCGTGAGCTCTAGTTCTATATGTCATCAGTACAAGAGACAACCTTCGGGAAATTGGGAGATGCATACCATCAAGGAAAAATTGCGCCACCTCCAGGAAGATGTCCTCTGCTGGGTGCGATCTTGAGGGAGGTGCCTTATCCTTGCCCTTGAAACTTGAAGATCTAGATATGGAATCCTCGTAGCGCTCCAGCAATAGCTCGTCAAGTCCGGCTGATGAGAGGTCCAGAGGTTGCCAAATGGCAGACGCCACCTCGAGGTACGCATCACGCTCCCTTGTTACAAACATATTGCTGTAGAGGTATGCTTGAGCAAAGAGCTGCTTCGATCGATTGTGAGTGTCATCTTCGTGGACGATGAGAGAGAGTGAGTAGGTGACATGGACGAAACACAACGTTTCGATTGTCGAACTAGGGTGCCTGCCTTCAAGGATTGTCTTAAGAGTAGCGAGTCCGATGCTAGCAATGTGTTGTGGCGACATAGACTGCAACTCCCCGACAAGCGGGTTGTGGGAGAGGTGTTGCAGTTTCTCCATTGATGAGCTGACATGAGCCTTGAGGGTATCCCAGGCCGATCCGACAAGCGAATTGGCATCGACGAAGTAGGCAGGATCGTCCGTTGCTTCTGAAATGACCTTCACATCTTGGATATGTTCTGCTGAGGGGACATTAACTTCAACCACTGGCTCGGCGGTATGAGGGACACCGAGTGAGAGGAATTGTTGGTCACAGCCAAGGTCGTCTGGGAGAGTCTGTGGCGGTTGAAGCATAATCTCTTCTGCCGGTAGTTCCGAAATGAAACTGTGCAACGGTATGTTATAGTTTGAGTAGCGGCTCGCGTTTGAGTAGTGGCTTGCGTTGGAGCAACCTCGGGATAGGTTTCCGCCAGGACTTATGCTATCCGACGTTGGAGAGGTGATGCTGGTTTCGGCATTTGTCCAAGCTGCGCTGAAGGCAGATGTAGGCGAGACGACGTAACTGGCGGTAGTATCTGTGCTAGCATTTGATCTAAGAGATGCGCTCGGGGACAGGTTCTTCGTTCGCGGTGTAAGCTTGTGCTGCTTCCGATACTGCGATAGACCATGTGTATGGACAGACAGTGATGGCCTATCGCCCCTGCCCATGGACATGTCATTGATCTCATTCTGCAAGACCCAGTCAAAGGAGAGGTTTGGCATGACGGACATGCTTGACCCTGACGCTGCTGGCCTCGTTCCAAACGGATTCGATGGCTTATCCTGGAAGACACTGCTTGGGGCAAGAGTGGCAGCTGGTAAAGGAAGCGAGACCTCTACGGAGTCGATTTCCAATATTTCGGACGAGGATGAAAGCTCAACCTCTTGGGGCTGGACAAGGATAGAGTCGTAACTAGGCGGTGGTGGCATGACGACGTCATCCATGTCGAGATCAGGGACATCCTGGCCTTTCGACTTCTGGCCCAGAGAGGAGAAGAAGTTCTTAGCGACTGTCATGATCCTTCGCCTCTTTCCCGGATGGCCTAAGCAGCGTTTACACTTGCCGTCGGTGAACTTCTCGGCCTTTCCGCAATCATAACACCAATACTCGCCAGTGCAAAGCTGGTCACAGGTGTACAGATGCCTTAGCATGACCTCATGGTTCGGGAAGCGCTTCCGACAGCGCAGCAGAGGGCACTCAAGACGCTCAGCCGGCGTCATCTTCTGGCACGAGTTGCGCTGGACAGCGGCCCATACTATGAACCTGTGGAGGGCACATTGGTCCTGGGATATGGTACGAGTACTATAAGATTACTTAGCTCAATCCAGAGGTGGCGACGAGCATGCGTGGAAAATACTGAGAGTTTTGGGGTTGGGAACAACAATAACAAACAGATGAACAAGCTTACACGCAAGATGGAGGAGTAGGGGAGTCAATGGACGAACGGGTTGATGAAGAGGAGCTTGAGCTCGTGGAGCATGAGTCCCGTCGTGATCGACCCCGGGTGAGGCGGGACGAAGTGAGAGCTCGTAGGGCTGAAGGACTGTGATTCAATGAACGGCGGTCATCCCCGAAGGGAGATAGCGAGGTTTTCGACTCCATACTTCCGAACCCCGATACCTCAATCAAAAGGTATAATGGAGTCGGGCTCGGAGGGAAACAAGCGCGGGGGAAATAATGGTCAGCGATGCGTTGACCAAATGAAAAACGATCCGCCACCCATTTTTGATTTATTTTTTTACCTTGAGGATGGGTTGAATCTTGCAAGAAGTGGACGTCCTAGAATCCAGGACTTGCAGCATGCCTAGGACTTGGACTGGGGGTCGGGACTGGCTGGAAAAGGCGGCCTGCCCCGGTAGAAGCTGTGCGCGGGATTGTGTGGTCAGAGGGGTGAGAGGGCGCCGAGACCGAGAGGGGAAAGAGAGGGACGTGTGGGGAGGTATTCGTAAGGTAAGCAAACCAGGGCTGGCTGGCTTGCACTGGCGAACGGTACATTTTGTGCAGCGCCTCAGTCTAAGGGGAGGCGCAGACATTCGCCGAAAGGCGGAGGGCAATGGTAGTAGACGACAATAGCCCCAAGGACATTCACTCAGTCAGCCCACGCTGAGTGAGGAAAATGAATGGCTGCTGTTAGTGAAATACTTTCCGTTCATCGTGTTTGTCTGCAAACAATTGTTAAGCTTCAGTAACCAGACCCAGGCTGCTCGAGCCGAATCATCTTTGGCAAAGTCACCATTGTCCCTCAGTAGGCTTTGAGACGCAACATGTTGTCTCTCGTTCTAATACAAACATCACTTCAACGATGCGTCTCATGCTGCACAGTGAGTCCGTTCAGTCCAGTCACGTAGGACTCTCGGCAGTCTGAGACGCGAGCGATGCAAGTGTTGCAATAACTTGTGCAGCTGCAGACTCCTGCGAAGCCATTTGCCAATCACGCCAACGCTTGCTTAGGCAGCGAGGCACACAGCCAATCCGCCTGACCCGGTTCAGCTGGACTTTGAGGGCCTTTCGCTGGTGACTGGACGGCGAGCCGCCACTCTCGCAGGGAGGCTCAATCAAAAGTTGCCGTGTAGTCAGACGTTGAGCTGCGTTTGACGCCAGAAAGACGCGAGAGACCGCCTTGCTTTCCGCCTTGGGAACACATGGTTCCGAGCGATGGGAGACGGAAGCGGCCGAGATCAAAGAGCGGGTTTCTAGGACAGGACGAATAAACCGAGGCCTTGATCCCAGTGCGCAATGTGTATAAAGTCCTGGGCTAGGGACGTGCCATGAGATAATGTGGCAGGATGGCTGTGACTCCTGCTTGGTCGCTGAATACGAGATTCACCGAGGCTGTACTAGCGGCTGATGACGTGAGGGAACCCTCCTCAAGATAGACAGACAGACCTCTTGAAGGGGAAGGGGAAACAGGTAGGAGCTTTTGAACCGCTTGGTAGCATTGTTCCGATGAAGAATGCAGCAGCAAATATGTAGTAGATGCCACTTGGAAACCCGCTGCCAACGTCTTGCCTGATGATTCCCCCGCCCCCCCCAGGTAGGGAGGAACTGGCTCCTGCCAGAGGCAGGCACGATGCACTAACTCGACGGCTGAGGTAATCACATCCGGGTCGCATCGATGTCCCGAGTTTCTTCGAACAGGCGGAAGGAAAGAACTTCTTAACCTTGCAATTCCACGTTCGATCCGCATAGTAGACCAAAGACAAATCGTTTTGATGTGACTAGTTCTTAGTTTCTAGCTCAGCGAACAGCAGCAGGCGTCCCAGACTTAATACTGTTTGTCATCCTCCATTACCATTTCGGGGATCAGCTGGCTATGCCCTTCAGGCGAGACCCTTGAGCCAGCCAACGCCAGCTTGACGTCTGCTCTTCAGCAGATGCTACAAGTGGCGAAGAACAGGCGCGTTTCCCCCAACCTCTACCGAGCGGGTGGAAAGCTATTTTCTAGTGCCATGAAGTTATCTTGAGCTCCCGCCTATGGTTGATGGCATTAAATCACGCATTCGAACGGTTGACGGCCAAGCATTCGCTGAAGCTCGCCTTCGAGCAAAACATTAGTGTTCTAGACCACCCACAAACAACCACATCCGACTCACCGCTCACTTGACGCCAATTAGCATCCATCATTCGCTCTTGTCTTGACACATCCACCGGCCCCAACATGGTAACACCTGGTCATGCGATCGACGCCATCCGAAGCTACATTAGACTTGGACTGTCAACCCAAAACCCACATCAGGACGGTAGACTGCTTTGGTTATAGTCCATGTGGAAATCCAGTCGCTCATGGATTCTGTTGCAGTTAACTTAGGGCGACAGTAACTCCCGGCCGGCCTGGCCGACCAATCTTCACCCCGCAAATCCGAATATATCTCATGGCGGCGTCATTGCTCCGCGACTAATGGCGCCATGAGGGGGTTTCGACCATCTGTCATAGACTTCGTGTCCTGGAATTTGTGATTCGAAATATATTTTACCTCGTGCAAGTAGCACTGAGCGGACACCGTTCTAACCAGGTGGTCGAAGTTGTGTTCCGGCGAACAGATCTCCAAGGGTGGTACGGTCCTGCGTGCTGCAACCTCCTTACCCGCTGTTTCAGATATCGGGCGTGTGGGCGGTTCGCCGGGGGTGCAACGCCCTGTATTGCAAGGCCAAAGGATTCCTTCCGCAGTCTGACACAGCCCAATCAGGCATTTGAAAGACCACAAAGACAAGACTGGAGCAAGATTGGACCAACGGCGAAGCCTAATGAAGTCAATATGTTATGATGGGGGAAACCCCCCAAAAGGAAAACCAAAAAGAAAAACGCAGTATTAATTATGACTTAACTTTTTCTGGCTACAATGGCGCATGGTGATGAATTCGCTTGTCGTGCCATGTTTGCATGCCATGGACCAGCTGCTTGGGGCGGAGGGACGCAACGAGCATCCAAAACAATCTTGGCCTGGCTAGCTGTGTCTATCAGGGGCTGGCCCGATGCGGGGGTTTTGTTTTAGTCGATTTCAACATGCAGAAGTCGGTTACAGATTCGTCTATCAACTGGGGCGCCGCCAAAAGAGGTACGTCAGCAACTCGCATACCAAAACGAGGTTGAATTCGGACAATGGAGCCGGGTATAGGCTATTGTCGACGTCGTTTCAACACCTGGTCAATGATAGACCACAAGTTCCTATGTTCTATTGCTTGATTGAATCTGTTCTCCCATCAGCCATTGTGAAATCACGGCTACCAGCGAATTGGAACACTTGGATATGCCTCTCACATTCCTTGACCATCAACGCACTGCCGCCTGCAATCAAAGAGGGCCGTAGCTATGGTGTTCCAGGACAGTCGGTTCCCTCGGCATGCTGCTGCGACAAAACTGAGGCTTGGAATGCAAAATGGCCTCCACCAATTTGGATAATAGAGCCACAAATTCGAGCGCCTATCCCCTTGCCACAGTACTCCGTAGTGATCGTTGGGAGGGGCTTGCCTGGCATTCAGATGCAGCAGCGATTTACCCAACCAAATGACTCTGTCAGCGTAGACTGTTATCGCACGGCATTATGTAGCCACCAGTTGAGAGAGGCGTGTATGCTCTAAGTACTGACTACGAGGCATTTCATCCTGCGGAAGCAATGGTCAAGCTAATCAAGAGCAAATCCAAACCGAAAGTACCAAAAGTTATTGGCCATGGGCTCATATATCCGGATGAGTAGGCTTCTAGACAAGTTTGCTCGGATTTTGGCTCCCGAGTTCATGAAATAGGTCCATAGCTACCCAGCCAAAATTACGTATCTTGAACAGCCTTGAAAACGCAATGATTTCTTCGTTGTTCCCTTTCTTTTTTTTTCTTCTTTTTTTTTCTTGAAATGACATAGCAACATTGAAAAATTGCCGGGGCTGTTGGCCGGTTCATTATACTAGATTCCCGATCCAGGAATGCACCTCAGTTAAAGCGTCATTAAACGCCTTCATGATGAATGGCGAACTTCATTTCCCACATTCCTGAATTTCAAGCACCATTTTGTCAGTGATTACCAAGGAGACTGTTGCGGTATTTGGTTTACATTTTTAATAAGATGCCAGGTCTTCTTCCATCTTCATTTGGCATTGTTGGGTGAGCGACAGTGTACTTCCATCTTCTTGAATTTTTGTCTTTGTCGCCCTTAGCAATAAGTGCTGTCCTGAACTACGGGTTTGGTGATTCTTCTTTTGAGCAACTTTAGACTTTGGCAAGATGGTCTACATCAAGCAAGCTGTCGTCTTAGCCGCGGCGTCTTTGTCGTCTGTTACCCAAGCAGTTGCTGTTCGCGACTACTCCGGTCTCGACCAACACGTCGGTAGAGATGCACCCCTACCTTCAGTTCCGGCAGTACCTGAGAACCGTCGTGTCAAGCGACAAGTCGCTGGTGGCTTCATTGCTTCTTCCCCCACTAACAACTGTGGACAAGCAACTGCCTTCAACCTCAACAGCTTTGGCCAGCTAGAAGCCAATGGCTTAATCATTTCGACGAACCCCGGCACCCCATTCATACCTCTTCGACCCACGGTTCCGCAAGGAAGCATCACAGTCACCTTCAGCCTCACCGACGGTGCTCTCACATGGTCCAATCCTGCCTTTTTTGGTGGCAGGGCCGGATTCTGCCAGGACACCGCAGGGCAAGTCTGGGCCACATTCGCCGACCCAGCGGTCGCTTATCCCGCCAACTGCGTCCCCGTAAGGTTGGGCCCAGTCGTAGGTATGTAATGTGATGCTAAAACCAGAAACTGTCCTCTTGTAATAGTGTTTTGACACGGGATTCCAGCTTCATCTTGTCCGAGCGGTCCCAGCAGTTCCAGCAGCACCGGACCCATCACGAGAACCCCGACGGGGATCCCGGGCACGATCCCGACCCCTACCCCAGCCGTTGTAAACGGCACGCTTACACTCCGCCCAGGTCTCTACACAGAGGCAAACTTCATGACTCCGGCGGGTGCAATGTGCAGAATTGTCACCGAATCATGGGTATTCGGAGACACGACGTTACTTCCTCCTCGGACAAGGACGGTGTAAACGCAGAAAAGAAATTGTCAATGATTTGGATGTTCGCTGGAACTTTATGAAATATACGACTTCTTCACAGGGAAACAATTTCAGCTTTCTTGGTATACTCTGGCACAGTTGTTGATGCAGGTGAAGGTGTAAATATAAATCAAGTATGAAGTAGATGCAACGAGCATACCCAATGACTCGCTTTTAGGCCAAACCCAACAACATGCAATAAAATTCAGTTTTGATATCATGACATGACGGACAGCGCTTTGCCGCCTTTGAAAGGGAAAATGCGGCACATGAGACGCACATGTCCACGGCTGTGGGGGCATGGTTGAGGTGGGAGCTGGAAAATCCTCCAAAGCTGTTCGCCCTAAGGCAGCGTACGCGGGCCCCGTCACACATCACACATCGTCCCATGCAAGGGTAGTGCTGGCGAAGCTCTCCTTCAGTGGGGGGTGCGTAAAAGTTGGGTCGATACTTCCAAGAGCGGATGGCAGATGCGAGATGGGCTCGTCATCGGACGGGGAGGCCAGGAGAACCCTTTCATGGGCTTGTCTGGTTCTTCCCAGAAATGTTGACGTCGTCTCAATTTATGTCGAACCTTCTCCCCGCACTCGTCATCCTCCCAAAATCTCCGTTTAGTCTTTTGTCACCACATTAAACGTGGGAAAGACGAAGAAAGGAATGCCAGCCGAAAACATATTTGGGAGGGACCCAGAGCCTCTGAATCAGCGCTGTGCGGAATTCCAATCTACGGATACGAAGGGTCGGACGACAGCCAGATGCGCCGGAGGGCAACTAACTCAATCAGCAACGGGCAGGGGGGCAACATCGATCGATGGATAACGATCCTTCTCGCCAAAAGACTTTATTTGATTGCCTAGCCCGCCGCTGCACCTTGCCTGATTCGTATGATTGGTTAAGTTGAGTCGCGTTGCCTTGAAATTATATTATTATGATCATGTTCTTGTTTGAGAAAACAGCTGCAGAAGCAGCAGCAGCAGCGGCAGCATCACCGAGACTTCCATGGCCTTGGCAACAGTAGCCGGCCGTTTGCCAGCTTCCTGGGGCATATTCGCAATGAATTCCAAGACACCCGCCGTGCCCAGCCCGGCCTATCTTGTTCCATCCCACCCGCCAATTGTTCCTCCACCCGCCAACGCCAACACCAACGCCAACGGGTAACACCCAACCAGCACAGACGACCAAGGAGTGACGCCAGAGACACAGCATCTTGCAGAATTGATAACCGAATAAGCCTCCGCCGATGTCACCCCCATTCCGTCCTATGGCGTTGTCTTGGAGGTCTGATAGCAAAGATATGACTCTCCCGGTGCAACCCAGGGCTGCGGAGGTATCCGCTGCTTCCTACAGTTTCGTAGAGGACGCATTGCGTACTCCATGCTATGTGCATTACGCACGATCCATTTCGCCCTACCCGAGGCCTTTGTGATGAATGAGAAGAACGGATCCCTGAAACGACGGGTAACATGCACCAATACGGATTAGACATCAGGCAAATGGTCACGACTCCCCCAAAAAGGGAGACGTCCGCAGCAGGGGAGCCAAAAGTGAAGGTCTGGGCTGGGCTGAGAGTGGTGACTTTCTCTCTCGCTGGGAAAGAAGAGACTAACGAGTCACATCCATAATGCATTTGGATCACGTCGCGTTGGATTGGGTCCTGACACTGATTGACACTGGATGTGACAAGGGGCCCCTTCCAACACTAGCACCAAAAGCCTGGACTAGTCGATCCCCACCACACCTTCACGCCCCTTGGCGTCTTCCTTGCCCCCATCCCCCCACCGCCCACCACACCCTTCATCACTGCCAAGAACAAAGTAAATCCTCGTCGTTGGTTCCCAGACGCTGGCAGACGCCGGTCTTGTTTGGGCTTGACATGCCCTGGGTGTGTGGGGTTAAACCCCTATCAAACATGAGAACGATTGGCCGCCCAACCGGTTTGGCCAACGATACCGCCTTATCGGGCCTGTGGGAAGCTCTGCCTCAGACTAGGACCCTTATCAAAAATCTGCAAAATGGCGGGTGTGGATTTGGCCTTGCCTTGTCTTGCCCGTTGCTACTAGTACTGGGCTTGCACCCTGGACTTTCTTGTCCCAGCAACCCAGCAACCAACGAACTCGGACCAGTTTGGAAGAGAGCAGAGAGAGAGAGAGAGAGAGAGACAGAGAGAAACGGTGCTTTAGTCTCCATGTAGCTCCCCTTGCGAATATACGCCAACGACTGGCGTCAACCCAGCAAAAGATAGACAGCCGAGGGAGCAAGAAGTGATGGTGAACGGAACAGGACTCGACATCTCATCGGATGATGATTCGCTTGATATGACAAGAAACACACACCTCGCCTTAGTTCACACACATGCAGCAAGCCACCAACGACCATCTCGAGTATCCTAAATATCTCACATGGCATGGCATGGTATGGCATAGTATGGCGTGGGCTCTTCGTCGTCTCCTTAAAGACAGCCCCAGTCCCAAAGCTGAACGAGACCAGCCCGGCGAAGAAAGAAGGCCCCCCCAAAAGTATCTTAGCCTCCGTTTCGACGTTGGTTTGAAGGAGGTTCCCATTCGCACGCGCACACGACTGCCATCTTTTTCTCCGTCCGTCCATCCCATCCTATTACAACCCATCCCATCCCCAGTCCACCTCCCCGAACCTTCCAACCTGCCTGACCTTGCTTGCCTTCCCGTCACCTAGGGGTACTTAACCAAAAGTCCACCCACTCTGTCCAAATTTTTCTTTCCTGCAGATTTTTAGGTCCCAAGCCTTTTTTTTAATTTTCTTTTATTTCTCACTTTCCACTCCCCCTTGCTGGGCTGGTTAAAGAGGGTGAAAGACGAAAAACCCATTGCTCCCTATTTAATCTTTCTTCCCTGCTTCTTCTTTTTTTTCCTTTTTCCTCCCCGTCCAGCCACTTCGGACGGGTCTCCCGACGACGGGTGCGCCGGCCATAACATTTTCTGTCTGTGCAAGTCAGTTCTCAGCCCAGAACCAACCAACACACCAAAAACGAGCGAACCAACGGACCCTTACCCTCACCTTGCCTTAGCTGGTGATAATTAATGCCAACGGCATACCGCCATCTACCGCCAGCCCTTTAACGTCCAGCCACCCCCAACACGCACCAAAGAGGGAAAGGGGACCAGAAAGAAAAAAAGAAAAAAAAGGTCTTCTGGGCGCCTATTCCCAACTTATATAGACGACACATACCCTCCGATCCATGTTTCTGAACCCAACCGTAAAAAGGACCCTTACCAGTCGTCCTATCCATCACGAGACCAGCATCCCTCTTGGGCTTGCACCGCGCCTATCGTCTGTCACCAGCTGCCACCACTCAGAGAGGGCAGCGAACCAGCCTGACTAAATCTCCGAACCAATAAGATGGAGTCTCCTCACCACATGGGCATCCGGGAGCTCAATGTGAGCAACTGGCACGCTCACAACGGCCTAAACACGTTCAACCACGCCGTCCCCGCCATTAAAACAAGCGCAGGTAAGCAACAAGGTTTCTTCTACGTTTTAGTTGCCCTACTGCGGCTCTTTCAGCTTGTATCCTGTTGTCGATTGTGTTCGACGACGTATCTTTTCTCATGTCTTGGCATTCATTCTCCTTTGACTGCATTTTCCATCGTCACTTCATCTTCCTCCACAACGCGACGCAACATCACCCAAGAGTTGCCAGCATCACTCCAAAACCTGCTTGTGAAAACCCGCCTGTTTGTCACTCTTGTGTGGAGTCGACCAGAAAAATCAAGTCCGAAAGTATCGGCTACGGATCCTCGGCTCAATGCTTGACGCGGGGACCTAGACCAGTCTACAAAAACCGCAGGTTGCGAAATCTCATCTGAAATTTTACCAAGCTTTACTCACCTTGTCTGCCAACCCCGGCACCTCACACCACTTCACAACTCTCATCTGCCTACTTCATCTTTGCATCTCATCTAGCTCGTTCCAACTTTTTCGTAACAGAGCACTAATTCCCTCCAGCTTTCTTCACCTTCTTGCGCGCCAACCTGGTTCTGAACCCCTCCGCAATGTCTTCAAATCCCAGCACTCCTGTGCTCCAAGCCATGGGCTCTTCTCAGAATCACCACCGCCCCGCGGCGCCGTCGCCGTTGGCAAACTCCCAAACCCTCGACCCTCTCGACGACATTCCCCCGCTATCTCTCGAAGTCCTCTCCACCCGCGAAGACAAGGCCGAGGCTCTTCACCTCATCGCCGACTCCATTGCCCAGCAACGTCAGCAAGCGTCTTTCTCCCTCGTCTTCCACCCCGTGCCCCTCGCTGGCTTGGCAACAGCCCTCGGTGTCGCCTATCAGTATTCTTACGGCACCAAAGGCGACCTTGGCATGGCTCTCACCCTTCTCAGCGGCGTCGTCATGTCCTACCTCCTGACCATCCGCTGGGTGACGAGTGGGTACATTCCCCTCGCCGAACAGATGAACTGGTCCTTCATTCGCCCTGCCCCTGACGCCTCTCCGGATGAAGAGGACCTGGTGCTGGGCACCCGCTTCGGCTCCGAGATCATCGGCGCTCTCGTCCTCCGCCTCGAGCCTGCCAGTCCCGCCGCAGTCGCGGGCGGACACAGCCGGCGGAGGAACAAGGCCAGTTTCCGCGGTGGCAAGGGTCTCATCCGCGCCTGGACGACCAAGCTGCGCTACCGTGGCAAGGGCGTTGGTGCAGACCTCCTTGACGAGGCCGTCCGCATCACCCGCGAGCGCTGCGGCAAGGACGCCGAGATTGGCTTCGCGCTCGAGCACGCCAACAGCCAAATGGTTCTGCCCGAGTTCTTCAACGGGACGTTCCGCAAGCGCGAGCACTGGGCTGCCAAGACTCTTGACCGCGTGCTGGCTGAGCGGGAAGTAAGCAAGAAGAAGAGGTGAATTTTCTTCAGTTGCTTGTCTACTGGACTTCCATTTAAGTTCACTTCAGCTCAACTCATTCTTTTTACGATATTAGTATTTATTGGAAAAAAAATTACCGTCCATTTCGGACTACTGGGAGGCAAGGAAAGGAAGTTTGTGCGCGCGTGTGGAAACGGATTGAATCGTATACCCTAGAAACTACGAAGCCTGCATCATCCTCAACGAATGATGGTCAGCTTTGTAGGATCTTCATAGTTTTTTCTTCCCCCTTTTAAACAGCTTTGTTTGCATTTTATTTTTTGGATACCCCTCGTTTTCTATCATGCGGTTACTGGCGGTTTTTATATAGAATGTGAAAGACAACTGTGTCGGGAAAGGGCCTTCTCTTACATTTGATACCAAAGCTAGACGTGCAGGACCGAGTGCCGACACTGAGATGTCTGGACTTTAACAGGTCCCCTGCCTAATCTGATACCTTCGTTTGGCATGCCAAATACTCTTGTCGTCTGCTAATGTATGTGACGAAGACCATGCCTTTCTTTGTGCACCTGGAATCCACTCGACATGTTTTGTCTGCATAGAATGTGTACAGCTCCCAAATTGGTTGGTTCAACAACTTCAGTGCTGGTGTCCATGCTTGAACAACTTAATCCTAGGTCGACGTTCATTTTTGCCCCTGTGCTTCTCCAACCTCAGCCAAACGGTTCCGTCATTCGGGATGCAAGGGTTTTTTTTTTTTTTGCTTGTCTCTGGGTGGGAGCCATGTTGCTACTTACTTCCCTCGCAAACATAACCAGTAATCCCCTGACAGGAGCGGCCGTCATGTACAAAACAATCACTTTTTCAAAACAGTATCTTGGTCCCTTTCCCGTCGACGGCTCAGAAGAGCGCTCAACAAAGATCATTGATCTTAAATATCTCTCCAAGTCTCTCAGACGGTCGGGTACAAACACACATGCGTACGCCATATCCGATTCCATGGCGGCTCCCGAAGTCCACTTTTCCGTGCTCAGTCGCACATAGCCCAACGCCCAATTTCGTAAATCATGATGTCGTAAAACAAACAGCTGCACAGACAGTGGTGAGTTGGATGGCTGTGTAGTATCACTTGCGGGCTTTGGGATCGACGTAGGTTTCGGGATCAAAACCGTAAATGGGGTTGTTCATGCGACGTAAGGCCCAGATGATCTGAAAGCATGGTTAGACGACCGCGGGATGATAAAACTTGAGGGTGCAGTATGTACGCCCCCCATGTAGAGTGTAACTGTGGAGGACTTACATGGGACACGGTGATGGTCTTGACATTTCGGTACTCGGCGAATGTCACGCAATCTCGAATAATCTGAAGTGAAAGATGAGCTGTGAGAATTCCAAAGTACCCATCTAGGAGACCTGGCGGGTGTTTGAAAAACGGATACATACCTGCCGAATGCGTTCGGCTATGGCGGACCGGGCCTCGTCGTAGATAGAGGCTGAGATGCGCTTGACGCCGCCACGGCGAGCAAGACGACTACAAACTTCAGAGTTAGCTTCGTTACCATCAGAAGCAGTCTTGTAATGAAGTAAAGGTGACTGGCTTATTTTCTAGAGAGAAGGAGCCAGGCACACTCGAGGGACCATTTAGACCCCTTCCTCACCCCCTTCTCGCCAACCAGGAAGGCAGCTGCTTCGCAACTAGGAGCATAATGAACAATGGCATAACTCGAGATAAAAGTTGAAATACAAAATATCAGACTTACCGTATCGCTGGCTTAGCTATGTGGAATATGAAGGTTAGCAAATCTCACCGTAAGCGTGTAAGTCGTCATGCTGGCCAGGGGTTGCTCACTTATGCCTCGAATGCAGTCTTTGACAACCTTCCTGTTCTCCTGTTAGAAGTAAGGAATCATAAGATGTAGGTATAAACCTGGAGATGAACTCTTTACCGGTGTCTTTTCGCACCCCCTTGGCTGCCTCCAAGAATTGTTTTGCCCTTGCCTTTTCCGCCTGGACCGATCTTGGCCGCCATACCTTTCTTGGCCGCCCCAGGGCCACCGCGGTCTGGCTTAGTAGGACCAGGCGGCATTTTGATTCCCTATTCTATTGAGCGCAGCTTGCGATATAAGAACTGTGAATTCTGCTTGAGTTTGTTGCAAGAACGTGTCGTTCGTGTGGGATGTTTGTCGAGGTAGCGGCGACAGGGGTGTTGAGTGTGGCTGAAATTTAGCGTGGAGTGGATGATGGATACGGATAGCAGGTACCCATAAATATGGAGTAGGGGCACCTTATCAACCTTATCTGGAGAGAGCATCCTGCTCCCCACAGTGTATGTACAGCCGATACGAACCTAACACAGTAATGTACAGCCGAATAAGCCGCCGTGTTGCGTCATGTTTCATCAGAACTTAGAGCTCGAGGCAAGTGACAAGTCCTTCTGAACGGGAAGGTCAGACAAACAGAAAATAATTCAGGTTGAAGAGACGGCCAGAAAGAAAGGTCGAAAGAGACGTAGCTTCTAAGTGGAAAGATTTATTTATATTAGAACTGTCTTATAGAACAAGTAACCAAAGCAGGAACGAGTGAATTGTGCCCCATCTGAACGCCTAACCAGACCGGCCGCATTTACCCAAGGAGCCCCCATTATTTCAAGTCTATTTATTCAGAGATGAAAGTAGCCTCACTGAAGCAAAGACCCTCTTCAGAGATTTCTTCGTCTCCAATCTTGAGCTTCAGAGTGAGCTTGTTCTTTGTCGGGCAGTACTAAACACGGTCAGCAATGCTTAAGTCTCAGGCGCTCGGAAACACTCACTTGATAGATATATGGCTTGGTGCCGGCTGTACCAGCCACGATCTTCTTGACGAACCCAGGAACCTCGGCCAGCACATCCACCCTGTCGAGCCTCTCGCCTAGCGGTCCCTCGATGGTGGCCTCGACCGCCTTACCGTCCTTGTTCTTGCCAGACCAAGTAAACTTGATCTCCTCGGGCTCGGGCCACTCGTTGACTGTGTCGTTCTTAGCCTTGGTGTGTGTGGCCGTCTGCGTGACACCGCCATAAACCATCTCGCCGTCCTTAGCAATACCACCGACGCTGACTGTCGTCGAACCGTACGAGGGCGGGGTCGTGTACTCCATCATGACGGCGGAGTAGTTGGGGCCCTGGAAGTCTACAAAGTTCCACTTGGCCGCGGCATGATGCGGTTTCATGCCCTGCAGCGCGTACACATAGAAACCTCTGCCCTTGAAGTCTACGGGGCCCTCCTTGGTGGTGATGGTGCCCTCGACTGCGCAACGCGGCCAGAAGGCGTGGCGCATCGTGCCCCAGGGCTTCGAGAGGTCGGTACCAAAGAGCGTCTTGCCTGTCTTGCCGGCGTGGAAGCCGGGCGAGGTGCGCGTGACCTTGAGGTTGACGATGGCGTTTTCCGAATTCATGCTCTTGATGGTGTAGTAAGTGCCGTCCTCGGACAGTTCTACGGCGCAGTCATCGGCATAGAAAGAGTACCTGTCCTCGCTAACCTCCTGGTGGTTGAGAGGCGTACTCTCCCAGAGGGTAGGCTTCGACTGATCAGGATAGAAGATCTTGGCGTTGAACTGGCAGGTCGTGCGAATGCCGCTGTTCGGATGAATGTGTGTTAGCAAGAGTTAAAGTGGCGATGAAGTGCATGCGACCACTGGTGGTCATTCACATACCCGACGTTGCTGTAAATGACCTGGGCCAGCCCAAGGTGCCCGTTGTCGGCCATCAAATAGAAACTCTGGGTCTCCACAGAGGTTGAGTCGGCCGCGATCCATTTCAGGTCGTTCTTGGAGAGCTCGCTGAAGGGAGTCTCCTTGGCCTCCTCGGCGACGGACTTGATGGCCGTGGGTCCGTAAATGGGCTCTTGGGTACCAGCCACATCGGCGAGCCTGGTCAGAATTGAAGATTAGCCTTGGCAGCTTGGGACGGCAAAGAATGCGCTTTTACTTTTGTTGCGCCCACTTAAACATGTCGACGGTGGTGAGAGGGGGAAACGGGCGATATGGATGGGAGGGTATATAGGTGTTGGTTCGTCAAAAGGTAGCTTGGTGAGAGAGCAAAGTGTTGTAACAAAAAACTTAGCTTCTCGTTGAGTTCTTAAGAAGGAAGAGAAGAAAACCCCGGTTCAGAGAGAGTTGGAAGTTAGGAGCTGACCGCCCCAAAACAACACTGGCGGAGGGGCCGAGGGGTCATCCCACTACCCAATGACGGTGAAACTGTGGCTTGAGGGAGCTGGGTGGAGCATGCACTCCCCCGAGTATCCCGGTCGCTTGGACCTTAGCGGTGGCTAGTGCATAAGGCTCCTAAATTTTCCATCTCCGAACAGCCAGCATCTGGTTCGATTTGCGAGTGAAGCTGTTTCGCGCGGCGCATACAGCCCATTACACTTATCAATCAATCACAGTCGTCAACACATAATTTTCCGCCCATCATGTCGAAGCGAGGAGCGGCCGTGGCCGACCAGGTCGTGAAGCTCATCGTGGGCGCTGGTCAGGCGAGCCCAAGTCCTCCCGTTGGTCCTGCGCTGGGTAGCAAGGGTGTCAAGTCGATGGACTTTTGCAAGGTAAGGCTGCGCCATTCGCCCTCGATCCCAATGCCTAATGAACACATGGCCACCCTCTGCCCAAGAACCGTGCCCGGTTCTCCTTAAGGGGGCGGCTGGCATGTTTATGCTGTGGCTCACATCAATGCTAACGGGGGCTTTCGTGATAGGAGTTTAACGCAAGAACACAACACATCAATGTCGGCACGCCGATGCCCTGTCGAGTCACCGTTCGCGGCGACCGGTCATTCCACTTCGACATCCGGACACCGCACACGTCGTGGCTCCTTCTCCACGCAGCCGAGGCACCTATGGGCAAGAAGGGAAAGAGAAAGGGTGCGACGAACCCTGGAAAGGAGACCGTTGGTACCGTCAGCTTGAAGCACGTCTACGAGATTGCCAAAATCAAGAAGACGGAGACGCGCCTGTCGGGTCTCAGCCTTGAGGCTCTCTGCCGGTCCATCATTTTCCAGGCCAAGTCGATTGGCGTTGCCGTTGTGCCATAGAGCATCCGCCGGTTTGCAAACCTCGACAGTTTGATTTCTACGTTACATACCTATATCAAAAACGGAGTCAGGCGCGGAAAGCATCCACTTGTATACCATCTCCCTCTACGAAGAAAAGAGCGCCTTTGTTGTTGTACTATATTGGAGGTAGACGGGAGGTAGAATAGCAGCAGGAGGCATTGTACGATGAAAAGATAAAATTTTAACCGCCAAGTATACGTAGAAAAAGCATCGGTGAAAGCTTCACACACTGGTGTCGCGTGGTTTTGTGGCATATGCGCCCCATAATGGGGATGCAGCAGCATCGGTGCGCAAATGTGTCCTCCAAGTCCCAACTGGGCTGTGACATCAAAAGTGCGTGTCTCGCCTTTGTGAGGTGTAGTCTGTTCTCGTTTTCTGCGGTTTCTTCTTGAAATAACATTGGCTAGTCGGCCGTCCGTGGGCGATCGAAACAAGTAACGGATTCGCCGGTCATCTAAAAGAGTTCATCAAATTGAGTAGAGAATGACGAAGTTAAGCTGCAACACCATGGTCTGTGGGTTGTGCAAGACGGATTGGTCAGAGTCTAAGACGAACCAGGCAGGGGCAGCTTCTAACGTGCTGAGCTTCTGCTGGCGTCAGGAGATCGATTAGCGGTCCAGAACCATAATGCAACCAACAAAGCCAGCACATCAGTGGGGAATGATTAGTTCACGCTGCCCCAAAGGCTTCGCAATCGAGATCGCAGTGCTGATGCTTGAGGAGCTGACACGCAGCTGGTCGAGCTGTGTGTTGAGTAAGGGAAGATTAAAAATGGTCTGCAAGGCAGTGCCTGCTGGGTAGTGCTGACGTCGAACTAGATCTAAGGTTTTGTATGTAAGTTAGGTAAGACGAGCAGAGCGAGTAACAACCCTCCATTGAAAGATCATCAGCGAATCTTGGCATTGAGTTCTTCAGCTCCCCCGCCAGGTGCGACGAAGAGACGCATTATCCAGGGAGAGATGCTTTGCTGGTTGCCCACTTTGCCCCTGGAAAGCGGTCATTGTACAGCCGAGTGCCTGAACACGATTCCATTGCATCGACCTGTCATCTGCAACAGGCGATTTCTATAACCTTGCAACAGTGGGACCGATTCCATGCTTGCCATGTGACGGAACATTGGCCGTTTTCATGCTGCAGCCAACTGCAACAGCAACACATCAGCACCTACGCCACCGTACTGGGTCCGCCAGGTTGGCCTGGAACAGGAGTTACGGCGGTACTGCGGTACATCTCGGTAAGTACTTCAAAGGGTGTAAGACGATTGTCAGGCACATGGAGAGGGGTTTTCCTTTTCTTTTCCATGTCTCAAAAGCCAGAGCTTCGTCTGTTCCTGTCAATCATTCCATCACCCTCTGTCCATCAGCCGAAAGCTGACAGAGAGCTGGCTCCTCACGGCTTGTGTAAGCCGAGAGATGACGGGATCATGGTGGGAGACGGGATACGTGATCCACGTCTATCGTTTGTTGTGAAGGAGGGTGACAACGGCTTAGGATTGGTTCGGTCTGGTTCCTGACGAGCTTGACTCGTTCATCCCGGTCCAAGGCAACCAGTGCATTGTCAAATAATTGGGCGCGAATTGATGTTTACGTGCTGTTTTGTCGGGAATTGGGGGCGAGGGAAGAGAAAAATCTTCTTCGACGGGAAGAGTCATCCATGTGTGGGACTGACCGAGCAGCGACCAGGCAGGATCGGTATTAAAAGTAGGTAGTGTAGTGTAAAGTAAACGTCTTGGGTTCCTGCGAGATCCGTAAAAATGGGCAAAATGTGACCAAGAATATTCACTGGTGACTGGTACATAGGCGCCTCGGTGCAGTTGCATGTGTCACAGCTGCCAAGCAAGAAAAGAATCCCTGAAGCACCTCCGTTTTAGGGCCCGGGATGGAAAAGTCTAGAGCCGAGTTGGAAAAATAGAACATTCCGATCACCACAGGGACAGGCAGAGAGCACTGGTAGGCTGGGCAGGCAGGCGTGGGAGGGCAGGGCAGGGCAGATAGGTAGGGCCTTCCGCCCGGGTCCTGATGCAGATACGCGCAATGCATACATCGTTTTTGAGGGGGGCTGCCAAGTATTAAACCCGTTCCCAGGTGTTACCAAACCACTTACTTCTGGCCCTCAGTGGCCGGCCCACGTCCCCCAGGGAAGAAAGCCCAAAGGCTCCATTCCGGTGTTACGGCGTCTTATCCAGCCCACCGCTGCCCGATAAGGGATAAGGATGCCGACCAGTTAGCTTGTACTTTTTTTTTTTTTTTTCTTCCTGGTTTTGGGGGCTGGGAGTATTGTGTACCTAATCCTCTTACTGCAGACGGGTTGCCGGACAACTGGAAGGGCCCGTAGCAAACCCTGGGGGTTGTTACGATACCCAAGTACTCCGTACCTGACCTACATGGGCTATCTTACTTATTTTATAGCGTCTTACTAACAACTCAAAGGGCTTACGATGCTACAAGTCACCAGTGACCCATGCAGTGCATTTTAGCTGTAGTCAGGGCCCCACCATCCGCAATTGGCGGCATCCACTGCCCGTCCTGGGTATCCGTACTTTTCTCTTTCCCAAGCCCGACTTTGTGTGTGAATTTGTTTGATTTCTTCCCACTTGTTCCTCTCCCCGCCCCGAACACCTTCTCTTACGAAATTGTGCGACCGAAAAGAACATCGTCATCCAGTTTGTCGGGGTCATGGCTGCTCCATCTCCCCCTCGTGATCCTCAGAAGAAGGATAATCAGGTTCCAGGTATAACAAACCTACCTTTCCGCCTGTTCCGGAGCACGCAACCCCGCCCTCGGGTTCGTCTCTTGCGCATGTCACAGCACATGGAGCCAAAGCGAACAGCCGCTCTCACTCCCATGCCACCACCCTCACTTTTTCGCCCACCCAGAATCTCTCGTGCTGACTGCTGCGCTTGTCGCAATGCCCAGAAACCACCCATAACGTGCTCAATACCCCCAATGCCAATAAAGATTCCAAAATGTCCTCTCAAGATGCGCCCGCCGTCCGCTTCGCTTCTTCCGTTGAAGAAATTACGCCTGCCGTCACCACGACATCACCAACCGATACCCAGTCGCCCACCGACGACGCCGCCTCCGGAGGTGCCTCTCTTTCAGAGGTTACACCTGATCAACTAAGAGCTCTTTCCAAATCACTTCAAGGAGCACCGTTACAGCAGCGACGAATGAACGTTTTTGGCTTTGAGCCATACTCACTACCTGCTTCACGCGTATGTAAACGTCCTGCTCATGTCTTCCACCTTTATGCCTGATACCGAGGGCCTTGCCTACTCTTTGCTTGGGCTTCTACCCCGATATGTTGCGTTTCAGAAGCACCTACCTACCTGCCTTGCCCCTCTAAGTTAATTCTGGCAATACCGCATCGCTACATAGCCCCTCTTCCTTGTGCACGTCGCTTCCTACACAACCAGGCAGACTGGGCCTCAATGGCGCCTCTAATCGGTGGCTTCGTCAATTAGTCTCTTGTTTACACCAAGGGACACTGACTTGTAACCTCTACCTACATCAACTACTATACTTCACATACCAGTCTGCACAACCTGCACCTCACTGACATATTTTAACCGCAGGTCTGTTCTCGAGAGGACGAGTCTGACAATAGCAGACTCCCGACGCCGAACTCTAGCGGACCGAAATCGCCCCGTTTTGGTCCGGTGCATCCCATGCAGTCACCCCCACTGACCCCGGCGGGGACCGACCCTTCAGATCCGGCAAAGAAGAGTGCTGAACATGACGACGACTCGAAAACTTCCTCGAGCGAGCCGCAGGTCATAACCCCCCAGGCCTCATCTTCCCAAGATCCCTCCCCCCCCTCATCGACAAGGAGAACTATCCCAGTTCGAGCCAAGTCGGGCGAGCAAGTTGCTCAGAGATCAGCTTCGGCGGAAGACCGGGACCATGATACGAGATCGCACCGGAAAGGCATGTTTTCCATCGGGCCCGGAGGATCTGTACCTGTTTCTCGAGAATCTAGTCCGTCTCGCGCCTCAGTGTACTACTCCAAGCCAATGACCCCGGGAGGAGACGCCAACGATCCTTATGCCGCCCACAAACGTCAGCCACAGGCCCCCAACCCCCAACGCGGTACGATTGACTCGAGATTTGTTTTTTCCAGGAGGAAGAACAAGCATGGCTCGCCTTCAGGCTCAACTTCAAGTCTGGGCCGCGCCAGCGAAAAGCGTCACTCTGGTCTTCTGGGCAACTTGAAAGGCCACGGTGACGAGCTTCAAGTTCCACATGACGATTCCGCGAGTATTTCCAGTAGGCAAGGCTCGTTCGCCGACCTCAAGAGATTTTTCAAGGTCGGTGGGCACCATAAAATGAAGAGGGAGTCTTCCCCATCTTCAGTCCGGTCAGGCACGCGGACTCCGCCCACGAGATCCTCACAACATCAACTTCCGTTTAGCGACGACCATGGTTTGTCCTCGAAGTACGGAAAGCTCGGCAGAGTTCTGGGCTCTGGTGCTGGTGGATCTGTGAGGTTGATGAAACGAAGTGAAGATGGAGTCGTTTTCGCTGTCAAGGAGTTCCGTCCTAGACATTCTTACGAGACCGAGAAAGAGTATGTGAAGAAGCTGACAGCCGAGTTCTGCGTGGGGTCGACTCTGCATCACGGCAATGTCATTGAGACATTGGATATCCTTCAGGAGAAGGGCAAGTGGTACGAAGTCATGGAATATGCTCCTTATGATCTTTTCGCCTGTGTTATGACGGGCAAAATGACGCGCGAGGAAGTCGGTTGCTGTTTCCTCCAGATCCTCAATGGTGTGACCTACTTGCACAGCATGGGTCTTGCCCATCGGGATTTGAAGCTTGACAACGTCGTGGTCAGTGAACATGGCATCATGAAGATTATCGATTTCGGTAGTGCCCATGTCTTCAAGTATCCATTTGAGAACGACATTGTGCTTGCGTCGGGTCAGTACTCTCAAGTCTTGAATCCGAAATCAAAGCTAACTCTTAAGCAGGTATTGTTGGCTCGGACCCGTACTTGGCCCCTGAAGTCTATGACGAGCGAAAATACGATCCCCAGGCCGTCGACATTTGGTCTCTCGCAATTATTTACTGCTGTATGACCCTGCGCAGGTTTCCCTGGAAGGTGCCTCGCATGACAGACAACTCGTTCAAACTGTTTGCGGCTGATCCGACTCCGGGGCACGACCCCAAGAAGCTAATTTTGCCCTCAAAATCAACCAATGACCTGACAAGCACCCCAGCACGGGACATTTTTGAGGACGGTAAACACGAACACAAACAGCCTCAGCAGAAGCCAGAACAGAAAGAAGGAGAGGGCAGCTCATCTCAAGGAAACTCAAACCAAACTTCGGCCCGATCTGATGGGCAGCAACCGGAGAAGAAGGAGGTAATCAGGGGCCCCTGGAGAATTCTGCGCTTGCTTCCCCGTGAAAGCCGACACATCATCGGCCGCATGCTCGAAATTAAGGTCAAGGAGAGAGCGACGATGCAACAGATTTTGGAGGAGCCATGGGTAGCGAATACGGTCATTTGCCAACAGCCCGAACCCGGCCGTGTCATTCATGCGGAGGACCACGTCCACACCCTCGAACCGCCACAACCCCCGAAGTAAACTACGTTTTGCTTCACACAAACACAAACAAACACACACACACACACACACACACACACACACACACACACACACACACACACACACACACACACTTACACTTAAGGTTGCATGTTAATCCTGGCGTTTTGGATATCAGGGGGAAGGTTGGGAATGGGATCGGCCGAGGTTGAGAAACGGCAGTGCATGAGCGCCTTGAGAGTGACGATACAGCGATGACTCTTTTCTTTAGAGCCTGGGTGGTTTTAGGTATTCGCCTTTCAGGAAGGGCAATGTAGATGCTGCAGCGGCTCTGTTTATGGGCTTGTATCATGCGAATGAACGTTAGACAGGTAGATAATACTTATTAGTATAAAAACACGCTGTGTTTTCACAGGAAACCCTACCGGCCTTCAAATTCATAGGTGGGCTTCTTACACTCCGTAATGCTTGTGACGTTCTGGATTGATGATGTGACCTGCGAAGTCGGGTGCTGTACCGTGCTCCCTCGGCAAAGGGGTATAACAGCGCACTGTACGGTGGTGGGGCAGCGGGAAATCTTTTGGCCGACTAGCCCAAAAAAAATGTTGACTTTCTGGAAGCTCTTGGAATAGCTTCAAGACTTAAAGTTCGTCCCCCGTATCCGCCTCCAACTTCCGTCGATCGTCACCAGCACATCTCCTCACGTTGCAATTGCCTTTCAGTCTGCACCAATTCAACCGTCGCAATGGTATGTCTCATGTCTCTGTCTCACTGTCTGTCCTGTCGGCGCGCTGTTCCGGCTGTCCGCGCTACCGTTGTATCCAAGGCCTCGGCAATCTGGCCTGGGCAGGAGCGCTCTTGTTGCGCATTGCAAACTACAAAATAAGAGTGCTAACGTGTTCGCCCTCGAACAGGCCACTTCCGTCCGCTCTATCCGCTCCCTTGTCCCCCTTCTGGACCGCGTCCTCGTCCAGCGCGTCAAGGCTGAGACCAAGACTGCCAGCGGCATCTTCCTGCCCGAGTCCAGCGTCAAGGAGCTTAACGAGGCCAAGGTCCTTGCTGTTGGACCCGGTCTTCTTGACAAGAAGGGCAACAGACTGCCCATGGGTGTTAGCTCTGGCGACCGCGTCCTGATCCCCCAGGTATGTTCAATTATTCAATTACATCAAGACCCGCCAGAGATTGTCTTTCTCCCTCTTCCTGCGCAGTCAGCGGTGCGGTGCAGGACATGGCCTTCACAGCCATTACTTTCCCCGCGGTCTGTCGTTGGAGAGGGACTAGATACTCCTTGTTTTAATTTTATTGCGACACCATGCTGACGAGACATGTAGTTCGGCGGTTCTCCCGTCAAGGTTGGCGAGGAGGAGTACCACCTCTTCCGCGACAGCGAGTAAGTTTCCCCTCACCTTGAAGACATGCGTATCTCATGGCAAGCCATGGTCCGCAAATAGTCCGAAGATGAAAGACGATAAAATGACTAACATGGATAACAATAGGATCCTGGCCAAGATCAACGAGTCGTAGAAGAATTGAAAAGAAAAAAGATACCCCACGAGTTCAACGACTTCTTGGCGTGTACAATACCTTGTATTAAAGCAACATTGAAACAAAAACCAAAAAGCGAGCAAACGAGATGAGAGAGTCTGAGGAATGTCGTTTTATTTTTGTAGCTTTTGCATAGACTTGGTGTAATGTTAGGGCGTGCTTAGCTTCCGCTGTCTCGATGAAGAGAAAGGATTGGGAACGGAGACTTCCGGGAAGAGAGAGAGAGAAGAGAGCTGAGACTGCTTTACTTTTCTCTCTCCCGCCCCGTCGGTCTCATCCTTCTACTCTCATATTTGGGCATGCGGTCTTATTCATAGAAGTTCTCCTCTCTCATCTATTCACATTCAGCGGGAAAAAAAAAACAATGACCAGCGTGTATCCGTACCCGTGCTCCAATCACGTTTTCACGACATGACGTACGTCACCTACCCTCGATGCTCTGACGGCTTGTCCTTGTTCGCCAAGACCGATAGGTGCTTGCACATTGTTGTCCCTCCCCCTCTCTGTGCACAATGGTGCCTACGGACATGGTTGGAAGGGGGAGGGTGCTTCAGTGGCTTACGGATTGGATATTTTGCTTCCCCAGGTCCACCAAGCTCGGACGGCCAACGAGTAATGGAAGTGACACAGCCGCTGAGCTGCGGCGGATGGGTGGATGGGTGGATGGGCAGATGGTATGAATAAATGGAATTCTATCTATCTCGGTGGCTGCCCGAGTCAATCAGTTTCAGCAGCTTACTTTCAGTTTGTATGTGTATGGGCTGTGTGTATATTTTGAGCGGAGCGGCTAGGCCCCCCCTCCCCCAGTGACGAATGATGAGCCTGGCGAATAGATAGGGAGATATGGGTCATGGATGACAGTGGGCAAAACCAGAACGAAGACCATGCGCGATAAACAAATCACGACCAGGGAATATGGACGACGAATCGGAGGAGAGTGAAGAGTGGGAGTCTTTGGGAAAGTGGACGGAGGAGTTCCACGGGAGACCCGGAGTTCCCATATGAAGTTCCCACCCCTTTTTCCTTCTTCTCTGCCAGATGGGAAACGAACTACGGATACCTACTGTGGGGAGGTTGGGTTGCAAAGATTTCCGGTCTGGAAAGATGATGTGAAGGATGGGTTGGAAAAAAAAAAAAACACACACACACACATGATGACCAATGTAAATTGTATGTTCTGGCGTGTCTCAGAGTGACGGAAACCGAATCGTTTCTTGTTCGCCTTTCCCTTCTGAAATCTGGTTCAGGGGGCGGCGGCTGCGCGGGATGCAGTAGTTAGTATCAGTAAGCAAAGCGGCTGCTGGCAGGCGGCTGTGTAGCTTCAGCTGCCAATCGGGAGGGCGTGTGTCTCTGGCGCCAGGCATGCGGTAAACTCCTTTTCTCGCTCCGTCTGAAGTGAGAACTTGGAAGCCGGTTGGCAAGGCACGTAGCGCTGTGCATTGGGTGTCCAATGCAGCGGGTTTTTTTGGGGTTCTTTTTTTTTTTTTTTTTGGCCCAGCCCGCAGCTCGGGGCAGCTACTCCAGTAAGGAGTCACCGCGTGGGTTGCTTATCCAGGTTCGGTTCCAAGGTTCCAGCTCCTAAAGTTTCACTCTTCTTTATTTTTTTCTTCGGCCGGTTTCTTCTCTTCGGTTGGACCCAGTTTTAGGTGACACCTAACGAGGTCAAGCTTAAGGGCTTAAGTGCTTAAGTGTGTCAGAGAAGGGGAGGTGCGGGAGACTCATGACTTACTACGTCCCCCCTAAATGTTAAGCTTACTGTTTACACTACTGCAAGGCACTGTAGCGTGTGCCTGGCGGGAGAAAAGGGAGGAGAAGATCAGCCATCAGCCGATAGTCGCAAGTTAATTGATTTGTCTCGCCTCGTTTGTTCGTCCCTTATGTTCGGATGACAGTGACAATTCGTTTGTTTCTCCTTACCCCTCCGTTTCCGCCACCATCGGAGTCATGATCTACCGCCAAACCAACAATGGGTTTCGCCCAGCCGGCTTGTCGCCTGTCAGGCTCGTGATGGCGTTTTCAACCCCCAAAACCGGGGGTTGAGGGGGCCAAGCTAACTACAGCTGGAATGCTTTCCCTTCCTCTACTCCGGTCCATAGCAACGCAGCTCCGATTTTCTGTTTAATTGTACTATAGGATTGAATATGGTTTCCTTGGAAATCATGGGCAAGTTTATGGCCCCGGCACCGCCTCGAATCTGTCATTTCGGCTTCGATATTGCTGGGGGCCAGGGCATCCAGGGGATCGACGGTATTGTTGGACTGAAAACAATGGGTAGACCAGACACCGCTTCAGCCTCCTCTGTCGGGAGATTCGATCATTCCAAGGCGGAGACTTCATCTGCAGCTACCGGAGATGTGATTACGATCTAGTCGGAGGATGAATTGTGAGGGAATCCAACCTTGGAAAGACTGTGCGAGAGTGCCGGCGGATCCCCAAGGCTGACTTTTACAGTGAGGGATTTCGTCCTTCATCTCCATTCGACGGGGACTTGCGCTGTACGTGCAAGGGGAAACGAATGTAAAGAAAGACCGGGAAACAAAAAGTGAGGTGCATCATTGTAACGCAATGCAACCCCCCAAAACTGCAAGACAGCGCGCGTCTATTCGTCCGGCCGGCTCTTTGCGTCGATCCTGTGTGCCTTTTTTTCCTTTCCTTCCCTACTGTAACTGCAGCTATACCTTGGAAAATCCCATGGCTCAACTTAAATTCCCCGACTCCTAGTGGAAGGTGGGCGGCGACCAATGGCCCCCCCCCGCCCCAGTGCCGCCCCTCCGTTTCATCTTGCCCTCCCCGTTTGCCCACTAAGGCACGCCACGACACCCTGCAATATGAAATTGAGGGCCAACCGTACGCTGTTTGTCGGTGCGCTTGGCAGGCACCTTGTTTCCGTCCGCCATGGTCCAACCCTGGTTCCTGGCCAACTTCTAAGTTCTGGACTTCGAAAGTCTGTGGAAACACCAGCGGCAATTTTCCCTCTCGCTGGAGGAGAGGAGGCCACCAAGCTTTGTCATTCGCCTCCTCTCGTCGTCCTTCTCGGCAGAACATCGCGCTAGCGCCCCCAAAGATACTTGCGTACTACTGTAAACCTGCAAGGCGGGAACCAGGGGGGGCCACACTGCCCTCGGAAAGGGGAGGGGGCCTGATAGGACAGAGGCGAGATGAGATGGAGAAAGGTCCGTCAAGGGCCTGCAGTAGCGGAGCTGCACGTCCAAAGGGAGGGGGGTGCAAGCGGGTTAATCGTATAGTGAGTGAGCGGGTGAACCGTGTAAGCCACTATTCGCTCAGCTCTAGTCCCGTACCATGACTCCATCCAACAGGATGACGAGGGCGAACCGGGGACGCATGAGAGCCCTGGCTCCTTGTTCTGGTCTTGTTTGTAAAGGAACGCCAGGGTTGTGGTCTGTTGGTTGGCTGATATAAATCCATCCAGACTTCTCACCCTCGTTGACGGGCCTCTCTTTCTGGCTCCATCACCTTTTCTGTACACAGCTGGCCGCTGATACACACGCTCCCTTCTTGTTCGATCTGCTCAGTCTGAACGAACTTTCCATTCTTTATACAGCAACAACAGATCCTACTTTTTTTGTGCTCGCTTTCACTCTCTTCTCGACCGAGATACCACCAGATATCGCTGTTGAACAGTCCACTCCTTCGACACAAACCGGAACAGCCTAGTGCTTGACCAAATTCAGTCCTTCCCTCAGAGACTTACAACCCGTTTCGACTTTCGATATATCGAACTTCGACTTCAGCAGGCCTGCTACAGAAAAGAATTGATTCGACCTACCCTTCTTGCACGAAAGTCATACAGGATCCCCACCTTTGCCCAACATGAAGTTCCTCACTCTTGCTCTCGCCTTGGCCTCTGCCGCCAACGCCCACACTCTCCTCTCCGAGCTTTACATCAATGGTAAATCTCAGGGAGATGCTACCTGTATCCGAACGCCCAAGAGCGGAGATACCGCCACCTCTCCCGTAGCTGGCCTGACCAGCCAAGACATGGCTTGCGGTAGGTCAATCTATTTTCTCCCAGAGTTCCGGCACCGTCCCCCACAAATCCGGACGCTCAGACGGAAACAATCAACCCTAGAAGGTGACTCAAGATGCTAATTATTCACAGGCAAGGACGGCAACATTGCTGCGGCTTACGTCTGCCCTGCCCCCGGCAGCTCCAAGCTGACCTTTGAGTTCCGCGAGTGGCCCGATGCCCGTGCTGAGGGATCCATCGATGGGTCCCACAGGGGCCCTTGCGCCGTCTACGTCAAGAAGGTCGACGACATGTTCAAGACCTCTGCCGCCGGTGATGGCTGGTTCAAGATCTGGGACGATGGCTACGACGAGTCCTCCGGCCAGTGGTGTGTCGACAAGCTCATCGCCAACAAGGGTCTCCTGACCATTGAGCTTCCCTCTGGTCTCCCCGCTGGTTACTACCTCGTCCGCCCTGAGCTGCTCGCCCTCCACCAGGCCGTCTCCCTCAAGGACCCCCAGTACTACGTTGGCTGCGCTCAGATCTATGTTGAGAACGGTCCTTCCGGTGTCCTGAACATCCCCTCTGAGTACTCCGTCAGCATTCCCGGTTACATTGACGGCTCCGAGCCCGGCAACAACTGGAACCTCTACGACAAGAAGCAAAACCCTTCCGGCGCCTACCCCATCCCCGGACCCAAGCCTTACTCCCCCTCCGGCACCTCGTCTGGCTCTGCTGCTCTGGCTGCCGCTGACATCCAGGGTGCCATTCCCTCCGACTGCCTCGTCAAGAACGGTAACTGGTGCGGTAAGCCCCTGGAGAGCTACAGCACCGAGACGGGCTGCTGGGCTCAAGTCGAGGCTTGCTACAACCAGGGTGAGACGTGCTTCAAGTCTGCCCCCGCCACCGGAGCCAAGAACTGCGAGGCCTGGAACGCCGGCATGTGCAAGGTCATCGAGGCCGAGTGCCGCGGCAAGAACTTCAACGGCCCTCCCCAGAACAAGATCAAGGAGGTCACCACCCCTGCCCCCGGCGCCATTCCTGCTGCCGTGAACCTCAACCTCCTCGGCAGCAGTGGCTCCTCCAACTCCGACTCAGGCGCCTCTGCTCCTGCTCCTTCCAAGACCGCTGCTGCTTCCGCCGTTGTCTCCTCCGCTGCCGCCACTCCCAAGCCTGAGTACGCGGCTGAGGACCCCGTCTCCGAGAAGCCCGCCCCTTCGGCCCCTGCCGCCACTTCTGCTGCTCCCCCTGCTGCCCCCCCCGCTGCTTCCTCTTCCCCCGCCCCCGGCAACGGCTCCGGCTCCAAGGTCTCCACCGACGGTACCTGTGGTGGTGAGGGCGGCCAGACCTGCTCCGACAGCGGCTTCGGCTACTGCTGCTCCGCCAGCGGCAAGTGCGGCAGCAAGATGGTCCACTGTGGCTGCGGTTGCCAGGCCGGCTTCGGTCTCTGCCTTGACAAGTACCAGAACAAGGGCAAGGGTAAGGGCAAGCAGTACTAAGACTCTCGTCCACCTCACCCTCCGCCAACAGAAACATCGCACACATCACGTTTGACGTAACGCGTTGCACGTAATGTGATTATGACGACACGAAAAAGACCAAAACTTTCGATTCGACACTTGTGTGCTTTATGCCATCCTTTTTTCTTTTTCTTTTGGGACAAGGTTTTTTTATATGGAGAGAAACAACTTTTGGGCAAACCAATTTCATCAACGGCCGGGTAGCATCTTTCCGAGAAGAGAAAGAAAACACATGGGAACAAAAGGGGGGAACAATCTCTTGCATTGGGTTTCTGGTGTTTTATTCTGTCTTCTTCGTGCCTTTCTTGTACATACTCAGTACCATCCAACAACACATTGATTTGGGAACCGCCTTGCCTTGAGTGTTCATGTGAATGTATTGACTGTGATTCGAATTTACGGCGTAACTAAGGTAAAGTCTCGGTTCTAGCCAAAGGACTCAGATACTCCCGTGGCGAGTAATAGTGGTTATTATGCTTCGTCTGCGAGAAACTAGCTGCTCCTAACAAGGTTTCGTTATGTTGCTCAAGATTTTGTCACTCCAGGAGAAACTACTTGACAATTACATAGTCGACAAACAGTCCAGTCCAGCAAAATTGTGGTAACTTCATGTAAAAAGCCTTAGTAAAAATTGCAAGCAGTCGCAGCTTAAGACGACATAAGTTGCTGTACCTCATTAAACCTCATCTCGGGAGCCTTCATGCGCACAACACCCAAAGCAAGCCTTGAAGATGCAACCAACCCTGTGCTCCAGCCTCATCATCACCCTTATGCTCGAAGCGGGACGCGGTCCAATCCAGCTACACCGGTGCCGACGCAGAGATGACGGAAGTATATAGTCTGCACCCTCACACAACTTCAGCTGCACCACGTTACAACACCCACGGCTATCCGCGTATGCAAAAAGCGTGGTGTCAGCAAGCACGGTGGCAACACTCAGCCGCCCCCGAACTACCAGAATCGGCTGTCCGCCACGAACGCCGCGGTCCGGTGCCACCAGGTTCTGGAATAGCCGCAGTTCCGTCTGCGCGGGAAGCTCGGCGGGTGTTAGCCAATAACTGGTCAACACCTCAAGTCCAGAACCAGGGCCGAAGTGCCCGTTTGCCCACCCCTGCGTAATGTCCAGCAGTTCCCACGTGCTTCCGCAAGCCCTCACGTCACCGTAGATGCCCAATTGTGCAACAGAATGAGTTGTTGGGCCGACGGGCCGAGCCATGCGAGTTCGCCGATGACGTCCCACGCGTACAGGATCTCGGTGTCGTTCAAAGCTTCCTGGGTCACGGACACGGCACCACGGTACTCGTCCACTCTCGTGGACTCGCTGGGCATAAAGAGCGCCTCGGCCGCTCTGGGAGAGTTCGGCTAAGCCGGGTAGGGGATGGTGATGAAGCTGGCGACAGGGACGCTAATGCCGTTAATGTATTTCCTGGCGTACCGGCAACGTTAGTATATCACGCTGGGAACCACAGTATCGCTGATGCCATCATAACTCGCAGCTTCAGAAGGCCGCCGGCCTTGGTGGTTGAGAATTTGGCGGCGATGATGTAGAAGACGAAGTCGAAAGTTGGTGCCGAGAATCTCGAGGTCCTCCGCGCTGGTGTGCTGGAGGATCTGGTAGCATTTAAACTATACGATCATTGTAGATGCCTGGTAGTGTGGAGGTCGCCGGTACGGGAGACCATTAATTTTTCTTGAACCATGGAGACGAGCCTTGTGTATGCCACTATTTGTTCTACGGGTCGAGACGTGGAAATACGTGCAAGTATTTGGAAGAATATGGATGCAGCTAGTCTAGGACGAAGCTTTCTCAGTAGAATCGCTTACAAACCCTGATTTTTGGTACCCCATATTACAAACGTAGGCTGAGGTCAATATTCCCAGTCGCTATGACCAAAGATGGAGTGAGCAGAACCAATATCACTTCGTACCAAATATGCAACCATCGGAAACACATTCATTAATCACCAGTTCTAGCGCCGTTGATTGCTCTCTTTATTGGAATTGTTGAGTATTGGGGATCCAACTCCATAGCGGTCGTCAAAGCGAGCGGCTTCATGGTGTCTCGAGCCAAATCTCCATTAACCTCGCCAAATAAAGGCTCATGCACAGCCTCACAATGGTTCGCATACTTACTCCATTGTTGAGCTCCGCTACTGTACCCTTTCACTTAACATGCGAGGAGGTTGTCGCCGATGCATGGGTGTCAATGAGCCGACTGTGTTTTCTATAGCTCCAGCAAATGATCATGAGCTAGGCTCCAACGATACCTCCTCGTCTCATGAATGTGCATGAGACCCTGTGAAATTGTGTCATCGCTAGATAAGTATTCTGTGAATACCTAACTTGCTAAGCCATGACAACTGACTCGGAAAAGTAGTGAGTGGTTTATAGCTGGACCAGGTATCAGAAACATGACACAAAATGCACCAATGACTGTCTCCTTATTACTACTTGTCCTTGAAGTGTCGTTGCCTTGCACAAAGGTAAATTCATGTAAGTATTTAGTATGGAGCAACGTCGTCTTTGCTCCTTGATGAATGTAGGCTCTCTCCTCATTAGCTAGCAAAGTCTGAGCATCGCGTAATTGATACGCCCAGGATAACCAATCACCAACCAACCCATCAGATTAATTGCTCATTGCATGTAGGCACTTCTTTGTGGAGAGTGTTCTCATAAAAAGCCAAATCGAATACCTCTTTTCACCATTCAAAACCCTCGGAAGCCAGGACTCAATCATACCGAGAGCATAAGTCAAGCCGCTGCCTTAAACCTCACCAGACCCCACATTCCCACAACCGTATCAACCAAAGCTTATGATACTCGTTTACAACATCCTACCGCCCCCTTCAAATCGTCAAAAAGTTGATGTAAAAAGCAAAAGTGAATGTAGACCGACCAACGTGGGACTCGAACCCACAACCTTCAGCTTAGGAGGCTGACGCGCTACCATTGCGCCAGCCGGCCATGAAATGCGAGCTTTGATGCTCGTTGTTGACGTCAGGCAATCAGTTTGGGTCTTATGTAGCGTGTGTGTGTTATGGGACCTGCGGAGTCATTGTGGAATGTTTGTGTGGTGGCACCGCCCTGTGGTGGGGCATCGTGGTGGAAAAGGTACGTAACGGACTGCAGTGTGAGTTTGGGAAGCGTAATAGTAATAGCAACGTTGAAGTGGACGAGCAAGCATGTGTAGAGCTCGAGCTGGAGCTGGCGATGGCATGCATGTGAAAGATCAATAACCTTTTTCTGTTGGGGGACAACGCGTTGACGAGACCGGATTAGGCTGGTTGCTGTCTGATGGCAGTGAGTATGCGACTTGCTCCTGATCAATGTAGTGCTATGAATGCATGGTTCTGGAACAACAAAGGGTGGTAAAATTGGTGGCAGCTGAAGCCCTGTTTTTTTTTTCTCCTCTTCAAAGTTGAAAAAGTGTTATGTCTTGTTACTTTATCGGAAATCTTTGAACTCGCGCATGGCCAGCTGTATACTGAAAATAACTGATTAATGGGCATGTGCCCGTGGAGCATCAGTTTGCCCAACTCCCTAGGTCAGGTCGGTTCACGCATGTGGCAGTATTTGTCGGCGCGTAGCTGTGCAGCCCATCTTGAGCATCCGACATATTCGAATTTTTCTTCCCTCTTAAATCTTCATTTCACAGACCAGACCTTTAACTACTTCTCATCTGCCGTCTCTCATAACTAAGTTGATTTGGCACCGGCCATCTCAGACGCTGAAGGGTCGTATCCCAAACAAACAGCAGTGGCATAGTCGCCGTCGTGGCTGATGGAAACCATGGCCGTTTGGTCCGGCTCACCTTCCCTCTCGCTTCGGAGGACGGCCACGGGTGGGCCGCTGCCGTTAGGATTTTCCTTGCCCTCCACCAGCGCCTTCCTGACGATGGTTATGTCGTGAAATGAGAGCCGCCTGAAAGGATGCGCCTTGAAAGTCGCTTCTTTGGCGGCGAACCTGTGAGATGAGCTTCCAGTATCAGCTCACGTAGCTCAGGTGTCTGTCAGTGCCAGGTTGTACGGGCCCCATACGTACCTTCCAGCTACGTATGTCGCCTTCTTCCATAAGGTAGGATTGTGTTTCTTCAAAGCTTCAAAATCGCCATTTTGAAAATTGGCTGCCAAAGTTTGCGGACTGCCCTTCATAGAATCGGCAGGAACCAGCGCGCGTTCATCTTGGGTGAAGACGCGTTGAAGAAACCTTGTCCCTCGGTCGCTGGCCAGAAGCCGATAGATGCGCGAGACTTGGCAGATATCGGTCCCGATATTCAAGGGGAAAGGAAACGATCTTGGCAGCACCATGAGTCTGATGCGACAACGGAACTGCTGGAGCAAAAAGCAGACTCCAATTATTGGACTGACACAATCAAAAGAAGCTTGTCAAGTTCACTGCTTGAAGCTTTGGGGTTAATCGACCATTCCCTATAAAGACTAGTGCTAAAGATAAAAGAGCTCCGGAACGATAGCGATAACGATAAGAATGCCAACTACGTCATCTTCTACGCCTCGCATCTTCCTAGCCCACTAACAACAAGGGGATATTACCGTGCTCTCCTGCATGCGTGACCAAAGAATGCTATTTACATGCCATCCCAAGAACAATTCAGTTGTCATAGCAGTTTTGACCTAGCAACTTTTCATGTCTCCACAGCCTCTCATGGGCTATCAATTATGTCTCCATCTGCGCCTGTTTTTGGCGTAGTGGGTGCTCCGGTTACGAATGCCACCCATTGACAGGCTAATTGTCTTTCTGGTTTAATGCAATGTGTTGCACTTACTGGTCGTCAGCCAGAAGAGGAGCACGCTCCTGGTCTGCGGGGGCCGAACGGCGGGTCCAGGAGTACTCCTTGCCAGTCCAGGCAGGGTAGGCAATAACGAGTGTTGAGACGAACAGGACTGCCATGATGGTGAAGGCGAAGATCCACTGGAAGGCAATGATCTGACGCTCGAACTGGGCAACGCCGATGGCGGCGGACAGAACGCTGAGGGAAAAGCCAATGGTGTAGTCCTACGAAATGTTAGAAAAAGTCAGGGAGCGTTGACGATCGGCGTCACTTACCTTGTAGATGGTGATGAAGAATCCTCCGTAGACAAGGAGGGACCAAATGAAGATGTTGCCAAAGATGCGGGCAACCAAGCTGTGGGGGTGGGGAACCATGATGGCGCCGTTCCAGTAAATAGCGACAAAGGTCCAGGCCAGAGGAGCAGATACGACTGGCCAGTGGATGAAACGCGGGTAGGTGTTGTGGCGGAAGTACAGCGAGGAAAGGTTGAAGAAGTTGATAATCAAGATAACCTCAGCCCAGGCGAAGTGGGAGCGCACGAAGAGCATGACGAAGGCGAAGTGCAAGAGGTTGTTGAAGATGAAGTGAGATCCAACGCTGGCGGCGGCGTTCACATAGTCGGCGTTGCTAGAGAAGAGATGACCGACGTATCCGATTTGAAGGATAAAAAGAACAATCCTGCAAAACTGTTAATACTGTAAATAATTTATTGGTCTTTCCATACTCACCAGTAGATGTCAACAATGACAGAGTTGAGGGTGAATGCAGTCGGGTACAGCCAGTTCTGATCCCAGATTCTTCTCCGGATCGTGAAGCCATCGTGAGGCTCGTAAACGGTGTAGTATAGGGTAACGACAAGAGAAAGGATCCAACTCAATATGGACAGGACCTTGTACGTCGTGATGGCGCCAGCACTATGAGACTCCTTCCTGGAGAAGGGGTTCACTTGGTGAGGTTAGCAGGCTGCAAGCCATAGTAAAGACAAATGAAAAGAAAACTCACAGGCGTGGATGCGCTCTGAAGCGGTAGGCATTATGGCTTGCCTTCGGAAATCAAAAGTCGACGTTGTTTGTTTAGTCTTGTTCCTTGATGTTTGCAATCCGCAATCCGCTTTTGAAGATGAGCCGCTCGATTGTAATGAAGAGTGAGGTTGCTGGTAGGCAGAAGCTCGAAAAACAAAAATATTGGCTTGGTTGGGGGAGGGCAGGTAGCATTTAAACGAGCAGAAACATCGATGGCAGACGGGATGCTAAATCTGCGGGGAAGCAACTCGCCACAGGTACATTAGCGTGTAACGCAGACGCAAGAAGAGGTACGTTCCCTGCTGCAGGTCGGCAAGGAGGGTAGGTGCTGTGTGGGTGGTGCTGTACATCGGCCTTACCATCACAAATTGATGTGGACTACACTCACAGCCACCCATCCTCCGTGCTTCCTCCTCCTCCTCTTTTACCACCACCACCACCACCGCAATCACAACCAGCCATTTACGTGTGGTGGGCTACTGTGCAGTACGTAGCCCCCCAAGACAGACAGATCACCTCACGATCCAAGGTTGTCTGTGCTAAGAGCATAACCCAATCCTGGGGGTGCACGGGAAAAGCTTGGAAGCGGCGGGCGTGGCCAGTGGACAAATGGGATGGAAAGGTAGGTGCATGTATGTACTCGTTTGAATTGTTTGGACGCCTTGTTTGGGTTGGCCATTGACTGGCATCTGAGCTATCCTATTACCGATTGGATGTCCTCTGCAGCACGTAAGGCGGGTGTATGGTGACCTCCTCTGCTCGGCCGACGTTTGTTCTGGGGGCTTTTGTTACGTATGTGAGATGTTGCAACCATGTAGAGATGCGCAAGCGCTTTCAATCGGGATCGGTCCTCTGGCGGTTCAACGACACGGTACAAGGAGCCTGCTAGTTGTAGCCAATGCATTGACAGCCGGACAGGCTGGCTGATCAGTCTGAGCTACCCTGTTTGTTGTAATACTCCCTGTCTATTTAGCAGCCACACTCGAGGTCAGGAGTCTAGAAAGAGCAACCCCCGAGCTGTCGTCAGAGCTGACGATGCTTGGATGCCCCCAGGGGAGAGAGTGTGCTGTTCCTTACTAGTAGCAAAGCCGCCCAGCCCCAACCGGCTTCCTATTAGCGATAGGAAAATGTCTGTCAAGAGGTTGCTGGTCCCTACTGAAGTGTACCTTGATGGGGTGGTACAACAGGCAGGCCCTTGCCTACCTACTCCAGGAGGTAGGGGAGATCGAAGATATGGTGCAAGCCACAGAGTTGCCACAATACACGTAGTAAGAGGTATTTATTTTAGGACTGGGGGAGGCGCCCCCCGTTTCTCGGTACCAGCCTGAGACCAAACAGCGAGAAATCAGACCTGCTGGATTGTCTTGAGCTTGGAGAGGTGAGAGAAAGATGAGGTGAAGCTGGCGCACACGCCAGGCGTTGCGCAGCAGGTGTGGAGCGCATTGCAGCTGCAGTCCGATGGCCGACAGGGGCTTTGGGCGCGGAGTGCCATCCGTGATTGGGCCATCCCTGTACAGGTATGACGACTTTCTACTACTTGCCCCACTTCGCTCCGATCCCATGCTCCAGGGCCACTCTTTCCCGCTCCAAAACTTCTCCATCGCCTCTCGCTTTTAGAGCACTGACCAAGATTATCGCTGCCATGGGGCCAGGAGACATACCTCTACGTATTTCGTACGCTAGCGTCCGTATTGCTCAAGATTCTAGGCAAACAATAGGAAGGTGCAATAGACTGGCGCGGCTATCTCGTGGGTAGCCCTCAATAGAATCTGCCAGCAGCTTCTGCTACCGACAACACATCGTTGCCTAGGTTCTCGATGGCTTTCCTACAGCTCATATGGAGGTAGCAACGCACCCTGTGGGTTTCCTTTTCTGCGGACCCTTGTTGGGAACACTGCATCACAGAGGAAACGGGGCCCTTGCTTTCAATTTTCCAGACCTCATCATCATCACCTCATAGCTCCTCCCCTCGGCTGACATTCTGCTACCGGATGGCGGGTCACTCTGCTCATGTGAGGGCATCGTTTCCTCTTCCTCGCAATTCAGCTCCCGCAAATGCGGCATCCACGCAACCACCGCACTCGAGTACACGGTACATTTGTATGAATAGTCGCCAGTATTTGCAACGCACCCATCCTCCAATTCCCCAATGGAACGGGGCGCCGTTCGAGAGGGGGAGCGGAAGCTATGATAGCGCCGCACACCACTACGACCAACAGAAACCACCTTACACACCGCTTTCTCGCCTACTCGGGCAGAATGCTTGTCAGCTTAAGATCGGCCAGAGTCAAATGTTTTTTCGCTTTTTCAAATAGCCGTGCCTCGTCTACTAGTACAGACTGCAGCTACACCTCGCGGGAGAAAAGAAACCGCCATCGGCCCACTGCACGTCTCATGCCACTGCTCTAATCTTGGCAAACCAACCAGGCCTCGACCCCCAGAGCCTGTCGCCATGCAGCTCCTATGTGTGGCTAACAATGGCATCGAAGCCAACTACTGCCCCGTCTGCTACACGAAGTACTTCTACCCGCCCAATACCTTCCCACGTCACCGCACCTTTTTCTCCGGCCTCTGGACTAAATTGCGGGGCATAAGCCAACTCGGGTCACCTGTCCATCCTCGAGACACCCGAGTTTGTCCTGCCCCTCGCGTCCGATGACAGCATTCGCCGTCCAACCGCCCGAGAGTTGAGAGAGAACTTGTGCAGTAACTGCTAATTGACAGCCACGAAATCAGCGCGCCGTTTCAAATTCGGTCTTTTCAAAGAATTCCCACCTCGACTGATGCTGCTTCTCCGAAATATGGCAGATCAACAAGTTGCTTTCAACTGTTTTATCTTATCTACCCAAGGAGTTGTCTTATTTTTCTTTATACCGGCCTGTCTTTTTTTTTTTCCCCTCCAACTTTTCCCAGGAGCACCTTGCCCTTGCTGGTTAGTCTTCTCTTGTGTGCCCCTCATACCTGTTTTGAGCTACGTTTACGTCCTTGCGCATGTTTACACATCCTGGAGTGGGACAATTGCTTCGGACATTGTTAGTGTCTCGCGTGGAAAGCTTGTTAGTGGGATGCTCGTTTACTTGCCTTGAAATACCGATCTCCGGCCTCGTTTAACTTCGCCAGGCTTCGCGCTGCCCTCTGTCCTGGTAGCTCGTCGTTGGAGCTTTGTGGCCCCCACCTTGATATCTCTGCTGGATCAAATAGCCATTGCTCTCGCATAGTCACTTGCTGGCCATCCATTCCTTCTGCATCCCTATCAAAGATGTACGGCTGTCTCTGCGGTGGAGCCGCCTCGTCGGCAACAATCTTCATCACTCGAGAAAGTGTCGATCTCTGATCCGGCGCCACCGAAAATTTGGTTGAATGTACTGGAGAGTCTGTGGTCGCGGTGTGAGGCTTCCTTCCAGAATCCATCTGCGACTCTGTTTCGCAGCTCCACTCAATTTCTTTGGCGTAAAGGTGCCCGCCATGTCGTGGCCGAGTGGCTGGACGAAAAGGACTCATTTTGCGTGGAGTTGAAGAGGCTGGAAGTGCCATGCTTTCGGGTTTGCCCAGGGATTCGAGTTCGCCCTGAAAACTTGCGTCGCCTGTCATCTTTATGCGAGTACTCTGGGTCATGGTTGCCCAAGGCAGGCTGGCCGTCACCTCGGAAATTCCAACAAGATGGAATTGTCAAATCGAACAAGAGGGCGCAGTCCAATGACCACGAACGACCCCACCTTGGTTTTGTATCTCGTGAATGGTGAATTTGCAGCCCAAGAACGATTCGTTCATGCCCGATACAGCTCAAGTGCTGGCGGCGCCGCTGCGGCAGGCTACAAAGTTGCTTGGCATTGATTGGGTACCGAAGTACCGCGCATTTCCTCATACAATTTTCAATTGCCTGTCTTATTAAGTGTGGCCCGCGGACCGCCAGGCGGACTGGCAGGGTTGAATGAGCCTCATTAGGTTGACAGAAAGGGCCACGAGGCAGGACGCGGGAAGCTCAAATGTAGATGGTGTTGGGAACTTGCCCTGCGGCTCCCGTGGTACTTCGTATGTGAGCCGTTTGGGCCACCGCTGCTTGCTGTAAATCAGCCTTTTCTTGCCTGTTATCCTGTGCTAAATATGGACCGGAAATCCTCTTGAACCGTGAACCCGCATCGATCACTGAACCTAGATGGCAAAGCATAGAGCTAATCGCAAGCCCCTGGACCTGTGGGAAAAGCTGAAGGGTCTCATCTGCGAGCTGTATGCCACCAATACACTCCAATTCGTGATGGAAGTACTTCGCGATGAGCACGATTTTGGGGTCACGTCTGTTCCACCTGTTCCATTTGAAAAGACAACTCAAGACTGACTGCTTACGTAGAAAACGCCAGTTGGTATACAGACTAGAGAAATGGGGTTGCAAGAAATACAATACTGGAGACCCAGAACCTGAAGGGCAAACGTTGAACAAAGACGCCACAGAAGAACGTGTGATATCTGGCACTCCCTACGGTGGCTTTGCACGGCAAAACCAGGTGCCATGGGTCTTCCAGGGCGCGGATGCCCTGTTCGCTGTATGCGATACAGGTGGCGCATGGAAGGCATATAGTAAAATCGACGCCGACGGTTTGCCTAATATCGCGGCACTTGCTCGATCCGCCGAGACGCCGCACGAGTGTGAGTCCACTCTAGAACTATTGGAAAAGAGAATTTCCTCTCTTACCGACTTTACCGAGCGATCACGCATCTGTCTCCTCCGCCCCCTTATCTGCAATGCTCAAAACTACCAACTCAAAAAAATGCAGCCTCAACTCAATACTTCAGTATCGTACCTGTTGGACAATCCGGACTGCTTGAGACCGAACGGCTCCGTCGATATGCTCGTCTACATCCTCCTGGACAACATCAACGAGAATCACCAGGATCTTGTCCCCAGCGAGGTATGGCGGCTCAAGCTCCTTCTCGACAAGTTCGATACCTGGGTTCTGTCCGCAAAACCCGATCATCAGACTGGCCAGTCGCCCGTCCATGTACTGCGGCAGTGTGCGGAGTGGTGCGACGATAAGCTATCCCGCGCATCCTACACCGCCGCACGTCCAAACCTCGACATCCTGACGGGGCAGTACCAGGTGCTCTGGAGAGACCACATTGAGGTATTTGGTGCTCTCTGGCGCGCGGTTATCGAGCAGTGCATTTTCAGCGGCGAATGGCCGGAATGGGCGAAAGAGACCGTAGAGGCCATGAATCTCTCGCACGCCGAGGTCCTCTCATGCATCTGCTGGGTCATAGTCTGGCCCCCGCACATCATCCGGGATTCCGAACACCATGCCGCGGAGCACGGAGGGGATTTGTTCACGAGAGCGAAGAGAAACGCCAACGATGTACTTCAGTCCTCTTCCGCCGCGTTGTGGGAGGCGTTCCGCGATGCGTTTGTCAGGATTAACAAACCTACCGCTGCGGACACGGACGAAAACAGAGACTTTCACGCGTATGCCATGCAACAATTCCGCTCTTTCGTCAAGGACACGCTTGGGGAGTTTGGTGGTCCCGGACTCTGTGAGGATGATACGGCACCGGCCTCGATGACAAGCCTCCTCAGTGGGGGCGAACTGATGGTAATGCCGTATTGCGACTGGCGTCAGTGCTTATAGTAGATATACGAAAAAAAAAGGCTTGTAATGGGTTTTTGTAGCCACGTTGGTGTAAATGTTAGATTGCTATGGATTGACTACTGATCCCCTCATGTTACTTTCAAATATTTACTTGCAAGATGATCCGGATTGCTTCTCAACACTATTACTTCCTTAGTCGACTTTGCAAGTTTTTCCCTGCAACGGACAAGAGGCTGTAGTCCTTATACTTGATGTCGACAGAATAAAGGCCCACGACACAAAGGTCTATCCCCGGTGCTAAGCCGGGCGAGCTGGATATTGCATTGCATCGCGTGGGTTGCGCATTCATGGTTAGAGCCGAGAGTTTCACAACCCCAGTCAAGTCATGGCTTTTTATCCATTTCAATATTTTTTAGAGATTAAATACTAGACCATGTATATTCCCTTCGCGTTAGATACTGGTAGATACCAACACACCACATCTTTACGCCGATTAATAAGCTTGTAAGTAGTCAATGTTCCGTCTTTGGGACTTTCCATCTTAATCACTGGGAAATCCCGACAAGACAGAGATTACTAGAGACAGCGCAGGTTACTACTAAATACTTTATAAAAAAAAATCACTCTCATATTATTATCAGCCTCACTAGGCCAAAAGCGGAGCGCACTCTATAAGTCCTGTATCGAGGGCGCCCTCTTCTAAAGCGCTTCGCTCACATTTGGCACAAAAAACTTTTATCCCGCCAAAAAAGAAAATAAGAAAAGCGCATCACCTCGCCATCTAAAGCTATTCAACTTACTCTTTCTGCTCCTCAAAAAGGGTCTCCAGATCCTCCTTCTCACCACTGTGATACACCATGTCGTAAAACACTCCCTTGCGAGTATAAAGCTCGCCGGGCCGTCCGGCCTCGACGACTCTCCCCGCGGCCATGACGACGACGGTGTCGTAGTCCGCAATGGTCCTCAGCCTGTGCGCGATGGTAACCAGCGTCCGGTCCTTATCTACCTCGCGCCGCAGCACGGCCTGGATGCCCCTGTCCGTCTCGTAGTCCATGCTCGCCGTCGCCTCATCGAGGAGCATCAGCCGGCTGCCGCGCACCAGCGCGCGGCACAGCGACAACACCTGGCGCTGACCGTGGGAGAAGTTCTCGCCCTTGGCGTTGACCGTCGTCGAGAGCGTGAGACCGACTGCGTCAGACAGGTCGGCGTTGTCGTTCTCCGTATCGGATCCCGAGTGGTACTGGAACGAAGCGATACCTTGACAGGACTCAAGAGCCCGCTCGAGGACATCGGTGGGTATTTTGCCCGTAGGGTCGAGGTTGGAGCGCAGCGTGCCATTGAAAAGGACGGCTTCCTGCGGGATGATGGTCAGCGCCTCGCGGAGGCGATGGCGTGGTATCTTGGTGATGTCGATGCCGTCATAGAGGATCTGGCCTGATACGATGTGTGTAAAGCGGAGGAGAGATAGGACCAGCTGCGATGATCGTTAGCAAGAAGATTTCTTCGCTGTTTGTTCTGCTCTTTTTTAGGGTGTGCGACTTACTGTTGACTTGCCGCTGCCAGTGCGGCCGATGATGGCTACTCTCTCTCCCGCCTTGAACTTGAGGTTCACGTCCGTAAGAATGTCGGGTCCGTCCTCATCGTAGCGGATCGTGACGTTGCGGAACTCGATCTCTCCCGTCGCAGGCCAGTTCTTAGGGATGACGTGAGCCGGGTCATCTGTGTATTCGCCCTCTTCGGGGTAAGACTCGTCCAACTTCTCCTCGGGCTCGAGGGTGGCGTACTCTTTGATACGCCCGAACTATTATTCTGTTAGATATCTTTCTTGTACAGCAGATGGAAAAGCCGCTTTAGAATCACTCACACTTTGTAGCTCGATTTCCAGGTCGTTCATGCTACGAACCAACTGCAAGATGGTCTGACTCAATCCCGTCGCGTTGGAGAGCGAGAAGCCCACTAGGCCAGCAGCGACGATGCCAGCCTTCGAGACAGCGATGATACCAGCGGTCAGTCCGACCAGAGCCGTGACGAAATCAACCCGCATAGCCACCCAACGGTTACAGTTGAAGTTCGCCTCCGCCGCACGGGACCACACGTGTATCTTCTCCGCCAAGTTATTGCCAAACTGGTCCGGCATGCCGCTTCTGGCGCGAATGACCGCCAGACCAGCCAGGGTGTCCGCAAACTGCGTGAATACAGGCGACTGCGCAGATGACACGAGACGCTTGATTGTGACAGCGGTGCGCGTGTACATCTCGCCAATGATGATGCCGAGGAAACACGTCACGGCGGCAGGAAGCATGAAGATGGGCAGGATAGAGCTGATGGCAAAGATACGAATGACCAAGGCCATAGCGCTCTCGAGGAAAGCGCGGAGTTGGGGGCTGACAGTCAAGTCGAGAGACGACATGTCGCTCGAGAAACGGTTGATGATGCGTCCGACTGGTGTCTTCTTGTACCACGACAGGGACACGCGCATGACGGCCCGGATAAAGTCGTTGTGCAGTCTTCGAGCAGCATGCCAGGCGCCGTTTTCGAAAACCAAGAAAACTAATGCGTAGACAACCGATTCTGCGACGGTGATGGCGGCATAGATACCGAGATAGTATGCAATGTTGATTGCAACTTCGCTACTGTACGCTTCGACCCAGACGGAAAGCCAGAGCGAGCCTGCCATGACGATGAATTGCGATAAAAGCATCATGAACAGGCAGAACAAGGCATACCAGGGCCCGCCAAAGTAAGTCATGTACTTGAAGACTGGGACATTGTTAGCTGGCTCATCACAAGGGGGTACGCCAAACCACTCACACATCAGACGGGCATTCTTTCCACCTGTCTTCATCTCTTGTGCCACCACGTCTTTTATCACCTTGTCATCGGCAACCTTGCTTCTGTCATTCAGAGGATCCGTCTGTGTCTCGACTTCGGTGTCTGAAGCGTCTGACGTATCCGCCTCGCCCTCGATATCTTTTGCGACAGCCACAGGTTGCCGGACAATGCCAAGGTTCTGCTCTACGTTCTTGATCTCGCCATCCTCCAAAGTCACGGAGATATCGGCCTGAGCTGCGACCCAGGGCTGTTGAGCCACCAAAACAACGGTCCTGCCCTTGAGAAGGTCAGAGCAGAAGCAGCGCTCCCAAAGCAAAGCAGACGTTTTGGCGTCCAGTGCCGAAAAGATGTCGTCGAGCAGAAGAAGCGGTGCCTTTGAGTAAAGCGCTCTGGCCAGAGCTACGCGGGCCTTCTGGCCTCCCGATAGCGAAGATCCGTTCTCGCCGACAACGGTCTGTTCACCCTTATCCATCTCCCTCAAGTCCACCGGCAAACAGCAGGCATTAATAACGTTATCGTAGCGTATCTTCTCATAAGAACTGTTGAACAGAATGTTCTCCTTGATCGTATCGTTTTGCAGCCAGGCGGTCTGAGACGCGAACGCCACGTCCTTAGGCCGGGTTATTGAGCCGCTCTCCTTTATCGTCTCTCCCAAGATGGCCAGAAGCAGGGTCGTCTTTCCACTTCCACTAGCACCCGACACAACGTTTAGGCCACCTTCAACAAAGTCGATGGAGATGTTCTTGAGCTGGAAAGTGGCAGTCTTGTTCCGTCTGAACGTCGCTTCCCTGATATCCAGCGTTCCCTCGGGATACTCCTCCAGAGGTGTAGTGCTCTCAAAGTACTTGTCAAGACGCCCAACAGCGATCAACGCGTTGGTAATGTTTCTCGACATAAAACCCAGCTGTGTAACATTGCGGCGAATATTTTTCACGAGGAAAACCGTGGTGAAGGCAGTGGCCGCTGTCAATGACTGTCCAAGCACTCCTACGTACAGCGTGAACATGGTAATAAGGGCGATGTAGGGCATCAGAGCGGTGATCTGGTTAAGAGCAACGTAGATGAGCGAGACACGCCACAGATCACGCTGCTCGTTCGCGCGAGTGTCTTCGATGGTCTTGACGATGGCCTCCTCCCAAGCAAAATATTTGACCGCACGAATGGACGCGAGGTACTCTGACACCAAAGAGATGCGAGCATCCTGTGCTCTCCTGGCTTTCCTGGTGGCTATGGCCATCAACCGAGCGATGACAACAGTCGTCGGCGCAGCGAGAAGGAGGATAGCCATACCGATGAGGGCAGGCCACCCAAGCATTCCATACAAGCCCACAAAACCGATGATAGTTCCCGTGGAGACGCCCATCGTGACCATGATTATGTCTCGCGCGCCAAAGATGGCTTGGACATCGGCAGCCATCAAGTTGGCCAGGCGGCCAGCAGGGGTTGAACGCCGATTTTCTCCTTCCTTTTTCGACTCGGCTTCACCCTTGGGAGCAAAGATGTCGTCCTCAAGCTCCATGGAAGACACAGCCCGGTGGTAAAGTTCCTGAGTCAATGCGGACCTCAGACGCACAACAAGACGAGTGGACGTGAACACGTACTGCTGGAACAGGACGGAGCGCGAAAGGGGCCCAGCAAACATGAGGAACAGCCAGACCCAGGGACGGATGATGGAGCCTTGAGGGTCGGCAAGATACGTGAGCAGCTGGTACAAGCCGTAAGGGGCAATCAACTCGCAGGCATAGGCTGAGCTGATGAAGCCCGACATGAGGGCCAGTTCGGACTGGAGTAGATAGAAGAGGGTCCACAAAGTCGTCTTTCCCCTGATACGGGCCTTCTTTATCTTTTCAAGTAGCAGCAGTGGCTCGTCATACCAAGGCAGCCGGGGCAGATCGTCTATAGTGACCTCTCTCCGCGCGCCCTTCCACACCAAGGGGGTAAGCCACTCAAAAGTGAGATAGTAGTTGGCCCAACTGCACGTTTCTTCTGGGGCAGGATCGTTCATCTCATAACCCTCGGGCACGTCATACTTGAGCGAAGGGGGCACCCATTCTCTTGGAGTGGTAATGGCTACAACAACAGCAACGGCCAACCCTGCCAGTCCTCCTCTCACAGGTATCGCGATCGCGCACTCGTTGCTGGTCTCTATACAAGGAAGTGAGGAGGAGGCAGCAAGAATAAGCAGCTCCGTAGACAGGACAAAGTTAACCTGATGCAACGCAATATGCCGCCAATGCAGGTCGTTGATGAGCCTCGACAGGCCGAACGAGAATGCGTAGCCCACAGCAAATACGTCAAGCCATGAAGTCTGACCCCGAGCAGCGGCGAGAGCAAGGAAGACGAGCGCGGTGGCGCGGGAGAGCTGGGCGCATAGCTCCCAAGGCCACTTGATGGCAGCGGCGCGGTACTCGGGTGGCGACGGCTTGGCACGGCGTTGAAGCAGGCGGGAAGCGGTCCAGAGGATGGAAATGGCGAGGATGGAGACTTGGAGGTAACCGGACTCGGCGAATTGAGATACGTCCTCAACCCAAGCCAGTCGCCCGTGGCTGTAAGTCCGTCAGTCTACAATTTTCCTTCAAGGGGATGACGACGGTGGTGGTAGTAAAAGTTGACAGAGGCCCCTCCATCTTCGCGCATGAGCTCTGCACATAAAGAAAAGTCCATTCGACCTAGGCAAGTCTCAAAGAGGCGCAGCCCGCCAGAGAGTAAAGTTGCGCAACGGTAAGTTGTACCGATCTGCGGTGGCTTCTGGGCTTTGATCGCCGGCTTCCGAAGTTGTGATAAGGTACGCACCTCTGAATATTGGCTAGGAAGATCTGAGGTTGAGATCGTGTAGCGGCGGCAAGCGCAAAGGCTCGCTCGAGGAAGAGGTCCATCATCGTCGACTTTGAGGTCTGCGATGCGACGCGCTGAAGGGGATCACAAGATGACGTGTGCCAGCTTGTTCCTCGTCTCGCAGCTTTCGCGTCGTGGTAGGGTGGAGAATGGAATTCGTATGGATGAAGCTGTCACGAGCGCGTCATGGACAATCAGAGTGGAATGGCGAAAGCAGTCCCAGTAGACTCTCTCTCTATAATGTGCCTTAACCGCCGTTTATAAAAACGAGGGGAATGAAGCAATTCCTGTACAGATAGAAAGAAGGAAAGGATTCAAAATCAGAAGAGAAAGATACGTCAAGCTTGGCCGACTGCATAGTAAAATGTCAAATGGGCCTCTGGTATGTATGAATTCGTAAGAGTGATTAGATACGGCGGAAACATGGGGGGTGTGCACCGCCGACCAAGTGGATCGTATGGCTGGGGGGTTTCCAGCAAACCCCGGCTAGGCAGGCACTGAAGATGGCTGCATTCGTCTATGGTTCTCTCCCGGGGAGGGGCCGATTGAGAGGTTCGCGAATGCTGAGTGGCCAATACGGGTGGGATGGCAGAATGGTGCGAAGACGGCATCCAGATGTTGCAATTGCGCTTCAGACTTTTTTTTCTTCCTCTTCCTCTCTTTTGGCCCTTGTATGACTAGTACTAGTAGTAAAGTGCCCCGAGTGCCACACCCGCGCGCGGCAAGTTTGCCGGCTCGGGACCGTTGCGGGAATAGCCCATTGGAACGGCCCACACACATACACACACACACACACCAACCATGCCACCACATCTCGCCTCGGAGCGGCTACAGGTCGGGCGTTGGCAACCAAGCCGCGCTAGCTAAGTTGGTTAAGTGGGTGAGATTCAAGGAAGAGCCCAGTTAGTGAGCCAGGAGCAAAACGTAAAACTTTGGAGAAGAGACGGAATTCCGCTATTTTGTTCAATGATCATAGAGCTGCTTACTCACATATTGGGCTTTTGTTAATTTGGCACCATGTTGGCACTAAAATAAGCTTGAATTGAACAAGAGGTGGGAAAACGGTGAAAGTACGTAATCACTGAAGAGTCGACAAAGGAGGACTAGAAACCGTCAGCAGGCAGGTTAAAAGTCAATCATCAGCATGTACATAGTATACACTACGCCTGCACTGCACACTAGCCAAGACCTTGAAACGTAACGTGATCCCCTGTAGCGCCTGCCTCCACCATCTAGTTCCCGCGATGGTCCTCTTCGAACATTACTACCTAGGGGGGGGCCCGCTGTCATTGGGTCCAACAAAGCTTGAGTACAGGGCATATGTCTCTTGCCTTATCAAACAAATCCCCCCTTCCAGCCGGCAGGCACCATGTACCATTGACCCTCATAACATGCGGTGAAACAGAAACGACGGCATGTCACCCACAGCTCTGACACCGCTTATAAATTCGATTAACAGCAGTCAAACAGTCAATTATACAAGCTCATAGACAAGCAGACAGACAACACACACTGCCGTTGCATACCCAATCAAGAGAACGGCGCATCATCAACTCATTTCAAGCACCAACCACGTCAAACTTGTCTCCATTGTTGTTGTTGTCGTTGTCGTCGTCGTCATCTCTTGCTCGGCAGAAACTTGATATCCCCGAACTTGGGATGATACCCTACACGCAACAAAAGGACGTTTCTCAACCTTCTCTCTCGGCTACCCCCAACCCCGGCGCCGCTCTGCTGTGCATGTACTTTGCCTTTACCCCACAACGGCTCCGCCCAGTTGTTATCAGTCTTCTCAGGGGATCGGGGGAAGGCCGGAACAGGCAGGTTTTATTTGCTCAACCACCTTCCATTGGGTTATGACCGCCAACAGGAGTTAGTCCCATTGGCATTTCGCGTTTTCACTGTCATCCTGTCGTTCGGCAGACGGAAGCCGCGTATGACACCACCCCCCCAAAGTGCTTGTCCTCGAATTGATATGGTTTCCCCATTTGGAACCTCTCTCCATAAATCCGTACACACGTTCACACGCACACACATACGCGCCATCAACGAGGTGAATCTGCTTATTCCCGTGTCCCATCACTTTCCATTGGCATGTCGCATTCGATCTCGAACAGACACTTCACCCGTACGCCATGGCACGGCACAACAGGCAGACACATACACACACATGCCGCTCTTCTCTGCGTAGCTCAAAGGGGCATGACTATCCGATACACCGACCTTCCCGCCTACGCCTCACCAGTTTTCGGCCGGAGAGATTCAAGCCTGGGATGACGACTGCCGTCGTATGCAACAGGGTTGCCAAGCTAGTCCGGGCGCTCCCGTGTCGGTCCCAAGTCGCTGCCTAAAATGTCGTCAACTGAACATTTAAATAACCCCCCCTCACGTCATTGCAGTTTACCGGCTGAGTTTCCCGTAGACAGGATCTGACTTCTGTTCGTGCGCCGCATGTCTGAAGGAACTAATGGCATTTGCAAGAGTGAGACAGATAACTGCACATGGTGCCCATGTATATGTACATGTATATATGCCCTTGAAGCAAGTTCAGGTCCCCACGTGTTTTCCATGCCGGCAGCTTAAACGAGGCAAATACCGGCGAAAAACACACAATCACAATCACAACGACTCTACCCTATTCGGCTTGGCCATCCCTGGACCCCAGTCCGAGGCACAAAACATCTCAACCCAATGTGTCAGTGGTTTCCTTTCAAGTACATTTCGCTACTGCAACCTGTATACGTTTGTCGCGCTAGACCGCATACATAACCCACAGGGGAGATGACAAAACTGAAGCTTCCAGTCGAATCACAACGTTCCCGTAGAGACTGAACGTGTTAATTATATATACTCGCAACTATTCAAGTTTGCACACTGCTAGCTGATCCTGTCATCATATATACCTTGGTCAGTACGCAACCCGCCCAAAATCGGGATCGAGGTTTTCACTTCCGGTAAACGCCTGTCCCCGTGGGCTTCCCAAAACCCCATGCCCCGGGCAATGCATTAAAAAGCGCCATCAACCTATTCCTGTATCCCCAGATATAAAAAACCATTATACACCACTTCTTGTCGGGACAACTGACAGTGTAACTCAGTCCGCCTTGATCGCCCTGTACATTCATTAGCACGGCTGATGTAACCCTTGGGGGTGGATGGTACTGACCCGTAAATCCTTCTCACAAACGCGTATGCGCTTAAGAAACCAATCGTTCCGGTCAAGAGCCCGTAAACGCAGCACGCCATAAAGCTGTAGCTGAAGAACAGCATGCTACTCACAAATCCGGTAATGTGCAGCTTGAAGAAATAGTACCAAACGCAGTAAAGAAACACCCAGGCGGAGCTGCCGCCTCCGACCATGAATGACTGCCACCACCAGTTATAGTTCTCCGAGCAGAGCTGGATATAGATGGTGACCACCGTGACCTCTGCGATAGTAAGAATGAGAATAACTGAAACCACGGCAAGGAAACCAAAGACGTAGTAATAACCGCTCTTGTCCTGCCAGACAGACTGGAAGACGAACAATAGCTCGATGAAAATAACAGCAAATGGGATGAGCCCTGCCAGGAGGATCGACTGCCAAGACTTGATGTACCAAGCTTGTTGCGGGATCTGGCGGGGAATCGATGCTGTCTTGGTGGGGTGCTCCCAGTTCCCACCCCGAACAAACCCGAACCAGGAACCAGCGTAGACCAGGGGGACTTGAATACACAGCCAGAGTGTGACGATCGCCACAAGGGTACCGAAGGGGATGGCTGTGCTGGAAGCTTGGGCCCAAACAAACAAGTTGAGAATGAAGACGATGCCAAAGAGGAGGCCTGGAAACAGAACCGCAGTCACCAGCGCGTTCTTTCGGTAGTCTTGTCCATCAAACGTCTTGTAGACCCGCGCGGAAAAGTATCCGGAGAAGAGTCCGGCGAAGACGAACAGGCCAACTCCCACACTGATGAAACCTCCACGGAAGCTGGGATTGAGAACACCAAGAGCGCTCAGGAGAACTAGACCAACGGCCATGAAAAGGAGTTGCATGCCGGACCCAACCAGCGGCGCCAAGAGATATCCGTAGGCGGGAGTCCTGAAAACATCGGCGTGCAGAAGCTTCCAGCCTGTGACATCCTCCAGAGCCTCCTCGTCCGAAGAAATATCGGCGTCGTTGTCGAGGTCGTTTCCTTGGTCGAGCAACCCTGGCATCTTCTCCGAGAGCCTAGGGGATCTGTTTCCGGTCTTCTTGCGCTTCAGCTTGGGCTTGCCATCCTCGAGAGGAACGTCCTTGTAGCCCTTGATGTCGGAGCGGATAGTTCTGGCCAGGATCATCAAGGTAATGCCCGTAAGCAGACCGCAAATAATGAGGGAATTGACAATGGCGAGCCAGTGAATCTTGGAACCCTCCTCCTGGTTGACAAAGTACAGATCCCAGCGTCGAGACCACTCGATGTTGTTATCCTCACGGAAGTATACCGAGTAGGTGTACGGGATGGTAAGCTTGGCCCCATCGTCGAGGTCCTCATCGTCTTCCGGTAGGTAGGAGGAGTGCGGGTATCGCGCTGACAAGTCGCTTGACTTGTTCGGCGCCAGGTACAACTCAAAGTTTTGATCAATATTCTGCAGATCAGCCGGGCACCCATTCTCATCGCGTTTGTTCTGCGAGCCGATGCTCTTGGGGTAGACCTCGAACCCGACGACGACCTTGCCGCCCCTTTCGCCGGCCTTGCCAGGTGCCTTGCGGTAACGAATGACGATGGTGTGATGGTTGTTGATGAAGTAGCGCGGCTTGCCACTGCTGGAAGAGTAGTCGGTGAAGCCGAGCTTGAACCCGGCGGCGTAATACTTGCGGCTCTTGTCGACGGTCACGAAGCTCGTCGCACCGGGGAGGTTATCGACAATCCACTCTGTGACGTAGCCGTCTTGTACCATCTGGCGAGCCTCTTGCATCTCCTTTCTAGAAATTTCACGGTTGCACAGCAAGTTGCACGACTTGTCTTTGCCCATGATAATGTCAATGTCGGACGTTTTTATCCTGTCACCGCGGAGAACCTCGCCGAGGTTGAGAGGGATGCTCTGTCCACTCAGCAGCCCCGTGCCGGGCTTCGGCTTGCCCGTGGGGGGGCATACGAAGGGGAGATCGTAGTAGGCATACTGTAGCTGGGTATTGTCGGAATAGACTTTGTTGACAAGGAGGGGAATCTGCTCGCCATCGCTGTAGCTCTTGATCGACCAGCCTGTTTGGACGGAGGTATAATTTAGCATCGCCGCTCGACAACCATATCCCCTATCTAGAAGTTTGTACGGGGTGCCTCACCTGGAATGTAGAATCCATCAGCCGGGGCGGCCAGCAGGAGGGAGACGAGGCATCCCAAGCCGGCCCTGAGTACCTGTCGCATTGTGATAAGCTTAATCGCAAACTGTCGACTAATTCAACATGAACCGTTACGGCAGCACTATGTGAAAACTTGGGCAGGTGTTCCCTTGGAAGGGGGGAAGAGCTAATCGACTCGTCCGCGGCGTGTCACTGGGGAATTGAAGGGAACTTGAGGCGGTTGAGAATTAGGATAGGTCGAGAATAAAATAAAGGTAAGACGGTCGCGTCAGTCGAGGTCCGTGGCTGCACGGTGTCTCTCCGCGCCACGACGCCGCAAATGGGGAGGGGGCCCAGACTAAAATCGAATTGGGGGGAGGGAAAGGATCCAGCCAGAAGGGGGCCGAAGAAAATAACGAGTGGAATCGGTACCAAGTACCAGAATCGGCAACTCTGGAGAGCTGAGTTCTGGACCACGAGAGACTTTGTTGAGAATGACGCAGCTCAGCCACAGCACTCCTCCTGTCAAGATGGGATCAACCTTGATGCACGGATTGCTGACAGCGACCGTAAGTACTGGGAACGCAGGCCTGGACAGCGCGGGAAGGCTGGAAGACGAAACAACAATCCGAGATGGGACGGAGAGGGGAGGGGAGGGGAGGAAGAAAGAAGGAGGAGGAGGTAATTAGGAGGAGACGGGACGGAATGCGCGGGAATGGGAATGGGAATTACATGGGGGTCTAGCGCACGGTTCAAGGCCACTTAATCATGACGGGAGCGACGCACCGGAGCAACTTTCATTACGACCTTACTCAGTCTTCACACGGCGAGTCCATAGAACTCAGGAAGGCATCTGGGGGTGGGTTTGATTGATTCCCTTATCTCGCGGTTAAAAGCTCTCTGTATGGCCAATTGACCAGCTGTGCAGGCTAGCTCGCTAATCACTTTCCCCTCCCCTGGCCCCCCTTTACCTGCCGCTGCTCCTTATATAGTACCAAAAGGCACCAATGAAAGGTGTTCTTTCCAGAAGCCAAATCCGACCACATAGGGAGGTCAGTCAAGCTCTCGACAAGACGCAGCCAAGTTAAAAGTGGTTTGGCGTTGTCACGTGTCACAACGGGCATTCCTTCATCGAAGCCCGTGTCCGTAAAAGGAATCGAGTCGTTGCGTGTTGGTGGCTTTAGCAGGTTACAGGTAAGTCTTAGCTTACCTCAGATCTTGCGCCGCCTTCTTAGGCTTTTTTTTTCGGCCCTCGGCCATACAGAGTAAGAGTCGTGCACCAGAAAACAACGATGCAACGAGTAATGTGATGGGTATGGGTGAGACCAGCGCCTTCTCGCTGTAATCATTCGGCTGGAGACTATCTATAGAACCGTAGATGTGAGAAAAGCATTTTCGCGAATGTCTATACCCTCCCGAATGGTGGACACTATTTCTCATCATACATAGTAGGTGATAGTAGGTGGTGACAATGTGAGGCCAAGCCATCGTCATCTGCACCCACACCAGGATCCCGTCCCCACAAATAATCATCAACACCCCATGTCGCAATGGCCCCCCAAGTTCGTCGTTTTTCCGGGGGAGAGAGGGAAGAAAAAAAGCGGGAAACCTCAAGAATCGCTTCACGCAATTTCGCAAAAGTGGTCCAGAACTTTCCACCGACTCTTTACTCCACACCCCCGGCGCCGTACCCTTTCCCGCTCCGCTATTTTGTCCCACCATCCACCGGGGACCACTCGATTCTCTCGGGGCTTGGCGCCCCTCCTCCGAAGCAGGCCCCGGAAGAGGACACGACAGGGCATCTGGCGGCATCCACATAGGTGCATATCCTGTTATATTTTTCTGGGTCGCCGGTTTGCATCGGTACCAAGAATCGTCAACAGCCACTCGCATGGTGCTTCACTCATCCACATCTCAAGTGCCATAATCGATGGTGTTGCTCACCTAGTTGCTCTTTATATGACTTCATCGTCCTGTTTGATTGGGCCGAGTGCTTACTTTTAATATTCGCTTGCTTTCATTCTGATGACGAAAGTCTTGTTTTGGACATGTACAATCACATAAATGCTGTTGCCAATCACAAGTGTGAACTATTTGTACCGCGGCGCTCAGCTCAAGTGTATTGGAAATGGTTGTTGAATTATTATTACTGTTTGCGATATTCAATTTGCCTTTGCTCATTGGGTATCCGAAATACAAGTGAAAACCATGGTATCCAGGAAATTGTTGACAAGTCTCTTAAAATCAAACAAAAATCAAACCCTTTTTTTGATTCCCTGCCCAAACTCCACGACATATCATGACCCTTCAGGTATACTGTAGCCCGTTCTGGCTTGGGTCTCCTCTATTGAACGTAGGAAAAACAAGAAACAAAGGAAATGGTCAAGATGTAGTGTCGTATATGGAACTCTCCATGGGTCGTTATTCATCATTGGTAGGAAATCATTGCCTGCCGAGTTGCGTTGCGTCAAGCAGTCGGGACTGCCGCCCTCCTCGTCGACAAGTCGTTGTATCCAGGCAACACCGCATTCCCCTGCAGCTCCGGCGCCGGCTGCTGCATCAGCCTTGGCTGAAGGTGTGCATCTGCTTCCGCCTCCTCTTGCTGTGCCATCACTGCATCGAAGCTGGGCAGGCCCATGTCTTGCTGCGCTGGGGGCTCGACGGCGATCTGAACAGGAACGGCCAGGTTGATTTTGGTGTCGCCGACCACAAGCGTCAGCTGCAAAGTGTAAGTTCGAGAGATAATGCAGGCGTGGAAGGTCGGGATAAACGTCTTCCGCGATGTCGGAAGCTTGAAGGGGATCTGCAGGGCAGCAAGATGGGCAACAGGCGAGGAACGATCTTTGCTAGAGCGTCTGCCGCGGCTATGATGGGTGCCATCGGAGTCCGAATGACTGGCCTCGCGCAGACCATCGCTGGAGTATCCGGAGTCGCGGCGGGTAATCGATGCTACCTGCTGGCGCCAGTGTGTCTTGTCCACGGTGGTTGAGAACAGAGGAACGGCGGTTTGATAGGCGAGCTGCTGGGTCAAGGCGTAAACCTCGTGGCTGTCACCCATGTTGGGAAGCCTCGTCATGGGCGTGGCGCCGTACCATGTCTGGGCCTGGATCTTGGCGGATACGGTGCTCACCTTGGGAGGCAGAACATCAGCGGATGTGGGCTCGAAGTTGAGGTTGACCATAAGCGAGCCCTCGGAGGCACCACGTCCGTCAGGAGTCAAATAAATAGCTCCAGGCTGGACAGTGGAAGCTGTAATACGTCCCTGCTTGGAGGAAAACAGGTTCTTGCGGATGGTCTTGGTCTTGCTAAGAGCGTAGCCCTTGTCCTGCTTGGTGATGTTCAAAGGCGGGTCTTCGGGAGACGCGGGAAGGACGTTGAGCAGATAGGCATCCTCCATGACTTTGGTTGGGCGTCCGCCCAGTTCGTCCTGTCGCACGACGCGGGCCTTGAGGGCGTAGTGGATTTGAGCCATGTCGGGGGTCATGTCGTCCTTCTCCCAACTGCCCATGGACGGCGGCAGGCGCATGTGGTAGTCGTGAATGAGATCAGATTGTGCCTTGTGAGTGCAGGCGCTGATGGTCAGATGGTGAGGGATGACAAAGTTGAAGGGAATGGTGTAAGTGCGGCCGGCCTCGAAGATCCGGGGTACCGGGTAAGCCGACTCTGGAATAGGCATTTCCAGCTTCAGGAAGGTGTGAGAAGAAAGCTGAGGAATCTGAACGGCATCGAGACGAGTCCTGGAGGTGCCGAGGAGCAGGATCTGAACGTAGTCGAAGCGGCAGTCGTGAGCAGGCGTGATGATGACATCTCCAGAGATGGGGCTACCAGAGGAGTAGACCTTGGAGGTGTAGTGGTCATTGATGTTGATCTCAATGCTCTGCTTCCGGTGGGCGGACTGGCGAGCAAAGGTCACGACCGAGCTCATGTCACTTTGGCTCGACATTGTGACTGGTTGACTTTTAGGTCAAAGGCGGTTGATGATGGTTTCGAGGCACGATTTCGTGTCTAAGACTGTCGGAAGTGAACAACACAAGCGCCGGTTGCTTGGGTGTAAGTCAAGCGAACATGAGCAAGCAGATGTGATTGCGGGTGATTGTCTAGAACTCGAGATGGAGACGCTGGTGGGTAGGGACCATTTATAGAAGAGAAGTCGATTGGAGATCCTTGAGATATGTGATGGAGGCCAGATGGGTCAAGATAGTCTGAAATGTGGTAATGAGAACCAAGGCGAGTCTTGTGAGTGGTACGGAGAGTATTAAGGTATTACCATGACAAGAGGAAAGGGCGAGCTGGCTCTCTTTAAAGCTGAGTTAACGTCAAGGATGGGCAGTCCCAGGAAATGCTTCGTTTCAAAGCCCATGGTAGAAAAACAGGCGCCAGGGCCGGAAACAATCCCTTTGCGCCTTTACTCTACACTTGCAAAAGGCGGACTCCTCACTTCCAGCCTGCATAATGGAAAGAGGTGGACACGGTACCGGTACCTGAGTGAGGTACCTGCGATACATTGAGAGGCACATGACGAAATAAGCACAGACGCGGGAGGAAGAATAACAGGGTGTGGAGACGACAAGAGCAGGAAGGGCAGAAAAAAGAGGGTCCACACTTTAGTGTGTATGACTCCCTGCCTATGCGACGACAGCGACGCCCTTCCAGTTAAGTTTGGGCGTCGTTGGTAGCGTAGCTCCTTGGATAACGTGGGCCAGGTCCCTCAGCCTACCCAACCCTTAGAAGGCTTGCGTGGGACACCGACCCCCCCAGATGGGTCACAGGGCGGACTGAACATGGCTTGGTGTCTTCCAGGTAATGAAGTGAACCCGTAGTTGTGACAACACGGCGCAAAAGGCGTGAAAGGCGTGAGTGGCAGCCAGCTTCTCTGTCCACTCCTAACTCTGTTTTCACCGAGCCATCAGGGTCTTTCTCTCTCCCCTCCTCCGAGCATTAGTGTTTACTGCCTACCTTGCACAGGCAGAAGATTCGCTCCCCCAGTATCCGTAGTCATACGGATACTAATTAGTAGTATAGAACCTTTTCCTCTCCCTCTCTCCCCTTGGAGTGTAAAAAAAGAAGTGGTCCAGGACCCTTTCTCCACTTGTTGATCATGCCATGCAATCCATACGATGCCATGCTCTCTGCTTGCCGATATGTATATCAACTAGAGATGCTACTTTGCACCCTTTTCGCAGTCGTAAGCACATGGTTTGTAAACACACTCAGGCTCGCCCGACGTTGATTGTTGGTTGCCCCTGCATTTGCATATCTTACTCCAAAGAATAGCCTAGTTTTCAATAACCACGATGCGGAATTGCACCATTCCCTCGGGTTTGTAAGCCACAAGCACAAGTTGCCCAAAGATCCAAACAAAATTAGCGCTCCCTGGGGAGTCATCATGTCAATCAGAGAGCCTTAGCATGTCGAAAAGGCGCGGTGACCCACTTATTGTTGACATGAACCTTCCCGTCCCATCCTTCAGACTGGGGGGTCCGATAATCGGCAAACCGAAAGGGATGCACGTCCTTGCACCACACGCCTTTTCCTAGAGAAAGTTGCGCCTACTCAGACTTTCACGACCGTAGCAGATTTCGCGACAGGTTTGCTAACAATGTCAGACCAGCAGGAATCTCTCATTTAGCATTGATGCTTCGAGGTTCCATGTCATTCTCCAAGCCAACAGTCGCTCCTGCTGGTGCATTTTGTCAGAATTTCCTTGCTTGCATGTCATATCACTACAATTACTGCGTACAACAGTGACATCAGAGCCCACCGTATAACCGTATAGGGAAATCCCAAGCCCTCTGGGCAGAGGATGCGTTCAGTTCATTTGTTCATTATCATTGATAATACGCATGACAAGAAGCAACAAGATGTATGCCTAGAAGCTTGGCCGTCACCATGCCGCAAGACACCTCCAACTCAATTGGGCAGTCAATTAAGCAAGCCCTGCTCCATTTATTGATCATACAAAATTATGATGCTGGAACGAGTTTGCTTTGGCCGTAATGGGCCATAATGGAACAAGAAGCCACCATAACTACATACCAGAAGCATCTACAATATTCGTGCCATTGAAACTGATCCCAAATGAAATGCAGTGTCATTGCACACCATTCCACTCGGAGGGCAATCGGAGCCATGACAGACTCAAAAGAGTTGTCTCCAGTCTGGGGATAGGGCTAGTAGAGCCGCCCCCGCGATACCGCACTCCATACAACTCCAAATGGAAGCGCATGCGGGCACGCGGGGGCTATGATGGATTCGAGATTTGCAACCCCATGATCTGCTAAGCGGGTGCATCTGTCAAACAAACAGCCCCTTCTTGCCTTCATCATCACAACTATGCCATCTTCCTTCCGCTATAAGCGGCAAAATGCTCAGGCGCCGTGCCGTGGCAGTTTCCCAATTAGGAACCACCAGAGAGCCCCGAGGAGAAATGTTGGTATTCCTTCTTGGGGATCGACTTCAATGTACTGCCAGCCCGGCATCGCTACCCTAATCGCCTATTTTTGGTCCATTCATATTACGACCTCCCCCTACACCACAACTGCAGACATGGATGGGAAAATTTTCTCCCAGGCTCTTCGCTTCGTCATAACGGCAAGTCACACGAGGGACCGGGTGACCGCTTTCCAAGTTTGGGTGATGGGAACGATGGGTGTGTATCGTCGCTCCAGGGGGGAGGGAAAAAAAGTCGAGCTTGTCAAGTCAACAAGGACGGCCTGGGTTGTTGGCAAACGGTACATTACCACAAGGTTCCGTAAGTACCACTACCTCAGTCACCAAGTAGCCATGCTCAAACATGTGCTTGTGGATATCGCAATTCAATGGCCAAACAACGAAAAAAACTAAAAGGGTTGCAAAAGCTCAACACAACACACGACATCCGGCTGCGCTTAACGTACACGGTTTCGATGTCTAATGAGATCCATCCAAGGTGCGGCGCCTTGCCGTTAGGTGCCTGGCGGCTGATGCTGGGCAAAGAAACAGGGCCCATGCTTTCGGGTCCTCTTAACGTACACGGTCAGAGTGGGCCCCGCGGCGGAGCCACATCGGTGACCCGGTTCGGCCTGTGGTTAGTGATTGTATGATGGCTCTGTCACTCCCTGGTGGAGTCCCGATGGCCTGGGCGCCATCCCAAGGATGCAAGATGGGGGTCCCTCGCGAAGTCTTAACGTTAGGGGAAATCGGTCGTAATGAGATCCATCCGGGCTGCGACTTTTGCCATCGTGAGGTGAAAATTTTCTCTTCTCAAAAGTCGCTTGTCTAGATCGCAGCACTATGGTTGGCACACGCCCACGAAACGACTTACATGCACATACACACACACACCGTGTCATCAATTGTGAACACGAATCGCCCATTATCTCGGGAACTTGAGGAAATACCCCGGGCACGCAGCTGACCACGTTGCCGCCTCCCAAGTGAATAATTGGATGTCTCTCGATTGTAGCCGCACGACAATGGCGAGCTTATGACTGATGAGATCCATCGCGATAATGACGCTAGAACGTATGGAATGATCGACGGAAGGCTGGAATGACCAGGCATTGCAGGCCAAGGCACGGAAGCAAGCGGATCTCTAGAAAGTCGAGACTCCGTTACGGAACAAAATGGGGCTCTCGGGTTACATGCCATGCCATGCGATGCGGCTTTGCGCAGAACGACGTAGCTTGAGCCGCGAGACCGTTCCATTTGTTTATACCGAATCAGGGGTGCATATGGATACTCTGAATGCCTGCATTGGAAACAGGAGACAACTGTGGGCTCTAATGGTGGATAGTGTACGATGGTGCGATGCGGCGAATATCCACTTTCACCCGACAACAAACGAGAACCCGTGGCTGGCCACGGCTTAAGAATCTTTCATCCTCGTAAGCACCACAATGCAGTTCTGCGCTGAAGGAGGTTTTTTGGGAAAATTTTTACGAGTAATTTTTTTTTCCCTTTTGGCCCGGTCTTGTTGCGTCAGGTGGGGCCCCATAGGCGCCATCTCTTGGAAATCGGACAACATTTGACCCACGATGTCTTCCTGACATCCCACGCCCGGAATCACAGACCGGATCAATTACCTAAGATCCGACTCCCGCTCAACCGCCCTCCCGCTACCAGATGGGCCTACACTAACTAACTGCCCAACGTTCAAGACCAGCACGGAGGTGGATCGGATAGAGAGTCTGTTACTCCCAGGTCATTCCCGGACCACGAGATGCCGTCACACACTCACACAAGACCCAACTCAAGCGCTAAACTCTGATTGACTCACGCGCTATGTCCATGTCCACCCACCTTGACCTTGTAAACCGCGCCCTACGGCACGCCTCAATGTCACAAACTTACATAGGGCGGACACCGCGCACTAGGGAAACGGTTATACAGGATGAGCACTCACTTACATGCCATCAGAGGGACACACCCATCCATCCATCCCAATTGCGGCGTCAGCCACAACTTTTCAGCCAGCTTGATTACCAACGCCATGGATTAATAAACCAGCAAACAAACCTACCCAACGGGAATCATTTTCCTTTTGGGCTGCTGAAACCAAAGAAACCCCCATATCCAGGGTTGGATTACGCCAACATGGCTGGCGTCAAGGTCGGTTGCGTGCTCCACCTGAGCACTTGCTAGTCGACCCAAGGACATGGCATCATTCACTGTCAAGGTCAACACCTGGTGCAAACTGCTTACTTACCGGTGGTTTGCGATCACAAGCCTTTTGTTTTCTTCTCTGGGTTGTTTTTCTGGGTTTTACCGAAACAAGGGTCATTGAAACGGTAAATGGCACACCACAAAACTCACTTTGCCGGTTCGAACAAGCTTATTCCATCGTGGCATCTGAGCTACGTTATTCAGCCATGCCAAAAAGTCCAACATGTTCCTGTACTTTGTCTACATCGTCTACAAGACTTTCAAGCAAGCAAGCCACATTATTGTGCGCCCGCCCCTTCTGCCCAAAGGCGGTCAAGACCTTGCGGCCCAGAAACCAGGTCGTCTTCAGCTCTGGGCACGTCCGTCTTCGATTCTTGGATTACGGTATTCTGATCCCCATTCCGCTGCATCCAGCCCAGCACGTGTTTCTCGGCGACCCCAGCTTTTCTAAATGGGGTTGAACGTAGATTGCGCCCCCCAAAGCCTCTATACCCTCTAAGGTTTTTTTTATGTTTTCTTCTTCTTCTTTTTAACCCGTTTTCCGGATAATCCAAACTTTTGGCTTGCGCACGTCTTGGCGCCGTAGGCTGTTTTCTGCGAGCTGAATCACACCTTTTTAGGGTTGTTTGCTCAGTCGTGCCACGAAATGTACAGCATGATGCCAGCACCGACGGCAATGGCAGCAAACTGAACGACCGTCTTGCGCAGCTCTGCCATCTTGTTCGGGCCAGTCTCCAGCAGTTCCGGGATGACGGCAACAGTGCCCACATACAGGAACGTGCCAGCGGTGAAGGGAAGGAGCAAATCTCCCCAGGTCTGTCGATAGGTTTTGTCAGCAACACGTCTCAACCACCCATCGTCGTCCCACGTTAGCGGCGGCACTCACCAAGCTAGTTCCCCAGAGCCCCGCGTTACGCGCCATGGCATCCTCGCCGGAACCGCCCCCAAGCTCTTGGATCGCAATACCAATCAGAGTACCGAGCATGGCACCGAGTGCAGTCACAAACTGCGCGCCCATCGCCGCCCGCTTGCTGAAGCCGGACTGGACAAGCAAAGCAAAGTCGCCGACCTCGTGCGGGATCTCGTGGAAGAAGACCGCGACCGTCGTCGTTGCGCCAATAGTAGGGGATGCGTAGAAGCTTGCCGACATGGCCAAGCCGTCAGTGATGTTGTGTGTGAAATCGGCGCTACATAGTCCAAGTTAGTCGATTGCTCGTAAAATAAATCAATAAAAATAAAAAATAAAAAAAAGGGCATGCGGTTGCTGAGTCTCGAGGTTCGCAGCTGGAATCAGCAGCGTGGGGCCAGCCGTACATGAGATTAAGGTAGCCTCCAAGCTTCACGCTGGGGTTGATCTCCTTCTCCGTCTTCTCCACAGCGCCGTTGGAACCCTCATCGGCCTTCTTCTTCCGTGACTTGAGCTCCCCGGCCTTTTCCACAGCCGACGACACACCCTCGGCCTTGGCCTCGCCGTGGGAGTGCGCATGTCCGTGATCGTGTGAGTGTCCCTCGCCGCCCGTCGCGATCCTCAGCCCCTTGTCCATGGCCACGAACGTCATGAAACCGACGAGAATGGCGACGCCCAGCAGCAGGTTCCTGTTCGGCTCCACAAGGACGAGACGGGCGCGATCCGGCTCGTCCTCGCCGAGGAAAATCTCGGGCAGGAGGTGGAACAAGGTGTCTCCCATCAGGCCACCGACGGCGAAGGCGACCATGACGGACAGCGAGGAGGGATCGATGTTCGGAGGGCAGAGGGCCAGGAGGAAGTTGGGCGGGCCGGAGATGTACAGCGTCGCGAGAATAGCATTGACGGCAGGGCTGCCGGGGAAGAGCACGCCGAAGGCGCGGGAGAGGAGGGATGGCGTATCGTCCAGCTTGGCCAGCTTATCGGCCGTGAGGCTCTGCACCACGGAGCATTGCTGTAGCATCGACGGTCAGTTCTCCTCCGTCATCACCGAGAGACCAACAGATTTCCGAGACTCATGGCATAGAAATCGATGATGGACACCTACCTGCAGCTGCTCCTCGATCTCATCGAGACTCAGGTTAGCAACGGGCTTGCTTGCTGATGCGAGCTTCTCGGCCACCGAGGATGCGATGCTGAGCTGCACCAGCAGGAACAGAGCCCAGAAAACGGGCTTGGAAAACCGAGCCATGATTGTAAAAGTCGACAAGCCTTTTTTTTTTTTCCCCCTTCAATGTGATTTCTTTTCTGATTCCCGAATTGTCGATGCCAAATTGCGAGTGCAGCTTGGTTTAACCTTGGCTTTTCGCGGGGATCGGACGAGATTGCTCCTCAGAGTCGATCCTAACACTTGTCGGGATCCGTTTCCCCCATTTTCAGCTCCTCCAATTGAAGCTTGGCCTCCCTGGGCCGAAGGGTATTTCCGACCATCGGTCGGGGGATACTGACGCCGACAACGCCGACAACCGACAGTGAAGCCACTTGGGACACTGTATCCTTAAAAAAAAAAAAAAAAAAAAAAAAGGAGAGGGAAAATGTTGAAAATGGCGCTAGGCCGCTTTCGGCCGAGGGTAGCTTTTCCTTGCGTCTGAAGTTTAGTTGGTTTGACACCTCTTGCACCTGCAGCTAGCGTTGCGTTGAGATGGCATAGCCGCCACTGGCAAGGTGGGGGTGGGAAAGCATCATGTTCAGATGGAAATGTTTGATCAAACGGCTAAAGAAAGGAGTGTGTGCCGGGCCTATTTATTCTTTTTTTCTTCGGTGCCAGATTTTCGAAGCAACGATTATTCTAGTCTGGGCTTAGCCAGGCTAAATTCCGGTTCCCCAGTTTCGAGAACCCGGAAGGGTACGTACGCACATCACCCGTACAGGCCTCGTTGCAACTCAAGACTGTCCAATCCGGTTGCACCGATTTGGTGCATTGACTGAACTGGACGCCCAGTTGCCCCAGTTCGCTGGGGAAGACACGGACTGGCCCGCCCATCAGGGTACCCTTCGGGATGTGGGAGGATTCTCTCTGCCATCCTGGTTTTTGGGGAGAGGGAAGAAAAAGAGATTGATGTTGCCTGATCAAGCTATACACGGTTCATATAGCTGACGTAGTGTGTTGGTTTGGGGGCTTTCATGGGCAAAATGGGGCTGGTTCGAATGCGTGTCTTGTTGCGGGACTCGTCTACCAATGGTAGGTCTTGAGTGACATTTATGTTGTGCTTGGAGCAGTTGGCCGTTATACCAGGAAAACATCTATCAATAAAAGCCGTTAAAGGGATGCAAAGGCATGATGGTGAGTGTTCAACAGTAGAGCATGGTGCCATCTCTAATGTTCTGGCCTATTTGGAGTCGGGCAAAAAAATTCATCTTAGCCATTGAGTCGACATATTCTTCGAAGTACCCGATATCTGCCCATTATCGGAGGTCCGTCAAGTCTTCAACTAATTGTAACGACTGATTTGTTTAAAGATTGATCAACTACTCCAAGGACTGTCAAAAAAAAAAAAAAAAAAGTCCGTCACAAGGAATGAAACTTTGGTTCCGACAACAACAGCCCAATATGGTTCCCCAACAAGTTTAAGAGGCCATAAGGTCTGTAGCAATATATCCATGGCCTTGATGAAACTCAGCGAATCTGAAGGCGTGGCATTCAACGTCAGATGTCTCAATACACCAACAGCAATGCTGACATCTTGCCTAATTGTATGTTAAATGTTTGTCGGTTAGAAAAGTTTTGCCCTTATTCACAGTAATTTCTGCACGCAACATCGAGGCCTCACTGCTAGCCATTGAAGAGAGAGTTCATCAAAAGTCTCAGGTAGTTTCATCATAATTTCACTAGCTTTTCATCTACCAATATCATATGCCCAAAGGAGTGTAGGTGACCTAGTCCAAACCAGTATCCTGCTTCCCTCATTCCCGCAGAGTACCCCAAAGCTTGATGGTCATTATACGAGGCCGTCTATTCATTTTGTCTCATAACTATGTACGCAAAGTTCGCCCTCCATCTTGTGTTACCATTAAAAGCGTATTAAACCAAGAGTATTGCTGAAAGGAAGAGCTTTTTCATTCCACTCATGTTCATTAGAACATCGCCAGAGCGATCATGCCAGCGAGAACAGCAATGCTGAACGTTGCGGTGGTGGCACTGCTGCCGGTAACCGTGGTGGGAGCCGACGTGGGCACGCTGATGGTAGCGTTAGTCCCAGGGCGGCCAGAGCCAGATCCCGACCCAGACCCGGAACCAGAGCCTTGGGAAGCCGAGGGTGGGGCACTGCTTCCGCCAGAGCCAGAGCCCGAGCCTGAGCCAGCGCCGCTGGATGGCACGGCAGTAACCAAAGTAGTGGCTGGAACCGTGCTCTGCTGACCAGAACCGGAACCGGAGCCAGTGCCAGTGGCAGAAGCCGGGGCCGAAGCGGAACCGGCCACTTGGGTAGAGGCAGTAGGAGTGGCAGTCTTGGTTTCGGGAGCAGCAGATGAAGATGCAGAGCTGGCCTTGTCGCAGGACAGGTCGAACAGAGGCTTGTTGGTCAGGGTAGAGCCGATGACACCAAAGCTAGGGTTGGGAGAAGTCGGAGAGGCGTCCTGGAAAGTGTACCACCAGACATTGGTCTTTCCAAACATAGGGCAGCCGACGTCATCCCAGAACTTCTTTGCGTTCTCGAGCGAGGGAACAGCAGCACCAACGGTCTTGCCGCTGACAGGCCAACCAGTCTCTGTAACCCAGACCGGCTTGCCGCCAACAGCACCCTGAGTTGCGCCCAAAGCATCGGCCCAACGTTCCTTGCTGTTGGAGATGGCATTGGGCTTGGTGTCCTCAAAATACGGGTAAGCGTCCATACCGATCCAGTCGCATGCGTCGATGACAGCCTTATTGCTGCCGTTAACCCAGGCAGTCCAAGTGTCGACGTGACCCAGAGGGGCATTGCTCAAAGGTGTGTCCTTGAGGACTTCTCGAACCTGGTTGAAGTACTTAACAAGAGTGCTGGGTTCGGCGCCAGCATACTCGCCATTGGCGATACCAGTTGGAGAGTGGCGGTAAAGATCCTCGCTGCCAACAGAGATGCCAGCAACAAGGCCATTGAGTTGACTGCCGTATTGGGACACTGTCTTCTTCAAGGCCTCGAGCTCGTTCGCAAAGGTGGCATCGCCGGCAGAAGCCCAGAGGCCAAGCAACAGGCTGGTCTTTGTAGAGATGGCGGCGGGGATGGCTGAGATGGGATCGTTTGTGCTGCCACCTTGAACCATGGTATAAAGACGGGCGGAGGTGAATGCACCGTTGGTGCCCTCGAGACTGGCGGCGGCCTTGAACTCGGCCTCGAAGTCCGATTGCGTCTTTGCGCGGCCGTCGGTAAAGGTAGAGCCATAGTTGAAGCCTTGGAAGGCACTGGCCGTCGAGACGGCACTCAAGAGAGTTGCTAAACTCAGGGTACGCATGTTGACGATTATATTAGGTTGTAGGTGCAACACTAGTAATTTCTAGAGGAGGCGAATGGTCTGAGAGAATATCAAATAGGTGTTGTCGGTATGTAAGTGAATGTCACCCAGAAACGAGTGATGGTATAAGTAGGTTGGCTCAGAGCTCCAGGAGTACAACGAAAGACTGTCGATGAGAAAGTATGTGAAAGGAGAAAAGACAAGCGCCAATAAGGCGGGGGAAGGGTAGAGAAGATAAACGAGAGCCAAAGGCTTCAAAAGGGTCTCCAGACTAAGAAGGCATGCTCGATCAGATCACATAAACAAGCTCGCTCGTATCCTGCCGTGTTCCTTGTTCCTTGCACATGGCGGCGGAACTCCCCTCCCCTCCCCTTTTTGTTTCTCACCCCCTCCAGAACTGGCAGGCCCAGTTGGGTCAAGAGGTGCGTCAGTCCACAAGGTAGGATGGCACAGAGAAGGGTGGAAGAGTCTGGAAAAGGGCAAGTGAAGTTAGGAGGGTGGTCCCACATGCCCCGAGTTGGACGCTACTGGTGTCTGCTATGTACCATAGTATTGTCGATGCCCCCCTCATCGCTGTCAAGCATTGAACACTGCATAGCCAGGGACTGGGTGTATCCCGTGTGTCCAACATAACCTTGGCTTTCTGACAGTGCTTCCCCTGAAGGCGATGAGGTGATGAGGTCACATTGAGTGCAGGGCAACCGATTCGGGGGAGAACGGTTCAAAACATCGACCCAATCACGGCTGTCATCCCAATTTTACCGGCAAGCCGGCGCCCAAATTGGGCCATCCAGTCCCCCAGGACCGGCGCTGGCGTGCCCATTTTTAGCAGCCACATGCACTATCCTCACACCCAGCTCCCTGTCGCCCGGCTAAGCCGTAGTCACTCCCCTGTTCATCGCCTTCTCCTCCCCCGTGTTTTCCAGCAACCACAACGGCGCGAGTGGCCACAATAAACACAACACCCTACCGGAATGCGTGACATATCACTCTTCCCGGGCCTAGTCAAAGTTTTGCTTAGCGAAGCCCTTTTTTCAAATACGAACCTGGATCTACCATTTCTTCGGTCATCCGGTGTCATGCCATGCATGAAAATCAAAATATGGTTTCCGATGCCACCTGTAATACGTAATGGTACACTCGCTCCTCCTGGTTGCATTCTGGTCGACGAAATCAATACGACGTTGAGGATATTGAATAAACCGTGCTATATTGCCTCTCAGAGGAGTCATATTCCAGGAGGAAAATTCGGATACAGGCGCATTCTACAGTACAATTCAATCAAAAGCCACGCCGAGGTTGTTGCTGGATCCAAAGCACCATGTGGGAAAAGTAAAAAAGAAAAGTGGTGGCAGCTGCAGGTACCAACGCCCACTTCCCCGGGTATGCAAAGGCTCAGGGGTGCCACAAGGACCACTTGTTCCGTTCCGGCTCTCCAGAAAACCGTGAGGTAGCGGGTTTAAAGGTGTGCAACCTTTAACAGACAGTTGGAAAAAAAAGAAACAGAGAGATGATAGGATAGCTCAGGTGAGCTTGATGTCCTGAAGTTCGAAGACTAGTGATGAAATCGGTGCATTCAAATCGGTGTTTGATTCAAACCTTTTAGACAATACTTCTTCCTAGTCCCTATTTTGGAGATGCTCCCAACGTATCATTCTTGTACTACAGCAGCGGTTAATCACTGAATGGCAGCATTTTTTGTCAGTTCTTGCATTCCTTGCGACTCGGCAAGCTACAACAGAAGTGTTGTGGTGATGGCATCATTAATGGCTCATTTAATCATGGCCATGACCAACGAATCTGGGGCCGAAACCATTAGTAGAGCGAACGAGAAAACTGAAGTTGGAATGACATCCAGAATGAGTAATGAGAGTGAATTGGATGAGGAAATCAACGATTACCTCGGTGTTAATTAATCATGATATCTCTTGCTGTGTCTAACTTAAGACACCCGTTTGTTTTTTCTTCTAAGGGACACCCATACAGGAAGATATCTCACAATCAATTTCCCGTATTGCGAACAACAGCACCATATAATAAAACACAGCAAATCAGGTCTGCGTTTCGGGTCTGATTAATCCGGCATCCGACAAGGACGTCGCTGAACATCCGTCATCATCCTGGAATGCCGACAAAAAGTGGGTACCATCTGACTACGCACTGAAGCCATCATTCAGGCGCCACTGCCTGCAGTATTCTTCTTTCCTACCTTGATTCGTATGACAACCGTGAGCACGAGCAAGGTTTGATAATGGAAGATCAGGGAGGAGACCCGCGAGACTCCTGCTTGACTATCCTCCTCCCGCAGACCAAGCCATCTCAACGCAAACAGAAGCAATCACGTACAAGCGCACCCAAAGTACGAACAGGATGCATCACTTGCAAGAAACGTCACATAAAATGCGATGAGGCCAAGCCGTATTGCAGTAACTGCCTTCGAAACCGAGGTTATTGTGAAGGCTATCCTGAACCAGGAGGGAACGCCGCCTCCGAGCGTCGGCCAATTTCCTTGGATTCCAGACAGCTCACTCGACTTGCCGCATCTCCAAGAACTCAGATGAAGCTGGATTTGGACGCACTCGACTTCCCCAATGCCACAGGAATGCTCTACTTTCAAGAGTTTGTCAGCCTTGTTAAGGCACCATGGGCCACAGCCACATCTTGCGATGGCTTGTGGGGGGTGACGCTGCCACAGCTCGCCCGCACCAGCAACACCCTTCGGTCCGCCGCAATGGCCATCGGTGCGCTGAGTCTATGGCATAGCCAGTCCAAAGATGGCTCGCTCAGCACAGTTTCAATGCCGGAGGTGCCAGTCACCAAAAGTGACGTTCACTACTTCCATGCTGTAGCTCACTACTGTCAGTCTCTCAAGCAGCAGTGCCAACAGGCTTCCCTTCAGGATGCAGTAATCTTGTCGGTGCTCCTACTCTTTTTCGAAAGTCTCAGGGGTAACAGGAAAGCTGCCCTAGATCATATCAATCACGGATTGACATTTTTGCTCGCCCTCATCACAGACGAAGATGCACAGCACCATATTGACAGTTTGGCACCAAACCCGAGGCCACTCTTAGCAGCGGTAGCTGATGTTTACTACCCTCTGGCGAAACAGGCCCGTACTGTCCTGCGTGACAGAATGAATGATGGCCTGCCTCTCCCAAACCTCACAGAGGGGCTGCGTAGCAGAAACCAAACCATGGAGTCCTTCATAGTTCTTTTGAGCCAACTGCCCAGATCTTCAGTGTCCATCGACGAGATTCCCGCCACATTTGACAGCCTCCAAGAGTTCGAAAAGTACTGGCACGTTGTTCGGCGGGCGCAGACTGCGATAATGACCATCATGATGGACGCCATCCAGGGCTTAGATGCGTGGGCTTTGAAAGATGACTTTGTCATTGTTGACTTTTACCAAGAAGTTCTTCGCAATCCACGTATTGGGGAATTTTGCAAGCAATCTGAGCAAGCCATGGCAGCACTAGACACTGCCTTTCAGCCCCTGTTCGACAAGATCATCTTGTCCCACGAACCCCAATCACCCTTGTACTTGAGGGCAATTTATTTGCGTCTGCAGTACCTAAGCGTTTCCATCTTCGAAAACCCGCCAAAGTTCATCAACGACGCAACTATAAGGGCGCGTACATACCTGTTCCGCGAATATCTCTCCGTTGCCTCAATCGCACGCCAGGCGGCCATGCGGGAAGTTGCAAACAACCCGGCACGCCAGTTGTCGCTTCAGTGCGACATCTCCTGGAACCTTCTAATCGTAGCTTTCTTCTGCCGCGACCCGCTCGTGCGCGAAGAGGCCGTTGGGATGCTGCGGGATTATCCGTGTCAAGACGGTCTATTTAATACGCGCGCTCTACATGCTTTAGCTATGCGAAACCGCACTGTGGAGCGGAATAACGCTATCGAAGGCACGCCCGATGATCAGTGGCAGCGGCTGTGGCGACGGGAGCTAGTATTTGAAGAAGGCGGAACCCAAATCATCCTCCGTTATCTGGAAAGGGACGAAGAGACAAAGATGTGGAAGTTGGTGGAGGAGACAGCCGAGATCAAGGGCACCACCGAGCAAGTGCAGTGGAAACGGCGCCCCATAACTGGAAGTGAGGGACTACTGATGGCCAAGATTTATGCCGCTACCTATGAGAATTACAACTCCTCACCTTTAGCAACGGAAGTTTGATTGTGTGAGAGACTTGGGGGGTTCACGAGGAACGACCAAAACGATACCTTGGATTGAGATCCATCTGAAGAAAAGAAAATTTGGATTGGAGTTAGGTAGCTTGATACCCAATGGAGAAGTGCAAGAGTAAGAAGTCCGTCTACAGTTACATTGGCCATCTATGATATCTTTTTTTACACTAAACTTCGCTATGCTCTAAACGCGACACGCAAATCTATTGATCCAAGGCTTGACTTTGGCACTGCACATTGTTAAGTGTTTGGTTAGCGATTGCCTGTCTGCAGAATATGATGGAGAGATAGAGGACTTACCATTTCCCAATAGACCCCTTGCTTTGTGATAAGCTCGTTGTGCGTACCCTTTTCCACGACCCGCCCCTCGCTGAAGACGAAGATGACATCGGCATTCTGGATCGTCGATAGCCGATGGGCCACCGCAATCATCGTCCGCCCGTCACGCGCCCTTTCGAACGCTGCCTGGACAGTCTTCTCCGACTCCGAATCCAGCGCCGAGGTCGCCTCGTCCAACAAGAGGATCTTGGGATCCCTGATCAGCGCGCGCGCAATGGCGATCCGCTGCTTCTGGCCGCCGGACATGGAGACGCCCTTCAGTCCAACATCCGTGTTGTAGCCATCTGGCAGGGAGATGATGAAGTCATGGATGAAGGCGTCACGGCAAACCTCGTGGATTATCTCCTCCGAGATAGATGCAGGGTCGGAGATTCCAAACAGAATATTGTCGCGCACCGTACCCCGGAACATAATGGGCTCCTGGGCTACGAGCGAGAGGTTTCGTCGATAGTCGTAAACGTCGAGATCCTTGATGTTGACGCCGTCGCAAAGGATCGAGCCGTGGTTTGCGTCGAGATCGTAAAACCGCTCCAAGAGGGAGATGATGGTTGTCTTACCGCAACCCGACGGCCCGACGAATGCTGCATACTGGCCCTTTTCGATGGTAAGGTTCAGGCCGTCAAAAACAACGACGTCCCGCGTGGGGTACTTGAATTGGACGTCTCGCAGCTCGATGCGTACGCCACCAACTGCCCCAGCAATGATCTCATTGTCGCTAGTCCCCGGGAGACCAGGGTCCGCCGAGTCTTGAACGTCTAGAATGCGATCCGCGGCCGCAGCAGCCTGTGCGGCGCTTGGCGCCACCGCCAGAGATTGACTTGCCGACTCCGCGCCCTGGATGATGGCCATGAGACAGACGAAGAAGGCCTCCATGGGCAGCTCGCCGCTGAGCAGGAGCCTGCCGCCGTACCAGAAGATCAGAGCTTGGCAACCCAGACCGGCGCTGTCTGCAAAACCAAAGAGCGCAGCGGTCCACTGGGCCTTGCGGCGTGCCGCCTGGATGTGCCCATCCAAGAGCTTCTGGTATCGGTCGTTGATTGAGGCTTCCATTGTAAGGGAAGAGACGGTGCGAATTGCCCCGATGGCTTCAGTGGCAAACTTTGAGCTTTCCATGAAGACGTAACCATTCATTTGATCAAACTGCACCTCATGTCTATATTTCCATAGACCTGTGGCCAGCATGATGGGCATGGTAACGCACAGGGCGACGAGGCCAAGTTTCCAGCTGAAGATGAGCGAGATGACGGCGCATCCGATAGCGGTAAAGACTCCAGTAAACAGCAGCGCCAAGTTCAACCCGAGAAGTTCTTCCAAGAGCTTCGGATCACCGCCTACCCGAGCACTCAGCGTGCCGTGAGAGTTCTCATCTCTGTCGAAGAAGTCGAGCTTCTGGTGCAGCATGTCGGTCAGGTATTGCTTTTTGTATACTGCGCTGATGAAATACTGCGTGTGCAGGCCGATCCAGCCCTCACTTGCCCACGAAAGGCCGACACCACCTGCTAGGGCGAGCCACATCAAGCCCCAAAAGTTGGCTTGTCTGCTGAGCTCATCACCAGTAAGGAGGAAGACGCCGATGACTTTCGCTACGAGCCAGGATTGGATAGGCGTCCCGGCTGCTACTGCCATTGCTGAAAACACGATACCGATGTAAGATGGCCATTTTGCACGCTGGTTCCATACAAGCTTGCCAAAACTGCGAACGAGGCCTCTCGGTTTAAGAGAAGTGCTTTCCTGAAGGCTATGCATGCTTGCCGGACTTCCGGTCTTCTCGGAATCACTGAGTAGCTTTTCCGAGTCGCCTTCAAGCGCCAGAACCGATTTGTCGGCCCGTTTTTCATCAGAATTTGACAGGTGTAGAGCCTGTGCCCGGACCAAGCTGCTGTAGACGCCAGAAGTGTTGGCCATGAGGCTCTGATGGGTGCCTTGTTCTACTGTTCGGCCATGCTGCAGTACGACGATGTGGTCTGCTTTCTTGATCGTCGAGAGTCGGTGGGCAATCGTGATGGTTGTGCGGTTTTGGGTGACTCTATCAAGGGCGGCCTGGACTACCTTTTCGCTTTTGGCGTCGATTGCACTGGTGGCTTCATCGAGGATGATGATGCGGGGCTTCTTGATGATGCTTCTGGCGATGGCTAGACGTTGCTTTTGACCTCCCGACAACTTTGCGCCGCCGTCTCCAACGCGCGTGTCATATCCCTAAAATATAACTGTCAGATGTTTTTCCAAACATGTGTTAAGAGAACATTGTAAAAGATGACTCACGTCAGGTAAGCGATTAATGAATTCATGAGCATAGGCCTCCTGGCAAGCCTCTTCAACCAGAAACCTCTTCTGCTCTTCTGTGTCGTTTTCCCATTCGGTTCCGATGAGACCGTTTGCCACGTTACCAAAGATGGTGTCGTTGAAAAGAAAAGGCTCCTGCTGGACCAGACCGACCTGAGCCCTCCACCATTTGAGGTCAAGGTCTTCCAGATCAACGCCCCCGACGGAGATGAGACCGGAGAGCCTTGGTTTTTCGGGTGTCCTGACCTTCCTCTCCACAGTCTCGCTCTTTTCATCACCTGGCTTTACCTCGACGACCTTGGGCAGAGCATGTTGTTCTCGAAGAGAATACCATCGTTCCAGGAGGCCGACGATGGTGCTCTTTCCTGACCCGGATGGGCCGACAAGGGCGACATTTTGACCCGGTTGGATACGGAAGTTCAGCTTATTCAAAACTGTGACACCGGGTCTGCTCGGGTATTCAAACACAACATCCTCAAAAATGATATCCTTGGAGTCGATGTCAGGCTTGAGGGAACCAGTGTGCGGCAGAGGCGCGTCGATGACGGTGAAAAGTTCACAAGCGGCAACCATGGCCTTGCTGACAGCCATGAGGGGCGTTGAGATACGCTCCATGGAGGTGAGAATCATTGTGACGGACATGAGCACGACGATGATGACACCTGCGTTGTTAAGGGCGCCGGCGATGAAACGCTGTGTACCGTACCAGAAAGCGAGACCAAACGCGCCAAACATGCCAAAGAACTGCAACCACATTAGCTTGATGACTTACAGGCGAAGATGACAAGCGGTTTGAAACATACAATCAAGCCGAATTGGATGGCAACAATAGGAGCCGTCTTCTGGGCGCGCTTCATTGCCTTCTGCACCCACTCCTCATAGCGTGTTATGACGTGCTCCTGCGCTCCGTTTGCCATGACCAGACGGATTCCGCCTAAAGCTTCGCTGGCGATAGCAGTTCCTTGAGCATCAGCCTCGGCGGTCTCCGTCTGGCCCCTGACAATCCGCGGCAAGACCACCGACAAGACGACTGCGATGTACAAGATGAGCGAGGAGGTCACCAATGTAAGATCCCAGCTCCAGATGAAAGCGATAACCAGCGCCGCCCAGATCGTGCCGTTGAACTGCAAAAATGTGCCGAGGCGCTCCGAGATGCCGAGTTGCAGAATGTTCGACGTAATTGTGATTGCTGTCGCAGGTGCTCCGGACGGCATGGAGTCAATCACATGGATCGGCTGCGCAAACAATGCTTGCATGTAGTGCAACCGCACCGCCGAAGACAGCCGGATCCCGATCATCCTGAAGCAAAACTTGTTAATGGCGTTGAGACCCCATCGACCGAGAAACAGAGCCATAATGTAGAGCGCCTGCTTGTTCAGCAGACGCTCAAAGTCGCGGCGGGTGACGTTTGTATTGTCGCGGAAGAAGTCGGTGAACTGGCCTACCAGCTGGCCGAAAATGATGTTCATGAGAGGCAGGGCAACGCCAGCCCCGATCGAGGCCACGGAGGCGATGGCGTAAACCATGAAATCCCATTTTGTCGCGTAGGTGAAGACCCTGAGATAGTCGGCGAAGGCTGGAGTTCGGGAGGGAGGGCTTCTATTCGGCGGTGATGCACCTTGGACGGGTTTCCTTCTGGCCATGCTGGGTGAAGAGCTGTCTGTCTGTGTTGACAGTAAGTTGTGAATCAATCTCCCATCCGCGAAAGAACTCGGAGGTCTTTCTTCGCAAAGACGGACACTCGAAACTTACTTATGCCCAGCAATGTGCTTGGTCTGCCTTTAGCGATGCAACGGTTCAAAGCTGAAGGGTCTGATCTCGTACTTCAATGCTAGGCCGTTTTGACCGTCAGAGTGGTTGTGATGGGATCAAAGCTAGGTCCGGTAGGGTTTTTTTTTTTTGGGCGCGGACCGGACTTTCTAGAAGGGATCTGGAATACAGGTCGAAATGGGAGCAAGCCATTGCGAAAATGTTCTATCAATTTCCTTCTAAACATCTCGATATTTCATAGAATGCGTTTCCTTATCTCCAAGCTCTCGAAGAAATCGCCTCAAGACTTACAACACTGGCTACTGCAAGGGCAGTATTATTACCGTTTTGGGAAGGTTACGAGCCGTGCGTTCGGGAGTTCCACTCCGAACTAAGAAGAAGCCTGGGTATTTAAACCAATCAATCCCCCCCATATCCAAGTCCGGACTCCGTTGAGTGCTCCGCTTTATCATGCGGAGCCTGTGATTGTTATGGGCGCGTTTAAAGCAGCAAAATCTTGCTATGCTAAGGGGTACTTGCTGAGGCTCTGTTTCAGTACGGATAACAAAGTTGCTAGAGGGGGTAGTTTTGGGGCCCATAATGCGTGGATCTGGCGGAAGCCCTTTGCTTGAAATCCAAACCTACCTATCCTCATGCGTTACGTAGTTCAAAGACAGTTTGCCTTTCGTGTGACATTACTCTCGGCCAATGAGTCACAGGGGGGCGCAATTCCTCTCAGTTTACCTGGCGGTAGTACTTATGCATCGGTTCATTACTTTCGTTGGCGAAGCTGCCGGCTTTAGAGGAGAATGGGTTTTCCCTTGCCGAGGATTTCATACCCTGGCAGTCGACATCTGTATGCTGGATCAGGTACCTAGGTTCTCGACGTCATCCACTGGCCAAAATGCGATCAGAGGCATGTTTACCTCTGACTAGAGAAGGGTTGTGTAATCGTAGCTGGCATGGTAACGATGTGCGACTCATGTCTGAGGAACTAGACCCAGAACCGCTAACGCGATCTCCTCCTTCTAGCAGCTAGCCACCAAATACGGCGACGCAGTTTTGGCTTCACTCAACGCTAGGTTCTCTCCCAGGCTCGAGTCCACTGACGTAGATCAAGGCTTTGAGAGCTGCTTTACTCGATGGTGTCCTTATGAGATGCATTATAACAAGCTTCTTTGTCATTGCCGACTCAACCAGGTTGGAGCATCGGCTTGGCTGCCCAATGTATCAGTCAGAACACGAGTTCCCCATAGGTCTTATATAAATATATTGAGATAGCCATCACTACATCCCTCCTGTTGTTTTGCCTTATGTACTTATACATACAGACTATTGCGATATGCCCTGTTTCGAATGAACGAAAGGCATTGGGGTATCTTTCTTAACCATATCACGTCCATGTTCATTTACATATATCCGCGGATGCCCCGTATCACGCCGGACTTTTTCTTCTTCTCACCGTCGTCCTTCGTCTTGCCCTTCTCTTCCTTGCGCCGATTCTGAGCCCCGCCTGATGTCGCTTCTAATTAGTTGATCCTCCAAAATCCATCTTTGAGCCGAAGCCGGGATCCTCCAGACTCACCTCTGCCGAAGTATCGTGGGTCTGTTGTGCTAGGGCTGGCAGTGTCGTCTCCCTCTGGTGGGCTAGACGGTGCTGGAGCAATTTGAGAGCTCGGAGGAACCGGGGTCGACGGGTGCGTCATTATGGGCGGTGTGTTGTTATACGATGACGGAAGGAAGTTGTCCGACAAGACCCTATGGAGTCCTGAGCGACTGCCTCTCATCGTAACGGGGCTGGTTGAATGCATCGACTCCGCCCCATCCACATCCATGCGGAAAGGAAGATCACCGCGGTTGTGGGAATTCGACGACCCAACAGTGAACTTGCTTTCCTCCATCTGTGACTGCAGCACCGTGTACTTCCGCAACAGGGCCGTGTACTGCTTCTGCAGCTCTGCTTGCTTTGCCCGACTCGCTGCCAACACGCTCTCTACCGCGGCCTTAGTTTCAGCGGCCCGTCGGTTGTGCATTCCCTCGTGCGCCTCCAGAAGCTTTGCATTTAATACTCCAATCTGCGTTTGAAATAACTTCTTCGTCTTCTGCAACTCTTCCTCGCGTGCCTTGAGTTTCACGTCTAGCATTGTTGCCTTATTCTCGGCCTGAGACGCAGAGGTAAGAGCCGCCTGTCTTTCTGCCTCCTTTGCCTGTAGGTTCCTTTCGGAGATCGACAGTCGCTCTACTTCGGCCTTTAGACGATCAATGTCAGCAGCGTCGATTTCGATGGACTGCATGTTTTGCGTCGAATTCAGCTCCTTGACCTCTGCGTCGCAAACCAGCTTTTTCAACTTTTCGCACTCCTCCCTTGCGGCTTGCAGCTCTTGTTGTAAAGACTGAATCTCGGCCTTCATCTTCCTCGACTCTTCTCGCAATGTTCTCAATTTCGCGGATAAATCGAACTCCCATTTCTTGGCCAATGTCCGACTCTTCTCGGACTCCTTTCTTATCTGCGTCTCCGCTTTTTTCGATTCCTCCAAACGTTTCTTCAAGGTGCGGTTATTCAAAATAAGATTTTGCGTCTCTGCTTCACTTGCCGCTTCGCGAACCTGCCGTCGCCGTAGCTCTCCAATGTGCGCCATGTGCTGCTGCTTCAAATATCTCTCAAAATGCAAATCGTTATGCAAGAGAAGGATCTGTCGCTGAAGATGCGCAATCTGGGTTTGTACATCAGTTGCAGACGATGGCGCGGTGGTTGCTGGTCCTGGAGGAGGCGCTTGGCTAGATGACTTCTCCGCCGCGGAGTCCGGGTGGCTTAGCGCGAGTGACGGAACACTGTCATTTGCTAATGACTGATGTAAACCAGACTTGATGACCTTGTTTGAGTGAATCATGTCCTGCAAGTGTGTGTGTGAGGATGACGAGACAAGTTGTGGCGGTAGTGTTGGGCTGTCGCCGAGCACGTCTGTCTGCAGAGCTTCCAAAGAATTTCTATTGGAAGGGTGACTTGACAGCGAGGCTTGACGTTGGGATACCGAATGAACCCGACTGCTGTCTCTTGAGGCTTCTTCCGGATGCTGTGCAACCCTCCAGCTCTCGGCTCTAGGCTCAGGCGCAGCATCGCTAAGCAAAGCAGGCCCTAGACCATCGTGGTCTGGTTCTTCACTGAGAAGTAAGCTTTCGCCCTCTACAGTCTCAACCACGTCGGGGTTCACCACAGCGAAAGAGTCCGCGGAGAAGCGCAAAGCCATACACTCAGCCACAACCTCTGCCGGCTCGCTCGTCATCCAGCGCCCAAAATCAGTCTTCTCAGACTCGATTGTAAGTGTGTAAAAGTTAGGATGCAAAAGATGGCTTTGCCGAAATCGCTCGGACTTGTGACGTATCTCGGTCGGCTGGACTTCGACCTCGTCTGGGTTGGTCGCGTTCGCATGTCTGAGATAGCGCTGCGGCTTTCTGATGTAGTCCATGAAGTTAATGGGATATAATCCATAGAGGATAGTAAAGTAGTTGGCGAGGTGAGGTAAGTCAACGTTGTCTGTCTCGTGTGAGAAAGTGCATGTTTCCCATCCGGAGGGCGACGCCAGACTCTTCTGCTCGCTTTCATCTGATGTAGCTTCTATGGGCCCAGTCCTTTCACTGCCCCAAAACAGCAAACGTGCATAGATGTTGAACAGGTTTGGAAGGTGTGGCACCAGAGAACTGGGCATATGTGGCAATATCATGATCAGAGCGGTGATAGCCACAGATATGACTGTGGTCGAGGTATCCTGCTGCAGGCTTCGCAACAGGTTGTTGAATAATGGGGTCTGTAATATCTGGTGCAAATGTGGTGGTTGGCTCTGCACAAACTCACCAAGGAGCTTGGCGGCTCTTGCTCGATATTCGCTACGAACGAAGAACTTATCCAAGGTGAAAAGGAAATCCTGCACCACGCATTAGACCAGGGATCGCAGGTGCAGTATGCAGGCAGCTGAACTTACCTTGGGCCGCTTCTTGCCGTAAGTGACGAGAGCCTGGCGAATTGCTCGCTCGCTGGACTTTCCAGCCAAATCGCCTTCGGCTTGCGTTTTGTAATATTTCTTCAACCATGTCGATAACAGTCGTTTAGCAAACGGGTTCACGACGGGTTCGGCGGTCGAATCATCGTTCTCGGGTACTCCCAGCATCAAAACCTCAACCGTGGCTTTATGAGACTCCTCCATCAGGCCCTTCTCCCGAGTGAAGTGTTCTAGGACCGTATCATTTAGAACATCCCACCATTTGAAAAGGCGGGCTGGTAAACGAATCACAGGCACCAAAAGGCGAAAGATGTTCATGAAAACGGCATATTTGGACGGCGCACCCCTGACGTGCTTGTCGTAGATGCTGAGGAGTTCATCTTGCAGCCTTTCGGAACTCGAGTCGTCGTACTTCTCGTGCTTGTTGAGATAGGCGTAGATAACCTCGGCGACGTCATCGGGGAGCGGCAGGGAGGGTGAAGCGGAGAGAAAAGAGGTCAAGGCTTTGGACAGGTCCTTGAGTGACCTGGCGAGTTCTTGTTAGCCGATCGTGTGTATGATGGCAGAGCCGCGGATCTGGGATTTTGCGAAGACGATTATCGCGCACCACATGATTAGGGGGAAGCTGGGTATGAGACCCAGAAATGACGGGCGAAAAGGAATCTGGCCACTTACGCTGACGACGCCATGTTTGCTAGCTGTGACTCTTCATGGAGCCTTGCGATGTTTTAATCGGATAAAATAAGCAAGGTAGGGTCGGACTGTACGGGCGGCTGTCGAGGTCGATATCATGCAACTGTCAGGCAATGGAATCTGCTGATGCAAGGTACAAGCTTTGCCAGGGACCCTCACTGGTGCAAGGCCGGGAATGGAATGGGCGTGGAAGCAGTGGAAGGAGAAGGGGAAAAGATTGGATCGTTAGACGCTAAGAGGCCCCCAAGAGAGGGAAAGAAAAAAAAAAACTGCCCTGAGGTGCGACAAGCCTCGCCAGCCTTCAGTGAGTGCCATGTGTGGTAAGTGGCCCCGCTTAGTCCTGCTTCAGTGGGTCCCAGGTCTGCTTCGGACACTGCCAGCTGTGAGATGAGGAGAGGGGGCCTGGATGAAGCGCGGCAGGTGGAGATACTTGGATCTAGACGGCCGGGTCACGCTGCAGGCAGGTACCGAGACCCCACCAGTGACCTCACGGGGCTAAAACCCCGCAATCCGCCTGTTTGCGCCATGCACCAACCCCGGAAGAACGTACGGACGACTGTGGAGCCATTGGACCACTCGAAGCTGTTGTGGGTAGTGGCCTTGTCCAGAAACGCACCTGATCAGTCACTGATGGGCAGTGAAGCGTACCGTGTAAAGCAAACCCCCTCAGCTCAGGTCACTTTGGCGGCAAGCTGCGAAGCAGTCTACCTGAGGTACTCCGACTCTGCCGTCCATACCTTGGATGAGAAAGAATGTGCGAGGAGAGAGATCGGGTGGTGGTGCAACCCCTCTCCTTTGGCCAGTCGACTAAACCCTGATTACTATGCTTCCCCTCCCTCTTTTAAGTCAAATAGCTCCGAGCTGTCCTTCTTCTCCTCCTTCACATCTTCTACATCACCAACGAAAGCTACCTCTGAAACAACAACAAACTCCCCAATTCTTCACGACGACCACCTTGTCTGTGAACTCTTCAAAGTCACAATTCCTCTAAGCAGCCCACCAGCAACCAGAAGCTTCACCACTTACACTTTCTCCCTTTAATTCAAACCACAACCAGTCGGCAAGATGGCATCCAAGAGCTCTGCAGTGGCGGACGAGCCCGTTGAGGTTTTGTTCGCCCTGCAGCCTAACTTTGACCTTCTCGACGTAGCAGGCCCATTGGAGGTTCTGGCTACCGCTCTTCACGACAAGAACGACAAGAGTGAGTGTCCCTGTTCATTCTTCCGTCTCTAAAGGCGTAGCGCAGTCCAGCTGACCAGTCCCTTTACCCCGCAGCCACCAAGGCATTCGAGTGTACCGTCGCTGCAGCTGAGCCCAAGGTTGTTTCCGACTCAGGAGTCACCATTGGCACCCAGATCCCCTTCAAAGAGGCCTACGAGCGCCTCAGCGACTTTGACGTCCTCGTCATCGTCGGCGGCGACAGTGACAAGATCATTAAGTCTAACGCCGAACCCCTTCCCCTCATTACCGCTTTCGCCGAGCTGCAGAAGAAGGACCCTACGCATGAGCGTACTCTCCTCTCTGTCTGCACCGGTTCTCTCTTCCTTGCCAAGCAGGGAATCCTCGCCGGCCTCTCTGCCACCACCCACTCTGACTACATCACTACCTTCGAGATTCTCTGCAGTGAGGCCGCCACCCGTAACCTCACTGAGCGAACCGATGTCATCGAAGATGCTCGATACGTCGTCAACAACCTCCGCTTCGACCTCGGCGATGAGGACGAGAACCCATATGTCCGCCGCACATCCGACGCGGGCCGCCGACCCTCCAATGCCAGGTATGCCATGACACTAAACTCTCATCAATTTACTGGATATCGCTAACGGCCGAACAGAAAGGGCAGTATGTCCTTCAAGAGCTCGGGTCGTCGCGAGTCCATTACTCGTCGTGCCGCGATGCGCCTTGGTGGCCTACGTGTCATCACGGCTGCTGGAGTGAGCGCTGGCGTGGATGCAGCTCTGTATCTCGTCAGCGCTCTAGTCTCCGAAGAGTCGGCCGAGGAGGTCGCTCGTGTTATCCACTGGACCTGGAACAAGGGCGTCGTCGTCGACGGACTCGACGTCTAAATGAGATATGAGTAACATGAATAGACGGATGGATGGTAAAAGTTCATTCACGATTCATGATTATCTGTAAGAAGGACGGGAAAAGCCTTCCAGATGTGTAAGAGATCCTCCGGTCTCGATAGTATTGAAGCAACTGCGTGTTTATTAGTGCAATCCACTCCATTTACGAGCCATTTCTTTTTCTCGCTAGTATGTGATCTGAACTCGCTTCCCCATTTACTTAAGCTCGCCGCAGTCATCACAAATTGTACCCATCACCAGTAAAGCTTTCACATTCGACTGCGCATCCACTTTCGCGGCGGAATGCCACATCTCAGCTCCAACCGCGGGCAGTTTTACCCCTCATAAACCGGTGGAGATTTAGCTCGGGTTGTGCGTGGACTTACATAACCGACTTCGTCTGTTAATGGAATCCGGGGTTCAAGCTTTGACGGACAAGGCAATTCCTTGGGCAATCATTTGGACAGCTGCTGGGACCTCGTTGGTCGGGTTAAATATCGGCTGGGTGAGCCTTCTGCCACCGTATGTGTCTCACCGTACTAGTGTGTGTTACCTCAGAAGCTGGCACCAGGTATGCACCTTGTGAACAGGAGAAAACACCGTGGCATAGTCAGTGTATAAAATTTCCTAATAGTTCGAGACGGAATCGCCAGTTAAGGCCCGAGGTGAAATTTGAAACCCCAACAGGCAGGACGTCGCGTGACAGGTCCTCACATCATGTACGTGCACCTACTGCGTAGTAGAACAACATATGCAAAAGTGTAACCCATTCAATCTGTCGTTGTAATTTAGCCAGGTAGAGTCGATCATCACAGATATACAGCTCATTTAGCATCACACCTAGCGCATCACCGTCTTGTGCTTATAGCTCCGGACCTGAGCTCCGGGCGGAGCAGGTGTGGATACGACCCTTTCGGATCCGTACGCGAGTCCCGCATAACATGTCGCCCAGGGCCCATTTCTTCCGGACTTACGTAGACCCGCTTTGGCCAATCACGAAACAGCCCAATCTGGTCCTTGAACTTTTTGGATTCTCGCGAATTGCATCAGCTATCTGACTACCCAGCAGACCATCAGACGACCACAATGACAACGGCAGTGGCAGAGGCGGTTGCTCGCCGAGCACCAGAGGCTTTCAGACTCGGAAAGAAGGAAATTTTTCTGTACGGACGCCCCCGATCTCCCCACCCGCAATTCCGCCTCCAAAGTCGCGCCATGCACCCTTCCGAGCAATCAGAAAACTAACATTCCATTTCCTTCTGCGTAGGCCGAACCATGTCATCACCTTCATCCGCAAGGACAGACAACCACCGAACTGGGCGACCTTCCACGTGCCCCTGACCTTCACCAAGTTCGACCTTCGCGACTACCTCTGGAACCTGTATGGCGTTGAGACGACGGCGGTGCGCGCGTGGGTGAAGCAGACGGCCGTCCAGCGCAAGAGCAACAGGGGCGGTTACTTCCGCCCGCAAAGCCAAAAATTCATGATGGTTGAAATGACAAAGCCCTTCGTATGGCCCTCGCCGCCCGAGGATCTCGAGCCCTGGAACAAGAAGCTGTGGGAAGCGCGTGAGCAGTCCTCCAGCAAGCAGTACAAGGCCGACTACCAGCGTCAGCTCGGCAAGCTGGTTTACCCGAGCAAGGAGCCCGCCGACGCCGCGCGGAAGAAGCTGCGCCAGGAGGCGAAGACGTTATTGAGCGGGTCCAAGAAGTGGACGGGGCCGGAGCAGCTGGACAGCAAGTGGGACAGTATCGTCAAGGCTTCGAAGAGGAAGTGAGATGGCGAGAGGTTGTTTCGGGCGTGCTGGGTAATGGGGGACGTGGCGGAAATAACGTGTACAAAAACAAGGCAACGTTAGTTGACATGCAGGTCGCATGTTTGTACAACACAAAAAGGATGACATGGAGATATAGAACATGTCAATTGGTATCATCAGGTTCACTTCTCTCTTCGCTCTGGGGTTCTGACTGTTTGGGCGATGTAACCCAGTAATGGGATTCTTGGAAACGAAGGACCTCATCGCCCCATCCCCACCAGCCCGCCGTCAAGTTGCGGGCGAAGACCTCCAGACCGCGGAACCCTTGGGGCAGCAGCTTGTCGAATAAGGATCGCAGATTTGGCTTCCTAGAGTGGATGTCGGGGACCGCGAACAGTATCCTCTGTGGTATCTTACGACTATCGCCGCGCCGCTTGGCAATAATCAGCCTCTCCCAGGGCTTTCTCCAGGCCGATTCCATGTCAAAAATTGGCTCCCCTTCGGATGTTATCTTGACCCAGACCCATTCTGCAGCAACCTCCAGGCCCCAACCAGCAAGAATTCCCTGGGGTGATGTGAGAAGATGTACTAGACTGGGCTTGTTAGTCACCCATACGGCAACAAGACCATCTTCAGTAAGGTGGCCGCCAACAGGTATTTGCTCCAAGAGGCTTCTGGTCTCCTTGAGGCCATAAACAGTGGAATAACCGCCCTTTTTCCTTTTCGCGGACTTGTTAGGCCAAGGAGGGTCTAGGACCACGAGGTCAAAGGACGGTGCGGTTGACACAAAAGCATCCCGAGTTTCTTCAATAGAACCGCTTAAGTACGTAGATTCATTAGGAATAATAGGCGCGGGTGCCGCAGCCGCATCTTGAACGGCATTCTCGCTCGCAGGATGGTCCTGCAGGCTCTTATCGTCGTTACAAGTGCTGATTTTGGCGGTGATGCTCCCACCATCAGTCACGCGTGGAAGACAAAACGGCGCGGTGTAGTCTCTTTTTAGCGTGTCGAGGGCACCCCTCACCGCCGCCTCAATCATAAGATCTGCGAGTTGGCTTGCTGGTGTACCTTGGCTGGCATGAAGGTTCCGTGGCTCCGGTAGCGGATAGGGCGTGGCGACAGGGTCGACTGAGAGGAGCCGCCGCCGCCGTCCTTCCCCTCCTCTGCATGTTGTCTCGGCACTTTGCCCCGGCAAGACCTGGCTCTCTTCGATGGAAGTGGGGATGTCGATGAGAAACACCCTCTGGTTCTCATCACTGAACAGGATGCATTGAGGGGAGGGAAAGTCTGGCTTGTCGAGCTTTGACATGGCGCTAGAAACCATATTTTTTGTTCTAATAAAAAAAAGCCAGCAAACGTGTTTCTTTGATCTCGCCCTGCAGATCCGATGGTGCCTTGCTTTGGGGCTATGACGGGGCGACTTCCCCGGAGGCTTGAATTGAAGCCCGGCCCAGTCCAAGTGCACTTGATCGGACCCGGGGCTTAACTGGGGTGGCCGTGGGAAAAACTAGTCCGGGCTACTGGCTGACTGGTGCCGAGGTCCTGCGTTGGCGTGGTTTCTCCTGGAAGGGGACACAAGACAAGCGGTCTGGGGTCTAATTCCCCTGGGGGAACAATCTTATTCCTGGTGGGAAAATTCTTGTTAGACCATACTGAACCCCTGGTCAATACCTTTCGCGCACGTACACATTGTGGGTGTGAAGGCATACATACTGGACGGCATGGACAGCTAGATATCATCAGAACTTTGGGATCAAAAGAAAATCCTAGAAACTGCCTTTCGTTCAACCTCAATGCAGATGCCGCGGAGTAACCGCCAAGTCGGCCACTGCTCACTGACACCGTTTATATCCGGATATGTGTAAGCTACCTTCCGCCCGCGTGGACGCTCGGCAATCCTCGGCTCGTGACCCAGACCCCTGTACTAAGCTCAACGGGCAATAATGGTGCTTCTTCCCCCCCATTGGCAGTACTGTGTACCGCTCGTGCGCCCCCCAAATGGCGACTCTTCAATGAGAGGCACCCTTTTAAAAATCTCGCCCTTATGACGTCCGCCCCATCGCATCTCGGCTCCAGAACCCTTTCCCTTCTCCCATTGCATTTCTCCACGATCACCACCACCCCCACGATCCTTACCCTCTCGCGTGCCACTTGCGAAATTCGTTTTTCAACTCTACTTTTTTTGTCCGGCTGAAACCTCGTCTTCAATACTGACCGCCGCGGCATGCCCTTCTACTAACACTGTACGCAAGCGAGTGAACGATCGCCGCGGGCCGCGGTGACCAAGGAATGTCATCAGCGCTGATGGAACATGCCTCCATGTCGGAGGTAGCACCAAACAAACAACGATCAAAGCCAGAGACGAAAATCCCTCCCGTCTGCCCGACTGACGATGACGATACGGCAAAATTGAGGAAACAGACCCGGACGCTGGACTATGTCTGGCGCTCTGGAGTCGCGGGAGGTCTGGCGGGCTGTGCTGTAAGTCGGAACTCTGGAGGAGAACAACGAAGGCCGCTGCCATGGGGGGAAAAAAAATGCCTAACGTAAGGGTCTATACAGGCAAAGACGGTCGTAGCGCCCCTCGATCGAGTGAAGATTCTTTTTCAGGCGAGCAACCCCCAGTTCGCAAAATACACGGGCTCCTGGTTCGGTGTCGCGACTGCAATGAAGGATATTCATTCCCATGAAGGCGTAGTCGGTCTGTTTAGAGGACACTCGGCCACATTACTCCGAATCTTCCCTTACGCCGGTATCAAATTTCTTGCCTACGAGCAAATCCGATCCATCATCATCCGTACAAAAGACCAAGAGACCCCGTGGCGCCGCCTCATCAGCGGGTCCATGGCTGGCGTCACCTCGGTTTTTTTCACGTACCCTTTAGAAGTCATTCGTGTGCGCCTCGCCTTCGAGACGAAACACGGTGGTTCTTCTCTCTTTTCAATCTGCAGGCGAATCTACAACGAAAGTTTTGTGCGAACCAGCGCAAATGCAACCAGCACCTCGGCAACAGAAGCAGCGGTTGCTCCCGCTATCGCCGCCATAGCACCGCGGTCTGGCCTGGTCAACTTCTATAGGGGCTTCTCCCCGACCCTACTGGGCATGCTGCCCTATGCCGGCATGTCATTCCTGACGCACGATACCGTGGGCGACATCCTCCGCCACCCGAGTCTCGCCAAGTGGACGACCCTACCCCGGCCGAAAGACGCACCTGCGGGTAAGCCCAATCCGCTCCGGTCTTGGGCTGAGCTATTTGCCGGCGGCGTTGCCGGAGTCGTCTCACAGACTGCGTCGTACCCATTGGAGGTGATTCGTAGGCGCATGCAGGTTGGCGGTGCTGTAGGCGACGGCCACCGACTTCGCATTGGCGAGACGGCCGCTATGATTTTCCGGGAGAGGGGATTCCAAGGGTTCTTTGTGGGCTTGACGATCGGCTATGTCAAGGTGATGCCCTTGGCGGCGGTGAGTTTCTACACATACGAGCGTGCCAAGACATGGTTGGGAATTTAGACTGTCTATTTCATATCGAGAAAGAGAAAGATGAAGGTGGGGGGCCTGGCTGATTGTGAGTTCGGCGTTATTGGGAACACTCTGGGACACAAGCATTTCTGGGTTTTATGAAATACGCGATTGAGAGGGAGCTGTGTCCCGAAAACTACAGGAGCATGAGGGCGCGCTAGAACGGAGGTTGGCTAACTGCCATATGACATTGTCCAATAAACACTTTTGAGTTTGTTGCGTCACATGCTACGCTCTGGAATTGTCGCACATTTTTTTTGTCAAATGCCCGACCGTGTTAGACGGCTTTGTGGCTCAAATCAATTACACATTTCTACATACTCGTCGCTGCGCTATGACTGGTTCATTCCTTTTCTACTCCCACGCATCTTGTAATCTCAACACCGTCCTGCAGGCCGTCAGAATTGATGGAAATTAAGCAAGGAGGTTTGTGGCGGGGGTTAACTTACAGGCACACCAGTTGGCTCAAAGCTGTTGACGAGCTGGCTCTCATACTGCAAATTGGGATTTCCCACCCTGGTCAAATCTAATCTCTCCTCGCCCTCACGCTTGAGGTATTGCTTCGCCGTTCTGTCGTCGAAACCGCTTTCCTGGCGAGCCTTGGCAACGTCTGTTGCCGCTGCACGCTTTTGGGCGACAGAACTGCGGACGTACTCCAAATACGGCGGGTTACCGGGCTTGATGACGTTATCGGCCGCAAGCACCGAACCAGGGCCCACGATGCCGAGCTGCTCGCACAACTTCAGATCGGTCGTGTAGGCGGGCTTGTAGTGGTCCAGGAACATTAGGTCGATCTTGGGGAGCTGTCCCGCGGCGTGCAGGCGCTTGATGGAGGTGTCGCTAGGGCCGACGACGACCTTGACGGTATCTGAGAGGCCAGCCAGATCGACGAGAGAGCCGATGACGGCGGCGAATTCGGGGTTGCGCTCAAGAGAGTAATACCGTTGCCCGCCTGCCTTGCGAACTGCGGCGCCGAATAGGATACACGAGTAGCCAACGTAACCGCCCAGCTCGACCTGTTTGGTTGCGAGGGAAGATTAGATGAAGCCTAACTTTGATTGCGATTACAACGATAATAGCCATGGCGGCAAGGGAAGGGAAGTTCAGACGACATCCCATATGCAACCTTCAAGAACGAGCAACATGGCGGTGGGAAAGAATAGGGAATCATTACCATGGTTTTGGGCTTGACTTCGGCAATAAGGTCTGTAACGATCTTGCCCTTGTCCTCGCCGACGTTCATCAGGTACTTCTTGGTGCGGCCAAAGTCGTCGATAGCAGCAAGGACGCGCTCAGGCGAGCCCCGGATCTCGTCGATGTCAAGCTGACTATAGACGAAGTGCAGCAGCTCGATCTCGCGGCCGTCATCAAAGAAGACATCTTCTTGCTCGGCGTAGGCTTTGGTTTCGTCAAAATGAGGCATCTTGGGTGGTGGTAATCGTGCTGGTGTTTAGTCCGTACAAGATCAAAAATCACTTTGGAAAAGCTACGATCTAGGTGGAAGAAAGACAAGAAAAAGAGAAAGAAAGGGAGGAAATGGGAAGCGCAGCAAGCTACGACAGCGACATGGACGATTATTATCATGATTGATGAAACAGCTTAGTACCCGTCCATCATTACAGAATCCCCGATCACCCCTCGCGCAAGCAATGCCTAGTGTGTCGGGAAGCGCAGCTCTCGCCGGTCTTCACCCAACATTGTTCTCCAGCTGGCGGTGGAGCTCCCCCATTGTAAGGCATAATTCCCGGGACCAGCAAGTCAGCAGCAAAATCCCGTTTAGGAGGTACACTGCGTGACTGCGCTACTTGAATAAGGTACGACAAGGCGGGACAGAGACAGGCAAGGTACCGCAGTTCGCAATATGTAGTTCCGATTATGGCGGGGTAAGACCCATCCGTGTCAGGTGCTTTCGCGAGCCGGACAAGCGGGGCAGATTTACGCGCACACGGCTGGTGGGGCTCTAAGGCGCTTGGCGACTCCAAGTCATGACACGCACAACACCTCATCGAGCCGCTTCGTCGATGTAATTGAGTTTCACCAACAGCACCAAGGTGAGCTCACCCCAAGCTCAGATTATTATTATTATTTTAAATCCTGCTCGCCCGACTGCGGGGAAAGAAGGAATTTACTCATCGAGAAGAAAAAAAATAACTCACCGTACATTAGTCTTGCATTAGCAACTGTATTGAGAAAGGGAGGGGGGACAAGTCGTTGACGCCGCTAATTATTCAGACGATAGTCTTGTAATTCGTCATATACGATCGATGCAACGTATATCCACAAAAGCAAGATGAGATGAGATTCAGTTTCGATGAGCCGCAAAAAAACCCAAACTTGGTCCCTCTCTGGGTCGACGATAATGGCTCCATCCAGAAGCGGCTGGCCGGATCATCACCTCCCCCTGGCCTTCTGCCTTTCTCTAGATCTTACCCCACGTGCAATATTCAGATCTCACGATTCGTGTCGATCAGTGCCAGATTTTGGCTCCTCCAATGATTCTTGGCCCCCCTTGTATCGGTCCTAGAATAGGACAAGCCTTGTACACTATTGGCCAAGCACCAAGGTAGTTGTGAATTTGGCGTGGCCAACCATATCGATGATGGAATTGACTTCCTCTGTGGTGAAACATGGGATTTCTTGATTCCCCTCTGATCGTCTTTCTGCTGGACGGAAACCACTCCGACTGTTAGCACGCCATTCAGGCGCCTCTTCTGCATGGACCATTATACCGAGAAGGTGAAAGATAACCGCTCGTGGCATGCGGAGCTAGCACTAGGGCGGTGCGGTTGTCCCTGTTTGTCGACGTCTCCGGTTGGCAAGCATGGAGCCATTGAAAAATCATGAGCATCATGACTCTCATCTATTCGTTGTATCAACGCCGTGTACCTAGACTTCGAGGACGTGCCTGCAATGAACATCCGACGAACCACCACCCACCGCCTGGGTCGCGTACCCACGACCCAATTATCTGACCGAATGCTGACGGGTACGACATGTAAAGTCTACTTCCCAGCGTTCTCAGTATGGACCGCTGCCGCGCTAGTTACTACGGCAAAAAAATAAAAATAAAAAATAGAACGAAACATAGAGACAGATTCAGCTATGCTTGGGATAATCCTTGCTCCAAGCTCTGCTGCGCTGCCCCTCGTTCTGCTTGTATCTCCGGTCGTTTTCGTCTCTGGTGCCATCCGTGTAACTCGATCTTCTCTGACGAGTCGATCAAGCTCGAGTGGGCCTTGGATGAACGGTTGGGGCACAAGTGATGATGACGACAACTCTAGGTGATGCATGTCTGCTGCAACGTGAAGGGGCCGCTGAAAGAAACGCGTCCTGGCCGGCTGCGGCGTTGCTCTGAGTTATGGAGAGAGGCGATTTTTGTTCAAAAGCCGGTTGATGGAAGCACCTGTTAACGAGCAATTTCTATCCTCATCCACACATCTTACCACGGCAACCTTTCAGGCTTGGTGCTTCTTGTAACACCTCTTTTCAAGTCTATTTCAGGATTAACAGATACCTTGTGTCAACCGACTTTCGTCCAACCCTTTTAACTTGACATTATACAATATGGCCTCCGATATGAAGGCGACGGTCGAGCCCACCAAGAAGGGTTTCTCCGTCTGTGGCTACGAGAAGATTGAGTACGACTTTGAGTTCCTTGATGGCGTTTTCCACAAGGAGAACCGTCAGCTGGCTGACTGCTACTCCCGCTGGAAGCGCTGTCTGGCCGTCATGGATCTGAACATCTTCAACCTCTATGGCAAGGAGATGCAGGAGTACTTTGAGCACTACGACATTGAGCTAAAGATCCACAAGACCATGATTGGAGAGAAGGCCAAGTCCATGGAGACGCTGCTGAGCATCGTCGACTCCATGACCGAGTTTGGCGTCTACCGCAAGGTATGTAATGGTTAACTATCGATGCTTTACACGTACTGATAACCTACCAGGAACCTGTCCTTGTTGTCGGAGGTGGCCTGGTTACTGACGTTGCCGGGTAAGTATCTCTTTCCCTCATTGGTAGATTTCCCTTCTAATATGGCTCAGCTTTGCATGCGCTGCCTACCGCCGCAACACCCCCTATATCCGCGTTCCCACAACCGTCATTGGCCTCATTGATGCCTCTGTCTCCATTAAGGTTGCCGTCAACTACGGCAACTACAAGAACCGCCTGGGTGCCTATCACGCACCCTCCCACACCTTCCTTGACTTCTCTTTCCTGCGCACCCTTCCCACAGCCCAAATCCGCAATGGCTTTGCTGAGCTGATTAAAATCTCCACCTGCGCACATCTCGAGACTTTCGACCTGCTCGATCGCTTCTGCGAGGAGCTGATTAACACTGGCTTCGGTCGATGTGATGGCGCCAGCCAGGAGGTCCGCGAGGCGGCCGACAAGATCAACCGCAGTGGTATCTACGAGATGTTGAAGCTCGAAACGCCCAACTTGCACGAGATTATGCTTGACCGCGTTATCGCCTACGGCCACACGTAAGATCAACCCTATTTGACTTGAAATGAACATGAATAACAGTATGTAGATGGTCCCCCCTCCACGAACTTGTTCCAGAAGTCCCTCTTCGCCATGGTCACGCCATTTCCATTGACATGGCCTACTCCGCAACACTCGCCCACATTCTCGGCAAGCTCTCCTCCGAGGAGCACCGCCGTCTACTCAACCTGTTCTCTCGCGCTGGCCTCTCAATGGATCATCCGCAATTCGATGAGGCTATCCTCGACAAGGGAACCGCTGCTATCTTGAAGACGCGTGATGGCAAGCTGCGCGCCGCCATCCCTTCACCACTGGGTCAATGTGAGTTCCTGAACGATGTGTCCTACGAGGATATGTGCGCCGCCCTGAAGGTCCACAAGGACTTGATGAAGGAGTATCCTCGCCAGGGAGCAGGTATCGAGGCTTTTGTCGATGCCAGCGATACCGGTTACACTCTCAATGGATGCTGTGAGGAGAATGAGCAGCGAGCGGACGTGGACGGCGCCGAGAAATCTGTCATGAACGACGATACCATCTCCGAGGGCGGTTCATCTACCGCCGGCTCTTCTTCCTCGAGTCCCGAGTACGGACTGTCCAATGGCAAGAACTTGGACCAGAAGAGAGCTACGTATGCTGCGGCTGGACCCGATGCATTCAACAAGCTCAACGAGGAGAAGGTTGGATATGACAAGGTTCATGTCGAGGAGCTTGTTATCAACAGCTCCGCATAAAAACTTTCATTTGTCAAGCGGATTATTGTCACTGCATTAGTATTAGGCTATCAGGTATGCATCGAGCTTTGTGCTCGTCAAAATATGGTATGCAGGAGTTGAACTGGAAATACCACTAAATCATCAAAAGAGAGGAGTTTACTTGAATCGTTCTGATTATGTGTGTCCCTGCGAAAAGATTGTGATGTTTTAAGTGCAACCCAACGTCTAATATTGTAGATTTTTCTCTGCTTTTAATTGTGTCGTACCACTGTTCGCATCTGTGGCATAGATAAATTATCAACAACAAAATAATAGTGTAGCAGCCCACATGAGCAACTCAAGAGCTCTCAGGGTTCATCAGTACGCAGCAACAGCATCTTATCAGCACTTTTACTATGTGTTGTTGAGATGACGATGAATATAACAACGACATTGAAAACAAGTCATCTTGCCCTTCATCCACGCAGTTCAACCAGACTTGGGATGAATTACAGATGAGTTTTCATAATTGGTAGACACCAGATGAAATGCAGTACAGTGTTTCCCATGTACACTGTAAGTGAACACTGTGCGGGCATCACTGTCTGATTTATCCACATCTTCAACCTCATAGCTCACTCACTCAGGCATAACTTCAACGTCAAACTCGCTGCCCATAGCTCGGGGGGTGATCGCTACCAGGGTTCAGAAAAACCTCCGGTGTCAATATCGTATCTCATGGCAAGAAAAGCCGGACTTTCTACCCCCATTTGCATGCAACCGCCTCACCGACTCATTTGAGCTCACTCACTTTGATGCAATGCTGTAGCGCCCCCACCAAACCTCATTCCCCATCACCCCAAACTAGTCAAAATGGACGCCCACGAAGATGACGGCGATATTAAACTCCAACAGATTTCAACCGATCTCATTGCCGACTTCACCCGCTCTCTACCGCTGTTCCTCCGCAAACCCGACGGCCAGACCATTCGTAGTCGCGTGCGCACTTCGGAGACGGCACGTCTAACATCAAGCGTGAGCTCAGCTCCTTCACCCTCCCGTTTGAACACCTCCTGACACCACCACCAGCTCCTGGACCCGTTTCAGGAACTACCTCAGCTGCTCGACCCTCACCTACCATCATGGCTTCCCCTCCTGGCAACAACTTACCTCGCCCACCTCAACACCCGCGCACGTGCCCGGCCAAAGCAGCTCTCAACCCGCTCGCAGCTCCTTGAACCCCTGAACGTAGCCATTTCCAAGCTGCTCTACACTTTCACAAAGATCCGAGGCGAAAAGGTCATTGTGCGCTTCCTCAACGTCGAGACCAGGCACATCGAACCTCTCCTCTCGGCCTTCGAGTCCGCTGAGCGCGCAAACTCCGTTTCCGCCGCCCGTCCCTCCCTCAACCCCCAATCACCTCAGTCCAACGCGCAACAATGGTCTTGGGAAGAGCGTTATTTGGTTCTGCTCTGGCTCTCCCACCTCCTGCTCGCCCCCTTCGACCTCTCCACGATTTCATCCGCCGCGGCAGACGAGCAGCTCACCCTTCCCTCCATTCCAAACTTCACCTGGCCGACCTCCGACCTTCCGGGCATCACGGTACGCATCCTCCCGCTGGCGATAAAATACCTCGCCTCCCCCGGAAGAGAACGCGATGGCGCCCGAGCCCTTCTTGTCCGCGTTGCCATGCGACGAGATATGCAATCCCAAGGCGTGCTCACTGCTCTCGTCCGTTGGTCCCTCACCTCCCTTGACCCGTCCCCAGACGCTCCACCGCAGCCGTCGTACTTCTACATTGGCGTTCTCTCTTTCCTCGCCGGCGTGCTGAGGTTGTCCATAAACACATCTGACATGGACGCCTACCTCACACCCATCTTCCGCGCCGCGCACGCCGTGGCCTCTTCGGAAGTTGAAGAAACCCCCGTTTCGGCCGCAATCCGCTCTGTCGCAGTGGCTCGCAAGATGCTCATCAAGGTGATCCGCTCCGTCACCGTCCTCCTCCTCCGCCAATCCCCGCCAGACCCGGACACCACGGAGCTCATCGAGACGTCCATCGGGTACTTGCTGGAATGTCTCGCCGATAACGACACCCCCGTCCGTCTGGCCGCCTCCAAGGCCCTCAGCATCGTCACCCTCAAACTGGACCCGGACATGGCTTCTCAGGTCGTCGAGGCCGTCTTGGATTCGCTGAACCGCAACGTCCTTTGGACGCGGGAGCCGGGAAGTTCCAACGGCCCCAAGGTCCGCGACCTCGCCGCCGTGGACCCCCTGGAATGGCACGGTTTGATGCTGACCCTCGCGCACCTCCTCTACCGTCGCTCTCCACCGGCAAGCCAGCTTCCGGATATCGTCCACGGCCTCCTTCTTGGTCTATTCTTTGAGAAACGAAGCACGTCGGGCGGCTCGGTAGGGACCAACGTCCGTGACGCCGCGTGCTTCGGCATATGGGCCCTGGCACGACGGTATACCACCTCGGAACTCCTCGAGGTTCCGACGACGGCCGTTGTTGCGGCAAGGCCCCATAGACAGGATGTTTCCATCCTGCAGGTCCTCGCCACGGAACTAACAGTCACAGCTTCACTCGACTCCGCGGGCAACATCCGCCGCGGGGCCTCGGCCGCGCTGCAGGAGCTCATCGGACGACACCCTGATACGGTGGAGAAGGGCATCTGGGTTGTTCAGACGGTCGATTACCACGCCGTCGCCCTGCGATCCCGCGCTGTTCACGAGGTGGCTCTTAATGCTACGAAGCTCTCGCCTCAGTACGGCGCCGCGCTGCTTGATGGACTACTGGGCTGGCGAGGCATAGGCGACGCCGATGCCGGTTCCCGTAGGGTTGCGGGCGCATCGTTTGGTACACTCACGTCTGAACTCTCGCGGCAGATTGCGTCTGGTCCTATTGACCAGTTCGCGGCATCTATCGATAGAATCCTCGCGCGTCTCCGCGCGTTGCAGACGAGACAGGTCGACGAACGACATGGCCTTTTCCTCTGTCTTGCCGCCGTGCTCGATAAACTCCCCGAGGTTCTGGCCTCCAAACAGGACGAGCGTGATTCCCAGCTCGTTCACCGCGTCATTCGCGAATTGGGAACAATATTTACAGATTTCCAGACGACAACTTACCGCCGGCCTGAACTAGTCGCCGAGGCTGCCAGCCGTCTCATCACTTCATCATTGCCTGTTCTTCAAGCGGCTGCGCTCCCCGCCGATGGTCCAGATTTACAACCAGGATACGCGGTCGTTTCGACGGCAAACACAAAGGACCTCCTCACGGTAATGAACGCAGTCGACGCCCTCCCCGAAATCCCAGAAGACGTAGCTAGCCTAGTATCAACATTTGGGCCAGTAATAACCGCCGGGCTCGCACGTTCAGAGAAGGAAGCCGTCGCGGCGTCCTCCGAAGCAGCCCTCATACACCTCATCTTCTCCCCGATCGCAGAGCGCAAACGCATCATCGAGGAGTGGGCGAGCACAGTTCGACACCGTCCGACATCCCGCGCGGCAAACGACACCGGCGTGCTCTTCGCCCTGACCATGGCGTACCCCGTCACCACAACTTTTGGCGGCTCCCTGGAAGCGGAAGAAAAAGACGTCGTGTGCGACACGCTTCTCACGCGGTGGGCGAGCGACAACGACATCGATACGCGCGTGGCCATTCTCCAGAGCCTGTCGCAGAGCGTCATGCTCCGCGACCGCGCTCTGGTGTTCCTGGACCTCCTCGCCGAGGGTCTGAACGATTATACAACCAATGCAAGGGGAGATGTAGGGTCACACGTCAGACTCGAAGCTCTAAGGGCCTCCAAATCACTATGGAGGCTTGCCTTCGCCGAGGCGGATGGTAGCCTCGACTGGCTACCGACGGCAGTCTCGAAGCTGTTTCTCCGCATTCTGCGACTGGCGGCGGAGAAGCTGGACCGCGTTCGTACGGAAGCGCATGCGGTCATCGCGCTCACTCTAGAACCAAGGTAAGAAAAGAAAAAGAAAAACCAATCCATCACAATATCACGGTGGCCAAATTGCAGATGACTGATGCGGGATCACAACAGCTTCTCTTCGAGTTTCACTAGGCTCACGTTCTCTTCACGGGAGTACTTTCACACGCTCCTCAACCTCTACACCTCGGAAAACTGTCTACACCCCATGATCTCGGAGGCAGCCAAGGCGGACGGGGCAGCGTGGATGGCCGAGCTGCTCGCGGGTTACGTCACGTCGGCCGACACGGGCAATGAGGACCTGGTAATCGCGTCTCGCGCGGCGCTGGCCGAGTTCTGCGGCGAGTCCGCACGAAACCTGGGCGCGGCCTGCGTCGCGTTGGTGAGCAACCTTAAGACGAGACAGGGGCAGGACCGCGTGGTGGTGCCGACGCTGGAGATAGTGGCGTTCCTATGCCACGTCGGTCTCTTCCAAAAATGTCAGGAGGTAGACCTGCGGAACCTTTGCCTGCGGGTTCAGAAGGCAGGGTACAAGACGGGCAACGTCAGGAAGCTGGAGGCGTGCATCAAGGTGTACGGGTGCGTGGCCGGGTTCGATGCGGGACAGAACAAGGCAGATTCACTGCCGGCCGATGTCGCAGCCAGGAGACGGGACGGCGTGGCGGAAGCGAGGAAGAGACTTGGCGCGCTCATGTTTCATCCGTGGCCCAAAGTGAGGAGTCAAGTTGTCGACGAACTGTGGAAGATGTTTGGGGTGGAGGAGGAGGGCGGTGGTGCGGACGCTCTGAAGAGCGTAGACTGGAGCAAGGCCGAGAAGGGGTCCATCAAACGTGTTGTAGAGCAGTTGGGGTTGACTCAAGCAGCGTAAGACTAGATGGACTACCAAAAGTTTTGATACAGAGATGGAAAGCTTCGTCTCTCTTTAGCGCCCCTCCTCGGGTGAAGGAAGTTCTCCAGCATGCTGTAACATTTTGCCACCAACTGCCAAGCCTTCATACAAACCCAGCGTTCGGCTGATCCTTTTGGTGACTTTAGGAACCGGGCAGTTGTATCAGGTGTGCTGCGTTCAAGAAAGACACGTAGAACCAAGTGTTGATTGTTTGAAAGACGTTGAAAAGGCTCCTTCAAGGCGCCATAGTAGCGATCGGGCCGCCAATAACCATCGCCGCAGGACGGTACGTTACCTAGGAAGGAAGGTGTATGCACTAGAGAAGGGTAAGGTTGCAAGCAAAAGACTGCGCGCGGACATAAACACCCATACCGGCAATCAAATACTACCTACCAGCTTCATCTACTACTTAACCATAGGGCTGGGTCAGCATAATCAAGATATGAGTGCTATGGAGGGTTTTTTCTTTTTTTTTTGGTCATTGGACTTTTGTTAAAAGAGTGATGCCTTCATGATCCCCAGTTATGTAACTGCACCACCTTTTGTCATATTCGTACCGGTAGTCCTCGGAATCGCACAGCGACTTGTGGGCCGAAGCAACAACGGTCATCGCTGCAGAAAGGGAAGGCGCATCTTGCCTACCAAATGTCCCAGTGTTTGAGTAAGTCTCCCAAGCCAAGACAACCTTCGGTTTGGCCATCACTCACCATCCCAAGCCGGCAGGCAAAAGAATTGGTAAGGGAAAAAGAAATTCACTTGGGCAGATAGCTTCACATTGAGAAAATCTGGCCGCTCTTGACCAGCCAATGGTGACATGCTAGATACGCATGAAAATCTAAATATCAAATCAATGGAAACATCAGATAGCATGTAACTACCCTCACCCAAGGACTCGGATGCAGGCCTGGGCCACAGGAGGCTATAAGACGAATCGGATCCGATACTGAAGTTTCATACTCGATTCCGCCGTGCTCACCCATCGCAGAGGCTTGACACATCCCGTAGACTTACCCATGGACCGGGTGACATTTGGCTGATCGGATGATGCTGAGATACAATAAGCCGTACAGACAGAGTGCACCAACTCACTGCAACAATACCACCAATGTAGTCAGTCGGTACCCGCGTAGTATCTGCCAATCATTTGGCGGTAACCCTAGTAATCCATCTGACTTGGTCAAAGCTACCAATTCCTTACTCAAATCACTGCGTGGACCAAGCCCGCTCTACTATGTATGTATTTCAAACCAGCCGGTTCCGTCCGGGAATATGGGTTCAGTTGATGATGGCCATTTTGGATTTTCTCAACTCCCATCATGACATGTGAGGTGGCAAACGAAGTTACTACGTAAGCATCATCCGGAGCCGTCCGCCAGTAAAGTTCAGGCAGGACATTGAGATGGGTCGCGCCGTTCAGGCGCAACGGATGCGAGGATGCAAGTCGGTGCAGGGGGTTGTGGAGGCTGGCATTGGCGTCTGCTGGGATGGTCATTGGCGGAGATGCGAGTGCGATCGCCACGACAATAGCAATAGGATTTAGTGATTTTTCTGAGTTCAGAGTTTCCTTTCTCCCGCTTTGTCCAACTGTTTGGCCTTTTGGGCGGCTCGTCCTTGATGACTTGGTCAGTTTTGACTTGTTGTTGTCAAAAAGGGTGGTAGGCCAGGGGCGCTGGAAGCGATGCACACGCAGAGCGCCTAGGATGCCAGGAAGGCGCTAGGAGGAATGTTTGGCCGAGGACCGCGCTAGGTGCGCTTAGTCACAGGGAACACGCCGGAAGAAGGCGCGTAAGGGATACGGACAGGTCTTAGGAAAAGAAGAAGCACAATACACATCACGATTGACCCCTGAATGTGCGCCTACGAATATTCGAACAGTTGTCGTCCACGTGGAGATGGCGCAAAGAGCCCCTGGAAAGCAATTTCGACAACAAGGGCATGCAGTTTTGCGGGCGCTGGCGGGTTTAGCTTGATATGGGCGTGGCAGAGTTGAACTACAGGCCTGGTCTCTGTGTCTTCATCCTTCCAAAATGGCAATAGAGTTCTCCGCCGAGAAGGAGAAATGAACGACACAGGCAGTCAACGCAGATGGCCCGATGTGGTGGAATACCCCAGGCGTAAGAGGGTGGGAAGACAGAAGGGGGGTGTGGACATCAAACGAGAAGTTGACAAGTCGTTCTTGGTGCAGGAGAGCGAGAGGTTGGGATTGGATAGAATGACTGGCGTTTGGATAGCGCGTGCCAAAAACCGAATGTGTCGTAGTAACGTCCCACACCCACTTCTGGGCACCCCCCACATTTGGGCACCCCATTTACACCAAAAACGCCGTTTTTCGAAATTCTATATTAAACTAACTACTATACTTACTAAGAAAAGAAAATATATATAAACTATGTTAAGTATAATTATAGCCATCTAATTTTTTATAAAGGTTTAAATATAATAATAGTTATAATATAGAAGTTTAAAACTAAAAGCTTTAAAATGTTAGTAGATACTAGTAACTTACTAGTATTCCTTAACATTAGAAAAATATATTTTCGCTTATATATACTTATTTAAAAAATCTAGGAAATTAATATTTATACTTATTAAAAGTATATAATTATATCTAAAAGAGATTTAAAAGTATTACTTTAGTAAATATAGTATAATTAAGGGTTAAAATTCTATAATAGAAACTTTTCTTAAGGGAAATTTTAAAATATTATTCTAAGCTTAAAGAATTTTTTACTAAGTATAAGAATATATAAATCTACTATATCTTACTTAAAAATTCTAATCATATTAGTTAAATATCTCTACCTATTTTATATATTAAGATATAGGCTAGGTAAATTAGTATTATAAATGTTAAACCTTGAATTTATAATACTTATTATCAATAATACTAGTATATAGCTACTTAAGTATTATAATTAAGTCTTAATCTATTTAATATATATTTATTCTCTTTAATAAGTAAAGTATTTAGTTTAATATAGAATTTCGAAAAACGGCGTTTTTGGTGTAAATGGGGTGCCCAAATGTGGGGGGTGCCCAGAAGTGGGTGTGGGACGTTATTGAGAGGGCCTGCTCAGTTGAGTAAGCAGGCAGATACGTATTATGCAGTGAAACCGTCTTTGTAAGGCCATGGAGCCAGGAGCTGCCCTGCAATGCTCAGCTAGCAACTCTAACTCAAAACAAACAGGTACACTCAAGCTTGAAAACAGTGGTATTCCAACGAGGAGGAAACACAGGTACCTGATGATGTGTGCTTGAATAGGAACGGTCTACATCCTGGTTAGACGACTGGTGTTGATAGAGACCTGTCTTGGTTGGGTGGAGACGCTTCGCCGAGCCCTACCAAGTGCTGGCACTGGCTAGGATTTGGAGCGGTGTCGCGTGAGCAGCGGTATATTGTTAACCGACAGAACAAGCCTGCTAACATCATCAAAAACCTGTACTTGAACGTGTGCGTGACTGCTCAGTTCCTTTTCCCTGAGTACCCGGTAGGGCACTCCCGTTCCGTCATTACAATGGCCGGTAAAACAGCAGTGGATTGCCCTTGGAAGTTTTGGCGATTGAACGAAGCACGGAATACATAGACTCGTAATGTAAAAAGATCGAGGGACCAAAAGTGCCCGCCAATCGGTAGGGCTCAGGTTTGAGAATGGCCGACCCAGGCGGATGGAGGTGGCGGGAAGGGGGTGGCATAGAGCCCTGACGAGGGCTTGTTACATGGGTATCAGCAACCGCAAAAGCTGATGGCGCCGAGGGAGAGTCCGGCCGGAGGATTTTCGATGGTCGATGCCGCGTTCCTATTTGATGATGCCTGGTATCGAATGATGGTATGACGGTGCTGTCGTACCTCTGATTGCCTGAGTCACCTTGCGGGCTGCGGCAGGTCAGACGTGCTTGAAAGAGGAATGCCAATTACGACGGTATCTCTTGCTATTCTTATGTCTGCCTTGCCCTCTTGTCCCGGCTGCTGCACAGTTAAGACAGTGGCGAGGCAAAGCTAGATGAGGTAAGAATAGGTGAGACTTTGACCTGGGCAGGAAACAAGTGGCGTGGCATTCACATTGGCAACGTCAAAGGCCAGCACACACATGAGGAAGGAAGTAGAAAGGTGAGGAGGATGGGGCACTACTGCCTGTGACTGCGGGCGGGGCCGGATCCGACCCGTGAGATGAGTTGAAGGACGGGGGGGAAGGAGGGGCAAGCCGTTGGGTCGTCGAAAATGGGACAGTGGCCATTCAGCTCGTAGCGTGCTCCCACCCAACCCCATCATCACCGCTAGCTCGGGCCAGCTACTTCCCCAGTGACAGGAAACCGGGCAGAGTCTGGCCAGTGAGAAGCAGCAGGGGCAACCTAAGCGGTGGTCTATGCTTCTCGGTCCCCCCCTAGATTACTGTCGTCTTCTTCCTCTTCAGCCAAAACAATGTTGGACCGGTGTTGCCCACTATTTCGTGTCGTCTTGACCAACAAAGCAATATGGACTGACGTATCCAGCTACGTTTTATCGTATTTAGGCCGCCGAAAAGTGGGCAGGAGACAAGGTCGTATCCAGAGCAGGTTAACAACAAAATGTGATGATTATGTGAGGCGGACAAACCTGCTGGCCTTGGCCATGTTGCATTAAAAGCCAACGCCGGTCCAATGCAGATGTAGTCCAGACTGGCTGTTTCCAGTTGCATCCACACTACACCTAACAATGGGGCAAGCGTACCCCAGGTCTGGACCACTGAAGTCGATGATAGTTAGAATCTGACAACCGGAGCCCCAAAGGCGTCTAGGAGGGGAGACCTTATCAGCTCGTACCTGCCTTCAAGTGTTGGGGGTGGGGGGAGGAGGGGGAAGAAGGTTAAAGCTCATTAAGGCTGGTCAAAACATGAGCAAGCATCTCGCGGATTCTCATGATAGATAGTGATGATTGCCAGATTGGGGGATCAAAGATACCGACAAAGATTATGTCTGGCTCCAGGCTCCCTGTTGAAAATGAAGTATCGATGTGATGCGAGCGCCTCATGCCCATTTCATTTCTGGCGTCCAATTCAGGTATTCCGTCAGTGCAGCCTGGAGCTCTCATCCCTCATTCTCCACTCACACCCTCAAAAGTCTCCCCCCCCCACGCCAGCGCTCTCGCTGTCTCGTCGCAGCTCTCTGCTTGACGACTCGATTCCCAAAAGTTCCCCACCAAACACCACCACCATCTTGTTCTTCATTCATCGTTGCCATTGTATCCTCCCTGTCCAACCTACTCCCAAGAAATAATTTCAATCATGGCCCCGGCAGATTTCAAACATATCCCAATGCCCAAACTACCGAAATTTGGCACACGCCAGGCGCAAATAACGTGGCGTGAGTACACAGATACGCTCCCTGGGATTCACTGCCAGCGTCGTCTCATCTGATCCAAGACATCATCGCAATATGTCTCTCTGTGCCACAGTACCAACCCGCACCTTAAAGTCACTTGAAGCATGAGTACTCTTCTGCCCGTCGCCCCGATGCACCCAAAAATGTTCACATCACACAGTCTGTTCTACAGCCGAATCACCTCACCTGACTGCAACGGCCATGGCTTTCCTTTCCGGGGCCCTCCGCCAGCTCGGCAACTTGGCGAATCGTCAGCCACCCCTCCTGGACACAATCACAGTCAATACTGCAATCACGCCTTGGTCTCGCCTTTCCCTTCACCTCGTCCGTTGCGTGCTCATCCATCTTCTCGGCGCCGACTCTCTTCCTGCCATTTGTCCTTGTGCCTCCCATGTGCCTGGCACACACCTAAATGCGCTACACCAGCGCTAGTTTAGTCTTGGAAAGAGAGATACGACCCTTCACCAGGTACTGGAAAATATGGGGGCACACGAGGCGATGCATCTCTCCGTTTTAGGACGCTAGCCGAGACTTGCGAGTCAACCTACTCTATTACACATGCTCCAGTCGACTTGGCCAGCCCATAACCGTCCCATTCCTCGCGGCCCTTTGCCATCTATAGCTGCAGTATGCTCATCATTCTTTCAACGTCGCCCTGGTTGAATCAACAGTTGCCAACGGTGCACTGTTTTTTCCCCCCCTCCCTCTCGCACTCAAGGTTCTAGGGCCACGACGCCTTGGCAGCCTGTTGGTGCCAGGAAGTCCCTATCACATCACATTGACAATATCGGCCCATACGCAAGCTCAGACTTGGCCGTAAGGAAAAAAAGATAGTGTGTGCGAGAGTCCATACAATGCGAACCGCGGTTATCTCTGTCGGTGCACCCCAGGATCCCTAACCATCAATCGTGCAGCACCATCAGGCCATGGCGGTGCGACTGCATCAAGGCAGTTGAATAGGCATGGATACGCCAGTCTGCCACATGCAACGAGATCCGAGGATCCTGCCAACCCAGACCTTACAAAGCTTACCAATGTGTTAGACCATGCCACCAAATCCTCAAATCGGAGGGCAGGCTTGCTACTGGCGTAGATGAGCCGCCCTTGAATCCATTTTCCCTGTCGAGGTTTGCAAGATTCCAATTGGTAATCCCTGGAGGGCGCTCCCCGGTAAAGAAAAAGGGTAAAAGGCCAAATCGTCTCCGCATCGCCTCCGCGCCTTGCGTACACAAATGCGTAGAAAAATGGGAGGGAGAAATATGGCCGTTGCTGATTCGATGAACCAAGGCCCTGAAGTCGCAACTTTTCCGTCTATTTGACAACAGGGGAGCGGAGAGGGGGCGTGGGCCAAACGGCCTCCAACGGCCCTGCTCCATCAAATCCTGCACGAAGGCTGGCCTCTCGTCTGCCGCCGCCTTATCTAAGTGGAGGGAGGCACACGGGCGAAAAACAAATATTGAGACGGCTTCGCAGGCAGGCTGGTCAATACTAGCCGGGAGGGGCTCTGGTTGGCTACTTGGCCCGGCATAGTCACGATAACGCAGCGCATACCAATGCGTCCAGTAGCTCGAGGATCACCAAGAACCTTTGGACAAGCTGATACATACTCTTTTCCGACTTTTTTTTTTTTTTTTTTTTTTTTTACTTTTTATGATTGTAGAACATGGAGGAGGACGTGGCGGGCTGACCCATTTAACGGGAAAGACACGGATGTGTAGTAAGTAGTCGTCTTCGCCAACATATGCTGTTACCGGTATATTGATTAGGCTCTTGGCCTCAGGTAGCCGAAGTCACTGACTGACACAAACGAGGTGCAGCAGACTCCGGCTGCCTACTTTTCGGTAACTGATCAACAGGTCGACGAAGGGGCAACCCTTTCTGGATCCTCAATCCAAAGATGCAGTGCCAGACCCCAGTGCTGGGGGGCATTGTGGAGGTGCTGTGAGCTTATTAGCGTATGTATGCAGGAGGAACAGCACAAGCAGCAGCAACAAGCCGGCAGCATAGAGACCCAGTTGCTGTACGCACCATCCTTGCGACTATTCTACCCAGTCTCGACTCTATGAGTTCGATCGCGATGCCCCGTTCGTTGAGGGCCGCGCACAGGAGTAGGTCGTCGCTTCAAAGTCACGCGCGCGCCCGAATAGACCCTTCTGGTGGCAGTGCGAAGTCGAGCTAAGGAATTCTGGAATTCCATTCTTACTCCTATCGCCGGGGGCTGAATAAACTGAGACCTTCCCGTAGGACAAATACACTACTCAGTCTAGTTGCTAGCTTCTAAGCCAGCTCGAACACCCCGCCAGACGAGCGAATTAGCGGCATATGGGACAGAAGTTAGCGTCGCCCCAGCTAATGTTGGCAGTTCTTCGACGGCTGACCGCCATATGGCACGAGAATGTAACAGCACCTTGGCTGAGTTGGGCTTCTTGTTGGCCTTTTTGTTTGCGACACCGCTAAGCAGCAATGGCTGGCCCGGGCTTCGCTGGCTGTAATTCTCCAACTTACTACCCTGGAGTGGTCGAATCCGTCGCCAATCCGTCCACCCACCCGACCTCCCCTCAACCTCTCATCTCTGGCTCTCCAACCGGCAGGATCAGGATTGGCCAGCAGCTGATGCACACCATCTACCCATCACTGCACACCCTACCCATACCCTGGTTATTCAGTCCCACCCCCCTCCCCCTTCTCCCAGGTCCAAAGGGCACCAAATCCCCCGTCATTCCTAACATGCGGAGGGACTATCGCCAGGTATCCTTGCCTGCCCCCCAACTTGGCCACCCCAGCCCGACCTATCCTATCTCGTCCGGGGCTATTAGGGCGGCAGTATGCTCATCAAGGCCTGCCTCTATATGCGTCCGCCAGGTGCAGCTGAAGTATTACTTCCACCCACTCCTCTGCGGTATCAAGACTGGGCTCCATATCTCTATATTCCCTCCCACCAACTTCAACCTTTGCCCACGGGTTTTCACTGCACACGGTTTTCTCTGCAATTCACCGTCAAGATACAGGAACTGGCAGCGACCTCGCTCTTCTTCGCCTCGACGGCTTTTGCGCCCAATCCACTTGACATACTCGTTCGCGCCCATATCCGATCTGTCTGATGCCGCACCGTTCGTCCCTTCACAATCGCAAAGTTAATGCATCAGACGCACCAGTCGCTACCATTCACTCACAATCCGCCCTGACGCGTTTTTGTTACTGCTCCGCCAACCGTCGAATCGCTCTACTCGACTGTAACAGCCCTCTTCTGCCACTATAACCATCACCTTGCCCCGGTCACTCGACGGAACTGAAAGCGCCAGCTTAACCGCTTCTCGAGCCTCGGCGACGCAGCTCCCTCCCCGCTCGTCGTGCCCTCTGCGGAGGTCGACGAGCGTGGATTGTACGAGTCCACGATGGGTCTCTATACAGAGCCACCCCCGCTTCGCTCTTTTCCGCAGGACAAGCCGTCATTGCTAGTTTGCTGGTGGATAACGTCATTTTGCACTCTCATCATCCTTTTGCGGGTTGCTGGTCGCTTCATTCGAACCGAAAGACTGTTCCAAGAGGACAAAGTTGCTGCACTTGCTCTGATTCCTTTGTGGCTTCGGATGGCTTGTGTTCATTTTGTCCTTCTTTACGGAACCAATAACGCTCAGCTCGACGACGGCTTGTCTTCGGAGGATGCGTATAGGAAACGAGTCGCAAGTGGTCTCGTACTTGCCAGCCGGATTTTCTATGCGGCGACGTATGTTATTTTCTTCTACCTCTCTCACGCCACATTTCTTTGGTCAGCCGGCAGGCAGTGTTCTTGTGGAAATTGATCTTCGCACCGGTCGACCGATAAAACGGTTTGCTAACATCTCGTCTGTGCAGATTGTGGATTCTCAAGAACACCATTTTAGAGTTCTTCAAGCGCCTCACTGGCGTCACCTGGGCGCGTTCTTATGAGCAGACGCTTGTTTTCATCAGATGTACCTTGGTTGCGACCTTTATCGCAATCATTATCAGCGACCTCGCAGAATGCAGACCGTTCCACCATTACTGGCAGGTCACCCCCGACCCGGGTGGGCAATGTCGCCAAGGGTTCGCTCATCTAATTACAATGGCGACATGCAACATCATCACTGACGCACTACTCGTCTTCTTCCCTATTCCGATCATTCTGCGAAGTCAAATGGGCCCAAAGAGAAAGGTCCAACTTACTCTGCTCTTCTCCCTCAGCTTGGCGGTCATCGGCGTCACCATCTATCGAGTAACTCACGTTATGAGAGAGCACGGACAGCAGCAACTCCGATCTGTGCTTGCCTCTGTTGAACTCTTGTTCGCGACTACGGCAGCAAACGCTCTGGTACTCGGTTCGTTTGTGCGCGACCGTGGCATCAAAAAACAAAAGTTCAAGTACGGTTCAGTTGCGGCAGACTCCATGGACCGGAGCTCCGATTCTCGTCGTCCGACCCTTCACCGGCATTGGGGCAGCGATGAAGATTTGGTACGCGATGTCGGTCTCGCAGTTGATCCTGGCCTGCGAGAGCTGCCCGACGTACACGATGACCCCGATGGCGACACTACACGTTACACTCCTGCTCCAGTCGCAAGGCCTTTCGGCGAAGACTTGAGAAATTGGCAGTTTCCCCAACGAAAACGAAGCAATGCCGAGCGCAGTGATGCTTCTCTGCTACCCCATGACCAGCTCTCGTCCTCTCGAAGCAACTCGACGGCCACCCCGCGGAGGGTTTCGTTTTTCGATGTCGGAGGTCTTTTGTCGGAAGACCAGGTTGGAGGGAGCCCTACTTATCGAAGAGACAGTTTCGTCTCAAGCGTGGATCCTATATCATCAAACGGACACGGTATACCGTCGCCTACACTTCCTGCTCCATCAACCGGTCTGCGGCGTGGTTCTACAGCACTCCTGCAAGACCTTGGAGGACTGCTCGGGCCGATCAACACGAAACAGTCACGGCAGAGGGCAAGGAGCGGTACCGAGCTGCAGACCATCCCTCAATCACAATATGATGATCATCCGTCGTACAATCCGCGTCCCGGCGAGCCAACTCTTATGGACGCGGGAGGCCTTTTGAAGTAGTCTTGGCTTGACCACACACGACTTACAACAAAATTGGACCCGTGGCGTTACAACAGTTCGTTCCCTGACGACTGGACGACAACAAAACAGTAAATTACAACAGTCAAGGCATCATATCATGTGCCCATGTACAATGACGACTTTATCGGAAGCATTGGGGGTTTTTTATTTATTTATTCATTATGAGGAGTTATAGAGGCCTAGAACTTTAGGCGGCGTTATTCACCTGGTCAACGGAGGCTGGGTGCGTCTATGGCAAGTTGCTTGTTTTTCTGGGAAGGGTCATTATCACGATGGGCATTATGGAGTCGGAGGACGCCCAATGAAAAGGAGACATGAGGAAGTGCCTCTGTCGTCACGACGAATCCGAAAGCTGGTTAGCCCGTTGTTTTGTCATTACATATACCCCGGCGAAAAGAGCCATCATGTTTGTCTTGTTCATGCTGTTCACCATGATAATCATCAAATCCACAACGTCTACAATACTTTGACGCATATGATTCAATCAGAGACATGTGCCTGCTCAACTTTGACTTTCGCAACAACCACGTTTGTGGTTGCGTCAATCCCGTAAGTGACCTGGTCCTTGCAGACTCACGTTGCTTTCTCCTGAACTGAAAACCGCCTGTTCCCTGCTCAATTTCAACGACTGACTCTGCGCGCGGGAGTGCCACCGGCACCTCCTGAAGTCTATTCTTTCCCGTTGGCCCTTTTTTTTTTTTTTTTTTTTTCTCTCTTTCAATCTTGGTTATTGCTCGGATTCCTCGCTTTTTCGGTTTCCCCTTTCACTGACTCACTTGATTCCATCTACACCCTTGTTCCTGACTCTCGGGACATTTTTCTTTTCCCCCTACCCTCCCTCCCTCCTTTTCCCTGGTTTTGAGCCGAAGTTCTATCAGCACAACTTGGATGGGGCTCCCTGGGTTTCCGGAGATCTTAGATCATACCGTTCCGCATGGGTTGGGGTTCTTTCCTCGCAACTTAAGGAAGGATGCGCGGCCGTCAACCGAAAAGGGGGAAAAAGGAGGTTATTGTGGTCAGGATGCCCCTTCTTCTGCTGGTGTCATCGGCCGGAGGACTAGAGCAAAATGGGAGAGATGTGCGTTTGGTCATCCGGATCATAGACATGGAGTCGGAGTTAATTGTCCTCCGCCCGGTGTTCTGTCCGGGTTACTCATCATTTTAGAGGTCTTGGTAGAACTTGGATATACCCCCTTTGTGGAAGAGCAAGAGCGTTAAAGGGGGGGGGGGGGGGGGTAGAGTTTATGACCTGCGTAATGAGATGATGTAGTTCCGGTGGATTAAACTTGCATATTGATGAAGTTTAGGGGAGGGAGGGGGACACTTACAGGAGTGAACGCACAGTGGAGTTGTTTTTTTCTTTCTTCCTTTTTTTCTTTTTCTTTTTCGTCTTTAAAGTTCAGGAGACCATCGTTCTCGTGGCGCAGTCGATTGACGTCGCGCGCGGCGTTCTCTGGCCCGCTCGCGTCAGTTCGCCCGAGCAGGCCTTTAGGTTGGCGACCCCGGTTGGTTGGTAGCTCGGAAGCCTTCTCTCTTTCTCTATTTCTCTCAATCTTTCCGTCATCTCGTCTCATCATAATCTCACTTGTTAATGCTTATGATGAGAGAAGTAAGAGAGGAGCCTTCTTGTGTGTGTTGGTTCGAGTCAGAAGAAAGGCGATACGCTTATTGATGCTTATAGTTTCCGAGTTTTTCCTCATCAAGTAAATGGTTTCGGTGCAAAAAAGGTAGAAAAAACAAAAAAAGGCTCCCGTTATAGTCGAACCTAATGAATATAGTTGTCACAGTCAATACAACAGCTCAACAGCTTGTACGAGAGGCCTTACGCTCTCATTTACTAGACGTAGCCTTCGTTGCAGCAGCCAGTTGAAAAGTTAGTTTGGTATTTGTCCTTCTATTAGAAAGCCCTTTTTTGGTTTGTTCATACACAAAACAGTAGACCGTAGCCGTTCCCTCAACGCCGAACTCAGAGTGATGCAAAGAGTATCGTAAACTCCCCTCCCCGGTCCCCCGGGTGGCTCTCTCTCCCGTCAAAGGAGCCATACCCAGCCTCTGGGGTCCTCTGCCCTTTTCTAGTCAGTGTCCTTCTCGCAGTATCTCGCGTCGTACTTGCTCTTCTCTGCTACCTGCCTAGGTTCCCCGACGCGCGCCTTCCATGCTTCGCTCATACACACAAACGGTAACTGGCATAACGACCGGCCGTCTCGGAGTTACGGATAATCTTGACCACATGGCCGCGCTTGAGACCGAGATATTTGGCCACAGGGTCCTTCTGGAGGATGCGGGGCAGTTGCGTCTCCTTCAGACGGTAGCGCTTGAGTAGCGCGATCTTCTCCTCACGACTGAGGAGGATGTGCTTAGGAACCAGCTCGTGCTTGGTAATGTTGACGAGCAAGTCCTCCTCAAGGAAGCACTCAACTTTGGCGAAAGACTCGATGGTGATGAGCATCTTGCGCGCGGCGGGTGAGAGCGGCACGTGGGTGACCATGATTCCGGATGAGTACTTGTTGCTGATAAGGTGGTGGATGAACTTCTTGATCTCCTTGATACCGAAAGTGGTGTCGGCGAGGAATTCAACCCAGAGAGTGCCGCAATCGGGCGTCGGGTTCGGGTTCTGAGGCGTCGGGGGAGGTGTGAACTTGCGGATCATGTCGGCGGAGGGGTTCGCGGAGAACTGGAGCTTGCCACGGCTGGGATTCTCATGTCAGTATGGGGCATTTGTAGAGAACGAAGCGAGCAGTCACGCTTACTTTACGCTGCCGTCGCCGCTAGTGTACTCCATCTTGAAACGGTCGAGAGAGATTGTGAGTTCCTCCTCGGCGAGCTCGTAGCCCTGTATTCTTCATTAGCTCTGATGCCGCAGAGATATGATTTTCTCGTGTAGCTTGATAAGATCAGCAGAAGGTTTGAGGGCATCTGCTTCTCCGTCTCCAGCTAACAATTGAGGGCGTCATACGCGATCCGCGGCCATCTCGTGTGCCGTCCTCCAGGCTCGCCACAACCTGGTAACCTCCTTGTTCACATCCTTCTGTTCCGACATTTTGACGACGTCCGATTGTTTGACAGAAATCAAGTTGCTGTGGTCGAGGGGGAGCTATCGAGGTCGGGGCGTGGATGAGAGATGGCGTTGACTTGGCGAGGGTCGACGTCGAAGATCAAAAAAAGAGAGGCGTCGCAACCAAAAAGTTCTGGCGGCCAGTTCAGTTCAGCCTTGCAGCAAAAATCTTAGTGGAGCCCCGAGCGCCCAAAACATCCAGTCATCGGAGACTCTGGGCGGGCATTTTTTCTGGAAAAATCGTTAGACTAGAGCAGGGGTTAGATAATCCGAGACATACTGAAGAGCCCCCGGGCCGGAACAATTCCCGAAGGACGGGTAAAGTGATTGGCAGATATCCTAGCAACGGGTGGCAGGTGCACGCACCAGCCACGGGCCCTCCTATCTTCCTTTCCAAGGGTCCAGAGTCACAGCAGAGTGCGCGGGCGCACGTGCCACCGTGGACTAGAACCCCACAGTCAAGTCCACGTACGGCAGGTGGCCTTACCCGGGAAAGTACCTGCCACGGAACCCAAAAGGTGAATTTCAACAAAATTTGGGGGTCCCTCTATGCAAAATCACCCTTTGCGCGGCCCATTGTTTCTCCCTTTGCTATCCTTATCCCCTTCCACACCTCGCATTTCCAACCTCTGTTGTGCGCACTCACCGGCTTTGCCAATTGATCGTCCCATCTTACGGACGACAGGCATAATACTTCGACAATGGCGGACACCAAGCAGGCACCCGCTGCGGCGGCCGACAAGGAGGTGCAGAAGACGAGACCTGCCATGCCTGATGAGGCCGAGTTCAACAAGAAGCTCAACGTCGCCCAAAAGGAGCTGAAGGAGGCCGAGGACAAGCTGGTGTGTGCATACAATCTGTTTCATTGTTAATTCTTTACAACACTCCTCCCTGCCCTAGCTGCTATTATAGCGCAATCATGCTTCCACACTTTTCATAATAAAACCTTCCTTTCGCTGTTGCAACTACTGACCAAAACTCAATCGCAGAAAGCAATTAAGGCCAAGATCGACCTTGCTACTCCCAGCAAGAACAAGGACCAGCCCTCCCCCGCCCAGAAGCGCCGCCAGGAGCTCATCGCCCAGCTCAACGAGATCCGTCAGAAGCAGGGCGCCGGCAAGAATGCCCGCACCGGCAAGCTTGACCAGATCAAGCGCCTCGACGAGCAGTTGCGCTCTCGCATCAACGAGCAGAAGAATGCCAAGTCCAAGGTCAACTTCAAGAGCGTGGAGGAGGTCGACCGCCAGATTGAGAGACTCGAGTCTCAGGTCAACTCTGGCTCCATGAAGATCGTCGACGAGAAGAAGGCCCTTGCCGAGATCTCATCCCTGCGCAAGCTCAAGAAGAACTTCTCCCAGTTTGATGACTCGCAGAAGCAGATTGACGACCTCAAGGCCAAGATCAAGGAGATCAAGGACTCGATGGATGACCCGGAGGCCAAGGCCATGTCCGAGCAGTACAACAAGCTCCAGGCCGAGCTCGATGCCATCAAGGCTGAGGGCGACGAGGCCTACAAGAACCTCTCTTCCCTCCGCGATGAGCGCTCTAAGCTCCACGCCATCCAGAACGAGAAGTACCAGGCCGTCAAGACCCTCAAGGACGAGTTTTACCAGGGACGCAAGGCTGCCCAGGCGTACGAGCGTGAGGCTCGCGAGAAGGCCCGTGAGAGGAGAAAGGCCGAGCACGACCGCTTCATCAAGGAGCGTAAGAAGGCCGATGCCGAGAAGTTCCTTGCCGAGGCTAGCGACCCCGCCTACCTTGAGGAGATTCGCCGCGCCAACAGCCTGCTTCAATTTCTCGACCCCTCTCACAAGGCTGAGAAGGCTCCCCTCCTGGCCGACAGCGGTCTCAGCGCCCAGGCCACCCGTACCGTCGACGACTCTGGCCTTAAGGGCATGAAGATTGTCTCTAAGAAGGACCGCGATGAGGACTACCTCCCTGCTGCGAAGAAGGGCAAGAAGGGCAAGAAGGGCGGTGCCGCCGCCTCCGACGCTGGCAAGTTCAACTGCCCGCCCTCCGTTGTCGAGGACTGTGCTTTCCTGAACATCGACCCTCCCATGAGCCAATCTGATGTCGCTACTGTTGTTGAGAAGGTCAAGGCCAAGCTTGACCACTGGAAGGCTGACCAGGCCAACCAGACTCAAAAGGTAAGTGTCTTCATACTTAGGTATACCCATATTCATGATTCAGAGCTGACATTTCTCCCCAGAACATTGAGAAGGCCAAGAAGCAGCTCGAGAAGCTCGAGGCCGACGAGGCCAACGGCATTGACAGCAACGGCGACGCTGTCGAGGAGGTCACCAAGGACCTCAAGGAGACTTCCGTCGAGGAGAAGGCATAGTTTAAAACAATGCACTTCTAACCGCTGCCGCCTGACTGACGTGAGACCAAATGTCTCACAAAAAAACCTACCATTGGCTCCTGACGATTCCCATCGCGCTTAGCAATAGGAAAGCCCGGATGCCCAATTACTTAAGATACACGAACACACAAAATTCCTTACCTTGCATAAAAACTCGGATCTCGGGGACGCAGCCTTTTTTATAACTCTGGCCCTTTTTTGCGTCTTTCTAGCCCACTTGCTTGCTGACTTGAGGGTTTTCTTGTACTTAGCAGCTCCCCCTGTTCCAGCAAAATGAGAGGAAAGAGAAAAGCTATTTCAACCTGTATATGACGGAACCGTTCCTCGCAGTGTCTTTGTGATGGTGACATGTCTCGGTCATTCCACTTGACTACATATTACGCTAATCAGCGTTTACATGACTACCACTGCCCTATTAAGCGTACTGTAGTGAGAGTGGAAAGCACACCACTTTAACCTAGAACCCTTGCCGCGCACAGCTATCTGCCTGATGTCTGAACCCGAGTGATAGCTAAGCTAAGCTAAGCTACCTTATCTTGCCCCAAGGCGGGAAAAAAAAAAAGCTCTCATGCCCCCCGGCATGCATATATACATACATGCAGCTCCCACTAATCCGCCCTATCACGACGCTCAACCATCGGCATTGGTCCGTCCTCTTGGGCTCCTGTCGGGCAGGTGTGCTTGTGCGTCATGTTCAACATGTTCCTGGGGATAGCTCCGTGACGTGCTGCTGGATTATGTGTCCACAAAGAAAAAAGCCCCTGCCACTCGTTTCTTCTCGTTCCTCGACGTAACCTCGGTTGCTCACGTTGCGTGATCAGATGACAGTCTTGATTCGTGGCTGGTCGAACCGGATATCGAGTAACGTTGTCCATGTGTACCCAGCTCATTTCATCAGTAACAGTCAACAAGATCAGGAGAGATGCATTTTGGGGATCGAGAGTGGTCTTTCAACATTTGTAGATTGCTCTAGTAGCCACATATCTGAGGGCTTTTCATCCTGTGGTAAATAACTAGCGAAAAAATGATGAAGAGAATAAAAAAAGAGGAAGAAAAAAAAAACACAGAGGAATGATATCCGGCCTGCGCCTTAGTAAATGCCAGCCAAGATGAGATGTTCCTCTTTCCGTTGTCCTTACACCGACGCCGACCTACCATCAGACAAAAACAAGAAACATAAAAGCCAAGTACAGAGCTGGTGTGAATTTGAAGCACAATTTCTGTCTCTCTACAACATACCAAGAACGTCAAACGCCATGGAGAGATCTTTGATTCGTGCCACTTTGTTTTTGCACTGCAATACTCTGATGAAGCCGGTAAGGGGACTCATGCAGTTCGTGGATTTCATGAAACATCATTACAAAGCGTGAAGGCGTTTTGTGCAAAACAAATGAGACCATGATTCCAAGGGGGAATATCCGACACGTATTCCTTTAGGGAGCGTTTTGTAGAGTATCAAGGACCCCAGCCGTAATATGAACCTGGGGGTGGTGGAGGGGCAGTTCGTCCACCAAAAGGGCCTGGAGGTCCTGGAGGTCCTGGGGGCCCTGGAGGCGGTACTGATCTCCTATTTTCTCTCGGGCCTGGTGTTCTCCTATCCATTCTACTAGGGTGCTCGTACGGCGGCGGGGTCCTCCGTGCAAACGGGTCCTTATCATGGGAGCTGGCGCCTGCAATGGCTGGTGCGCCGCCTCCAATTCTTCTGCTGGCTTTCCGTGAGCCGCTCAGGGCACTTAAGGGGGGATCTTTGACCGCGGGGTCGTCATCGGGCGGAAGTGTCAGATCGACCAAGCTGTAAAAGTATTCCAAAACTTCGGGATATCGTTGGACGCTAGATTGCCAGTCCTCGTCAATGCCACGCTTTAGGCTTGCTTGTGCCTGAGCGATCTCGTTAGGGTGAGGAGGTGCATGATAGTAGTGGTAAGCGTGAGCGGTGATACGATCGAGGTTGGCAGTGTGAGCAGCTTTTCGACGCTCAGTCAAAAGACGGAAATACTCCAGGATATAGTCTTGGGCATGTGCTCGAACCCAGGTACTGGCAATTGAGTCAGCAACGAAGATGTGCAACCAAACTTCGTCAAACTTTACCGGATGTCGTTGTATATCGACTGCATCATACGATGCTCGGCCTGTTTAATGGCAACATCAAGCCCCTTGGCCTCGCAGTCACATGCCAGAGTGGCAGGAGCATGGCAAATGGCACAGTCAGGGTCCATCCTAACTGTCGTCTTGCGTTGACGAGGCGTGCGAGGTGTTCGCGGCCTATAGTCTCTGGGATACATCTTAGCGGGAGGTTCCCGGAAAGGACACCAACGATATGGATTCCGTGGACAAGGGAAAGTGTTCTAGATGAGAATATTGTACAAGGAGATCAAGACGGTTCATCCACTATCAGTACAATGGTCATTCTTCCTCGAGACCCAAGTCATGGGTCTCATAAGAGAAAAATGAAAAAAAATAAATAAATAATCAAAGTGCTGGGTTTAGGGGGGTTCTGAATGCAAGAGTCGTGGGAGGGAAAAGAAAGGATAGAAAAGAAGAGAGGAAGGCGGTGATGAACTGACCTTACTTAATATTGAGAGGGGAAACGGTAGCAGCAGAAGCGTCGGCGGCGGTAAGGGGAGGGAATTGGGAATAAACAAAACTAAGACGAATAAAGCGAGTTGCTCCTGTCGGCTGGTGCTATGTACCATGCAGCATAGAAGCATGAAACAGCAACGCGAACAACAAGCAGCAGCAACAACGGTAACGGCAGTGAGGCAGCGTCAAGCAACGATTCAAAGGTCGCGCGATGGCGAAAAGCGAGACGGCAGCAAACGAGAAGAGGTCGTGCTGGTAGCCAGTGCAGGACAAGACACAACACGACCGACTCGAATTCAACAGGAGACAAAGCAGGCGATGCAGAGGAGACGTGGGGAGAAGATAGTTCGATCCACGAGGGCGCAGGAAGATGAAGAGAAGATCGAATGGGAAGGGGTTTTTGACTGCAGCGAGTGTCGTGGCTCGAATGCGAGCGTCTTGCAATATGCAAGTCTTGGGGCAGAGTGGCCCAATGGAGGGGGGCGCCAACAAAAGAGGTCGTCTGCCCGACGGCGTCCCAATGAGATCTGATCGGCGAGTGCTAGTAGGGGGGGAAGAAGGGGGGTGGGAGGGTGGAAGACGGGAGAAAGTGTGTAAAGCTGCGGCCAGCGAGAGAGCGAGAGACGGACTTCAGTCGAGCAATGAGAAAGTGGAGGGCAAAGATTATGTGTGCGTTGTTCGCCCCTCGTTCAGTCCCGGGACAGTTTCCGCCATTGGGCTTCAAGGCGGTCAAGGAAAGCTGCACGCATAGTTTAGTAACTGCGTCCGTGAGGTAGTATGTACCCGACGCCTGTGACCTCCTGCAGTCAGAAAAAAAAAGAAGCCGCGGGGCGTTTGCTGTGAAGCGGGGAGGGGAGGCTGGGCGAGAAGCGAGCAAGCAACACCAGCCCGCTTTGGCTGGGTCGGCCTTTCTGTCCAACGGGAGCTACCGAAGATGAGAGAAAGCGGAGAGGGGCCAGACGTCGGGCGGGTCAGACTTCGAGAGGGCCGACACGGCCGGCGGGGTGGGGAGAGCTGAATGGCAGTGGAAAACACACTGAACTGACTAGGCAAACGGATGCCATCAACCACTGAGACCTTCTTTTAGCCCGCTGCAGTGCACTGCAGCCAAGTGCAGACCAGACGAACCAACAAAAAGAGGGGAATTCTTTCCTCTGTATCCATAGTTTATATCATCCATGAACCCCGTTCGTCCCATGCGACGTTGACGGTCCAGTCACACTGCCGTCTTCCATGTTCTCTCTGGAACGATCCAAGTCATGAGGCGCACCCCATAAGAGCCGAGCTGAGCCTCCCCAATGACTTGAAGCCATCCCATTACTACAACTCGTAGTAAGGACAATTACGCCGACCGCTTGGTCTGCCTTCATTTCAGGTATGGCGTTACCGCCGGTGTTTGGTCTTTGTCAACGGCTGTTTTGTTGCATCTATAAACCCCTTTCTTGTCAGACACCAGGCTGGCTCACCGCATCTTGGGATCATGCAGCCGGGCTCTCAGAGCCTGCTGCATGTGGGTGAAGCGAACATACCTAGACAAATTGAGTTGTCAGATTACGGGATTCGAAGTAAATGGTCCTGTGGCAATCCACTATTGGTAAGCTGCAGCGTCATTTTTTGCATGCGGCTCCGGCTTCGTTGGAATTGCCCTTTGCTGTGTGATCCAGCATCAGGCTTTCACTCGTTGAGATGCAGGAGAAATGTTGCCGATGCTGAAAAGACACCGAGTCCGCCCTTTTATGGCTTCTCTTCCCAATGTAGGCAAATCAAGGCAACGAGGCAGTGCTCTTTTCACCAGTTCGGGTTGCTTCGACTGACGGGAGCCTTCGCTAGGTGATCCCAGTGCCAATCGGCTGCTCCCGCACCTGCTCGATTATGTAACGTACTTTCTTATCTTATCGCCTCAACGGCGATAATCCCCCAAAATTTCCAAAGCTTCGTTTGAACTGAAGGAACTGGACCAATCTACCGACCGTCCTTGACCACCTGCGGCCCAGAGCGGGATTCTCTCCAGAGTCGACAATGGCGTCGAGATGTTCTGGCAGTCATCCACTCTTTCTCCCCTTTCTATACCCCTCATTTTCCCTCTCTAGAAGCGCAAACCCCCCTCGTCTAGTTGCGAGAGCCTTCGCATCCCGCCGACATAGCTCGACCCAGGTCGCCAAAGAGTCTATATCCACTCGACTCAATCCAGCGCCGGATGACTATGCCGCCCCCAACTTCGCCGACAAAGCCAGCCTGACCATCTATGCCGGTCCTGGCGGCAACGGATGTATATCATTTATGCGCGATGCATACCTTCCCGACGGTCCCCCCAACGGTGGCGATGGAGGTCATGGAGGCAACATCTATATTCAGGCAGTTCATGGTGAAACGTCTCTGCACAAGCTCGCAAGGAAACGGTTTGTTCGCGCAGGCCGAGGAAAACATGGACAGGGCAGCTCAAAGGGTGGCCAGCGAGGCGAGGATGTCATCATCACCGTTCCTGTTGGCACCGTCCTCCGCGAGTTGAGCAGAGAAGACCCCGTTGCCGAGGATGCAATGCTGCAGCGCACACTTCAAGCACAAAGAAAGGCTGAAAATCGAGCCAGGCGGAATCAACAGGCGGAATTGGCGCGACGGGAACTCTTGGAAGGCGTCGAAGAGGAGGATCAAGAATGGATCGAGGAGGAGCGTAAGGTCAAAAACCCAGAACCCGAAGAAGAGCCTGAGGACCCAGAGCGCCACAAGTTCCTTCTGTACCCGGGACTTTCCAAGTCTGACCTGAAGACGATATCATTGCCCAAGGCACCTCGCCGCCAGCGCCTGTATCACCAACCCCCCGGCCCCATTCAGATCGACTTATCGCGCCCGACACAGCAGCCTGTCCTCCTTGCAACTGGTGGCATCGGTGGCCTGGGCAACCCCCACTTTGTGTCTCGCGAATACCCTCGACCGATTTTTGCAACCAAGGGCGAGCGCGCTGTAACCATGGAAATCGAGCTCGAGCTGAAGCTCCTTGCCGATGTCGGGCTCGTAGGCCTGCCCAATGCTGGCAAGAGCACCTTGCTCCGCGCACTTACTAACTCGCGCACTCGAGTTGGCAACTGGGCTTTTACGACATTGCAGCCAAACATTGGCACTGTCGTCTTGGACAACTACAAAGGCCGTCCCGTCATCAAGAGCTACAAGCGATATCCGGCCGCCCCCTCTGCTCTTGGTGGCCCCGAGGAAGAGGTTCAGGTCGAGCAGCGGACCCGTTTTACGGTTGCTGACATCCCTGGCCTCATCGAGGGCGCCCATCTGGATCGCGGTCTCGGCATGGAATTCCTCCGCCACGTCGAGCGCGCCGGTGTGCTCGCTTTTGTCATCGACCTTTCTGCAGGACCTGCTGTGCAGGCGCTCGATGCGCTGTGGAAAGAGGTTGGTCTTTATGCCCAGAGGCGCGAAGAGGAGGAGCGGGATCGTGAGGTCGATGCCCGTATCGATTGGGATCTTACTTCTGGTGCCAACAATCAACGACCACCTGAGAACAACATGATGATTGCCGACGCCCCCGCGGCACCCAAAGAGGAATCGGGTCTGCATATCGCGTCCAAACCCTGGTTTGTGGTGGCGACCAAGGCCGACCTGCCCGAGACTCAGGAGAACTTCAAGAAGCTGAGGGAGTACGTGGAGCAGATCAACAAGGGAACTGCACCTCACCCGAGTTTGGTGGAAGGCGCTTGGACGAAGAACTGTGCCGTCATTCCCGTGAGCGCCATCAATGGACAGGGCGTTGATCGGATTGTCCACTGGACTGTAGGACTGCTTGACGAGTAAATGTATACTATTTCTGTACTAATATTTGTACAATACCACTCATTGTCAAAGACACGATACCATTGACGTTATTCTCTTTAAACTGTGCCGTTCAGTTTCAGGTCTAGAAACCTACATCTCTACTGGTAGTGGAAGAGCTACAGCGACAGTTTAGCTGGAGAAAATAAGGGCTTTTTTGCTTTAGTACAACATCCCTCGCTGTCAAGTTCTGTGTCACACTACGGGTGTGAATGTGCGAATGGGCGAATGGTAGGTTGCACACTGGTTCAACATTTATCCAACTGATTTGGTTACCGGGGGGGGGGGGGGGGGGGGGGGGGGGAAGGACCACTTCAAGTTACATCTTGTACGATACGCCGGATTCGTGTTCCATCATATCGAAAGCCGGTTTCCCCGAAAACCATCCAGCGTATTCAGTTCCGATGGACTTGTACGTAAACTCAGCATCCTCCACTTCAACCTTCACCGTCTCGTGACTACGACCACCGGCGGCGGCATCGGCGAGAAGTTGCTGGTGACAGCAGCGCTCGAGGCTGAGGAACCAGTAAACACAGCTCTCGACCGACTTGCCGCAGGTGATGAGGCCGTGGTTCTGCAAGATGGCGGCCTTCTTGTCGCCCAGTGCCTCTGCAATACGGAGCCCCTCTTCTTTCCCCAGGACGATACCGCCGAAACTGTTGTAGAGTACAATGTCGTTGTAGAAGGCGCACGTGTCCTGACTGATGATGTCGAGGTTACGGCCCAGAGCGGAGAAGGCTTGGCCGTAAAGCGAGTGCGAGTGGGCAACACAGATGATATCTGGCCTGGCCTCGTGGACTGCATGATGAATCATATACGCTATGGCCCGTCAGTATGTTCTTTTGGCGGTTTCAGTCTTTCGAAAGTGGCTAACCAGCGGTGTTGAGAAGCTTCACAGGGCCACCTTCTACGATCTCTCCCTTATCGTCTACACGAATGAGATCAGAGGCCTTGAGGAGCGGCCAGGGGACACCGAATGGGTTCAGCCAAAACGTGTTGGGCTCAACGGGATCCTGCAAGTGCTGTCAGACGGGTGAGGTTGAGACGAGATGAAGCAGCCCCAGACGCACCCGAGCTGTGATATGGCCAGCGACACCAGCATCGAAACCGTTCTTGGCGAATATGCGGAAACCTAGAGCCAAACGCTCCTTCAAGTGCTGTCGTTGCTTGTACGGATCATCGTGTTTCGTGGGTTTGGGGAAACTAGAGAAGTTAAGTTCGCCTTTGTCTTTGGTGGTGGGTTTGCCGTTGCCATTGGCAGGGTTGGTGGTGGCTGTAGCTTCAGCTTCAGGGAGCTGATTGACAATTGTTGCGGGTGCCATTGTAGGAGGGCCAGTGGGAAAATCAGTATTACGGATTTATGGTACTGGAAGTGGTGACTAGCAGGATGAGCGCGGGGGCTTTTAAACATTCAAGAGTATTTAAGTAATGTGAGATGTCTTCTCGGCGCCGTAGTCGAGCCGAAAGGCGCAACGCCTGCTTCATGCGGGGATGTCTTAGACTCTCGGCTTCCAACTTTCGGCTGCTATTTTCCAGCATCCTAACGGCAATTCCAAGCTTCTGTTTGTGGCGACACCCTAGCGCTGCTCCCCCGTGACCAACAAAACAGCAGTAAGAGGACACAAATACGCCCGGGAGGTGGAAAGACACCCCCGAGACCCGGGGAACCCCGCTTTGGACGGCCGGTGTTGGGCCGATCCTTGTGTTGAATGCCTCGGTGCCCACTTCACACCATGAGCACGATCCAATCAGTTCCAAGACATTAATACAAGAGTCGTCTCTGTAGTGTACACCATCCAACACACAACGAGGCCCGTTGAATACTCTTTTCATTTTTCTTCTACTAGCGCGTGTACAATGACCAAGGAACAGGCATATGACAGTTGTTACTTTGCCCAGCGGATATCACGGAACTACAAGGTTTCCATGGCTGTTAGGTAGAAAGTAAAGATGTTGAGCTTTGGTGGTGTGACTTTTATTTTCGAGAATTGAAACTGCGTGACATAGGAGCCTTCAGAAGTTGAGATGAAGCTGGGTATATGCAATCTGCAAGGAGAACGAATCCAGGCCGAGGATGGAGCTGTTGAATCTTGAGGAGCTGTCTTTCAAACAGCTTCAGCGGATACAAGCCGGGGTGAGACCCTGGATGACAGGGGTCCAATGCGGGGTGATAAGATAGCCCACATACCGCGACACTATTGGCCAATTTTCTCCAATCGAGGGGCTGGCGCATGGCACCCGAACCTTCAACTTTTTTTTTTTCCTTCTGCTTTGGGCCATGGCAAAATTTCATACTGCGCGACACAGTTGGACCGTCTAACCTCGCATTCCACTCTACCACAACACACGTGCGCCCGCGACACCAACACACGCACGTCAACAGAGCTTCCATAATGGGTCGCAAGTTCAGAGTTAGTGTCTTCCCGGTCAAGCGATGACTTGTTTTGTTTCTGCTGACACCAGCGATAGGGAGGAAAGAAGGGCAAGGGTGGACGCGGTGGCGCCCAGGGCGGTGATCGTGGCCGTCAGCCTCGCAGTGAATCGTGGCAGTCGTACCCTTCTGTCAAGAAGGAGAATGAGAAACTCCAGCGCTACTACAACACCATCATTGGTCTTTCTGAGGAGGAGCAGGGTCCCTTCTGGGATGCGCTGCGCAGAGACTTGCCCAACAGCTTCCGCTTCTGCGGCTCCAAGGGGTGAGTAACAGTGACGGTATTAGGCAGCTCTTCTGGGGCCTTGACTGACTTCAACCTAGTCACGCCTTGGCCGTGAAGAAGCTTCTCCAGAACAGATACATGCCCGAAATCATCAAGATCGAACACGCCGATGGCCGCCCTGTCGAGCCCCCCAAGCCGCTCGAGTGGTACCCCAACTCCCTCGCCTGGTGGATGACTACCCCGAAGAACGTCATCCGCAAATATGCGCCCTTCTCTGCTTTCCAGAAGTTCCTCGTCTCGGAGACGAGCGTTGGTAACATCAGCAGACAGGAGGTTGTCAGCATGATCCCTCCCTTGCTGATGGATGTCCGCCCCGGCATGACTGTCTTGGATATGTGCGCTGCCCCTGGTAGCAAGGCTGGCCAGCTTCTCGAGATGATTCACCAAGGCGAGGAGGCTAGAGTCAGAAAGGTTCTGCGCGCTAATGCGAAGGAAGACGGACTCGATCTCGGCGAAGAGACCGAGGAGGAGCGCCAGGCTGATCTCGGCGCCGATCCCTCGGATTCTGGCCGCACCACCGGCCTGCTGATCGCCAACGATGCCGACTACAAGCGAGGACACATGCTTGTCCATCAGCTCAAGCGTCTCTCATCACCCAACCTGCTCGTCACGAACCACGATGCCACTCAGTACCCCGCGATCAAGCTCCCTTCCGACCCCGCCACCCCGAACAAGCCCGTCTACCTCAAGTTCGACAGAATTCTGGCCGATGTGCCCTGCTCCGGTGACGGAACCCTGAGAAAGAATCAGAACCTTTGGAAGGACTGGCAACCCGGTAATGCTCTCGGCCTCCATGTGACTCAGGTCAGAATTCTGCTGCGCGCCCTCGCCATGCTTAAGGTTGGTGGCCGCGTCGTCTACTCTACCTGCTCCATGAACCCTGTCGAGAACGAGTCCGTCATTGCGGCCGCTATCGACCGATGCGGTGGCCCCGACAAGGTCGAGATCGTCGACTGCAGCAATGAGCTTCAAGGCCTCGTCAGAGCCCCTGGCATGCGCAAGTGGCAGATTATGGACAAGTCTGGAAGATTATGGAGCTCCCAGGCAGAGGTTGACGAGTTCACCAAGGCCAGCGCCGACGGTATCGCCCCTGGCAGACTTGTTGAGAGCATGTTCCCTCCTTTGGAGGGCAGCGTGTGCGCAAACCTTCCTCTCGAGCGTTGCATGAGAGTCTACGCCCACCAGCAGGACACCGGCGGTTTCTTCATCACCGTCTTGCAGAAGAAGTCCGAAGTCAAGATCCGCCCTGAAGACCAGAAGAGCGACGATGCCACCAAGTCGAACGGAACCGGAGCGACTGCCACGCCCGCGGCCGAGAACGGCGTCGAGAAGAAGGCAGAGGAGAAGACCGAGGAGAAGACTGAGGAGAAGCCCGAGGAGAAGACCGAGGAGAAGACTGAAGAAAAGAGTGAGGAGAAGGCCGAAGCCAAGCCCGAGGAGCCTGAGCAAGAGGCATCGAACGGCGTGAAGCGACCGCGTGAAGATGAGACGGCTGACGGCGAGAACCAAGAAGCGAAAAAACCCAAGCTCGAGACGTCGCAAGCCAAGCCCCAGAGAGCCAACCGCAACGCCCACGGTCAGGTGGAGGAACCCTTCAAGTACCTCGACTCCAAGCACGAGGTCATCCAGCACATCAAGACATTCTACCACATTTCCTCCCGATTCCCCGAGGACCGCTTCATGGTACGTAACGCCGCCGGCGAGCCCGCCAAGGCCATCTACTACACCTCTGCCCTTGCGCGCGACATCCTCACCGAGAACGAGGGCCGTGGCATCAAGGTCATCCACGGCGGTGTCAAGATGTTCATGAAGCAGGACGCTCCTTCGGCCGAGGTTTGCCGCTGGAGAATCCAGTCCGAGGGTATGCCCATCCTGCAGGGCTACGTTGGTGAGCAGCGTGTCGTGCGCCTTACCAAGAAGGAGACGCTCCGCAAGCTTCTCATCGAGATGTTCCCTCGCATTGCCGACGGCGAGTGGGAGAAGATGGGCGAGATTGGTGAGCGTGTTAGGGACATTGGCATGGGCTGCTGCGTGCTGCGCGTCGAGCCTGACGGCTCCGACGAGGAGTTTAGCGAGCGGATGGCACTCCCTCTGTGGAAGAGCATCCACTCTCTTAACCTCATGCTTCCCAAGGAGGACCGGACAGCTATGCTGCTCCGTATCTTTAACGACACCACGCCGTTGATCAACAACAGCCTTCAGAAGCAGAAGCAGATTGAAGAGGCTGCCAAGCTTAAGGCCGCTTCGGGCAACACGATTGCGGACGAGGACTACGCCGACATCGAGGACGCTCCCACCCCTGAGGAGATGGACGCCGAGCCGACTTCGACCACTGCGGCTCCTGAGGCTGAGGCTGAGGCTGCTGAGGCCGCCGACGAGACCACTACTGAGGCTGTTTAGAGTGATCTCCAGTGAGATTTGAGATTTTAAAACACAAATTTTGGATTAGCTTTGGAGCGAAGGCCCAATTCTAGAGGGATATGGCCTATGACTTGCTTTGGAAGAACCATTCGAAAATAAAAAGAAGCGGGTGCCGCTGATGGCACGGTACAATGGTTAGGAGCTATAGAGCAGTTTTTTCTCAACGAAGAGAATGCATAGCGTTCGGCACCTGGATGATGACGAGCAGCTTTAGAAACTCTTTTACAGTGCTGCCGGGTTACCTGACAGAGGAGAAAACAGCGTCATGGGTTGTGGTGAGAAAATGTATGAGTACATGAGCGCCGCTGAGGTTGCACCTTACTATCTATGAATAGATCAGATTAAAACATGGCATGATTATTTTTAGTTCGCGAGTGACAGGTGCGTTGTGTATGAAATGAGCACATTTCGTTGACGTCCTAGTGCTGCATGTTCTGATACTATCGGCGTCAGGCCAGGTTCTTGCGAAAATCAATTGCGGGTTCTCTTCACTTGTCGTTCTACCTGGCGTGGGTTGTAGTATTTGCCAACTGCTAAGTAATGACCTCTCATGGCTGGAACTGCCAAGCATGAGTTTCTGTAGGCATAGTCCAAGAATGAGCGCTTAGGTAGGCTGACCAAATACACTGGTTTCCTATAGATAGGGAGCAAGTATAGAAATACCGATTACCAAAGTTTTAGTACTATCATAAGAAAACCATTTAAAAAATGTAAGTCGGAAGGAGAGTAAGTCTTGGACATCCCTCATCTGTTCGGGTGAAGCTTCACCGGCCGGGGACCCACACCGCCGAAAGCTCGGGCGCACTTGGCAGCTCGCTTGCAATTACGGCGCGTCCAATTCTGACGACGCGTCGGACCCTTGTCTCGCTCACTCCAAAATCCCCGAACGGTAACCCCAGAGACCGCCACTGGAGCCACCACTAACCCGCTTCCCGGATCACTTGCCCTTCCGACATACAACCGGCAGTGGTCTCATCATCACGTCCGGGCATCTAACAAACTTTGGGTTTATCACAACCACGCTTCATGAGTTAGCACCCACGATGGCCCCCAACACTGGCTCCGAGGGCCGCAAACGTGGCCGTCCTCCCGGAAAGGAGCCCGCGGTGCCGTGGTCCCTACAGAAGAAGCGCAAGCTCGACGCCGCCAAGTCCTCCCCGACGACGCCAAAGTCCACCCCCGGCGCCAGCTCGTCCGCCGTCAAGAAGTCAACGCGCAAGGCTGCTGCCCCGCCAGCGAGCTCCCCCTACGAAGTCCCCGACTCCCCGACCGGAGACAACCCGCCGCAACGGATCCGCAACGTCAGGAGCGTCAACCGACCGACGCCCAAGGTCCCGATATCTGCTCGTGGCCAGGTCAATGTCGACGCTTACGAGGTCCCCGACTCTGATGACGAGCTGCACGTCAACCCGAAAGAGGCGAATGCGCAGAAGGCGAGCCCAACGAGGAGGAAAAGTAATGTTGCAAAGGGGAAGCGGAAGTCACAAAAGGAAAAGGATGAGGGTGACGATGATGATGATGATGATGATGCAATGGCCGTAGACCCAGAAGAGGAGGTTGCGACGATTGAGGATTCGCCGTTGAAGGTGCGCTCCAGCGGAAGGCACAGAACCCTGACGGCGAAAGCGATGGAAGGACAGGAGGAGAAGTTGGGTGGAAGCCGTTCCGGCACACCAGTGCCCCGTGCAAGGTCCTCCGTGGCCACCTACGACGGTCAGGAAACGAAAAGGGCAACGGGCAAGGCCGAGAGGAACGTTTCCATGCCGCTGAAGGGCATCCTGACGCCGTCGAGACGGGATGGCTCGGTGAGGAGGAGCAAGAGCGTCGCTTTCGACCCGACGAACGAGGAGGACAAGGAGGAGGTTTTCTTTGAGGATCTCCCGTCCAAGTCCGGGCGAAGCAGAAAGCCTTCAAAGAAGCTTATCGAGGCGACAGCGACACCGACTGTCAAGCCGACAAAATCACGAAAAGGATCTGCAAAGGCCCTGGAAGAGGAGCCGGTAGAAGAGGAGGAATCCGAGCCTGAGGCAGAAGAGGAGAAAGCCGAAGACGAAGAGCAGGAGGAGGGGAATGAAGACGAAGATGTCTGCGCAATATGTTCCAAGCCCGATTCGAAGGCTGGCAACAGGATCTTGTTTTGCGATGGATGCGACAAAGCCTATCACCAAAAGTGCTACGATATCCCTCGGGTACCTAGGGGGGACTGGTACTGTAACGACTGCGTGCAGCAAAAGGAGTCTCGGGCGGTGGCGGCGGTGGAGGTGGCCAAGATTCCCAACTATGAACAGCACCTGAGTAGCATGAAGAGGGTGCTGCTGGATCGATGTACGGGGCGCCGGCGCATCAAATTGATCGACCAGGACGAGGCCTACGAGAAAGCTCATCAGCTCGTGGAGCAGACTGTTCTGGCAGGGGAGGGCAACTCGATGCTGGTGATCGGCGCGAGAGGCTGCGGCAAGACCACGGTATGGGGAACGAATGGCACAGTACTTGAAGGAGACTAACGAGTGACAGCTTGTCGAGGGCATCATTGCCGACCTCTCTTTACAGCATAAGAGTGAGTTTCATACAGTGCGGCTGAACGGTTTCATTCACACGGATGACAAACTGGCTCTTAAGGAGATATGGCGCCAGCTGGGCAAGGAGATGGACGCCGAAAACGAGGTTACTTCCCGAGTAGGTTATTCCTGCGGAACCAGTAAAGGAAACCGGCATCTGACTGACCCTCCCCAGACAAATTACGCCGACACCATGACCTCGCTGCTTGCGCTGCTCTCCCACCCGTCGGAAATGGCTCAGACGGAAGAGGGCGTGACATCACAGGCAGTCGTCTTCATCATTGACGAATTCGACATGTTCGCCGCCCATCCCCGCCAAACTCTGTTGTACAATCTGTTCGACATCGCGCAGGCCCGGAAGGCTCCAATCGCGGTGCTGGGCTGCACAACACGCATGGATGTGGTGGAGATGCTCGAGAAGCGCGTCAAGAGTCGATTCAGCCATCGATACGTGTACCTGTCGCTGCCGAGGAGCCCGCCCGCGTACTGGAAGGTGTGCAAACAGGGTCTCACGGTTGACGAGGAGGACATGGAGGTTGAGGGGATCGACGTGAGCCTGGAAGGTCACGATGCTTTCCAGGCGAATTGGAATTCAATGATTGAGGTGAGAGCTTATTTTTTCTTTTCTTTCTTTCACAGCGTTGGCCGCAGGGATGATGTATTGACCAAACTGCAGGCGTTACACAAGGAGAAGTCATTCCAGAACCTCCTGCAGTATCACTACGCCACAACAAAATCCGTATCCGCGTTCCTCACTGAATGCATTCTCCCTCTGTCAGCACCGTCGAATGCATCTCTGAACCTGGTCATTCCGGCCGCTGCCAGCCCGGTTGTATCTCTCCGACCACCAACCTCCAAACTACATATCCTACCTTCACTTTCGGAGCTCGACCTGGCTTTGCTCATCGCGGCAGCAAGGCTAGACATCGTGGCTCACACAGACACGGTCAACTTCGCCATGGCATACGACGAGTACGGATCACTGATGGGCAGGCAACGCTTACAGTCGGCGACTTCTGGGATGCTCGCGTTGGGCGGTGGAGTGCGGGTATGGGGTCGCGGGGTGGCCGGCACGGCTTGGGAGCGGCTCGTATCGCTCGGTCTCCTCGTGCCGGCGGGTGTCGGTACCGGGCGGGGATCGGCGTACGGCGGGTTGGAAGGCAAGATGTGGAAGGTCGACATGGCACTAGAGGAGATTCCTGTGGGCGTCAAGCTAAACAACGTCCTGGCGCGGTGGTGTAAAGAGATTTGAGCAAGCGGCTAGCTACACACAAGGTGTGTATAGTATCAGGAAAAGGGGAGTGTACGGCCGAAGGAAGTCACGCAACATGGCTAATACATCAGTCTCGTACACACGTAGCTTGACCATGTCACTGTGACAATACCAGTATCTCGCCCAGTGACAAGATGACTAGCGTACTGCGCGGGCGCGCGCTCGCTCACTCGCTCGCACCGACGCGTTACGTTGAATGTCGGGAAGCTGGCCCCGACCATCACCAAGATTGCCCTTGGCATTTCCTAGCGCGCGTATTCGGACGCGGGGGCGCTACGGAACAGACGACGGGTCTATTTCAGAGGACGTGCCCTCGCACTTTTACGCAGCACTAAGGGCGCCCTGGCGCAACATACGCGCTGCATTGCTTTGGAATCATGGGGGGAAGAGAGAGAGAGAGAGAGGAAAAAGTCTGATACATACCGCTCACTGTCCGAGGAGGGGGGGCCCCCCTATCTGAGGGTGCCGTTAGCGGGACCCGAGAGAAGGGAAAGCTAGTGAAATGGGTGAAGCGGGAACGGGGAAAAGCTCGCCGTCACTCTACGGAGCTTTTAAGGCGAGACGAAGGGACTGTGAGGCGACTTCAGATGCCAGTGCGCTGAGAAGCTAGGAGTTTGCTCCGTGAAAAGGAAAGTTACGTGGGAAAAATATGTGTGCACGTGCTTAAAGGGGGGTGGCAGGCAGGTTTTGGAAGCTGGTCTTTTTCTTTTCATCATAGCCCTTTTTTTGGTGTTTTATTTTTATTTTCAGTGATCGTCAGGAGATCGGGGGCAGGTGCGATTGGTGGTGATACAACGATGATCTTACAGGATCCTTCAGCACGTATATGTTGTGAAACAGGGGATCACTGCTGAGCGCCACCACGACTTAGGTTCAGAAGGCCTATCCCCCTTCTCTAGTTAGATGTTATGCGGCATATCACTGTCGTACAACGAGAAAGGGGTATTATTTAAGCGTGTGATTTTTGTGGCATGAGGGAAGAGAGAAGAGATATGAGACTTTTGGAGGTGTGACTGGCGGCCGACAGGTTGATGAGGGTCTCTTAGGGGGGGAAGGGGGAGCTCACGCGAGCTGTCCCAGCAGACAGACCCTCCCTCAGGTACAGATGGACCGGAGGTGGCCGAAAAGGCGGGGGTTGGGATTTATGAAGGGGTCCCCGAGGCGTTCGTTGATGGGGCTGCTAAGAGAGATGTTCTCACCTGTGAAAAGAAGAAAAAGAAAAAAAAAAAAAAAAAAACTGTTAGCGTTCACGAGCTGGAGGGAAACTGTTGTGCGGATAAACATTCGCCTGTGTTGCCAACACAAAATAAGATACAATAGAAGCTATGTCGGCCCGGGGTAAACAAGCTGCAGGAGCTGTAGTAGTTGTGGGTCTGTCTGTTTGGTACTGCAGCTTGAAGGGGGGTAGGTAGGACCTCGGCAGCATTCAGGGTTAGCGGGATCGCGGGGCGCAGGATACTATGTATTGGTCCAATTGTTTTTGAGCACGCACCGCTAAGAGTGCCCTGCCCCCCATGACGGCGGCCGCCACGTTGCGGCCTTGACCAGCCCGCAGTGCCGTTCGCGGCGGGATGCACTCTGCACTCTGCACTCTGCATCATGTCCGTGTCTGCAGCTGTGCTGTGGGTGTCTGTAGGTGTCTGTCTCCCTTTCCTCTGGTCACCAGCGCTGACCGAACGACCTGTTCAAGTACCAAACCGTGTACGGCCAACCGTGGCGACGCCACTTTTAGAGCCCTTGTCTCTGTTTTGTCATCTAGAGAGCACCTTAGGAGCAGCATCAGCCAGAAATAGCGTAAACCCGCCGCGAGAGCCAAGAGGGAAAGAGTGGCACCCAATACTTTGCCATGACTGACAAACATGCCGCACCAGACCCTCCCCTCCCCCCTGCCCCAAAGCCGTCATCTCAAACTACCTAAAACATGAACCCGCCAGTCAACTAATGGCAGTTGCCGTGGCGGTTCTGTATGCCCTGTTATTCCCTGGTATGAGGCGGCCGCCCAGCTTCACCTGGTCCAGTGATTTTCATTCCTCAGGCCTTGCCAGGCCTGACTGAACTGATCCTATTTTTTTTTTTTTTTTCTTTTTTTTCTTTCCTACCCCGTAAAGGAAGGGAACGGAGTCCGGTTACCGCGTGCTATGTGTGCTTGATTTTAATTTGGTATTTGCTTGTAGTTACTTCAACGAGTCAGCACTTCTTTATCCTTACTCCATTTTTTGTGTCTCCCCATCTATCTCATCTCCCTCAAAAGACCCCTACAGCCCTTTTTTCTCCCCTTTCACCACCCCAAACCCAGGAAACAATCTGCCACACCTACTGTTGTTTTTAATTTTACTTCTATTTACCTTTTCAATATCCGCATACCCCCGGCATTCCTCCTTCTGTTTCAACCGGCATCTCCAGCTTCCGGCACGCACACCTCCACTGGGGACACATCGGCCTCACCGCGCGACTACGCCACTACCAGCGCTACGCCCCACGGAGAGCTCCTGTCCCGGTCCATTTTCTGCGCCTCCGTCCTCCGTCTCCGAGCCTAGCTGGCATTGCCTCCGAGGGAAACCCACGTACTTACACACAGACTTCCTTCCCCACGACCGCACAAGTTGATCTTGTCACAATACTCAACCATTTTCATCCCTGTCGCATCTTCGTCATAGATAGTCACCCAGGCTTCCTATTTGGCAAACAAACTCCTTGACTCTCGCCTACAGCTGGAATTCTCGTTCCTATCCAGCCAACCGACGAAACACAAGCGTTCACCCGAACTTTGGCAACCTTAAACTCACCTCACATTCCCCCATTTCTTCTTCTTCTTCTTCTTCTTCTTCTTCGTCTTCTTGTGCATGATTCACAAATAACCCACAATCTTAATCCGTTCTGCCCATTCATCGCCGCCTCGACGCATTTTCAAAACCATGTCAAAACGCACCACATTCACCACAATCTCCCCACTGCCTGCAGGCATAAGTCGCGAGGCCGTCCTCGACTTTCTCCACAATCACCTTGAAATGATCGATCTGAACCCCCTTATCAAAGAACGTCACATCATCAAGCCGCCTGCCCATGCCCCACCAGAGGAGCACTCGTGCGTCTGGTATTCCCTCACCGACGAGATCTCTTACTTGCCGGGCGGCCTGGCCACCAGCGATGTCAGCTACACATGCGCCTTCCACGACCTGCCCACCGGCCTGCAGACCCACTGCTATGCTCCGATGGGCCTCGAAATCCGAGATAAGTGGACCGTCGCCGGCTCGCTTCCGGGAGAGCCCATCGAGCCCGTCGAACTGGGCATCGGCGCCCCTCTTACAGGCTTATATCTACGTGAAGACGTCGATATGCGCTGCAACGTCTTCACCACATCCTTCGTTAAGAAAACGCTCAAAAAGAGCCACGGCCAACTGGTCGAGCGCATCAAGTCCAAGATCAAGCAGACCTCTTCTACTCAACCTCAGCCCCAAACCAGCCAGTTCAGCTCGCAGTACCAGCCGTCGCATGGGCGACACCACAGCCACAACTCAGCAACCTCCGGACCCTTCAGCTCCAGCTCACATACAAACAGCCCGCGGCATACGCCTCCGCCGCAGACTCATCGCGTCCCGAGCTACACGTCCCTCACAAATCAGATGGACCTTCCTTACAGACCACCACGTAACAAATCTTCACCAGCCCCGCCCAGCGATGGCCATACCACCAGCGCCTACCCGAGGCCTCTGCATATTCGACACGCTTCCAAAGGTGCGCCGACCCAGAAGCCCTCGTGGCCGGATATCAGGTCACAGCAGCCCGTCCTCAACAATTACACCCACGCAGCTACCCCCTACGACGTCAATACATCGCATTCGACATTCACGTCACCCTTCGTGGCGGGCATGCCCGGCAATGACGCAAAGCGGCGCGCCGAACGTCAACGAAATGGCCAATTCATCGCCGAGCTGGAGTGAGCTGCATGCATGCCCGCCGGCCTAATTTTTTTTTTTTCATTTGATTTTTGCCACCCTGTGGAGGGCTCTTATTTGGTTGGCATGGCTTGCGTGCACTAGTTAGTTACAAGGAAGGAAAAAGGGGAAAGAAAAAACAAGTAGTCGATACCCTCCCATTATCTAGCAAATCTATTGGATGCCTGCAAGATCTCGCACACACACACACACACACACACACACAAAGTCTTCCCATCACGTCATTCCCGTGAATAGTAGTAGTAGTAGTAGTAGTAGTAGTAGTAGTAGTAGTAGTAGTAGTAGTAGTATATGCAAGGTTGCGGCACAGCCTTCCGCGATTGGGCAACGCAGGGTTCAATTGTCCAATGGCATGTTACGCTTCCGACACCGCAAAAGTGACTGCCAACTAATTACGACTTGCTTGTCCTTTGATGGAATGTATGTCATGTTTTACTCTTCTCGTTTTTGTGTGTGTGTATTGTTTTTTTTTTTTCCCCCTCAAAAACATGAATTAATTAAATATACATGACTAAATCTCAAAAATCTCGCTTGTCTTGCAAAGTGTAGGGTGACGCGGCTCAAGACACTTTCCAGAAACAAATTACACGTTCAGCATCTAATCAAGAGGAACAAAATAAATTCTCCAAGATGTCAAGTCGAGGGGACACCAACAAGATGTCCACATTAAACACTATAATACAAAGAAATACGCTTTTATTCCCCCCCGGAATAAGACCAGCGCGAAAAAAGAAAAAGAAAAAAAAATTGGTAAAAATAATAATGGTTCCCCCGTAGGAACTAAAAATAATGAATCAGCGGGTGGTATAACAAAGGAAATGTCTCCCCCTCATCCACTGAGCAGTCAAAGCCGCCCTTCCCCCGGTCTTTCACCCGGGTTCCAGCGGGACCGCGTGTAATTCTATTCGCTTGAGCTTTTTCTCGTATATCACTCCCCGTCATTTCATTTGTCCGTCCCCATTCTAACTATCCGTGTGTCCGTCTATAACAGCGTCAAGGGGCATGTCGGGCGTTAAAAAAAAAAGATGGCGTCAGTAGATGAGAAAAATGGGTCTCGTCACTCTATAGTCTATACCCAAACTGTGCGTCGTGTGCTCTGGTCGTTTCGTCCATAAAAAAAAAAAAAATCAAGGTGAAAAACCATAGTGGCCCCTTAAATTTTTCTTCACACCCTCAAAGAAGGAGATTGGTTAGCTAGCGAGGATAGACGTAGAGAGGGAAGGCGAATGAGAAGGCGCAGCTCAGAGGATTCTGGCTTCGGTCCGCCCCCCTTTTTCCTCGACTATCGCTCAGCGCTTTACAGATCTCTTTACTTTGATAGAGTGGGAAGGAAAGGCCGGGGGTAAAATGGTATGGCGTGGATATGTGTGCATGAGAGCGTGAGTGGACGTTTACAAGGCGACGAGGGCGATGGCACCAGCCACAAGGGCAAAAGTGCTAGCGAGGACGGCCTGCTTCTCGGCGCCAGCCAAGACGACGTTTGTAGGGCACGACTGGCCGCCACACAGAACAGGGCGGCCGGAGCTGGCGGGTGAACCACCACTCCCGGGGGCACCACCGGGGTTGCCTGCGTCCGGAGCACCACCCTGGCCGGGCGTGTAAGCACCGTAGCCACCGTAGCCGCCGTAACCAGCACCAGGTGCACCACTTTGGCCCGGTTGCTGAGGCTGGCCGGGTTGACCAGGCTGACCGCCCTGGCCAGGTGTGTAAGCACCGTAACCACCATAGCCGCCGTAGCCGGGACCACCAGTCTGCGCTGGGGGTTTGACCGGTGGCGGTTGGGCTTGGCCGGTAGGCTGGGCAGCCTGATGAGTAGTCTGTTTCACGCTGATCAGCTGTTTTGGTTTCTTATAGGTAACAAGTAGGGCAAACTTACCCAGACCTCAGTGCAGGGGCACCCATCCAGGACGAAAGTAGTAGGCTTGTCAATCCTGTACGCCTTGTCGTTGAAGTACAGCGTCGTGGGCTCCGGACACCAAGTCTCGACGTAGTCGTGGACCTTGGTCAGAGTGACGACGGTGCCGTTGACGATGGCCGGCTGCAGCGCGGACGCAGCGGCCGTGAGGGTGCTGGTGACGATGAGGACGGATGGCGTCTGCATTTTTCTCTTCTGTCTGTTTTGCCTGTCTTGGGGGCAGTGAGTGTATCTTTAGCGTGAGAAAGGGTATCGAAGCGCGATTAGAAGCATTGTTTTTTGTGGTAAACAAACGAAAGTGTTCTGAGATGTGTAGTAGGTCGTGCCTTACGGTAATGACTGAGTGAGCGTTTGTTGGTTTACAAGTGAGTGACTAGGGCCAGATAAAACCACAAAGCAGAACTGAAAGGGGGGGGGGGGGGGGGGGGGGAACGAGGACACACAAACGAAATATCGAGTTCTGTGGATCGCCAGATGAGGTCGGAGGAAGAAAACAACATGTTGGAAGCCACGAAGAAACGCCTTCTTCTTATGCTGTCTTCCCCGACACCCCTCTCTCGGGCCTTCCACATGTTTAGGAGCTTGGGCGTGCTTGCGTGACCAAAGACATTCAGGAACAAAACAAAATGAGCACTATGTCCATCCTTCTCTCCAGATATTAGCTCGTGATCCAATGAGATTTCTGCAAAATATTGTCGCTCTGAAGGAATGTCTGTGACCCGTTCCGGGTGCCCGTGTTTGTTGTGGTCGCTCTGGGCACCCAAGAATGGGCGCGCCTCATGTGGCGCATTCCAGACACTAGAGGGGCCATGAGCTCACGGGCTCACCAGAAGACGTTGCAACGTCATAATAAACAAGCGGCCGCTACCTGTCCCAGCCCAAAGCTGCTCTCATCTCATCATTTTCACATTGCACAAATTTAAAAAAAGGTTTTTGATACCACTTTCATCTGCTTTCTCTCATTCAGGGTATGTCGAAGGGTTGAGCGTCTTTCCCGACTCGAGTCGGGAGCGCTGAGATATGTACAGTTGAGCCACGCCGCACCTTGACTGCTCTCTTCCCTCCTTCTGCTTTTCCCCTTTGTTTGCCTGTCACACAGCTGTGCTTTCTCTGCTTGTCGTATCCCACATAATTGTCACATACCAGCGTGCCAATAGGCAGCGGGCAGTCCCCCTTATCCTCCACTCTCAGCCCAACGGGAATCCTTCGTTGGTCGCCTTTAGCTTCGTCTCGCGGATCGTGGTTGAGATTCGTGCTTCCATGCCAGCCTTCTATGATCATCCACACCCCGCCAGCCAGCTATGATTCAAGACAAATGAAAAATTAAGAAAAAAAAAAATCGAAGAAGAAAAAAAAAAAAAGGCGAAAAATAGGGAACCATTGAGATCCGCATGTGATGATGACGTGATCATGGCCCGCAGACTCAGTTTCGCCGACTCATGGGGTCTCCTTCTAAGAATAGTGTCCGCCCCAACGCCGTCATTTCCAAAAGAATCCAGATGGCGACAAAGATCGGCCCGAGTGGGGCCCTTCTCTGGTAGAATGAAAAAAAGATACTGCCACCGCCTGATGGTAAATCAGAAGACTACCATACCATGTATGCATAATATTATGGCTTGGGGGAGGGAGTGCCGCAAATGTCAACTGGGCGTGCGCAACAAGCCATCGATGGTCGACATTTCTAGTCAAGGAATTGGTGAAGTGGCGATGCGAAATGCGCACTGATCGCTTCTTCAGTTCTTCGTTGCGTTATCGGCTGTCCCAGCTAAAGCTGGCTTTGTTCATTTGCGGTTCGATCGGCTTGTGCTGCGCTCGACACGGCCGCCTGTAACCGAATCAAAGTCGTAGTTCTTTAGAGTGTGTTCGTATTTGGGGCTTCTCAGGAATTTGGGCACCGAGTCCTACAAGGCAATAAGGTTAGCAATCAACTTTTGGAGGTGGTTAGATAATAACCTACGCTTGCCATCAACTTGAAAACAGCGTTTTGTGCATCCTCAAATAAGGACATGACCTCTTGCAAGGTGTCAATCATGGCGACATCCTGGCCGACTGCCTTGGTCATCCGGGTGGCGAGATTATTACGGAGTTGATGGTCAATGTTCAATTCGCAAGGAGATCCAGGGGCAAGGAATGCGTTATAAATCCCGTAGGCCTGTGCCATAATCTCCTTGATGCCATCCATCGAGTTAGCGTTGGGGTTCTTCTGGGCAACCCGGATGGCTTGTCGGCAGCTCCGAACAAAATCGTCGACGTCCAGGTAGAAGGACAGGTTCTCTTCGCAATGTGTCTCCCTAAGGTTCTCCCTGAAGAGCAACCGCAGGGCAGCATCATTGAGAATCTTGTCCAGCCGTTGAGTGTTGGAGTCACGCGCAATAGCATTGCGAGAAGGCACAACAGCTTCGCTCTCTGACGTCCTTCCTCTTGCGGACAATCCATTAAGTAAATCCTTGCCCTTAGCTGTCATTTGGTAAATGGCATGCTTGGTGGGCTGGAACAAGTTGTTGCTAGGGAACTGTGCCATGTGGGCGCGGTCTTGTACAATAGGCTCCATCAGGTCGTATTCAACAAATAGGGACGCAATGTCGTAAGTCTCCCGGCGATCCACAGTCGTGCAGCAGTCCATCAGCCAATCGGTGGCAGCTTTGCCGGTAAAAGAATCCTTGTATGTCTTGCCGTTGACCTTGCGCTCGCTGGCCATCTTGACACCGGTGAGGCCGTCCTTGTAATCGCTCAAGGAGTCGGAATCAGCTGAGCTGACGCTAGACTTGACATTGGGGCCGTGTGTGCCAATAAATCTCCTGAAGATAACCTCAATGGTGCCTCGGTCCGTGATGAGCTTGTCGGTTTGTCCGTCCCTCTCGAGGATGACCAACTGCGACAGGGTAGCACCGACCAAGTCGGATATGGACTTTTGCTGGATACCGTTGCGGGAGCAGAAGCGGTCCAGCACGGTAACGCCCTTGGGAGTCAATTGCCATACGGAGCCCTTCATGTTATAGACCTGTTGATACTTTCCATCGGCCGACTCAATGAATCTTGCCTCGAGGAACTTTTGGCAGATGGAACGAGCCATGTCCTTAGCCATGGAGAAAGTTGTCGTGGTTGTGGTTGTCACTATCCTGGAGGGGTCCTTGGGGTCTGGCATGCGGTTGGATTGAGAGAACTTCAGGGAGCCCAGGTTGTTAATTGCATCCTCGGACAAAAAGGTGTTTTCGACTCGTGTTAATCGTACTCGGTGTGCGGACAAGGGCAGCAGACTGACGATCAGCGTTGAGAAGAGATCCTTAAAGTCCTGTAGATAATCATGTTAGCAAAATGCTATAAGCTGTTGCCGTCAAGAACAACGGGCGGGTGGTGAGCGGGGGCCGCAGCGAGTTGCTCTCTGCGAAGCGTTCGCTGCGGAACGGGCAATGTGACTTACCTTTGTGAACGGGCGGTCATCATCCGTCATGCGGAGGAGCCGCGAAGATGTTTGATGCATCTTGCTCTCTATGCTTGGCAGGCGGTAGGGGAGAGGCCTATTTGGATCGGTCTCGGTGTAGGGTTGAGAGGGTAGATCCTGTACCAGCGATACCTGGCTTGGATACTTGCCCTCTAGCTGGTTGAGAGTGCTACTTGACGACGACGAGTAATTGGAGGGGCTCCTGTATCGTGGGTATTTGTCTGTTGAGCCAAGGTCGGAAGCCGAGTCGGGAATGAAAGAAGCCCTGCCTAATGCGGAACTGGAGGCGCGCTGGCGGATGGACTGGTCTGAGGAGAAGGTCGCGAGAGCGGAATGCGTCTTGTCAAAGGCAGCAGCGGCGAAGCCAAAGAGACCACCAGAACGTTGAAATTTTTGCAGCGAACTCGTCGAGGGCGAGTGTTGGTGGGAACGGTAATGTGGGCGATTCACCGAAGGGGCGGGAGCAGCGTGGTAGGGATCGGTCGATGATGATGTAGTGGAGGTTGTGGTGGTGTTGGTGGCAGTAGCAGCAGGAAGAGTGGTGGTAGCGGTGGACCGTGGAATGGTACTGCTTGTGGTGGTGGTAGGGTTGGAATTGGTGCTATTGTATGTGCGAGGTTCAGAGTTGGCCTCGCTAGACTGTGGCTCGTGGTTCGGAGGTCGGAGAGTCTTGGAGACAGCGGCCATCTAATGGGGAGAGGAGTATTTAGAGAAAGCGCGGACGGCGTGACGGGTGTTCAAATAAAAAGGAAGGCGCAAAAAAAAAAAGGGAAGAGAAGGAGAAAGCGGGCTTGGTGAGGCAGGGCGTGGAGGAGAGGAGGTGTGTGGTGCCGGCGGTGGTAATAGTGGAGGAGGAGAATAAGGGACATGGGGAGCAAATGGAGCACTAAGGTAAGGTATAGTAGAGCGAGGAAGTACAGTACAGCGTACACAGGCCCAAGGGGCTAATGTACATGTAGACAGTGGAACCCTGTAAGTAGAAGATACAAGGGGGGGCTAGTGAGAGTAAAAGTGGGAAGAGTGAGAGTCGAGGTACCTCAGGTACATGTTGAGGGCACTCACACACACGCACACACTCACACACTCACACACACCACTCTGCTCTCACAAACGGACACAAGCGAGTGAACCAGACGCAGCACGCTACCACCGACGACGAGTGGGCGGCCGGGCGGGCGAGTGGGTAGTCTTCCAGCCACTTGTTGCTGGTGCTGGAAATGGGCAAAAAAAATAATAGAAGGACGGTAAATGATATAACGAAGTGGAAGGGCAGGATGAAGAAGGTGAGGAATAAGGGCAAAGGCACAGACGTTGTAACTCGTAATAAGGTAAGATGAGGCAGTGTGCTTACCGGTGCTAATGGTGATGTGATCAATACCAATCTAGGACCTGACAGTCTGTAGGAGGAGATGGCCACGGTGGGTTGGACAACACGTTCACGGTGTCCAGGGAATCATAGGGCAGAGAAGGTTGAGACTGGGCCGGACGGCAACGACCGTCGCAAGGTACAGAGCGATACTAACAAAGGCAAGGTAGGAAGGACGACGGGCAGGATACGATGAGGGCGTTCGTTCTTCTTGGGTACGGGCACCTCCGGGAGCCGGGGAGAGTGAGTAGCGACTGTATGAAGAGCCGGAGAGTATGCCGAAGGAAACGGGAACGACGACAAGGCTGAGATTCAACTAGATTTGGGCTGGACCTAAAGTCGATAGGAGCTGACTTGGTTCTTTTCTGGACTTGGGCTGTCTCCGTAAGGCGGGCGACAGAAAACGCCTGGATTGGATTTTTGGATTTGAGCTTGAATTAGACTGGATTTCAAGAGGGGACCGAGAGTGGACAGGAAGGGGGAAAAGAACCAAGGAATAAGCCAGCCAGTCGGTCAAGGTCACCACGGGCGAGGTAAAGCAAGGTAAGCCAGACAGGACGGACCAGAACAGTTAAGACAGGGGCAAGGGAAGCCCGACTTTTTAGGGGGACGACTTGATGTGAATGTCGATGGATCCCAAGTTTTTTTTTTTTCGCAGAGAAAAACTGCCACCTGCCGTTGAACCCTGGTCAGTCTCGGTGCAGGCCCACAGGAGACCCCGCTGAAGGCGGCCCATTGCAGCGTGGCCCCTCCTCCCCTCTATCCTTCACCCCCAGCGACCAGCAACCCCCTCCCTCACCACAGTTCTCAGTGCCATGCTTCACTGTACTGGGGTCCCACCAAAGGGGGGGGGGGGGGGTAAAGCTGGCACCGCACCGCACCATATCCACACCTACCCTCACACATCTACACACCCTTGCACCCCCCCCTCCGCCCCCCTTCTTCCACTGACCCCAGGGCAAAAAGCATATGGGCTACGAAGGCTCAACCACTGCAGAGCAGCACGTACTTACTGCCTACACAGTTTGTACCTTCGCTCCATCACCTTACTTTCCGCCATGTGTCCTGCCTCCCCATTCCATCATGTTCTCAACCGCACCTCACCTCATCTTACCCCACTGTGCCTTATACCATGAGATATACCCTGGCTGGCTTTCTCCGTCTTCCTCTGTCTGTTCTCTTGGTATTGAGGCAAGTAAATAGTCTTCTAAAAGGTTTGTATACTCTTACTCTGCCAGTTTACCCATTCCGTGGGCCAGGCTAGACCAAGCACATCCCTTCCCTTCCATCACCAGGCTCCATGATGCGGTGTGCTGAGGAACGGCCTTGCGCTACTGCGGATTCTGTGAAGCCAAGGCAGCCTGGGGGAGCAGAACATAATGGTTTAGTGAGGAGCGTCCGCAACATGGTGAGGGACCTCGCCAGGATTGTTTTGTAACCACCCTCTCCTCTCCCCTCTTTGAAGGGTGAAAGTGGGGGCGAGGAGGGGGTTCATGCAGGTGTGTTGCTGTTTGCTACTTCTGTCAGGCTGGTCGTTTTATCTACCATCTACTAGTAGACTGGACATTATGTACAGTGTGTGGAAGAGGCGATGGCAGTGTTTCCTTTTAGTAGCTCTTTTTATTTTTATTTTTATAATAGTTCCATCAAGTCAGAACAAAAACTTCTCCATTTTCGAAACTAAAGAAAACTTGTTAGGCGGTAGTAAATTATACCAAAATGGGAGGGCGTGCGATGGGCAAATCAAGAGTGCGAGAAGTGAACAATGCAGGAGGGGCACTGTTAAGAGGCAGAGAGAAAAAATTTTGAACGATGCGACTGCATGAAGAAACACTGGCTTAGCCCCAAGCTATGGCGGTAAATAAGATATATCAGCAATTATCAAGACAAGATGACCGGCAGTAGTCTTAGGGCCATTGCCTACCGGTTCGCATCGGAAAGCGCCCTCTCGGAGCTGGACCCAAGCTTACTACGTATATTGGCACTTTTATTCTTATTTTTACATGCCGCCCTTAATTCTTTTCATTAATCCGTATCAAAGCGGTTTGGCACATGTACCGTTGTCACTCCCGCTGCATGTACTATGGATGGTCTGAGTTGGAACCACATCACCGAGGCACCAAAAAAAAAAAAAGGATGACGGTCGAAAGAGCAAATTAATCGTCCAATCCTCCAATGCCTCGCGGCGTACTCGGGCCCTCATCAAAGGTATTAGCTGTTGCGAAGTGAGAAGGTTCGGCTGTATTTGACACCTCGCGCCTCGCACCTCGCACCTCGCACCTCGCACTTCACTACCTCCGTACAATGTCGCCCCTTCACCCCATTGATGCACTTGGAGTAGACGAAGTTTCGACCGTGGCTGGGTGCCGTTTGATCGGATGCTACGGGCAGAACACCTGTCATGTCATCACCTATGTCCGCATCTCAAGGCCATGTACCTTTTTCATGCGCACGACCCAGCTCAACCAAGAAAGAGACAGAGCAAGAGAGATGAAAAAGACTCTTTTGTGACCAAGGTACCTGGCTACATCTTGTCCGTAGCATGGGACGAATTCAGTACACTACAGGAATATGTTCAGTTGCCGACTTATTCTAGCCATAGTGCAGCGGGGGATGGTATTGGTCAACCACAACATATGAACTTGCTATCGAGGGCGGAGTAACTTACAATTGTAGAGGCTGCCACGGTCCCGAACTCCGAGCACCCTTAGCCATAAACGCAGTCTTTGGTGACGAGGTGAAACAAGTATATTCAGGACCAGTAATACCTCATACCCAATGTAGGCATTTGGAGTTGATTAGTCAAACGAGAGTAGGCTATCGATATGGTCGATGTGATAGCGCATGCGTCTGCTTGTGTTTGCCAGTCTTGGTAGTTAAAACATCCTCATTGAATAGCGCCAGGAGCCAGAACAGGCAGCCGTATCATTATTTCCACGTGCACACTCATCAACATATCATGATTTGGAGGCTCTGATGTCATAGGCACTGGATTGGGCCAGATGCACCTCGGACTTTGGTAAAGCTCGGAAGGGGGCATCGGAACGGACGTCGACGGAGAGAAGGATGCGATCTTAGCACCGCATCGCACAGAGGTGTGCAGTTAAGGCCAGAGTAGAGTATGGAGGGGACGTGTGGATAGGCAGAGAACGAGGTGTGCGAGTCTTCCCAGAGATTGGGAAGCACAAAACAAGAATAGCTCGGGGCTCTCACCATCTGATATTGTCTTTTCAACTCTGTTCTTACTACCCTTACCGGCAAGATGGGAATACCAAGGCTAGGGAACGGTGTCCAAGCACCAAGAGGGCCCAGACACACCAGGAGACTTGCAAACATCGGCAGCTAGCCGCCCTGAAGCTTGAGGATATGCTAGGCAGCCGACCAACGGTCGACGATAGGGGAGTGGAAAAGGAAAAGAGAAAAAAACGTGGGGTTATCTTTTGTGTTAATTTTTAGACAGGACACGGTGTGCAGGTGTGGCACATCTCGAGTCAAATTGCTGTGCAAGAAGAAACGGAGCTGGCCATCGAAGAAAATCAAAGTTGGGCCGTCGCTGCACTACAAAACCGATGGGCGGGGATTTTGACAAGTGTAACAGGGGGTTTGAAAAGGCGGTGATCCGAAGGACGCCCACTTGGGAAAGCGAGAGGAGGTGAGCGGAGAAGAAGCCGCTGAAGAGGAATATCGTGATGGTCCAAATGTGCGTATGTTGGAAGAGGGCCCGCCATGCAATTGGAGGATTTGGTTGAGGATTAAGTGGATGTTTGTGGATGAGCAGCGTCCACACCTGGATCTGATTTGGATACCTACGTGAGTTGAGACATGTCAAGTATCTCTGACTGTGCAGGGGGTGTTTTGGTGTACGTACCCCTACCCGCTCAAATTTGGAGGAAGGGAAAAAAGGTCAGAGGCGTGTACACTAACCACAATATATGGTGGCTCCATCTCATGGCTTCCATGTGTCGCCGGGTGCTTTCAGGCAGGTACCCTGATGCAACAGCCAATGATGGAAAGAAATGTAGTGGGCACAATGGAGACGACAAGGGAGACGAGGTACGAGATGGAGGTAAGATGCCATGCTTCGGGGAGAAAGTGGTAAGGCGGTGGGAAAGGCGAGGTAAGGCGAGGTACGTATATTTTTGACCTTTGACCCAACCAGGAAGAGCTCATGAGGCAGTGAAGGAGGTACGTACCATTTAGCGGAGCAGTCCCTCTGGCACATAAATGTGCTGCATTTCGCCTGTGCCTACTCTTTATCAGTCACTTGCCCTCGCTGACGGTCGTCCGCCAACTACCGTCATTCATCAGTTTCAGAGGTTTT